CGTAGTTTTACGCACCACATGTAGATTCCTGCTCTCTAAGGTAGTGTAGGAGATCAGGACCCTATGTGTGTTCTGTTCCCATCATCGAACCACCTTTTTGAGATTGGCCATCAGCGAACAAAGAACCGCTTGGTAAGAATAAAGGGGGGTCGGATAATGAGACAATCGATGCGAAAGGATTCTCCACACTCTTTTCCCCGGCATAGAGAAGCGACAACCCCTAAAGGTGGACTTGACTCGTTTGCTGCAGAGTTCTGGGGTTGGGCGTGCCCGAGGCCCGGTCTGCGCAGGGCTTGATGAATCTCTGATTGGGCATTCTATCAAAACCCGGCTACATACTTTCCAGTAACTGAAAGGTAGCTCAAGCCTCGACGTAATTTGTCTGTGTCACCGAAAAAAAGTGACCCAACGTCACAGCAGATCATCTATGGGGTGAGACATGCCGCCGCCGCAGTAACTACCGTGTCCATGTGAACAATGGGGATCCGATGGGAGACATGCAACGGTCAAACTAGCCCGGAAGGTGTACTGACGCCTCACGTCAGTTTTGACATGGTTGCGTTGGTGACAAGTTCAGCAAGTATTACACATAGAGAAGGGATGAGGCCATCGTACCCAACTACGGACACAGTACAGGAATTACAATGCGACGTGTAATTGATGCCCAATAGTGGTCATGTTGTACAAGTCTTGGCAGTAATACCAAACCGTCAAGGTGCAGCTATTTCATGTAATAAGATTATATAAGAGCATGGGAACGACTGGCCGACTGCAAGATTTGGCGGATTAGGCACGAGATCGTCGATTCCCAATAATTGCCAGTCAGTGGAACGATTTCAAAGGATAGTATCGCTTCGGGCCGTACCGGTTGGCGGCTTGGCAACATTTAAAATATATTGTAGATTTTCTGGGCCGCGAGACCCGTGGTTCTCTTATTCCCGAGGCGTTTGCTACAGCATCAACCCAGAAGCCAGCGGCAGGTATCGGGACTATGGATAATATCGACTCGATAGCTAACGTGTATTACTGTCTCCTCTGCCCTCCTGTGTCCTGGATGGATGGAACAGGAATGCATCATGATGCTTTTGGGGGGACTTGGGCACCACCGACAGCTGCTGTACATCTGCCAATGACAACACTTGACCCCTTTCTCGCGGCATCTCCACGCAACATCCGTAAGTATATGACAGGTCAACCGGAATACAGACTACATGTATGTAGACATCCTGCTGTCAGATATGCTGTGACTGCTGATGGGTCAAGCTGCCAACACTGAGCGAACGGCGAGGCGGGATATTATTGTCCCACAGCAGGCCGGATAAACACGGCTCTCGAGCTGTAACCCGTTCCCATGAGCTTCGGGTTCTGACGTTTCCCATCAATTGAATTCAGAAAATGCGGCGTCGTTTGAAACATAAAGGGCCACACCCCATCGTGCTTCGAGGGCAAGACAACTGAAACTCGACTGATCTCCATCAATCCCAACAAGCAATATTTCATCTGAACCAAACACCCAGCTTTACCAAAGCATCCTGTCAAGATGCACTTTGATTCATTCACTCTCCTCTGCGTGGCCACCGCCATCGCCGCTTCTGGCTCAGCTACGGCTATGCAATCTTGTGGGCCAACTTAAAGCTATTGTGGCTGGGTGCTCCTCAATGATTTCAATACATTTAAACCAAACAAATGATGCCATAAAGAAATTTGAAGAGTTTTCAATAGATCAGCTGCCAAGGTCAATTGACAGGTTGGAGTGCGGAAACAGTCTCCGATCCAAACGGGGTTTACTACTGCTATCGCCCCTACGAAGCCTTTCTTCTTGATCATTGCAAAGCAGGCTGTGCCGGCCCAGTTGCTCATTGTGCGTAGACTACGCGACATACCTGGGCTCTGGTTGCATCGACTGCCCATGTAGCGCGAGAAAGGAGTGTGAGCCATGGCAAAAGTCGGCCAACTCTTTCCCAGATCCCGGGCAAGCCTACATTTGACCTTGACAGTTTTTCATTCTTCCCGTTTTATATCTACCCCTGGCCCCTTCAGCCTTTGTGGGGTGCTCTTTATATGATTGGAATTCTGGTTCTCGCTGGCCAAGAATGGCACACATTGTTGGTGGTTCTTCATTTGGACTTCCTTCCGACAAGTGTCGACACATCATGATGCAAATGCGGATGAATTATGAGTAGCGTTGGCAATAATACAAAACGACATTATATTCTCGGTCTGAACAATATCATCATGTCAAATGGTGCGTATGGTAGCCCACAAGCCATTACGGTATATAATTTTATCGGATCGTCATCGAGTCGGAATTTTCTACATTAGGGTCATAATAAATATACTTGGCCTGTTCCTCGCGAATCGTGACTCTGCAACTAGATGATTTCTATTTCCCTACCCAGGAACTCTGTCAATGAGAGCTTTCTTCACCAATGGCCTCGAAGAGGCTACAAGACCAGCAAGTAACCTGTACAATATTCCATACCCTCCATTGCTGCATTTTCTCAGTACAGGGATGAGTAGAAAGTATCCAGGTCCGTTTCTACCGTCTCGCGAATACTGCGGCTCAAATCACAACCACCATCTTCTGTCCTCCTCCTCCCTGCTCGAGAGTATCATGAACTTCCTGCAGTTGGTCGAGGCGAAACTCTCGAACTGGGACTTTAATCTCCCCCTTCTCAACTGCCCGAATTAGTTCACCCCATGGCAGTGCCAAGAAGTCCTTTGGATCACCCGAGTAGCCTGTGAGGCGCCGACGTTCGGCTAGATCTGTAATGGGCGAAAAGTCATCCATTGTCCACTCCCCGCCCTGTATGCCAGTCATGCAGACCATGCCCTTGGGGCGCAGGCATTTGATACTATCCTTTAGAGTCTTTGTGCCAATTAGTTCCAGTACCTTGTCGAATTGTGCAGGAGCGTGCTTGGCAAGGTTCCCATCGTCAATAAAGACCTCGTCGGCCCCATAATCTCGCAGCATCTTCTCCCTGGCCCCGGAGCGCGTCGATCCCGCCACTCTCCCGGCACCCAGATACCGCGCAAGCTGGAGCGCAGTGAGGCCAACGGAGCTCGTGGCGCCGCGGATGAGGATGCTTTCGCCGGGCTTAAGTTCCAGCGCTTGAACAAGCGAACCGTACGCTGTTTGAAACATCTCCGGCATGGCGGCAATCGTGGCGATGGGGAGGCTAGTCTGTGGGATTCGGGAAATGTTCGCCTTCAACGGGCAGGCATATTCGGCGTAAGACCCCGGGATTTGTCGTCCCAGTCCTCCCATACAGGTTGCGATCCTGGTGCCGATGGGCAGGTCGCCGGGCTCTGCTCCGGAGCCAGAAGGATACCCAGCAACCTCACCAACAAGTTCAATGCCCAAGATACGTGGGAATTCAATACCCGGCGAGTGACCTTGGCGGGTGTACATTTCTAAAAGTCAAGACAACACCAGGTCCGTTAGGTATCATCAGGTGGGTGGGTGGGTGTTGAGGCGAGACGTACCAGCACGGTTGATTCCAAAGCCAAGAACCTTGACGAGGACTTGGCCTTCCACGGGAATGGGCAAAGGAATATGTTGCATTCTCAGCACGGACGTCGGGCCCGGCGAGTTGCAAACCACGGCTCTCATGGTTCCGGCCGCTGTTGGGGACATTTTGGTGGAAGGAGTCAGTACCTAGATGATGTACGACTGTGCGGATAGCTTTGCGTCTAAACGGTTGAGAGGCTCAACAGTGAGAGAATATCGTGGGCGAATATGTTATGAGACCATGTATGGCAGATGGAGATTCCGGGGGTAAGGGAACATTGAAGTTTAATATTATTAGGCCGGCCATCGCGCCCACAACCGCCGGCGGTGACCCCGCTCAATACTCGGAAGCATCGGAGGTTTGCTATCAATATGCCTATGCCAGTTCTTGCCTGGCATATTCGCCATCGGAGCTCCCACATGGAGATGCTAGAGTAAGCACTTTGTTGACACGTCACAGGTGTGGCGCTGCGAAAATTGCAGCACCGAAGTAACATTGAATTTACATGATATGCTACCCTATCAAGCACGATTCGACTCACTACATCGGCAGAAACAAAGCCTGTGTATCAGCCCGTCAAGTTGCAATGTCGGTCCCAATATATATTGTGGTCATATTTAATTAGACCGGCGACATGTCCTAAATAACGTTGTATTGACTCAGGGGCTCTCTAACACAATGCAGTCCTGCTGCAACTTGGTTATTGTAAACCAGGCAAAACAACGCAACTAGTTGTCATGACATATTCTTTACCTAGCATCTCCAGCCCTGTAAATGCATGCCTCGACCCACTTACCTGGAAGAGACCAAATATTGCCAATCTTGATCGATTGTATAGGTTACACCATGTCAGAATGAGTATTTAAAGGAGGAACATATTCTAACTTTCGGCCCTGCTTGTAAAACCTCTAGAGAATTACTCAACTGCCTTGTTGCAACACACTGCTTCTCCCCAGAGCTCCGTTGACGTCAGCACTCAAAGTAAAATGAGCTTGACGACTCCATACAAGGGTGGCCACTGCGCGAGCGATATGCCCTGGAACTTTCCCCAGCCCGTCGCCGTAACATACGAAATCACCGTTGGAAACCGACGAGCTTGATAATACACCCGAATCCAGTGTATAATCTGGCCCGGAGGGGGGGATCTGGCAGTGCCAGCGCAAAATCCAGTGTCTCTCGCCTGACCAATATTTACATTCCCATCAGTATATTCGCAGATAGCTAGTGACTCAATTCGGACTGAAAGATATTACTATTCTTTTTTTTCTTTAATTTTTTGAAGGGGTAAGAAAAGCTAGAAACAAGGTTCATGGAAACAAAGCTCGCAAGTCCCACACAAGTGAATCTTGTCATAGCAGGACTAGAAGATATCTTGTTTTCTCAGGGTGATTACCAAGGCGTCAGAACCGCTAGCTACAAATTGAATTGGACAACCGTTCCCTAATGGCTCGAATTTGGCGCGCACGAAACATGCCCCGAGAGCTAGGATCAAATCTCCCTGTACTCTTTCCTCGAAACGACGGCCAAGGCTGTGCGAAGTTGCTCCGCCCACTCTTCACCATCCTCAAAGCTGCCCGCAAGAATCTGGGCAATGACTCGGTCCAGGTCCCCGGCAATATCGTCCTCGGATTTGGATTCCCCAAGTCCCCTCGCCATGACGGCATATCCGCTAGTCAGTAGTTCGAGCCCGGGTGCGGATGCGGCATGATAGTTGTCAGAGGCGGCCGAGAAGCGAGCAATCGCCTCCTCAAAATCCCCCAGCACCAGGTCGAACGCGCCGACGAGCCAGGCGCCTGTACCGACCTGGACCGGACCAAGCTTCAATCTGTCAACCAAAGACGCCGAGCGCTGGGCAAGACGCTTTGCTCTGAGCAGAGTAGGCTTGTCCGGCAAGGGTCCGTCGCGTTGCCAGCCCGGCCAGGCATCGGCCGCGACATTAAAGGTGAAGCGTTGGGCAGCGGTCAACGCCTCATTCTCATCTGCAGACCCGGTCATGGTCTCGCCGATGTGGCTTTCTATATTGTCGGCAGCAGCGTTGGCCGTGGTGATGGCCGCTGCTGCATCTCCTCTGCTTCGAGCCTCTTTGACCTTGTCCACCTCGCCGTTCCAAGAGGGCGCGGGACGAGAGGGACGACTAGCTGACATGGGGTGTGATGGTGATCTCTGCCAAGTGCTGTTTTATCGCGGGCGCCTTGGGAAGAATATTTGCAGAGAGATACTAGACAAGGACGAGTTGTTGAGGAGGGGAAGGGCAGCTCGTGTTATATCCTGACAACATTCAGCTGCACATGTGCTGACTGTAGACAAGCAAAGTCAACATTACCATGTGAATTACCGTGAATGTGGATCTGAACCAATTACATGCAGCCGCCGAATGCGAGTCTTGCCACTACCACGTCTTCATCTCGGAAGCAAAGTTGGGCATTGTTGGTCTTGTTATTGCTTTCGAGACAGCCATTCCAATGGTAAGGGCCTCTCATACAAAAGCATAACCCCAGACAAAGACAAGGTAGGAGGCTCAAAGCAGGAATCTCCAATTACTAGTTCGAGGTATATTCCGCGTCTACAAGCCAACATGTGCAAGAAGCTATTTCATGGTTCTCTGACAGCAGTGGAGAAAACGAGTGTTGTGATGGTATGGAAAACTTGGTAAATTTTGCTTTCATTGTTTCAATGACCATTTGCTTGAGGTTGTGGAGTTGACTGATGCAGATAGTTGGATTGATGTGATGCGTCTTGGGCAAAGGACTTCGCAGTATTAGGTGGCTATAGACATGCCCCGTGTCAAGACATTCACCGTCACCCCGACTGAAATGCAGCGAGAAAGACGTCCTACTATATGCTTGAATTTTGTCCGCTCCTGAGGGAATCGTTGCTATATTTCCCTAGCTGCGCATGTAATGGTCGGTAATCCAGCATTATCAGCCTCAAGTCGCAGCACTAGCTTTGCGTAGCTAGAAAGAGAGTGTGCTGCGATCAAAAGGGATGACTTTATACCAGCGTGCGCATCTTCACCCGGTGGCTGATATTGCTAAATACGAGGCGAAGAGCTCTCTCGTCCAGTGGGTCGACGTCTCGCTGGATCTGTCTGGTTTTACAAGTTTACGGAGTTAAGTGGAAGCCTCCGTCAGACAACCCTCACCAACTTATATAATTTTTAGGCGTCAACCATTGGCAATCATCTAGATGTCAGTTGATGACATGTTTCAGCAGCGGTGTGCGTCAACCTACACCCATGTCCTAAATCTTCGGTGTCTTTGGTGCTGCAGGCTAGTAGGGCAGCTTTGTCACCGACTACATTCTCGGTGACGCGGGACTGTCTCGAAAATACAAGCTCCGGGCCATTACCCGCGACCAGAAATCTAGCAAATCGCGACGCCTGCAGACAGAAACATAGAGGTGGTTCGGGAAGACGTCCATGATCCTGGTTCTCTTGATACAGCCCTAGCCGGAGTCCGCGTCGTCTTCCTCGTCCCGCTGATAGACGCTGTGGGCGACACAGGCAAGTTGATGGGATCCATTCTCGCCCGCCCTGAGAAAGTCATTTACGGGGCGGAGAGGTTATATAGCCTGTGCTTGAAGAGATTGCACTGGCCATGAGCAAGGCGGCGGGGCAACAAGTCATCTATCGTCGGGTTCGGCTGCGCAAAGCGCGAGAGGAGGATTGCCCTCGTTTGAGGAATTTCTAGCCAAACCTGGTTCCAGGCTGCTCGGTATGTTTCCAAAGATCAGCTGACACTGGGGCTGCTTCTTTCATTTGAGAGAGATGGATTCCGCAAGTCCTCGGGGTGGGCGGAGATGGTGACTCGATGAAATGCGGCACCATGTAGCAGGTTACACAAACTTGCTTTGTCCTTGGTCGGGCAGAGGTTGTTAGACGAGCTTAGGCCGCGGCTTGAGGCTTTGGCCAACATGGCAATGGACACTCTGTGCCCTGCCCTCCCGCAGCCAGCATTGCCACACAGAATCTGCCAATGCTAGAACCCAAGCCTTGCGACGCATCTGGATGATTTCGTCAAAGCCAACGACATGTCATGGCCCGAGCTCAGCAAACAAGGCAGAGTAGGCATCGTATAAAGCCAGAGATGTAGACACACCCACCGAGATGGCCAGGGCACTCCCATCTAGTTTCTTGATCCCCTCATCTGCATCGTGCCCGCAAAAAAACATGTATGTGTTTTCAAGACTCGTCTTTATCACTGGCGGCAACACCGGCATCGGATTCGAGACGGTCAAGGCGCTCATCCAGTCAACAAAAGAACAATACCACATCTTTGTTGGCGGTCGCACACAGGCCAAGGCATTGGCCGCCATGGACCAGTTGAAGGGCATGCTGGCGCCGTCAAGCTCGACTGCTGAGGCCATACAGATCGACGTGACGGATGACGAGTCGATTGAGAAGGCATTCAACTATGTCAAGGATAGATTTGGATGGCTTGACATCCTGATCAACAATGCTGGTATGGCGGTATTGCTCTCTTCACTCACACTTGGCTAACGCGTGCACCGAGGCGCTCTCTTCGACACCACCTTCAGCAAAGACGCATCCAACTTCAGGGCAGTCTTCAATAAGGCGTACGACGTCAACGTTGCGGGCGCCCAAGTTGTTACTGGCCTCTTCGCCTCTTTGCTCATCAGGTCCCCCCGTGCGCGGCTCATATTTCTCAGCTCGAGCAATGCGAGTCTCGGCGGGGCGTTTGAGGATTGCGATTCAGCCAGGACAGGAGAACGGCAAGACGGCTGGCCCAAAGATGGACTCATCACGCACCAAGGATATAGGTGTTCCAAGGCGGCAGTCAACATGTGCATGTTGACTTGGTACCAGGTGTTGAAGGACGATGGCGTCAAGACGTTTGCCGTCAATCCCGGGCTGTCGGCGACGCACCTGGGCGGGAGCACCCCTCGAAAGATGAAGAAGCTGGGCGCTGTAGATGCGGCGCGGGCTGGCGACCTTGTGCGGAGCGTGGTCGAGGGCGAGAGGGATGCCGACGTTGGCAGAGTCGTGACCTGGGACGGAGCCCAAGACTGGTGATGGATGACGGTCTTGAATGACGCCACATCATGATGTATGTATTCAAGCAGGTAGTTTGAAACCAAGCCATGGCCATTCGTCGCCAGGTGCCGCTGTCCAACTTGCCCGTGACGCCTGAGGCTGGAAGGGTGAAGGTCTGGTGTGAAGAAACAAAGCATCTGGTGATGCGTCGCGCTTCGGCCAAACCATTAAGCCGGCACTGTTGACCAGAACCTGTTGAGCCTCGCTCGGCCACGCAACATGAAGCAAGCATGTCATCACTTCACCATTTGGACAACATGAGCCTCTCTTCCCTCTCCCCGACAACGTGGAACACGCTCGGTCTCGGCGTGGCATCGAGCTGGGTCGTTCTCAGCTCCCTCGCCACCTTTTCCCCTCATCGCACAGCTGCGCTCTTTGGCATCACAGCCTTGAGCGACTCCCAAACGGCAGACCACGAGAGCACCCTCGGCTTCTCGGGCCTGCTTGGGTCGCGAGACTTGGCCATCGGCCTTGCCATGTACTACCTTGCCAAGAAGGGCCGCAACGACGAGTTGGGCACCTTGATTCTCAGCACCCTGTGCATTTGCGCTGCCGACATTGGGCTCGTTTTGAGGAGGAAGTCGTATGGAGAGTACGTGCTCTTGCGTCCATTTCCTTCTTTCTGTTCCCTTCTTTTGAGACAAAAAGAAACGTCCAAATATAGTGCTAATCATTTCCAGGTTGTCTGTTCTGGCTGCTGGCACGGCCGTGTATGCTGTCATCGGGCTGGGGCTTCGCGGTTTGTTCAACTAACGCGAGCGACCCCTCTGTGAAGCTCGCTGAATACGAGTTGTGCCTCTTTTGTGTAATCACCTCTATGGGTAAATCTCACAAATTCCTCAAGGAAGACATTGAACCGTGGATGATGCCCGATGTAGTGTACTGGCTCCCTCGTAAGACCTCCCAGCTTAAGACTTCTTTCCACCTTCCCGAATTGGTCCTTTCTCGGCCTTGCCTAGCTACAGCTTCGCGTTTATGGTTTTCCGAATATCTCCCATACCGTCAGCATGGTTATTTGCCTTGTCCAAACCATGGCCTTTTCAACCCGTGCTCCACGGACTTTCCGCGGACAGGCACCGCCTGCATTGAGCCATTTAAGACTGGGAATATACATATAAATCAAGAAATACCATGATATCTGTCATGTAGCGTTCGACATACACCTCGGAACCATCAACAAAAAAAAACATTGAATCACATTCATCACTTCCACCTCTTCCATCAATATAGTTAGCAACATCTCCACGGTCTGAAATCAGTCACCATGTCTTCTACGCAGAGTCTCCAAGACATCAACAACCAGACCATGGGGACGTTAGCCAAGTCATTCCCCATTGTCACGCTCCCCAACGGCGACAAGCTGCCCACCGGCACAGTCGGGGCCTTGATAGTCAACATCAAGGCGTACGACGCCGGCGACGAGCACCAAAGAACGGCCCTTGAACCAGCCATCAAGGCTGCAATTCCAGTGCTGCGCAAGGTCGGCATGTTCGACATCTTTCCCGAAGACGATTGGATCAAAGGAGAAAGTGCAGGCAGGGCATTGGTGGGAAGGCTGGCCAAGGAGGAATGATTTAAGCGACAGGCCAGAGATTGGCGTCAATTTGCGCTGTCATTGACTGGACAGACATAGGCTACTACATGAATTACAACGGCAATATGGACTCTTGTCTTTTGCGAGATTTTAGAAACAACATGTCAATGGAAACCCAACGACTCACACGCAAAATGCCTGGCCAAGATGCCTCGCCATCAATCCGAGCACTTTCACGCTGGACATACTCTCCGTACGCATACCCAAGTCTCACAAAGCAATCAAGACCATGTTTTAAACTCGGTCCAGCTACAAAGTAGAATCTCGTCTGGCCCGAGCGCGGTCTGGTTCTTTCAGCATGCCGATTAGTCTTTCTTGTGCAACACGACAACCACCTCGACATATGATGCCGCACTTATACGCGGTTTCACGCAAAAATGAAGGCACTAGGCCAGATTCCAACCTGCTACACTGACATCCTCCCGTGACGGAGTACTCATGAACATTTCGCGACGTGGCCACGGCATCGCGTCAAAATGTCTCAGACACCACTCAACCACCACGCACCACCCAAAGCCTTTCCGCCCTCTTGGCGCCCGTCTCTGGAACGCTGTCCCAGAAGCCGAAATACCTGTCTAGGGTCGGTACAAGTGATTCTTCCAGTCCCTGGCGGCTCGTGCAAGTCCAAGTCAACCACTGCCGACGCCAGTGTAAGCTGCAGCTGCATTCCAACGCCCCCTTCCCCCCCCCAGCACTCGTTGCCCGCGACCTGCCTTTGATTTGAATGTGGCTTCGGCTACGTGCCTTGGACGGGCCCATGAATAGCTTCAAGTGTTTCAGGCAGCTGTGGCATTCAGTCAATGGGGGTGCTCCGAGGATATAAGACGATGTCCTCGCCTATCCTTATTCCTCCATCGACAACAGCAACACTCTCACCAACGCTTCATCCCATCTTGATAACAAGGTCCTGAAATTGCCATTTGACTCGGACGAGGCTCCGTTGATTCTCTTTTCCCTTTCAACCCAAAGAGTCTTTCGGTGCTTCACTTGTCGCTTTCCTCCGTATTACCCAACGCTATCCAGGCAGATATTCCACCATCCAGTACTTGTCTAAACTTACCAAAAGCACTCGGTACATATAAAAAAATGATTCACACTCTCTTGGTCACTGGTCTCATGGCCGCCGGCGCCTCCGCCCAAGCCCGATATGCCTCAGACGGTTTCAAATACGTCGGCTGCGTCCAGGCCAAGGCCTGCGACTTCCCAGTCAAAATGGATCTCGGCGACTCCTTCACCGTCGCTCAGTGCCAGCAGGCCTGTGGCAAGAACGGCTCCTACGCCGCGGCCGGTGTAAACGGCTGCTACTGCGAGGACTCCGTGTCCCGCGGCGCCCCCGAGTACGAGGTGACCGACGACTCGAGTTGCTCCAAGGCCTGCAAGTCGGGCGACGACAAGGCCGGACGCTGCGGCGGACCGAGCCCAGCCGACGGAGAGCAGCTGTACAACCTCTACCAACGGATTCCCGCGGCCCCGACCGTTCCCAATGTCACCACGACCCGTCTTGCCGATAAGCCTGCCGCTGCCGCCGGCGATGCCACGCCCGCGGCTCTCAAGACGATTGCCACACACCCCACCGAGGCTGCCAGTACGCCCAGGACCGGAGCCGACGAGCCTCACGCGGCATCCTTCAGGGAACCTACTCCGTCGGCGGCCGAGTCAAGGGGCGTGGCCTACTCGAACGACACGGCCCCTGCTCCTCCCGCGCCCGCCACTACAGCGTACCGACAAGAAGAGAGCAAGCCGTCTGCGTCTCCTCCATCCGGCCCTTGCAGGGGGCGCGAATGCCCGGAGGCAGAGGAGGTACCTTCTGAGTTTACGTCCAAATTTGCTCCGGGCACTACTGCCAACAACAGCCCCAGCAGCCCCAGCCACTCGGTCATTGTCAGCGAGGGTCCATCCCGACCTGCCAGTGTCATCACAGTAGCCCTGGGTATGGCGGCTCTTGTTCTCGCCATGGGAATGTCTTGAACGCCGGTTTCCGAGTCTGCGTCCTCAAAAAGTAGGCGCGGTGACACAGTTTTTCCCTAGTGGCGTATATTGTTTTTTCCCTGCCTGCATTTATGAAAGTTCATGACGTTCGGGATACGTGGGTTATGGCATTGGATGAGTTACCAAAGAAAAAAGGAGAGCACGTAAGACAGCGCTGGCATGTTGGTATACTAGTAGATTAAACGAGTTTTAGTGTCTTCTCTCAATTTCCAATCTTCGTTGCAATGTGACAAACCTCCATCCCATGTGACAGACCTGCAAAAAAAAATCCGTAATACAAAGCCCAAAAAAAACGCCAGTGGTCCCCCCTTCCACCCCGATGAGGTGGGCCATTTATATCGGGGGATCCGTCAACTTGACATAGCGAACACCACAGATATTCTTCTTGTGCACTTTACCCTCCTTGTCTTTGGAAATGCGCCAAACGGATTGCATCACGCCACTCGCGTCGTCGTCAATGGGGATAAACATGCTGTGGATTATCATCAGAACCGGTGCCGTCCCGTCACGGACATGGTTGAAAAAACAAAAAGACTCACCATCCCGGCGCCTTCAACTGGTCCAGCAACGCCTGGTGCAGCTCCCTTGCACTGGCACCGACGTGAATCACGTCCCAGTCTGTCCCGTGCGCCTCCTCGCCGCGTCGGACGGGCTCCTTGAGCCCGAGTCTTCCGTCGCCCACTCGAAACTTGACCTTTCCCGAGTCCAGCAGCTTCATGCCCTCGGTGCTCTTGCGCATATTCTCCTCGCCAATCTGGCGCAGCGCGGGGATGTGCTCCAGCCCGACGACAAGACCCTTTTCACCAACGAGTTCGGCGAGGAGATGCGTCAGGTAGCCCGATCCGGAGCCGATATCAAGGACCCGGGGCGCCGGGGAGGCCGCAGAGGGCGTGAGGTAGTGGAGCAGGTTCTCGATGGCCATGGCATGCATGTGTGGTGCGGAAATGGTCGCTTCATGGCCGATGTACTGCGGCGAGTCTTCGTAGGGGGAGTGGGGGGCGTAGTGAGCTCTGTCGACCTGGTTCCCAGATGAACAAGAAGAGATGAGTATATGCACTCGGTATGATTTGGGTTCGAGAGGGCATGTACGCGGTCAAGATAGTACCTTGAGGAAAGCTTCCTTGGCGCGCGGGTCTGTAATCAGGCCCGATCGCCACAGATTCTCGATGAGCTGTTCGTTTGAACCCCCGGAGCACCGCCACGCCATGCTGTAGTTTTGGCGGATAAAGGGGATCGATGCAAGTGGTTGCAGAAAGCTGGCAAAGAGCATGCAGGCCCGAGGGTGACTTCGAGTAGCTCGTATCGAGTTGGCCAGGCTGCGTGATGTCGTTTGCGGAGCTGTTAGTCTGGTTCGGCACGATGTTATGAGCAAAGGAATCCTTCACAATCGACTATCTTGAATTTCAAGGCCGGGTCTTTGTTACGATCAAAGGTTATTTTCAAGGATTCTTGGAATACCGGAGGGCGAAAATGATTTATTGCAAGGTGTGTAGCTGGGATATCCAGGTGGCAAACTGAAGCTTAACCGTTATTTGTATGAGAGCTGGTGCGGGGCCGCCCACGCTTGACTTCTGGAAGCTTGATCCGAGAAGTCGATGGCTCCACCTTAAATGAATACTCGACGACTGCCCCGCAGAATTAGACCATGTCAGGTCTACGTCTTAACACACCATCATGTTCCAGCCATAGTGTACTTTTGCCCTTGTAGGTGTCAATGACCATGGCAGTGAGCTGTGTACCTCAAGATATTATCATTGCCAAGACGTAAACAGCCGTCCATCGCCGTTTTGGCTTGCAGGTCAAGCGAACGTACCATCAACAAACCGCATGTCGACATAAGAGGCTGTGCATTACAATAAGGGAAGTCTATGCCAAGCGGCATTTGCTATTTTTTGCTATTTCAACGAGAAGAAAGTGCGAAGTTCGTGCCTCGCCTAGTATTGGTTCAACATGAGCCCAGTGCAATCCCATCCAAAAGGGAAAAAAAAACGAGCGCAGAATAGCAGCAACGCCGAAAAGAAATGCCAAATGCTTATCCAGGTCCGCGAATCCCGTCTCTCGGAGTATACTTGGGGAATCCAATCGCCGTTGTATACACGACTGAAAGGGATGAAACGTCAGGGTGGTTAAACACTCGACCGCTAAACCACTCGTTCGGGGCTCTCTCCCTCAGCAACAATCGGCACAGCCAGTCCTCGATCAGGGCTCTGTAGCACTAGTTGCTCATGTCTTCGAGCCTTCAGGAATTCAGCCACACTCTTGATAAGGATAAACCATCCTACCACCATCAGCACATATCCCATCCACTCGCTTCCAGTAATCGTCGTCGAACCGCCATCTGTGACATCGCCTGCGTTAAAGTCATGTGAGTTTGGATCCGGCGGAGCGGCATAGCCGTCAGGGCCACTCATCACTGGGGCATCGCCGCTTCCAGAGTCCTTCATGTAGAAACCATATTGTATCAGTGTGATTCCTAGACCGGCACGCGATCCGTTTTTGGCGGCATGTGTTGAGTGGAGTAGGTATGTGAGCAGAAAGCCAACGAGCTGGAAAGAGGTCGATATCATGCCGTTCCATATGAAGGAAAACACTGAGCCAACAGGCATTCCGTCAACATAGACTTCATCCAGGCCGCCCAGGCCAGGTGCCAGAATAGTTGTTTCCCAGTATGGCGGCGCAGCGTCGGCGGCGGCTTGCTCATATGACTATGGCGTAAAAAATTAGCAAAGGTGCAAACACGTCATATGCTGGCAAGAGTCTTACCGGCGGCTGTTCATCCTTCTCAGAGTCTGATCTCTCAGGACGTGCCGACATGTTTGCGAAAACACCGTCTGTGCCTACACCGCCCCCAACGACTCGTGGTCGTGAACCCGATGACGAATTTGGTTGTGCTAGCGTCGGCTGGGGAGATGACGGCTCATGATCGACGGGCGGCAAATTGGTGGTAGAAGGCGTGGTATTATGTCTCACGAGACGTTGTCTATCGTCGGCTTCATCGTCACTAGCATCCTCATCGTCAAACGCATCTTCCAGGTCCGGGTCAACACGATTTCGTCGAGTCAGAGAAGAGGCTCGTGAGTGGAATGATGGCGGCGGCGAGCTGGGGACCGGGTGTAAAGGTTTTGGTTCGTACGACGATTGGAGGTCGTCGTCATCGTGTTCATTAACCTATCGTGGGCAATTAGTAATGCAGCGCTCGCCGGATATAGAGCGCCAGGAAACTAGGACCAAATGGCAGAAAAATCACTAACCCGTTCGTATCTTCCGGGACCAGGCATCGTGACTGATGCCGCGATGACAGCGACGACTGAGGGTTGAAAGGGAAGAGTTGCTGATCGGTTGTCAGGGATCGCTGCCACGCACGTAATCAAACGAGGGGAGGCGGAGCACGAGTCAGGGATAACGCCTTCTTGTGTGATGCAAGAGCAGAGGGGGCCGACAAATTCGAGATACGGCGCACGAGTAGGGAAAAAAGTGAAAAGAAATCGTACAAAGGTATTCGAAGGAACGAACTAGCAGTGGATTAAATGGGATAAATGACGGGTACCCGGCTCTGAGCGTTGAAGAAACGGACTGACGAAGGACTTGAGAGCGGACTTTGGGAGGCAGCACTGAGATTGCCAGCTAACCAGACCCGACCTCGATCAATGCATCTAAAGCAGACATGGACCTCAGCGCTGGTGGCAGCAAGTGGAAACCCCTAGAACGCCCGCTACGGCCACTAAAATCAAGATGCGAATGACCGCATCATCTAATGGAGCGACCTGAGATTGGCACTGTATAGATGGCCGAAAGCATCTAATGCCAGACAGTGTGAACCTTGAGCCACATACATTATGTGGGCCCCGCATCTGTCCCTTGAGCACGAGAGTGGAGATCCGATCCACCCGACCGACCTCACGCTTGACATTTTATCTCAATTATGTAAGTCATCATCGGTTGGCCCAGGACAGAATCGTTTCGCCATAGAAACAGCATCACCAGCACCTCACCAGTGCCAGTACCAGTACCTCACCACCAGCGGACAGCCATGTCGCGCTCAATAGCGGTAAGCTCCACGCTGCCCTCCTCTGTCTCCCTCCAATTGCGATGCCCAAGCTCAATCTTCTAACACTAACCACCACCACCTCAGCGCCGCATCTACGCCGACGCCTTTGCAAAATGGCCCAAGCAAGACCTTCGGCCCGACTACCAACTCCAAGACGTCCTCAAAGCCGCCGTCGAAGAGCGCTACAAGAACTATAATCCCGCCATGGAGGCAGAGGAGACATTGAAGGCGAGAGCTCTGCAATTCCTTGTACAGGACAAGTTTAACAACAGGGTACGTTAGTCCGCCACTCGCCGACAAACGAGACTACGTAACCATACATCTGGATACACTTTCCTTGCATGCATCAATTGGTACTGATGTTACGATGCAGTATAAACTCAAAGGGCCAATGCTGGAACCAAAGAGCCAGCCGACCTATTTCCAAGATTTAGTACGAGAGATTGAGGAGGCGCCGAGGAGGACGTGGCTAGAACGATTGGGCAAACGACTATCCGGAATGATTCGACTTCAATAATGGCGTTTCAAGCCGATTTTTACATTGCTTCACTCCGCTTCGATAGATGTAATGTGTCGGAGAATGCACGAATGGGCTCCCTGGATATCCCATGACTGCTTGAAATAGAGGGAACAGGGGAACAGGATACCCCATCCATGCCACGAGACTAGCTGTACGATATGTGTACGAGATAGCAAAACGTGAAAAGATAAAATGATATTTGCATCGTATATTATCCCAATGGTCTATATGGCTCTTTTCAAAGTCTACCACTGCATCGCGAAATGTTCACACTCGGCTACAAAACGCCCAAACCCCGGCCCCAAAGCCACCAGAAGCTCAGCTCAGATATACTTCATTTCCGGATCCAGCCTGTCGAACAGCTCCATACTCTTCTCGTACATGGTAAACACAATGCCGCCACTCAAGACCAACCTCGCCAGCCGAGGCAAGGCACCGCTCCAAAAGGTCAACACGCCCTCCTGCTTGAAGATCATGGTCGCACAGCGGAACGTGTTTCCATACTGCTGGCGAGCCTCGATGCTCTGCATCCGCGTCTTGATGGTGTCCAGGGGCTGCGTGACAAACACCGTCACCAGCCCGGCGAGCCCGCCCATGGCAAAGGTGCCCACGGCGCCGAGCTTCTCCCCAGGCGCCGTGTACGACTCGGCCATTTGCTTGAGAAAGGTGTACGAGCCGAAGCGGGTGGCGCTGTTGGCCGCCTGGCGCGCCGTCGTCGGCACGAAGCCCTGGAAGAAGCCGCGGATGCCGCGTTCGCGCGCAATGATGGGCACGGCATGCAGGAACCCGCGCATCCGGGGTTTGGGGGACTTTTTGTCGTCGATGCTGCGAGGCAACAAGGGCGGTGTATGTCAGCGGGTAGATTCGGCAAAGGGGACTGCACGCGGAGCAAATACGTACAGGGTCGTCTTGATGCTCTCCGTCGGCGTCACGGCCAGCAGTGATTCTGTGACACCAGCTCCAAAGCCGGCGAGGACGGTTCGCGGGCCAGACAGCTTTCCATCAGCGTCGGCAAGCATCCTCTTGTACTGGTCGAATGCGACGAAGCCTACAAATCGCACGGCGGGCTATTAGCACCGGGCAGCACCGCGACGGACGGGGGAGACTTTGGCCAACGTACGGATGCCAGCCTTGGCCGAGTTGCCAATGATGAGCGTGGTGCATCCTGCGTACCATTGCTTTCCAAACGGCGGCCAGGGCAATTTCTGGCCCTCGGCCAACCGCCTATTCAGCTGCGATCTGGTCTTGGCGACTGCGCAGGTTAGTATCGTCGCTATTCGACACGCCGAACCGGGTTCGAGGGCCTACGACATACATTCCGCAGGATATGTAATGGCTAAAACCAGAGTATTAGTACGGCATTGGTGACCAGAATGTAGTCCGGGGGGATTGGGCAGCATACCAATCTCGATGGCCCCAGCAGTCGAGCCCGCCAGAATTGACCGCAGAGCGCTGGGCCTCTTCTTCTTGTCCGGGTTCGCGGGATCCTGCGGTTGCGACGCCATGGTGCCTGCTGGTGGTGGTGAGCAGGACAAAGTTGGTCGTTGGCCCAAGATGACTGATGGACAGGCGACGGCAATACAATCACGGACGACGGCCGAAAGGTGGCCGATGGCGGGCCGGTCATTTTTTTTGAAATTGCAAGTGCCATCACACGTGCTGCCGGCCGGTGCCGCTGGGGCACCTGGGTACTTAGGTACCTAATGTTAGGTGCTAAGTGGTCGGTGGTGGTGAACTCAGCGCTAACCGCTTGGGCCTGGCTGCAACTGCGCATGTCTGGTGGCTGCAACATTCAGTAGTGGCTCAGGAACAGCACGACATCCGGACTCAGACATCTGCAGTGCCGCGCAGGGCCATAGCTGAATGCATGCATCACTTACGTGGCACATGAATGCACATGGCCGCACGGGCAGATTCGCAGGGATTCAATCATCATATCTCACCAGACTCTTGCATGACCAGACAGGCAGGCACTGTGCACGGAGTATAAGAGCCAGGGACCAGACTCCAGTCCTGCCTGCTGGCATCACAGCCAATGTCACTCCGCTTCACACCTGCACACGAGTAAAACTGTGTATTCCATGTGCAAAATTCAAACCAGTTCCAAGTCGTCATCATAAAATGCCCTCTCTATGCTCTTATTATTCGCAGGGTATCCGGATCTCGGCTGCGACAACCCCATCACGCATACTAATCCCAGTCTAATCTCAGTTTACCCGGGCAAATTTCCAATAAATATATCATGCTTGCAAGTATAAAGGTATGTCCAGTACTCCGTATCTATCATGCATTCTCCTCATCTGTCTCGAGCGCATCCTCTTGCACCTGCCGCTCCGAAAGCTTGGGGTTTCTCAGTGCCAGGGCAAACGCAATCATTGGTATGCACAGACACAATCCCGCCGTGCACAGCAGCAGCTGTACCGACTTGTAGCTTTCGATAATGGCGCTTCGAATTTCCGTGCCAACGGGGTACTGTGCCACTATGGGAAATGGTGATTTATAAATGTCCCGAGCAAGCGTCTCGTTTGGTTGAAAGGCCAGGTTCTGTTTCAGCGTGGGATACAGGGCTTGGCTCCAGATAGCGCCAGCTAAACAGGTGCCAAAGGCGCTGCCGACGTTATAAAACGACAGGTACAAGCCGGTCAGGATCGCAACGTGGTCGCGAGTCGCCGACGCCTGGATAGACGCCTGTGTTGGGTACGCAAAGAGGCCGCTGGCAAGTCCCATGAGGACCTGCCCGCTAATGATGCCGGCGTGCGAGCGAGCCGTCGCGCCCCCGGGAAAGTTGTAAAGCACGACAAAGGCAACGGTGAACAGAATCGTGCCTCCGACAATGATGGCTTTCAGTCGTCGAACTCTGTAGACCACGAGGCCTACGATGACGCCGCTTATAACGCCAAAGAAGGAATAAAAAGACAGAATGCGGGTCGCCGTGCCGATGGAAAAGTCGAACGCCACGATGAGGACCGTGTACAAGTAGTTGCCCTGGACATACCAGGCAAAGTTCAGCAAGCTTCGAACAGCGAGGGCAGACCAGACACCGCGATCGGTCAAAAGGTGGAAAGGCACAAGGGGCGTCTTGGCACCGCGGCGTTCCCAAATGATGAATATCGGCACAAGGACGAAGCCGATGCCGAGCGACAAAATGACATAGGGGTTCCTCCAGTGCTCAGTCGTCGTTCCAATAATGGAGACGGGTGCGAGTATAAAGCTGAATCCTCCAACCATGGTGACGAGTCCAACGACGTCGAGCTGGTCCGCCAGCCCCTTTGTCGATTTTCCGAGCCCCAAAAAGTTCCATCTGTCGCGGAAGTTCTTGGGCGCACCGTGCTTCGGCAGCGAGACTCGGCGGTCAATCTTGTACAAGGTGGTAATCAGGGGCAAGGAGCAAATGGGATAGATGATGCACCACATGCCAATACCCCAGCGCCAAGTGGTCACGGCCAAGACGGCAGACGTCACGTTGCCGCTAATCCAGGTGTTGACGACAAAGGGCAAGGCAGGTATGTAGCTGAAAAACACGCGGGCTCGCATAGATGAGAAGTCGGCAACGAGAACCTCGAGCAGCAGCACGATGCAAGTGTATCCGACCTGATAGATGATGGCGCCGACGCAAAAGGCATACACGGATGAGGCGGTGGACTCAATGGCCATGCCGACAACGTAGCAGAGGGTGGACGCCACTACGATTTCAAAACGGCCAAATATGTCTGCGATTTTGGCCGCTGTCGGCTGGACGGCCACGGCGATGACGCTTCGGAGCACATTGATGGTGGACAGATACGAGTGTAGGGAGAAGGAAGAGGTAGCGTACGGCTGGTAGGTTGAACGGACTTGGCTCTCGAGACCATAGGCATACCCGACGAGGAATATCCCAAAGAAAAGCCATGCTCGCTCTGCAGTCGTAAGTTGCGATGCCACTATTTCCATTCGTGCCACGCCAGGGGCTCGGCTTCGGACACGGCCGGCGTCAGGCTGGGATGGCAGAAGGGATGTCTGTTCGTGAACATGTTGGGAGCTCTGGGAGATGCGGCCGAACAGCGGTGTTTGAGACGTTGAGCGCGGCATTTTGTCTTAGTCGGATATCGGCAACGGGCCGCAGTCACGGCCTTGCCTTGCACGATGGAGGATGGATGGTTCACAGGTCCGAGGAAATGGCGCAGGGTGTTTGCAACTCATGGCTGGAGGAGGGAAATCAAGCAGGAAGCAAAGAAATCAAAAAAGAAGGACACGAGATGTCCGGTAGTCATCAGGAGAAGGGGCAGGGGGTGAGCAACAGACAATGTGACCAGTGTGTGGCCGACGTGAGCGAGGCAAGCGAGCGCGGGCAAAGTGACTTGCAGTGGCAGCGACTTGGCTGGGCATCAGCAAGGCACATGTACACATGTGCACCTGGCATGGGCAGCTGGACAGCTGGTGGGAGCATGCAGTCGGCTGATCAGATAAGATCAGTGATCGGCTCAGGCGGCTGAACGTGATTGACGGCGGTGGTAATTTTAGGCCTCCGGGGGGGCGCTGCTAGGGGGGGCCTGGCGCCGCTGGGGCCTGCGCCCGCTATAAATCCCAGTGCCCAACGGGCCGTCCCAGGCAGCCACCCCACTGTAACCACGTCATCCGACAGTCACGTTGTCACTGCTAGTCTTTTGCATGCAAATGCTGGGTTTGGACCGAGGCCAAGTACGCACGCAGCTTTGTACCTGAGTTTCACCTTTTGATGTCTTTGTTGTTCTTTTCCTCGTTCCTTTTGCAAGCGCCAGTGCCGTTCCGTCTTGTGCCGTCACACGGAGAAACATGGTCATCATGTCTCTTCCACTTTCATGCTGTTGCACAACCTCAACCCAGTGCCATTCATCCCCCAGGACTTGGGAGGCGCCCGTTTTGGAATGTGGAGCCGAACTCGGCATCCTTGGCCTCATCCTCTGAACAAGGGCCCCCGTGGACCGTCTCAGCTGAGGTGCTCCGTAATAAATGGCATTGTATCTGCGTGTACTCCGTATGTTGTGTATGTCCTCCTTGCCTCGGCGGTCCACGTCGCGCGAAATAGTCCGAGATACTCCGGAGTGACAAACCTTCTTGTCCGCTCGTACGCTTACCAACCAGCCAGCCAACCAACCGTCGGAATACGACGTCCAGGAGCGGCAAACCGAGAAACCCTGCACACAGCTGAACCATCGTCGGTGACCCCAGCGGCTAGGAGCTTGTATCACGGGGTACTGTTTTGCCATGTTTTTGTGCAAGACATGAGGTGCATGCAGCAGGACAGCTGCCTGATCTGGGTACATGTACGTACTACCTGGGCTGCGTCGGCTGCGTGTGACTGACTGACTCTTGCCAGGTCCGTCCTTCAAGACCTGACTGCGAGCCATGCAGGTAATTAAATACTACTCGGTTGTCGTCCGGCGGTCCGTCCGGATGGGCTGCGAGGCTGGAGAAATGAAGCTGCGGCTGAGGTGGTCAGCCCCCAAAATTGACTTTTTTTCTTTTTGCCCAACATTAGGCAGTCTCTTGCTATCCTAGAAGAACGTCTATTCTATGTACTCCTTCCACCACAACAACGCGCCGTGCCAGCCTGTCCAAATGTACAAATCTTACACCAGCGACGCAAAGGGGTCGTCAGCCGAGTCCGTGTTGCGGATATACTCGGATCTTCGAGCAATATCGCCCGCCACGTCGGGCCCATATATCTCACTGACAAAGGCGTACATCATGTCGATTCCCGCAGAGATGCCCGACGAGGTCCAGATATTACCATCCGTGACCCATCTGGCCTTGGCAACCCAGTCGACCTTGTCATCGAGGCTCACAACCTAGGGTGCCATTCCGTGTCAGCGTCATCAGCGTACATACATACACTTGCGTCCGAGACAAGAAGGAAACCATACCCATTTGTACGCAAGCTTATTCGTAGTCGCCTTCTTCCCCTCCAGCAGGCCCGCCCTCGCCGCCAGCGAGCTCCCCGTACACACGGTCAACAGATACCTGAGCTTGGGGTACGTGGCCCGCAGAAAGGCAACCAGCGGCTCTGTCGACTCGAGCTGTCGCGTTCCTCCGCCGCCGGGGACGAGGAGCACCTCGAGGTCCTCGGGCGCGTTGTCCAGCGAGTGCGTAGGGACGACGGACTGGCCGACGGTAGGGCTCGTGGGCTTGACTTTGGTCGACACGGGCTCCAGGGTGGCTGCTATGATGGAGAAGTGGACGGGCGCCGTTTGCGACAGCATGTTGAGGATGTCGATGGGCCCGAAGGCGTCCAGCGCTTGGAACCCGGGGAACAGGAGGATGCCATACTTGACGGGAGGGCTGTCGGCCACCGGCGACATGTTTGCAGCTGGACCTGAGTTGATTGAAGTCGAGGTTGAGGGAATTGATTCAGAGCAGACGGGACGCAGCTAACATGGCGTTTCTCTTCAATGTTGCAAAAGCCCCACCGCATTGACAGGGCCCAGGAACAGGAGTGTATCATCATGATTCATGTCATGTCGAGTTATTTTTGCGATTTTACTATTATTATTGTTGTTGATTTATCTATCAAATTCTGCACTGAAAAGGATCCAGTGTCTAAAAATAAGTCATCAAGATCAAGCGTGTGACTGCGTGTCATGTTGCAACCTACCGTGTGGTGTGGTGTTGGATCCGCAACGTTTCGAGAAGAACGAGATGTGGAATAGCGCACCTCCTCGGCATCCACCACGGCAGCGGCCATGGTGTAACGGTTAGCATGGCTGATTTCCATTCAGCCGATTCGGGTTCGACTCCCGATGGCCGCACACGTTCTCTTTTTGCTGCTGTCAGTGCCCGCTTCTTTTTTCCATCCGTCGACAAACCACCAAACACAACGTCTACCCCACAAAATAAAAAGCAGAGAGCCCACATACAACGGCGCCATCAGAAACAAAACATGTAGCGCAGACCTGGCACCATGAGTCGACGATCCCACGTCTCGTCCTGCCCAGCACCGGCTTCAACTGCCGTCTTTGCCCAAACAGCCTGCAGGGCAGAGACGGCATCCAACGGCCCCAGAGCACCAAGGTAGTAGCACAGTCTTTGCAACGACGCGCATATAAACGTCTGCTCATGCGACGTTGCGACTTTTGGATCAAGTTCCATGCCCGCCACCCAAATCGGCCAAAACGAAAACTTGCCCACCCATGCCGGACCACTGCTCTTCTCCATGGCCCAGAGGCGGTGCAAGGCTTGCAAAAGTCCGTGTAGCGCAGACTGGTGTAGGTTTTCGACATCAAGAGGAACCTGTTGTTTTGATTGAAGCGGAGCAGCGACGAGGGACGCAAGCGAGTCCGGCACGGATTTGCCACGGTCCATGTAAAGCGTTCGAACGCAATATAGCATGACGGCGTATTGGAAGGCTCGGGCTAGATCCTCCGTCATGGCTTGAATCGTGGCGCGCGGCACCGCAATTGCTCCATTTTGACGAGCATCTCGAATCTCGGGGGACCAAGATGGCGGAGAGGAGGAGCCGAGCTCGAGTAACCGAGACTGAGCCCAGGCTGCGGCATCAAATGACGCGATGCGGTGGAATATTTGCGAACATGCCGTATCCAAATCAGAGCCTTGTCCCTCGACCCCCTGACCAAGAGTGCGTATCTGGTTGATTCGTATGATGCATTCGAGGAGTCGGTTCGCGCAGGGAAAGTCGGAATTTGCGCCGTCCCTGCAAATCGTGTCCAGAAACGGCACGTACTCGAGCTGAGCGAGTGTGTCGCGGGAATTCAGCATGTTGCTGGGTGTGAATATGGCACCAAGGACGTCCACGCTGACCATGCTGTCAACCTCGTGCTCCTTGAAGGGCAGACATGGCTCGGAGAGTGAACCTACAAGACAAACGTTGCCAAGCCCTCGCCGATGTTTGCGTTATTCTCCGGCAGAAATGTTTGGAAACCGCCGCGCTGGGCGATGATGGCTCTTGCGGCATCAAGATGGGCCGGCCAAGCCCCAAAGGCGGATTGCTGGATCTATTCGCACCGTCAGTTCAGCATGCAGCCGTGGCCGCTTCTGAATGGGCACCACGAACCTCTACCCTCACCAGGGTAATGATGGCCGCGAGTACGACATCACTATATCGGAGCTCTTGATCCTTCAGGTCCTCACCGAGCTGCCGCAGCGTGCGAAGGTGATGCTTGAATATGATGCCAACGGACGGGTTTTGAAACGACGATATGCGGTGTTTCGTGACATGGACGAGCTGGCTACGGACGTTGCTCGACGTCTGTGGAAAACTGTCCTGCGTCGCGTGGCACCGTATGACCTGGTGCGTGAGACAGCACGAGATGACCATGTCTATGATGACGTCTGGGAAATACCGCCAGTACTCCAGCTCTACTCTATGAGGGTTGACCTCGTTGTCGAAGAGAACCATGTCTGAAACAATGTACTTGTTCACTAGTTGCGAAAAAAAAAGGCACGTCAGTCTCGCTCTTGTGAAAGGGTCATGATGCGAGGGCAAAGCGCGTGGCATACTATAATCCAGCATGGAAAGGGCCAGCATGTTGTTGTGATATCCTGCAGGTACCAACTCGGACGATACGGCCTGCTTCTTGGCCAGTGCTCTCCTGCCATCCTGGGAGTCTGCGTGGTTCACAAACACCCATTCCGGTTCATGGCGTGCTTGAGGCTCCGACTGTGCCGGGGACTCTCTTGTATTCTTGGGCATCAGCACCAATCTTGGCCTCCCCTTCTTTTTCCCCGTCGCCGCCATCGACTCTGGTTCTTTTGTGCTCTCATCTGTCGACTTTCCCACCTGCGCAGGCGATTTGGGCTGCACCCAGAGAATTGCCCGTGGCCCGTAGCCCAGACATTCCACGCCTCGTGCCAGACACTTGTTGCAGCTGGGCCTGGTGGCATCGCAGCGAAGCCGCTGACGCCGGCACGTGTGACAAGGGCCGCCTCTACTGCCGCTGGAAGTCTCGGCCGGGCTGCTTGTATGAACTTGCCAAGAGGCGGTCCGTTGATCCGGCGGCGGCATTGTGGTGTTGCAGGATTTGTCGAGTTCGCAGCTATGCTTGCCTGGCAGAGTTCAGGCACTGGTAGCAACTCAGGCCAATGAATACTTCAGATAGATCCATCTGTCCGGTCACTCGGAACCATTTGCACTGTCGGCCGGTCGGAGATGACATGGGGTTACATTTCAGCCCTCTCAACAGAGGCTGTGTTGGTGAGCGCCCGGAAACGCCTTACCGGGCGTCCAGCCAAAACCCTGCACCGCTTAGAGGCCTGTCATTGTGGTTGTTGGATGGTAAATGGTGGGCTGTGGCGGTGGGCGCTCACATGCTGACGGTTGAATTTGGCCGTATTATGAACTCTACATGAAGACTATACCAGCGTCAATCCCTATTCTTGTCGACAGTCTAGGTGTGGATGCCCATCCAAGATCCAGGTTGGTCCAATCACCTCTCTTTATATATTTATCTAAAAGGCCATACTGTTCTACAATAGAAAAACGTGAACAAATTGAGTGTATAACAAGGCGCTCTGAGGTGCAATAGAAAGTGAGGAACCAAATTGACGTCAGTCTCTTGTGAGTGAATAAGCAAGTGGCGAGGAACACTGGAGCTAAAACTGGGTTTTTACTCTTTATTGCCTATTAGCCACATGGTCGGCAAGTTGAACTCGAGCATCTCTGTCGTTTTAGGCATCAAGGATATGTCCGGCCTGCATGTACACTCATTCACATGGCTTTAATCGCAACACCAAATCACCAATAATTCTTGAAAGAGGGAAAAGGGTGGCGGTATATTTCTCCTACGCTACTTCTTGTCCCATCATGCAATAGCCGGCCGAGCTTAAACTCCTGGAGGAGAACTCCATACAACGACTATAGCGTTTCCTTGTAGGTCGGAAAATCACCAAGACCTCGCAATGCAAGACAGCCCGAAAGGTTTAACCCTTGATTGCAACTTTAAAGTCTTTTGCAATGTTCCAATAGTCTTGATTATCTGCTTCTCGCCTCTTCTCCTATAGTTTGCTGTATTAGCTTCATTACTCGCAACTTAGTCAGCTTTCTAGATTACTTACTTGCTCATCCAGTCTACCTGGTGCCTCATCAGCTTTCTGTGCTGCTATATTAATGAGCTCCGCCAATTGGTCCACCACGACTTTCGCCGTCTTGATCAATTCCACTTGTTTAGTCGACCGATCCTTCCATTGTTTATGTCTTTTGGCTTGGTCATCCACGCTTGTGCCTATACGCTCCTCCACATCCGCGTTTTTCTCGTTGAGGGCTTTGAGGGCCGCATTGAGCTTGTCAACGTTTTGACGGGGGTCCAGAGCAGGAGCGGCTATAGCCAGCCCAGAAAATACAGCAAGAAGAACACTTGAAGCTTTCATATTGATAAATGGAGTTAACGAGTGTGGAATAAGGAGTAATCCTTGGGATGTATGTAATAATGGGTGATGACTATTAGATTGCGAATTAGCACCTTGGAAAGTTTGAGACGGGGTGTGCAGCGGACATATATATAGATGTATGCATCGGTCTTCTTCTACACAAACGTGATCAATGTAAGTAGCGTAGTGTGTACATGATGTGCTCTTGTTTCTCATGTCACCAAAACAGCAGCCTGACTCGTGGAAACTCTGGCGGCCGTGCATGACGACAACCTCCGGCGGGTCGAATTGCACACTATATTAACCGCACACGATAATGAAGGACATAGCCCAAGGGTCCTGACCGGCATTCCCCTCGAAAATCTGCATGCCAAGGAGTCGCAATGGTCGGTATTCTACGGCAGATGGTTGTGACATGACTCACGCATGGTAGCATGCTACAACCCCAGCTTACCACCAAACAGACACACTCTATAGTCGTTATGCCAGGCCCTCGTGACGCGATATTATCATCCCTCTGCGTAATTAAATGGATTACGACCGCAGTCAAAGTAACACCCGAAACAACTCCCGGATGCGGGAACGTCGGAGTTTGCGTCAAGTATGCTTAAGTGGTGTCACCACTCAGAGCACCAATTTCCATAGAGGGAGCTCAAGGATATTGAAATAGATGCTCACCAGCTCAGAGGTTTGCTCGGAACTGATTCCATTGCATTTCCACAGTTTGTTTTCCTATCTTGCAAGGGTTCGATGCCAGAGCGTCATGTGGCTTGCTTGACATGAAGCCAATATTTGCCGACCTGAAAATGCAGCCCAGAACAGATGTCCTTATCTTATTTAATACCGGGCATCCCCGCGGCTCTGGCATTTTAGTGACTGGTGTTTGGGTGACTCTCGTGGGCAACGTAGCACTCGAGGGCTCAGGCCTTCTCAACCCTTCACCCCTGCAAAACTCAAACCAACAAACGGTTTTTTTTTCTATTGCCGCTTGGGCACCGTTGCCACGTGGGATGAAGTAATATGTCTTAGCGGCAGCGCCATGATCACATCATCATCGCCTGAGTCTGGGCACTTAGCTTGAGGCCGCGGCAGCTAGGATTATGCTTCTTGGGGTTCAATTTAAGCCGCCCTGCGTACAAGCCTGACCTATAGCAACACGTGCACGTTTAGGTGGATGAAATAGATGAATAGTAAAGAAGAAACTTTACGAAGTATTGGCCAGGTTGAGAAAGATTTGAATAACACTGTTGGGCATGACGTAAGATCAGAGGAGCTTGCCATTTTCGCCCCCTTTTGATGCACTACGCAAGGAGACTGTTGCAATAGCGAGATATCTACTCGCCCATGAGCACCATCGTAATGATAGTAGAATTTTATCAATATATACTACATAAACGCATGCGCAGCTTGTAGCCATGCAGTCAGAAGCTTGTTTACTAACAAACTTGTTTTTAGGAGAAATAAGAAACATCAACTATGTTATCGCCCAGAAGGCGGGGAAATAACCTTGTCAGGAATTTGGGAGATGGCCAATCGTTTCTTGTCTGGGACTGTAATTGGAAAAATCCTCCACTGGTCCAGTTGGACGATGAGATGAAGCACGAGTAGCCACCGGCACTGTTGTGAATGTGATTTTATGCCAATTGAGGCTATTATATCCACGATGCCAGGTAGTTCCCGGTGCTTGTCAGCGAAAGTAAACATTCCATATACATAGCTTTTGTCCTCATAATCCGCTGTATGCGCTCATGCAGGCGCATTACATTCTCCGGGTTGTGTTGGCTCGTTTCCGGCAGTTCGGCTGCCAGGGGGATTCCAGTGGTAGCTGATAAACTCTCATTATTTGTACTACATATGTAGTCACTTGACATCTGCAGCGAGCTGCATTACTGGGTTTTTCTCGGCAGCCTTGCTATTTTGTAACAAGACTTGTCAAGCAGCTTGCGAAGATCAGGCCACAAGGTGGCGTAATAATATTGACGGCCGACTCTGATGAAGAGCTGTGTGATAGAAATAACTAGTGACTTTAGCCGTGAATCGGGATACAAATAACCCAAACATGGTAGAAAGCTAGGATTGATACGGATTGTCACGGCTAAAGAGACACATCTACTCTTGTAAATATCACAGACACAGGGGCTATGGAGGGCCTTATACCGAGTTCATATAGCCGAGAAAACGGTGACATGTTCATCAATCTTGCTTCCATACTCCTCTTTTGGCCGCTTTGGCAAGAGTGATAGAGGCAGTCTACGCAGTAAGAATGCAGCCTCCTGCCTGGTGACATTGCGCAACATCGAGCCTGATATGTATTGGCACCTGAGGGTAGCGTACAGCTACCTTAAGATGCTGCCACTCAGCGAAGTCGAGTGTGATTACCTAAAGAAAACCCAAGAATGTCACCTATTTATTTCAGCCGCAAATGTCTTGGAATTCAGCGCGTGGTCTCCGCATCATCTTGATTAGCGACCTCATCGCGGTCAATCGTCGGCCTTGTCAACATTGTTTGTTGGAACATGTCTTCAAAATCCTCTGCCCGAGGCCTCTTTAAGGAGTTCGGGAGAAAGGAAGAGGAGGGGATCGGGGCGCAGAATAACGGAAAAACACCACAAAACCCTGCCGACACGCCCATGGTATCGCAGCTCGAACGTAAAGCGGAAACTTGGATGACTAGCGACCCGTCCCATCTTCGGAATCCGAACGACGGCCATCCTATTGAGCCTCAAGCAAGCGAGCAGGCCAAGCCGACTGTCCAGTATACACGCTCTGCATTACCCACGACTTCCATAGTCCACAATCCCAGTCAAAACGATTCCCCAAGGCCCTCTGCGCCTGGGACGACTGGCGAGCACACGAATTCGCAGGCGCCACGCAAACAGAGATATAGGCTCAGCCTCACTAGTCTGAGCATTCAGTTTTCCAAGTCGCCCGAACCTTACGAGTACGCTCCTCTACCAAGAGGAAAATACACCCGATACCTAGTCCTACAACCCGGAAAGGACAAGGAAGCCCTCTTGTGCCATCTTCACACTTGTACGCTCACGGACTTATCGGAGGTTGAGATCATCTCCTACGTATGGGGTAGCAGCAACAAGACCAAGCGGCTGTGGTGTGCCGGAAAGACTATCCCCATCACAGTGAATTTGTGGGATGTGCTCAGACGGGTTCGATTACCGGATGCACCAAGAACGCTGTGGGCAGACTCGATCTGCATTAACCAGGAAGACCCGAAAGAGAAAAGCGAGCAGGTCGCGCTCATGGGCCTCATCTTCGGGGGGGCCAAAAGAACCCTAATCTGCCTCGGCCCAGACAATGGACAAGGCAGCCTTGTGGAATCTCTGCTAGGCGACGTCAACCAGATGATTCAACAGTTCGGCTCTTGGGATCAAATACCACCCCTAGGCCAGGACGACCCCATGGCCAAGGATCCTAGATGGGGCTTTCTCGGCAACATGATCGTCTCGCCATGGTTCAGCCGTGTCTGGGTGGTGCAAGAGGCTGCTCTCTCTAGAGATGCCCGTGTTCTGTACGGCTCGACGGCGTTCCCGTGGCCGGATTTGGTCCGAGTTCACTTTTGGCTCCTCCACAAAGCCCAATTCCTATGTTTCAAGCACTGACTATTTATCTGCGATGTCCATATAGCCGGTCTTTGGAACAGAGACCGGCCAGACTCGGAAAACTTTGTTGCGTTTCTAGCCCGGGCAAAGCGTCTTCGGTGTTCAGATGCCAGAGATAGGGTCTATGCGTTTCTCGGACTACGCATGGCCCAGGTTGGTCTTGGAAGTGGCCCGATTGTGGTGCCAGATTATCAAAAGCCGAATGATGAAGCATTCCATGAGCTGGCGCTCGAATTTCTCAAGCATACGAATGACCTATGTATTCTGTCAGCAGTGGATCACACTTCCGAGACGCTCAAATCCGACCTACCATCTTGGGTTCCCAGATGGGACTACGTTGCTTCCACTGACCAGTTTGGTCTTCATGATGTGCCATACAACGCATCACGAGGGATGAAGCCGACAAAGCTTAGCTTCGTCTCCTCGGCAGGCTTGAGGCTTCGTGGGCTTATCCTCGACCGAATTCACTTCCGATCCAAGGCCCTTCCCAAGGGTTTGCCTACGGCTCTGTGTACTCTTTGGGAAGGGTTTTCTCTGCAGAACCAGAATTCGCTGACGATCCTGTGGAAAGTTGTACCTTTGCCTCTACAGAATCTGTTAGTTCTACTTGCAGAACGGATTCCCGACAAGAACAAGGATTTTTTGGTCAATCTTTGGATATACCTAGCCAAGACGAGGCATAAATCCGCATACGATGATGGCGAGCGTCTGCTTGCCTTTATCAAGACGCTGCGGCGGGGAGCACACGAGGGCCGTTGGGCCTTGACGGCGGATGAAGCGGCGTTTTGTCTGAGGCTTTGCAGGAAGAGCGCCTCTCTCGGCTACGCGAACATGGCTGAGATAGAACAGGTAGCGCAAGGCAGTGATGGCAGAGATTTCAGACTTCATACGAGTGCGTGGTGTACGGGTCGGAGGTTTATCCTCACAAGCAACGGCTACTATGGGCTCGCTCCCGAGGCTGCCGAGGAAGGAGATGTTTGCTGCATCATTCCTGGTTTGAGGGTTCCTGTCATACTGAGAGGGATGAATAAAGAACAACACTACAGACTGGTTGGAGAAGCGTTCATCTTTGGCTTGATGGAAGGCCAGGGTATTGCTAACAGGGAAAATTGGGGTTTGAAAGAGGAAGATGTCATCTTGTGCTGAAGTCCGTTTCTTTTCAATCGAATTGAACTGTTTATGGCGTCAAAAAGGTATCCAGGCAGACAATCTTGGGCAGATGGTACCAACCAACGGCATTCCATTCGCAACCTGCACAAGAATTGTTACCAGTCAAGTTGGTACACGGAAAAGACCCAACGACTTTGAAGCCCAGCAAAGGGGCTTCACCAACAAAGGACCTGTCGATTGGCTACACAGATTCAACACATGACCGGGCAAGAGCCCTAGGCACGGACGTTCCCTTCATGTATATATATTGACTATATAGTAGTCACTCTTCTCTTCCTTCCTCTTGTAAAACGAAAGACCTTGGATATCCTTCAGGATCATCTTTCAATTCAAGCCTTTTGCTTCAGGCCTACTATCGTAGCCTTGTCACAGGAGTCAGGCCTCTTGTTTGAGTCGTAGACGGAGAATGCCGAGGATAACAAGTGTTTTGATTCCAACTATACATATAGGACCGACTTTATTGAAAGCACCAGTTCACCACCAAATGTTATGGGTTCAATGATCAGTGGGTAACAATATTGCAGCTGCCGGGGTTCCTGTCGCAGTTGCACTTGGAGGGAGCATTCACCCATCCTGTAAGACGACTATGCATTGCAGGCCAGCGAGTCAGCGAGCGACAATCTCGACAAAAATATGGTTGGGAAGAGTCTCACTTGGCAATGTCACTGGCGTAGCAGTGAGTAGCAATACCGTTCTGTAGCTGCCCCGTGTTGGAAATAGAGCCCGAATTGTAAATTCTGGCCGCGCGGTAAAACGCAGAGATGTCCCCACGACCAGACTCGTTCATGCAGCTGGCGAGGCCATCGCCAGAGTCAGTACCGGCAGCACCCTCACTGATCATCTCGTAAATAGTAGAGGCAGGGCACGGGCTCTGGACGCGGCCGTTATCGTTGCAAGTGCCGTAGCCATTATGGTCCTGCATGAGACCTGGGTTACGCACCCCCCAGTTGGTAGTCGGGGCACGAACGCAACCGTGGGATTCCTCCATCATGACAGCGAGGATGAAGCGGTGGTCAACCCCAGAGGCATCGGCAGCCCTCTGGATGGCGTCGTAGATGGCACCAATCTCTTTCCCGCTGTTGTTGGGCTGAGGGGGGTTCTGGTTGCCGCAGGACCGCAACATCTGGCTCTTGTAATTGTGGAACATGTTCTCGAAAGAGACCCAGCGGCTTCTGGGGGGCCAGCCTTGTCTAGTACTTCCGTCACCCCAGTACATTGTATAAGAGTCGACGCCGTTGCCCCTGCCGTCATGGACGTTGCGGCTCTTGTGGGTGGCGAGGTTGCCATAGCGGACACGCTCGCCCTTCTGGCGTCGCTCCATGCGGGCAGAAACTGGAGATTCAGAAGCGGTACCTGCAGTGATTTGGGGATGGTTTCCGGGCATGAAGTTGCCGCCATAAGGTTTCTTGACTGTGAAAACTGAGGCAGGGGGCTCTGAGGTGACACTGGGGTCGGCGACTGAGGGGGGATAAGGAACAGCACAAACCGCACTGATCAAGACGGTGATGGCGAGCTGTAAAGGAAATCAGTTTGTATACAAGTAGCCGGACAAATAACGAAAATACATTGGCAAGCATTGTGAGTTGCATTCTATGTACGAATAGCTCCCGATGTATACGTGTTGAAAAGAGCAGTGTATATCGTTGTTCAATGACCATGGAGATTCACGACCAAGTGAAGACGATTTTGCCAGAGGACGAGCTCTATAAATACTCGAGTAACTCCATATACGCTGAAAAGCTCATCTCGTTGCTAACATGGCGTACATTTCTGAAAAACAGCAACCTTGGTAGTTTCGGGCACGCCATGGCCGTAACTCAGCATGTCAAGCAGACCAACTGTGCCCCATTCTCAACTATTACAATGAGAATGCATGCAAGCACCAACACTGATGACGTTACTTCACGTAAGCCCGCGCGACGAGTTTACCCCATGTAAAGCCCGTTGGAATACTCTACACGTCAGTGCCATTAGTCTTATCACGCATGCCAAGGCGGAGGATTTGGGTTACAATAAGCTAGAACCATGTTAGGCTCCGAGTTACATTGCCTCAACTGTTCTGCATGAGCCAACGGCCACTTGTGCACTCCCTGCACCATGCACACCGAGATTCATGTCTTGTGATGCTACCACGACACGCCTGAGCGCAGTCTCGGCGGCAAAGTTCAAATTCCATGAGCTTGCAGCTCCAATCAGAATCCCGCATGGAGCAATACATATGCATCACCTCTGCAGAGGGCAGTCAGAAAAGTTGTTCGGAGCTCTGGCCAGTCCTTTGCTGGTGGTCGCAGTTGGACACGGACGATAAGACAACAGGAGTTGTTGCCAGAGACCCAAGATTGAACTCGGCCATATTTGGTGGCCCGGCCTTGAGCCTAATGTGGCAGGTGGACGTTGACGCAGTGCAATGACACAAGTTGACGAGGTTATTTGACCGCTTGCGGAGCTGCAGCCGAAGAACAGTTTCTTCGCATCTAGATGGTGGTTTTGTCATGACTGACTTGCGGGAACACGAGGGCTTTTGGTAGTTAACTAGAAACAGGTCAGCAACACCTCGAGTTTTGGCCAAAGGCATCAGCAATATATAAATGAAAGCTTGTCCAGATGTAAGTTGGTGCTCACTCTTGGCGCAAGGCGTTCAAGGTGCTGCATTGGAACACGAGATATGTATTCCAAAAGCTCCGACGTCGTCTGCGCCCAACGACTGGGAGCTACGAGCATATCCTCCCAAAGCCGGCATGACACTACATATGTACGGACGCCATTTCCACTCGGCAACGTCACCAAGCTCCCGTCCTGCATACATATGTAGCCCATGCGCCAGACCGTTGCCGCATCAGACTCCGTCGACTCCTTCAACGGCAGCCGAAACCACATGCAACCAACCAATATTGAACTAATTACCCACCCCTGCAGGCTGAGGTGCATGATGCCTCTCATGCCATGATGAAATCGGCAGCTCGCGACCTCATCAAGGCCCTTGCCCATTTTCTCCGGCACAGCTATGGCGTAAGAAACTATGGACCCGGCCACGACATCATGTTATTGTTTCCGTGTCTACTATCCAGAGAGCTCCTGCTCTGCATGTCCTACGGTGTCATTGGCACTGGGGGTATCTACACTGCTGCATCTCCGCCCAGCACACTTGCGGATTTGGCAAGCCAAAAAAAATAGGATGGCCTGTGCAATGCTCTGGTTCAAAGCTGGTGGTATCCTTGGCGTCGGCTCTGGCGATTCTGAGGCCACTGATGTCACACGGAAATGGGCCAATGTCACACGTTGTTACACAAGGGCTACGGTCACGGGATTAGGGCAGAAGGTCCTCACCGACTTCTTATATAAATAGACTTATATAAATAGACATCTTCGGTCCCTCAAGGCCTTCAGGAAAACCAAGGACCTTTGATACCAAAGACTATTATTAGATGAATTGAGTAAATTGCTCCAAGCCCTCTGTTGAGCCCTTGTCACAATCCATGTCTTGAAAAAACCTGGATGGACTCGGGATTCTGCAAAAAGTATCTGAAATCGAATCCCTTTAGCAGGCCTGAGCAACCACACATGTTTCGTCTTTGACAGACCCCGGCGACCAGAGTAACGATGCAGTGGGAGCTTGTAAAGTCTTCCAGGAGCAATCATGATTTCTGGCCTGTCATTAGGCGGCTGAAGGAGATTGACAAGGGAGACATGCTGTGACAAGGGTTCAATATGAAGGCTTGGAGCAAAAGGGGCTCAATTCAATAATAATCTCGTAGGATGTCAAAGGTCCTGAGTTGCTAAGAGGAAGGAAGGGAAGGGTGACTGCTTTATATATATAAAAGGAACGCCTAGGCCTAGGGCTCTTACCCGGGCACATGTTCTAGCTGTGTAACCAACAGGTTCCTTTATCGGCGAAGCCCTTTTGTTGGGCTTCACGATCTGTTGGGCCTTTTCCGTGTAACACATGCCGGCAGACAGTTTGGTTTGTATGGATCTAGAGTTTGATGCAAAGCGCAACTCTACTAAAGTCTACGAAATCGCTATTGAACTTGTACTTTTTTCTTCTCAGAATTAAAGTACAACTTCCTTAATAATAATTCAGTGATATAGCTTTATAGGAATGCATGAGAGCATTTCTATACACCTTGCCTTCTAGTATAATGCTTAATCTACAACTAGAAAGAGGAGACATTTAATTTGGAATAGAAGCTAGATTTATTAGCCTCGGGAAGAGCAAGTACAGATAGTGTCAAAGTAACAATTCCCATTGCTTCTAAATGCGATCTCGAAGCATTGACCTTTATTGCATGCGCGAGATGACTATTATTATTCAGAGGGTTAAATTATACTCCTCCAGGGCTAATGACACAATCTCCGACGTAAAAATCATCTTTTCAACTCTGAGCAGTTTGAGATGCAAGGAACCATGTTGGTATTTTATTCTTGTTGATTTTCGGATCCATGCTGCAAGTATACTAATAGCTAGAGAGAAACGCGAGCTAAGGAGAGAGGGAGATGAACAAGACATCTGGAGCTTGGGCTTGTGGAGGCGCCTGGAGGTATATTCAAGTGACTCGGCAGTGACTTTGGCAAATGGCAGCTGGGTGAACATTGAAGAGAGAAAAATAGGCCAGTGCAGCGTTTTTAGATGCCTATATATATGGATTATGGACCTCCGATCGACAGAAACTACGGGGTCAGAGATAAACTGGCCCTCATCTTCCGTAGTATAGTGGTCAGTATGCAAGCTTGTCACGCTTGAGACCCGGGTTCAATTCCCGGCGGGAGAGCCACTTTTCTTTTTGCGTCTGCATGCAATTTTTTTTTTTTTAATTTCTCCTTACCTCTCTCTCTCTTGACTTAATAAAATGATGGTATGACCTTTTCGCCGGGCAAGTCCGTTTCTGATGTATATTTTAATTGCAGCAAACGCCATGTCGATAATTCTCTTTGGTGGAACGGTTTTTCGCCTTGAGGTTGGCACAGTTCCCATGTCGTGCCGCGGCAATCTAGTGAATGCGATATGAAACTACAGTACCTACTACGAACGTATATGTAGTTGGGACTTCTCTATTGCCGCATTACAAACTGTAGTGTCAATAGAAAAAAATTTCCCGTCTCTTTCCCAGTTGACGTATAATTGGTGCAAATTTGACGCTCCTGGCGTCGCCGCCTGCCCTAGGGTAGCCCCGTCCGTACGACGTTTCGGGACCGAAGCTGCGTCCGGCTCGCCGAGTCAATTTCATGTTCCGTCAGCGGCTCCGTGATGCCAGCAAATATACGGACTACAGAGCACCGATCCTTGGGGCAGAAAGTTTCCGGTATATAAACTTTCTCCTAGCCCTAAATGTTGAAAAGCCCATCACGTCTCCCCTCTGCATTGTGTTCTCAACTTCTCCGGCTGAGTCTTGGCACATATATTTACAACCAAAATGGCTTCCAAACAGACAATCGCCATTGTAGGCGCCGGCCCCGGGGGACTCTGTCTCGGCGCACTCCTCCAGAAGCAAGGAATCCCATACACCATTTATGAACTCCGCGACGCCCCCTCAGACAGCATCATGTCAACGCCATCTGGCATGCTCGATCTCCACGACGATGCAGGCCTAGCTGCCATCCAAGCCTGCGGGCTCTGGGACCAGTTCTCGGCTCTCACCAACGACTGCAGCCAAGATACCCTCATCGTGGATGACCAGGGCACTCTTCACTACAAGGATTCTGGGTCGGGCCGTAATCGACCCGAGGTGGCGCGCAACTCGCTCACTCATCTTCTGCTGGCGGCCAACAACCCCGAGGCGCTGAAATGGAACCACAAGCTCCGCAGGGCAGCGAGCAGCTCAACAGGCCAGTTTACATTGGACTTTGGTGACAATGGCACCTTTACACACGACCTCGTTGTGGGAGCAGACGGCGCATGGTCCAAGGTTCGGCCTCTCGTGACCCTTGTCGAGCCCCAACACGGTGGCATGTATTACACGACCCTGCATATCCCCAACGCGTCAGAGCGATATCCCCATCTCGCACGCCTCGTTGGACATGGCACAAGCTTCCTTCTCGGCGGCAAAAACGGCCTCGTTACCCACCGAGGCGTCGGAGGCTCCATCTGTCTTCATGTCAGCGCCTCATCCTCGAACAAGGACGACTTTGCCCAGTTCGAGGACAATACCGACCCTGCCGTTGTCCGAGACGCGCTGCTCCATGACCCGAAGCTGTTCCAGGCATGGAGCCCCGCAATCCAAGAGCTCATCGAGACGGCGCTGGATAACGAATTGACGCCCCGCGATCCTCGGGCCCTGAACATGAGACGGATGTACATGCTCCCCGTTGGGCACACGTGGGAAAATACCCCAGGCGTGACACTGATAGGCGACGCAGCACACCTGATGATGCCCTGGGCCGGAGAAGGCGTCAACCTTGCCATGCGCGATGCGCTCGAGCTGTCCAAAGCCATTGCGAGCGCGTGGAACGAGCCAGACTCCCGAGACGCCGGCCCGTTGTCTACGGCCGAGTATGAAAAGGAAATGTTTGCCAGGGCCCGCGCATCCGCCGAGGAGACGTGGTCTAATTCGAAGATACTGTTTGCCGACAATGGGGCCAAGGCCATGGCTGATTTGATGGCCAGCTATGGGCCGTCCCATGAGTAGGACTTTGTTTTGGGCGGAGGATTGTATATATGATGTGATGGACCATGATGTAATTCAATAGAAGATGGACGCAATACTTTTTAGATAAATACCGCCTACTTAACGAGTTATGAAAGAGGCTAATAAGCAAAAACTCCAATGAATATTCACAAGTAACGAATGATGCCGCTTCACCATGGGATAAAACCCGGCGCTGATTACCACATAAATTTCAACTCTTGTATCCTACATTCGCCACAGCCGCCTTGTTCGGCCGATAGTCCGCCAGCATCTCATACACCGGCTCCGGGTTGTGCAGTTCGACAGGCACCGCCTCCGTGCTGCCCATCAACTCAGCCGGGGCCCTCACCCCCGGCATCTCATGGACGGACCGCTCGTGCGGGAGAGTCTGGTAGCTGGCCTCGCTGTATGTCGGGCTGTCCTTGTCGTACGCCTGGCCGAAGTTGTGAAGCATGCCCGAGGGCGGCGTCTGCTGCCCGCTCATCGGCTGCTGCCGCGCCACATCCATCGCGTTCGCGGCCGCGCGCTTCCGCCTAGCTCTCCAGATGACAAAGGCCGCGATGCCGGCGAGTACTCCCACCGCTGCGAGAACGCCAATGACGATTCCGGCAACGGCACCGCTGGATATACCGCCTCCCCCGGACGCACCGTCGCCGCCGCTGCTGCCGCCGCCTCCTCCGCCTCCTCCTCCTCCAGAACTACCCGCACCGCCGGCACCGCCAGCTCCACCACCTGTATCGATATTATTAAAGATGTTGATGCCCAAATCTGTGCCGCCGTTGGCGCCGGTTGCCGCGGCGTTGGCCCCCGCGGCCTGGCAGACACCCGAGTACTGCGACTGCAGGGCCGGCAGCTCCGTACACTTTGTCAGGGCGTCCCTCTGTTCGCTGCACCACGAAAGCACCGAGGACTGGTACTTGCTCGCCCTGCTGGAGAGGCTGTCTGGGAAGCGGATGGCGGCGGCGCCCGTCTGCGTGGCCGCCACCTGCTGCGCGTAGCTGGAAAGGTCGGGCGGCGGCGTGGGGAGATCGAGAAAGTTGTCGAGGACAGACGAGCAGTCGTCGAGGGCGCGGCGGCCCGTCTGCCGAGCAAAGATTGCCGCAACGTGCTGCTTGGCCGTGGGTGTGGGAGCCAGCCCTAACCCGGCCGCCGCCAGCGCGGCTTGCGAGAGCGCCAACACCAGCGCCGTGGCGATGAGGAGCATGGTGTTTTTGTGACTCTGCTGCTGGTATCAATGAGATGCCTCTCTGGTCCGCGAGAGACTGGCTGCGAAGGGGGGGCAAGTGTGAGAGAGCACTGGGCGGCTTTGCCAGAGCCGTCGTCGGAGGGACGAACTACACAGCCCCCCGAGAGAAGCTTGGCCGGGGTTTTAGGAACCATGGTAAGATGGAACCCGCGTCACCGGTGGTCCGAGAAAGGCTCTGCCCTTGCATCCTGGTCGGTTTGAATCATGCTGACCCCTGGAGCATGATTTGAATCGACATGGGCTAACCGGAGTGGGAAGCCACGGACGACTCGGTAGTCTGATAAGGGTGCCCGTCTGATAATGCTGTGTCGGTTTGATAATTGGTCTGGGCTACATACGGAGCAAAGAGTCGGGAATGGGAAATGGAGCCTCTTTGGAGCGTTGCATGGCATGTTGAGTTGGCGACCAGTTGGGCGCGTTGTATCGCGAGCCAGATGGCCAACAAGATGAGTTTACATGTAAGGTTCAGGCACACGTGGGCGGAAAGGCAATGCTTTTGTCATTATTCTCGAATTACGTCCTGTATAAAACTAAACCGCTCTCTAGAACAAAAACTATGCAACGTGTATATGCTGAAAACGTAGTGGCCCGACTACACTATTATGAGCAAGAAAGGGATTGTCAAACGAGCCGGCCGCAGCGGATCAAAGGCAGATTAGATTGCTTCTACACCTTTTCCGTATTCTTCTCCCGGCGCTCAGCGCTGTCGGTGTCGTCCATTATGCCATGGCGGAGTGCCATGGTGCAATAGGTGCCAAGAATTTCGGCGAGATATCTCTCTCTGTTTTTGAAGTGATCGGGCCCGACCTCGCGGGCCATGCTGTGGGCATGGTCGAGGAGAATCTGCTGGAGGTCGGCCGGAAGAGCCAGCAGGCTCTCGGGACTGACGGAGAGTTCGGCCAAGTCGGTCGCGTTGCCGCCCAGTGCCTGGCAGATTTGCGGATTGGCAATCACGTCGGCGCAGTACTGGTGAATGAGGGAGTGGCGCGTCAAGAAACGAAGCATGTCCCCGAGTGAGTCCGGCAGCTCGGCGCACCACGCCGGGGGGGCCTCGGGGTCCTCGAGGCTCTTGACCTCGGACGCGGCGGCGAACTCGAGGGCGTAGATGAGTTCGTCCCGGACCATGGCGGGATGGCCCTCGGATCGCGTGTATCCAATCATGCGTCGCCACCAAATGTTGCAGAAGACGGAGGATATGATGACGGGAATCAGGATGACGTATCCCCACCACCGCGTGGCCGTAATCATGGAGCCCACGCCGCCGAGGATGGTGGCCGTGCCGTTGATGACGGAAAACACCTGGACCTTGCGCGCTCTTCGCTTGACGAGGGCCGATGCGGTGCAGGCGCCGAGCAGTTTGCGCGACGCGCTGATGTGCCGCTGGGCCTTGGCGAAGATGAAGGCAGCCCACAACGAGTTGCAGAGGCCAAAGAGGGCAATGGGCGTGTTGCCGACGTAGCCAGACAGCAGGTTGGACGCGAGGAAGACGGAGGGATTCGCGCCGCCAATGGCCATGTAGGTGCCGACGGAGATGAGGATGGCGCCAAAGCCCATGAGCAGGTCCATGATCCATCGCGTCACGAGCTCGGTGCCCAGCTCGCGAAAGTTGATGGCCAGGATGATGTCCGTCTCGAGCGTCGACTCGCACCGCGCCGCGAGCCGCCTCTTCTCCTCGAGCAGCAGCAGCCTCTGCCTCCGCAGGTAGCGGACGTTGCAGCAGGCGCGCCTGGCGTCCCGGAAGGCAAAGATGGACAGGAAGCCCGCGACGGTGCCGCCAATGGCCATGAAGACGACGGCGTAGACGGGCACGGGCACGTCGTTCCACACGTTGGCGGCAAAGTCGCCCGCGTTGGCGAGCTCCATGAAGCCCACGGCCCGCGAGAGGTTGTTGATCAGCCTCCCGTCCCGGGCGAGCGCCCACTGCCCGTCCTTTTGCCTGACCAGCTTCACCGGCGGCGGCTGCTGCTGCTGGCCTTGATGGACTGAGACTCTGTCTTGCGTGCTAGCTCTGCCCGTTGCAGCCAGTGTTGCCTGTTGCGGTGATGGTGCCGCTGGCACAGCCTCCTTGACGGCACACATTTCTGGGGTCGATGACGGTTCCTGGGCCCCGGGCGCAGCGCCGGCTGCAGACAAGGTTTCCTCTGTCGACGACATGCTTTTTGCGAGGGCGGATGGCAAGACGGATGCTGTCCCAGTCGTGGGCCAGAGAGGACACTGGACTGACAGAACGGCCCTCGTCTCCCTCCGATTCAGAGGAAGGAATTCGGCGGCGGCAGCACGGGAAGAGGCCGGGAGAGGAGAGGAGAATTTGCGTCAATGATGACAGCCACGTGTCTGGTCTGGTACTCCGTACATGCCTCGCAACGGGCGCGAGACAGGGTGGTACGCGAGGTGGTATTTCAACAAAACCAGAGCTGCCCTCAGCCTTTCCAGCTACTAGTACTCCGTGCTACTCGTTGCGAGCCGCCGCAGACGTAATAAACGCTCAGGACCTTTTGAGCCCTTACAAAACAGGCGCGACAATCTTCTCTTTACCATCTTCCTCTTGGGCGTAACCCAATGGCTCTGGGGTCGCGGCTGGGATTTGCCGTCGTTTGCCAGCTCGCCGGGACCACCGCCCTCCCCATCAGCCCAGGTTCTTTTTCCAGGTGTTCCCCTTCAGGGGACAGCGGGATCCTCAGGATCCAGAAATTCGCAGACGGCCCTCTTAACGCGCGGCTTTGTGGGCACGACGGGGTCTTGGATGGCGCTGGGCGCTCGGCAATCATCAGCCGGCCACAGGGATCGTGGCGGCGAGCCAATAGCACCGGGCCGACTGCTCTCGGGCATCCTGTCGATCGATCAATGCCTCTGTTCGCCAGCTGTGGAGGGTAGGGCTGGATGTCGTGTCAGAGAATTGATTGCCCGCCGGGTCGGGGGGTTCTTGACCGAGTCATCAAGCCTCCTGGCCTCTTGACTACAATCGCCAGGCCCTACGACTCCAACCGTCTAGAATGGTTTTGTACTAGTTGGCAGTAGTGGCTCTCTAAAAATAACGGCCCTTTTCGTGTTGAGGCACGCCTTGGCACTAGACTTTTACGCATGGCAGTGACTCAGCGAGACGACGGGACCAGCTGTGCCGAGTCCCTCGTGCGGCTGCTTGATGGCGTTGCGGGTTTTGCTTTTGCTTCCCAGGAGTCTCTATGTATGAGTAGCACGGCTCCCATTCGTGTAGCCTCCAGATGTCAGTTGGCGTGCGGTACGGCGCAACTATTCGCAGCCTGGGTCACTATTCGCGCACGACGAATATCGCTGTCGCGCCCGCCATGTCGGAAATGGCGCCCCTGTCCGCACCCATGTACATACCCTGATGGCACAGACTGATACCAGACGGGACGTGTTTCTGGCGTGAGGTTTGCGGAGTCTTCGGCAAGCCCGAAGGTCCTGGATCCTCGTCTCGGCCAGTCACATTTCGAGTCTCTCTGCCTCGGGAACGTTCTGTAACAATTTCCCCTGCGGAGAATTACTGCTGGTAGCGTGCTACAGACCCTCCAAGTTCCTGGGCAACGCGGCGTGAGTCAATTTACTCTCCATGTTCCCCAGTTCACAAATGCCGTCTTGAAGGTCTCGGACAGTGACCGGGTTGGGACAGTGAACTGCTCTGGGCAAGACAAAAATATCTCGACCAATTGTTTATTGTGAATCGCAAATGGTTTACTGGTAAGCCTGTCTTCATGTATACGTGCGTGTGACGGTGCCCTACAGGCTACAAGTGTGCTTCTTCGTCGTCCCTTTCAAAGTCGAGACGCGCTTGAGCGGCAACTTTGCTGTCCAAAAGCACCCTCAACCCCAGCATGGCCATTCCCTTTGCCGCCTGAATCGCCGCTCCGTGAGCCTCATCCGTCCCGGCGGCAGCGGCAAACCGCGGATTGTGCATGGCAACGCCGGGTTCCGCGGGTATGCCAATTCCGCCGTGGAAACTGGGCACAAAATGGGATACGTTGCCCATGTCGGTGGATGCGTTCAACGCCCGATCTATTTTGAGATGAATGTTTTGGCCAAAGGCGGCCATTTCATCCACGTAGATTTGGCACAGACTATCATTGGCCCTGAGATTCAAGTAGTGGTGCTGTCTGTTGGGAATGTCCAATGTTAATAGTTTCTTCTTGGCACCCTCGAGCAAGTACGAACAACTTGGCAACAACAAGAAGGGGCTTCGGACGAACCTCGTCGTTTTCATCTCGCAAGCCGACGCGGATGCGCCAGCCTCCCAGCACTTGGTCACCCGTTCCATGAGCTTGTCACATCCCGCCGCCGTTGGGCTTCTCACTATCCAGTTCATGCGGGTGTAGTCGGGGATCACATTGGGCGCCGTGCCTCCGACCTCGAAGACGCCGTGTACTCTATCTTCCGTGTGCATCTGTTGCCTCAGGAGAGAGACATTGTTGTATGCCGCGACGGCTCCGTCAAGCGCGTTGACACCTTTCCACGGCTCACCGGCCGCGTGTGCTGTTCGGCCCTTGAATTCGACGAGCGTGCCTTGGCAAGCAATGAGCTTCATGCCCGCCAGGCCCGAGAACCCCCCCTGAGAGACATACTCTATCGGCATGGGGTGAGCCATGATGGCCGCGACGACGCTCTCGGGAGGGTTGAATGCGCCCGCCTCGACGAGGTCCTGCTTGCCTCCGCCGGACTCTTCTGCCGGCGTTCCCAGGAGTCGAATACGGCCGTCGATTTTGAGCGCCGACATGGCCGCTGCCGCTCCAAGGAAGGCCCCGATGGACGAGATGGCAATGAGGTTGTGGCCACAGGCATGCCCAATCTCTGGCAGGGCGTCATACTCGGCACAAAAGATGACTTGTCTATCGCCAGATCCAACGGTGGCATCAAAACTCGTGGCCAATCCCCACGCGCTCCTCTCCACCTGGAAACCAAGCTTCTCGAGGTAGGCGGTAATGGTGTCATGGGCGATGAACTCCTTGTATGCAAGCTCTGGATTTGCATGGAGCGTCCTGTTCACTTGATGCAGGCCGTCGTCCAACTCGTCCAACCTGGCGTTGACAATGGCACGAGCCTGGGTTACAGTGTCGACTGTCACGGGACTCATTTCTTCTCTTCTTGATGAGACTATCACGATAGACAACTGTGAAGATGCGATGCGAGGTTTGGAAACGAGCTGACTGAAGGGCTCTGTCCCCTTTATACGCCGAGAGCAAGCATGGACAAGACCCAAAACGGTGAGGCACAGAATATTGCCGACCGTCGGCAAACGTCACAACGCTGGCTGGTTTACACCAATTACATGCTTCACCATCAACCCCGCGAAGCAAAATACCCACACTCTGACCGGCAGCTTCCATGTCTTGCGTCCGCCCTCGGGTACAGCTGCCTTGCTTTAGCTTATGAACTAAAATTCGGATTTTGTTCGGGCGCGTCGGTGTTGACCGGTGCGGTCGATGCTGTCCGGGCTCGTAGAAGGCTGGAACCAGAGGGATACTGTTGACAGATGATAAGCATCATTAAACTCTGGGGCCATCGTCAAATCCACCAAATGGGTCATGGGCTGGAAACGCCTAAGCCAATTCAGTGACAAGTAGAACAGAGCTTTCCATGCCAAAGCCATCACTATACGTGGAGGGGAACGAGTCTTGTTCTGGCTTGAACACGTTTCCTTTCAACTACGGTGATGGTCTAGATTTAACCCATCACCACGTCGAGGCATCCATATGCTTCAAGACCACACAGAGAGAGACAGCGAATGTGCTGACCGTGGTAGGCTCGTTACTCCAGGCGCCGGAGATGGATATGAGTACCCTGATTCGCTCGGGGTCCTGCCGCCACGTGGACGAGCAGAGAAGCACAGAGGTGCTGCTTCTGTCATGGTATATATTATGCAATAATTACATGCGTGTGCGTGTATTATAGTCTGATTCTCATCAACCGTCCCTCTTGATGTTTTGTTTACCAAGATGGTGAATCCACTATTCCTTCTTGAACTTGATAGTTACTTTGGACGATAGGCCATGCCATAGAGGGCCAGGGGCTTGAATTGTAGTATAATTGAGTCCAGAGTCATTAAAATTCGCCCGCCGCACGGGGCCGAGAGTTGTCGTCTTGACAGGTCCCATGTACTAGCACCAGACTTCTTGTTCCCACGATGCATATGGATTTCGACGCTGAAGCCTATAAGCCATTTAGCTATAACCTTTCTATTATTGGTTTTACAAAGAGGTTTGAGTAAAGTCCCTTTCTCCGGAGGCTTGGAAAACTGCTGGATATTAGCATGCAATGTTAATCCTTATGCTAGACATTATCGTATTTAAAACGCAATGATTAAGGAACAGTCTGTATAAATGCTTAGTTATATTAACAGAGACAGCGCACATACTCGCAGACCCCCCCAAAAAAACTTATTCATACCTTTCTGCCCATAGCTCTTTCAAATCACACGAGTGTACTCCGAAAATATTTGTTCATTGAGCTGAAATCTCCTCGTTGAAGCACGTTCGGTACGCGGCGCCATCATAAAGACGATGAAAACGCTCGAATTTGGGCAGTTCCATCGTCCCGGGTCGCCCCGAGCAAACATGACCTGGGGTTAAGATTTCTGACGTCAGGCTTGTGCATGCCCATCACCTCTTCAACGAGGCTGGGATGGAATCACGCCATGCCAGAGTGTTCGGGGGTTTGTATAGATTGGGATATTGCCGTTCACATGGTCAATAATGAATGGTGGATGGACGTGACACTCGTAAACCTCTCGCAATTTCAGATTGACTCGATTTTCAACCGGAAGGCCCGCCGCCTGAACGTGTTCCTTCCTCCCGAGGATGTCACAAAAACCTGAGAGGCCATTCTCTCGCCAGGAAGATGAGCGTTACTATTGTCAAAGAGAAAGTTGCTTGGGTTCCAATATCGCTGGGAAGAACGTATTCGACCTGTATCTCATTCACCCCGTCTTCGTTCCCCATTCAAGTCTCGGTGAGACCTGTGGCAACCAACAACAATACCGCGGATGGCCATGATATTTTCCTGAGGGAGAGGCCACTGTACTTGTGGCGTTATCGCACACTTGACATTTCATAAAGATCTGATCGGTATGAGAGGTAGCGGGTTATGAATTATGGTGCAACTATCAAGGTCGTTTCTGAGCCGGGTCCCTTGACCTACTAATCGCATTAAGTTAGAAATATTAAGGCACCTACTAAGTCAAGTTATCTGCATCAGATGTCTTGGAAACTTCAATTGCATATAAAGTCTGGTCGGTCGCTGCAATTGGCTGCATGTGCCGTTTTCGACCGCCTGCCTGCGCGGGTAAGGCGCCGCCCCCGCGGCCTACTCTCCACCTCCTGCTGCTTTCAAGAACTAGACATACCAGACTGGTCTGGACTCTATCTCTTTGAAAGTCGAGCACCTTGTGGGGGGCCAAGCCCAGGGGTATATAACTAATCAGATAAAAGCAGATAAACAGTACTTTTACTTCCACATAGTTTAAGTAGTACGAAGTATACTAACAACCCTGTCAGGTGCAAGCAGCTACATTATGCTGGTCACACTATTATATTATTCACTTAGTACTAGCTTTGTCCACCACAATCCGTGAGGCAGCGGGGCCCCACAAGGTGCTCGACTTTCAAAGAGATAAGACCAGACCACCGAAGCCAACTCGTGCCTTGTTTTTTCCCTTCTCAACCTCGTTTGCTCCATTGACCCTGTCGATTCCCACATCTCGCTTGGTGTCGCAAGCCGCCATTGCCTTGGTCGCGCTGGTCACATCATTGTTGGGCCCAACAGGCTCCGCTTCCTGTCGCAGGTCCATGTCCTTGATGCACGTCTCCTCTCCGCTGCTGCCGTCCCGTTCCGCTGAGATTATCAGGCTACGAATTCTCGCGCCCTGTCGCCCAGAAACGCTCATTTGGTCTCTACTATCTATCAAATCTATAAATCTACGACCTGCTGCCGGATAAACCAGAAGCGTTGGCCAACTCTACAAACACTGGGGCTTATCGACGTGCTTTTTATCGAAAAATCCAGCAAAAATGGCCTGGTGGTAATGACCACCTCTCGTGATGGGTTGCCTCCAGTGCTCGGCGTTCTCGGAAGGATTTTCAATGCTCGCAGTCAGGTTTGGGGGGCTGTCAAGTCGGCTAAGCCTTCGCATTATCTTGCAAGATTTGCCTTATCTGGGTGTCTCACAAGGCGCGTGAGGCTTGGCCGGGGCATCTAGTTCCGTCATATCAGGCTTTTCATCTGACCTTTCTAGTCGGCTAGGAATATTGGGCCAGGATGCTCAGGGATTGGTTCGCCCACATTGCCTTGCTCCCATACCGCAGCCCAAGCATGCTAGAGTAAATACGTCCGACGTAGGTCCACGACCTGTGGCCATGTCCTTTTACAGCGTATTGGCTGAATGCTTCCAATTCGCGAAATGTCGGACGCTGACTGTCCTAGTTAACATGAGTCTCATAACGTGACACCACCCGTCGGGTCGACTTCCAGCTATTAGCACAGAGCGGTCTCGGACTGTTGATCTTTTGATCCTCGGTGTTGCAAACGCGGCCACAGTTACCTAGGCCTGGGCACCTTGATGTATTACGGAGTACTCCGTACTCGGCTCTACTCCGTACTCGGCTCCCTATACAATGCTAGTAGTAAGAAAGACAATACTGCATAGTTGTACGACTCATGCTATAATCCATAATCAGTGTCAGCCAACACAGAATCCTGCATCAATGTCGTGGTAAAGGCCAGTGTCAAACAACCGTCCAGGTCCAGGATCCCAATTCTAATCTCATCCCGCCTTGTTACGAGTCAGGCGAAATGTGGAATATTGGAGGATACGGAACTTGGCGTGGGTTACCCAACGACTACCGCTCGTGCTGAAAAATAGATGAAATAAAGATACGGGAGAGTGCGATCCGAGCCACACCGGGCTCGGCCCGTTACAACGTAGATCCACCTTGGGTATGTAGCTAGTCCTTGCTGCACTTGAATTCGCGTGATTCTGCATTGACTTTTAGATTAGTAGCGTGATTTATATATGTACAGTCCAACTCTTGAATTATTCTGTACTCTGTATACGTGACCTAACAAGAAGGCTAATAATTAACTAAAAAACGTTTTAATAAAACCTTTTCTAATACTTAATTTCTTAAAATATATAAGTTATAGTTAATATATTAACCCCTGCTACTAGCTATCCTGTTAGGTCACGTATAAAGAATAATTCAGGGAGTGGACCGTAGTTGTAGGAGAAAGTATCCCCGCCCGCCTATACTAGTAGGTATAGTGGGGTATAAAGACCAGGGAAAGTATAACTCACGCTATAATAATCTAAAGTCTATATTAGTTTATGCAGTGAGTGGGAGATTCGGCGTAACTTTTATTATCTAGCCCATCTCTAGAGTAACTCGCCGCTATTAAAACTGCTATATAACCCTTAGCTGCTAGCTAGCTTGAATAGATATCGTTGCAAGTAACTACTACTTGGTAACATTTTAAAGTCTTTTAAATTTACCTCTAGTTACTACTCGCACAATCTTACACGCTTCTCTTTCATATCTTGCATCTATTCTAAATTTCAAAATGGCTGGCAAAGTTACTACTATGCTAGTTCTCGCGTTATCTGCTATTTCAACATTAGCAGCTATGGACAAGAGAATTGTTGGCGGAGATAGGGCCAAGCTTGGTGAATTTCCGTTCATGGTTTCTCTTGAGGGACCTCGTATGCCTTTGTGTGGTGGTATTTTATTGAATAGTGATACTGTTCTGACTGCCGCTCATTGCCGTCACATGACTCTTGTAACGGCAGGAGCAGTAGTAAGTCTATTCGCCCCTAAGAAGAAGTATAAAACTAATTATGTAGAATAGGACAAACGGTGGAGGAGTCAAAGTCAAAGTCGCATCTATAAAGCAGCATCCTGACTATCGTCTTAATCCCACAAAGGTCGGTCAAACCGGCCCTGATTTTGCGATCAATGATATTGCTATTGTAAAATTAGCAACCCCAATTCAGGAGAGCAAGACAATACGCTATGCAAGATTACCTGAAGATGGCTTTGATCCGGCACCTAATTCTACTGCAATAGCTATAGGCTGGTAAGTATACCTTAACTTATAAACTATAGTTTAAATAATGCTAATATTTAAATAAGGGGTGTAAATTGGTCGGATTATCGGTATTCGAGTGCGAAGCCAATCAATGAACTTTTGAAAGTTAGTCTCGACATCCATAAACGTGAGAAATGTGCAGAGTTGGAAATTGGCGCAGCTGGTAGAGATACAATAGTATGCGCTGGTGGAAATGGTACGAGTACCTGTGTTTACGATGATGGCGGCCCTCTTATCGATCCGAAAACAGAACAGGTAGTTGGTATTACTTCATGGATGATACGAGATGAAAGGCACTTTAAACATTGCAACAACTCTCCTGGAGTATTTACTAGAGTTGGTAGTTATGTGGGCTGGATTAACGAGAATAGTGCAACGGCAGGGGGTAACGGGCTGAGCCGTTGAGAGGCACTCGGCTGACGCCAATGCAATAACGCCACCAAATGAGGTTGAGGTCTCACAATCTGCCCCTGAGCATGGACTATAAACAGGTAGCCAGCTCCTTAAGAGCTTCTAGTTGTCCTCTTCTGCAATGCAATCAATTTGTTGGTTTGTGACATTGACGCTTCTGGCTGAATGAGCTCCGTGCCCCTTACAAATATAGCCGGACCAAGCGTGTAAGAATGGCTAGGACGACTCTAGTACCCGGTAGTGCGAGTTTCTGGCGACAAGGGGAACATTGAAGAAGAAGTGCGAGAGGACATTGACGCTGAGGACTATGCCAACGTACTGCTTTCTCCCGCTCGTCCACGCAGGTATCTCGAGCCAGTCTCTGAATCGGGTGGAGAAGACGAGAACGGTGACAGGGACAATGATGCTGTGGCCGCCGTCCCGCAGCTCTGGTGTCTCGCCTGTTACCGTCTCTCGATGCCTCGGCCACAGGTGACAGAGCCTCTACAGACTGCCCCCTTGTGTTGAAATGTCATGATAATGACATGTTCTGGCGCTTCTATCAATTCGTATATTGTGGGGCTTATAAAAACTTCGAACCGAGCATAAAGGATCATGTTGACTTTCCCAGGTTGATAAATCCACAGTCCAGCCGCCAAACAAACCCTAACCCTAACCCTAGTGTGTTGGACTTGCCCGTGTTAGTGGTAACATTGAAAGCAAATTGATATTACAATTGCTCGTTTTCCCCTCGGAAGCATTTTATCATGGAACTCGGCCACTCGGTGCATCCATCAACCTTTCAGATTGGAGAAGCTTCCCACTTTAGCAGGGACATGTATATTTTTAATCTCAAGAATTGTTAAGCATTGCAGTAGCTTGCGCCTATGCTCACCTTGAGCCTTTATGGCGTACCAGCTGCACTCTGCCACAATGGCAAGGGTGATGAAGAACTGATTGGCCACGACTCGATAATTTCCGTCTATATATCACATGATGAACAAGGATCACCATTGACGCCTCTTAAGAATCGTTACAAACGACAGCACTATGACGGCGGGCATTGTCTGTGGTTGGTGTTGTGTATTTTGGTCTGTGCAAATTGTGTCTTGCCTTGAAGCACTGCTGACATGTTGCTCGAAACTAATAAGAGATAGAGGCAAAGACTAACCACTAGCAATATTATATGTAGTGTTAGGAACAATGGAAGGCTGGACAGAATAAATAGGTTATTAGTTATTATGCTTGGTAGCCCCCTACTTCATCTTCAATAACTAATTATGTGACGTTTCGTTCACATAGAAATGTGGCCTCCTTTCTTCTTTTTCTCTTCTTTTCGTCTCTTTTTTATTCAGCTTTCCACATTATTAATGCATCTAGTTGCATAAAGGACGCCAGGCAGTATCACCAGTTTGGCATCAGCAAATCCGACACTTGTAAATAATCGTTACTCTTGGACCACAATAGTCTCTTGGTTACTTGTCTGACCAAGACTAATTATTTGATTAGTTGCTCAGGTTCGGCAACATGTGGAGGCCGTGGATCTTGCCTTGATTAAGGGTAGACGCGCTGCCACCGCCTTTTTTCATTTCTCTTTACTCCATCATAGCTCAGCCTCTGGGCAGGCAACTTTGTTTCACAAGTGCTGGGCCACGCAATCACTCTAGGCAGCCTTGTACCATGCGATTACCTGCAGGAACATGACATGGGTCTGCAAACTGCAACTCGACATCGGCCCACCGCCGGAACTGGCCATGTCCGTTCTTGTGGCGGAGTGATGGGGAGATAGACCAGTTCGTAAAAGGTGGAACGATGCGGGAAACCGCCAGGCACACAACCAAACCAATTGAGCCTTTTATTAATAAGGCCCTGGCTCCGTTCAGCGCGACTCGTGCTTTTCCTGTTTATTAAAGACATTGTTATCGCTAATTTGGCCGCACTCACCCCTCGACCATGGCGCCGGCCATGTCACACAGAAACCGTCTCTGGTCTCGGAGCGAAATACAAGGATTGATAGCGGATGGGCGAAAGATAATCATATTTCGTGGCCAGGTGCTAAAGGCCGACGCATGGCTTCCATATCATCCGGGCGGGGACAAATCAATATTGCACATGGTCGGCCGTGATGCCACGGACGAAATCGCAGCACTACACTCGGCGGAAGCGCAGGCACAAATGCAGAAGTATGTGATAGGAAGAGTCCACGGAACGTGGGAAAACTTTCTGCCCCCGATACAGGGAGGAATATTTAGACTGCCCGTGTCCAAGAATGACGGCGACGAAGCGTTATCCGCCGAAACAGATGCCAGCTCATCTGGAACATCCACACCATCATCGACCGTCTTCGATATTGGACAGGCAGGAGACCAAGTTCGCTTGAGGCGTACGGGTAATGATACGCCTCTTTCTACAGCGTCATCGTTATTATCGTCAGAGACGGAGCCAAGGCAGTTCGGTCATGTGGAAACGTCAACGGCCCACGCTATATCAACAGATGTTTCTAAATATCCTCTTCTCGACAAAATGTCACAAGACGAGGTTGTCTCAAAATACCGCCAGCTTGATGAGAAACTGCGATCCAAAGGCCTCTACCAGTGCGAATATAGCTACTACGCTGTCGAGTTTGCCAGATACTCGATCCTTTTTGCTCTCTTCCTAACATTTCTTCACTATTCGTACTACACCCTTTCGAGCATTTGCCTGGGCTTGTTCTGGCACCTACTCGCCTTTGCGGCTCACGACGCCGGCCACTTGAGTATAACACATGGATTCCACACCGACAGCTGCGTCGGCATCTTCATTGCAGATTTCCTCGGAGGGCTCTCAGTCGGTTGGTGGAAACGAAATCACAATGTGCACCACATCGTAACCAACTCGCCTGAGCACGACCCAGACATTCAGCACATGCCATTTTTCGCAATTTCTTCTCGATTTTTTTCTTCCCTCCGCTCGACGTACTACGATCGTGTGATGAAATTCGACGCCGCGTCTCAGTTCTTCATCAAGCATCAGCATTACCTCTACTATCCCATCCTGTTAATGGGTCGTTTCAACCTGTACCGCCTGGCATGGCTATATCTCCTAGATCCGGCGCAGGCGCCGCGCAAAGGCCCGGCGTGGTGGCATCGCCATCTCGAAATGGCCGGCCAGGCCTTCTTCTGGTACTGGTTCGGCTACCGGACATTATACCTCTCGATCCCGACGTGGTCGTCCCGCATCACGTTTCTGCTCATCTCGCACATGGTCACCGCGCCGTTGCACGTACAACTCACACTCAGCCACTTCGCCATGTCGAGCGCCGATCTGGGTGTCCACGAGTCGTTTGCCCAGAAGATGGCGCGGACGACCATGGATGTCGACTGCCCTCCCTGGCTGGACTTTATACATGGCGGCCTCCAGTTTCAAGTCGTGCATCATTTGTTCCCTCGCCTCCCGAGACATAACTTGCGCCGCGCCCAAAAATATGTCAAGGAGTTTTGCGACGACGTCGGGATTCCATATGTGATATTCAGCTTTACGCGGGGGAATAAGGAAGTCATTAGCAGACTGGCCGAGGTTGCCGAACAGTTAAGGGTGTTGGAGGAATGCAGAAAGGTTGCCGCAAAGGATTTGATTCAAGGCCACCACCGTCACTGATTTTTTGTCCAAAACATGATCAAGGAAATAGGCATCCACAGAATGATGAACATTCGAGAGTAGTAGTCACGGAGCAAACGGCTGCATAGCATAGTATCTGTGAATTATAGGTGGCGAACAGGCAGCTTGTTTCGCTTAAATCTAGTTACCAATGCAGAGGCCAAAGGACATTTTGTCCAATATGGTTGCCATTGATGGCCTGTATGAAGTAGGGCTTCTGCATTTGGGATACCTATTGACTGCTGTATGGTGAGGTGCTCAATGGCCTATCCCACATCTGCCTGTGATGGGGGCTCTGTAGAGGGCAATGGCTCAATTCATCAAATAACAGCGAGTCTTTGGTATCAATGGTCATGAGTTTATTCCAAGGCCCTTGGGCAGCAGACCATTATTTGTACAAAGCAGTGGTGAGTCTACGAGCCATGGCGTTTCGTGATCATAGCCCTGGTGTAATGTCGGTTTAACGCTTCCTTTACCCCAAAGTTATACCAAACCTATTATAATACCTCTTTTCTGAGCCTATATAAAGTAGATTATAGCCAGCTAATTTTTAGCTCTCTCTGTGTGTATAAAAATTATCCAAGCTATTGCAGTGCCTGCTATTAGCGTGAACACCAACAGGTTATATCAGGATGAGATGGCAAATTCAGGCAAATAACCCTGCCCGATCTTTAGGGTCAGGGTCAACTACGCAGTGTTTTCGCGGCGCCGGCAATTTATTTGTGCTTTTTCGCTTTGGTTTAATAATCAATAAATGCAACTAATAGTAGATATTGGTCGTTTTCTGCCCTTTGGTTGTTCTCGATCCTTTTATTTTCTGGTGACTCCACTACGGAGTAGATTTTCAATACCTAATGGCATGACAAGTTGAATTTATTGCTACTTATTAACCCATATTTATTAAGATTGCGTGGGGGTTTAGTGGCTTGGCCAAATCCGGATAATCGTCATGAAAGCAGCGTTGTGCATATGGCCTTATGCATATATTGATCTCCCAGCCGACCTAATCACATACGGCGATATGCATATGTACAGCTCGAGGAGACCTGCTTTCTTTCCGTCCCCTAGCTCCTCAAGAAAAATAATCATCTCTAATTTTCCTCGTCCGTCTCCAAGTTCTATACACATACGTCGAGTTACTGTGCTTGCCCCATTTCTTCCTCTGCATCATTGCCTCGTTATACAGCTTGTCCGCCCGAATCCGACCTCGACACCATGGGAAGCAGTCATTCTTCTTTGGTGACTTCCGTGTCTGCGGTCCCGTCGGCAACGGCTCTCGTCCCGGGGCAAAGTGCACCTACTATCTTCCCAAGTAGCACATTACACTCCGCCGTTGTTTTTTCCGACGACTTTGAGGGATCTGCGCCCCAATTTAACCATTCACGGTACAGAGTCGATGGCAGTGGTTCGATTACCGCAGTGACCAACCCAGTCTTCCACGGCCAACAATCGGCCAAGTTTACTGTGCCCAATGACGGGGTCTCTTGGCGATCCGAGATAGCAAAGAATTCCCTAGGATATGGATCCTTCTCCTTCTCATTCGTCAATTATCTTCCCACAGACTGGGTAGATACGTCTGTCAACACCATCGTCGCCCAGTGGCATGGGTTTCAACTCACAAACGGCCAAAATACGAATCCTCCAATCGCGCTCTCTCTCAAGGATATGCGGTGGTTACTAGTGGTGCACCACCTAGAGAATCCGAGCGATAGCAAACCGAAGGCTCGATGGTACGACCTCGGCCAAACCACCAAGGGTACATGGAACCAATGGGATTTTCGGATTGATTGGTCTCGTCCGGAATTGAACGGCACAGTAACGGTTATTCTCAATGACAAAACTGTTGCTGTGCACAAAGGTTCTAATAACTACCACCAAACTGAAGCTCCGTACTTCAAGCAAGGCATATACCGGCCAAACTGGAATCCCGAAAAGGGCTTCAGCTATTTGACTGGTGGCCCATCTGTCGTTGTCTACTGTGACGATCTGGTTGTGACCAAGTTGCACAAGTAAGAGAAAGGAAAGTTTGTGAACCAGTTGACCTCTTATCCTGCGCACTACACTTATGTTATTGCTACACGGGGAGGACCCAACAACCAAGCCCAATACAGGTGCATCGCCAATAACGGACCTCGAGATTACACAGACTGAACGCATGACCTGGCGGAAACCCTAGGCACAGGCGTTCCCTTCTTATATATACAGTGGTTACTCGTCTCTTTCTTTCTTATGGGAAGCCAAGTACCTTTGACATCATACGAGATTATCTTTGAATTCAGTCATTACACTCCAAGCCCTTCATCAAGCCCTTGTTACAGTGATCCTTCTCAAGTTCAAGGGGTTGGGTCAAATAGGCTTAAATACAAAGAACAGTGTATTGCACAGTGTCTATATTCACGGTAAATGAGTCATTCGTGAATAAACGTATACAAGGCGCTTGTGGTGGTGTCAGCTTTTGCGGCTAAGCAGATTTACAGATGGACCTTGCATCCATGTTACTGGAACTGGAAGCCTTGAGCTTCCCGCGGGGCCCAATACCGCAGAAACATGTTGGAAACCACTTAGAATTTAGCAGTAGAAGAAATAAAGCGTCAATTCTTTACTACTTCTCTAGCTGACAAGCCAAACCTCCACAGCCTGCCAAGTAAATGCATCAAAAGTTTGTCTCTGCATTTGCATAACAGTGCAGGGAAACCTAGCCAAGCTTCTAGGACAAAACCTGCACCGAGACCTGCACTATGTCTGCCGGACCACTTCTCATGAGTGCCTCCTTCGTTTTATCTGCCATTGCGGCTCCTAGATGCACTTGCCAAAGGTAGGGGAGCCTCTCTGTTGATCGCAAATCTTGCCCTTGGGGCATTCAGATGAAGTTCGGCAAGCTAGATCCTATGAGTGAGCTATGGAATGGCAAAAAAACTGCGGGGAATTAATCCATACCCATAGCTGGCGAAGCCAACGCGAGCCAAGCAACGGCGGCGAGGATGATCTTGGACTGGAAGAAGTTCATGATGTCTTGGAGGAAATGGGAGCTTAATAGGCTAGCCTTTGAATTGAGAGTTTGAGAACGGTTGTTCGTGTGTTGTGATAATTTCAAGAATTTTGTTGGGATTGCTCCTTTATTTATACTCCATTGCCGATGTACATCTCAAGACATATACAAGTCACAGTCGAGAGTGCATCGAATGCTATAGCTTCAAACGGCAGTTGAATTCCGCCAAAGTCCCGGGCAATTGAGTATTTGAAACTCTATTTCCTAAACCCTCTTCAAATTGGCCACTATTTGTCAAGTCGGGTAGTATCGTGACAAATATCATGCCGAGTTCCGACTCTATGATCGTACATGCAAGCCGAGCACCCGAGCATCAGATAACGGGGCAAAGCCAACTGTCTCTGCGGTGCTTTGTGTCGGCAAGGCCCCCAGCGACGTCCACTTGACCTGTGGATATTATTATTTTGCCGAGAGTGGAGGAGAACCCTCCTAGGGTTGCTATCTCTGTCCATCTTGTCAATAATGAAACAGTTATAAGCCCACTGCCATCCTACCCAGCCAATACGCGTCGGCGAACCACCCTGCCTATCTCTTGTGCCTGGCAAATAACATTGATTACCGTAAAAAGAAGTCCCAATTGAGAAGGTCTGTACCGGGGCAAGTTTGACACCGTACATGTGCATTCAATGCGATGAAGCCGATAGGAAGGCAATCGCGGTCAGTTGGCGCATTTAATTTATAGTCGGTCGATGTCAACGTCATGCAATTACTTTGGTTGGTCCAGAAGTAGTTGATCAAGCCATTATGTGACGGAGACTTATGTACTATTCTCGCCACGCTCATGTGGTGCAAATCTGCATTCCCCCATGGTTTATTTGTGAGTTGTGTTCTGATATATTTACTTATCGGCTTGCCTTTTTACCGGATCTATGTACTGTTGGCCTGCATAAAGTCACCTTCAGCCAGTATGCGTGTTGCTTAACAAAGGCCTAGCATACTCTAATCGCTCCCCATGACCCAAGATATCTTCATCTCGACTAGAAGCAAGCTCGGGGAAGAAAAACGCCGGATATGTCTCGAGCCCTGCGGTAGTAGGCCAAGTTTCTTGAAAATATCTGTGCAATGTATTTTGCTAGGATAGACATATACTTCAGGTTGTATCAAGGCAACATAGAGTTGCTGCTAGTGTAGGTGGTGGGCAATATCTCACTCTTGAGCTTCAGGTTCTGTCTTCAGACGGAAAGGATCTATGTAATCAATAGTAAGAATCGTATTGAGGTAGGCAGAAGATGTTCCAGGGAGCGTCCGGGCTAGTCTGAAGGGATATGGTCAGATATACGAGGGTCACACATGTTGGAGATGGCCATCTGCTTTATTCTAGATCTGTTGCATGTCCAAAGACGCGAGCATCCATAATGCAGTAGAGTAGACGTGCCGCTGCGCAAATTCCATGACCCCCGGCTCTACGGTACGGTGCGTCACACTCGGACATGGCCTTGAATTTGGTTCCGCTTCGGTATAGCGGTATATCTAGATACTTAATTCTGTATGGCATGGGCACCCGAGTCTTCTGTCACGAATGCTAGCAACATGACTTCACTACAGCCTGCCAGAGCCTGCCTCAAAAGTTCAAATTTAGGCTACATGAACTATTCTTAGCTGTTTTTTTATGACGGCCCCCGATGCTCACGCTTTTGTGCCAAACATTGCAATGGCCAAACTGCAACTTTACAGCCCAACACCTAGTCCAGTATCGTGAGCCCCTCATAGCCCTGCGTCTCGAGCACCTCGGTGTCCACCACGAAAATTGCCATGAACTTTGCCCCTTGCACCTTGCTATTATTCTCACCGACAGTATGGTGACAGCCTGGCAGCTCGACAAAACTCTCGCCAGGATGGTAGACTTTTGGTGGGTTGCCGTTCATGCCGCTGAGGATCTGACCCTCTTGGATCACAGCAACGACGGTAGCGCCGCCATGGCGATGGGGCGGCGTGAATCCATTAGGAGGGTATTCAAGCTGAACCCCAACAATGGATTTCCCGGGCGCATTGGTGAGCTTATGGTCGAATATAATGCCGAGACTTTCTCGGGGACGGGCACTACTGGTGTAAGTGAGGGTTGGAGCCGTCTGACCAGTGGCGCAACTTACGAGCTGCCTTGGGTTGACTCCATGGCAAAATTGCTTGTATATTAATTAGGTGAGTAAATTTGGTTTGCTCTTAATGATGGGAAGAAATCGTGTGGAATGGTGAAGACGATTTCTCTTCCGCCCGAGCTTGTATCTGCCCTACCCTTTTATACCCAAACCATCGAGGGATTGTTGGGACCGTCATCTGGCCATTGTCGGCTCATGATGAAAGACTCGGGTGGCTTGGGTCCAAAATATGTGTTTTTATGGGAATATACAGGGATAACTCGTCAACACTTTGCATTCTGGGCTACTCGTTTGCCTGTACAGCCACGTCCGCCCTGAGGACACCCACTCCGACCCGAGTGACCCGACCGACCCGAGATTCACGTCATCCTCGACCCGATCCAAAGAACAAGCTCGACATCAAAAAGCTTACTATAAGTGGCACAAACCAGGTCCAGCTCACCCAAGAGTTGCAAGAACAGCATCCAAAACAAGCCGGGGCTCTCTTCAGCATTCACCTCACACAAAAGTTCCCATGTCCAGCACATCTTTCCCAACAATGAAAGCAATCCAAGTCACTGGCTCCAAGGGCAGCCACCAGATTATCCTCAACACGGCCGCCGCCAAACCCAGTCCTCAACAAGACCAGGTTCTTGTCCGGGTCCACGCCGCAAGCATCACCGCTGACGAGGTTACGTGGCCGGAATTATACGACAGTTCCACCAGGATTCCGGGCCACGACATATCCGGTGTCGTCGACGCCCTTGGCCCAGCTTACACGGGGCCCTTCAAAGTCGGCGACCACGTGTTTGCCATGCTCAAGGCAACTTCGGACGCCGGCGCACAGGCAGAGTATGCCGTCGTCTCTGCGGAGGAAATTGCCCCGAAGCCGACGTCTACATCGCACGCGCAGGCTTCCGCGCTGCCCATCCCATTCTTGACGGCGTGGGAAGCGATTCACCAGCATGCCAAAGTGCGCGAGGGCACCAAGGTTCTCGTCACGGGTGCCTCGGGTGCTGTCGGACTCATGCTGGTACAAATCGCGGCCAGCATTTTGGACTGCCAAGTCGTTGCTCTTGCGTCGGCGAAGAACCACGCGTACCTTAAATCACTGGGGGCTGCCATCACAGTGGACTACCACTGGCCAGATTGGGAGGATTCGGTCCGTGATGTTGACGCGGTACTTGATACGGTGGGCGAGGAAACTCTCTCAAAGACTTGGAAATGCGTCAAGCCAAATGGCAGCATCGTGACGGTGGCTGATCCCCCGCCGCCGTGGGCATTTGGGAAAGCAACCCCGGAAGAGTTGAGGGAACACCCACATGTACAGTGGGCGTATTTTATCGTCACGGCAAGCGGGGCCATCTTGTCGAAACTGACGAGTCTGTTGGATGAGGGCAGACTAGTGCCTATTCCTATAAAGTCGTTTAGCATCGACAAGGGGCTCGAGGCGTGGAAGTATGGCGGTCGGAGAGGCAGAGATGGCAAGGCGGTGATTGAGTTTGTGGGTTCGGGCGAGTAGTAATTCTTTTTTGATTTTTAAACTCTTTTCAAGTTTATATAAATGACTTTGTGCTTCCATATACAATGTTTCCACCCATGATGTCGGTCTTGCATCAACTCTCGAAGCAGCTTCTCAACAAGGCCAAATCCAATCCAGCAACACCGGCTCCGACGCCGCTGCCGACGCCGTCCTGCTGATTCTGTAATATGAGCTCCCCGTTTTTGCTTCTGCTGTCAAACACTGCTTTGGCCATGAGCTTGACCTCGCCGGACCACTTCCTTGCTTGCGGCCATATGTCCTCGAAAGCTCGTAAGGCGCCGAGGAAGACACGAACGCGATCCTTGGCATGAGCATAGTCCGACCCCTTGAGGTAGTACTCGCAAGCAGATATGTGCGTTGCCGCAGCCATGGATCCCATACACATGATGAACGGACTGTGCGTTGTCGGGGATGCAGAGAGCGTGAATAGTTGGACAAGCGCTTTGGCAGCATTGACGGCCTGCATCGTGTGACGCTCGTTGAAGACTTCCAAGACGCTGGCATTTTGAGGCGGGGCATATCGGGAACACAAAATCTCCATGGTGCTGTAGTGAAGTCTCGACCGAGGGCGATGGAGGTGCGTCGTCACGCTGCGAGGTTAGCGAGATGGTGTCGGGAGGGACGAGCCTCGACGTACGTATTGAGCAGCATGTGCGCGCGGAACATGACCTCGTCAACGGATCCGTCTGGCTGCACGGGCTCCTTCTTGCTCTCGGGAAGATACAAGTGCCAACTTGTTATATTGGCCTCGGCATTCTTGACCTGCGACGTCGTGTCATCGCCTTGCTCGTCCACCGTCGGCAACGCGGTGCCCAGCATTCGCGAAGCATCTATGAGATAGGCAAACGAGGAAAACAAACCGTCGCCATCTTCAAACGCACGGTCATCGTACTCTGCAAGTGTCCGCGGCGGGGGAATGTTCTACAATGAACTCATTAGTGTTTTGCCATGGCGGCGCCCGGTCTCGCTTACTCCTTGGATGTAGTCCATTTCTTCGCAGGGCAAATCGGCGTCGAACTCGGCATGCCACAGCGCAAAGGTCGTCTGGTGCCGAATACCTGCGAAGATGGCATCGATAATGTACAATTCCCACCATGTCCGTCTCCAGCTCTCCGCCAACACCGGACAGCCATCGCTATGCGCCCTTGCAAACCGCCGCGATTGTAGTCCGATATCTAGAGCCATCGACTTGGCCTTGTCCAGGATGCTACGCGCATAGTCTTGTTCGCCACTCCATTCCAGGGCACCAGCATGTAGCAGGAGGCACTGCACGCTGAATCCATTCCGTGGGAGGCCGTTGGCAATCGCCATCTCAATCGCGGCCCGGTACGCCTGTGACGCAGAATTCGGGATATACAGGGCGCCAATAAAGGCCATGGCCTTTATTACATGCGCCACCGAGCTCGGATCTTTGTCAAACTGGCTGACGAGGCGGTCTTTTGGTAGAACGAAAGGGTGGCCCTTGAAGAACGAGGCGTAGAAGCTGTCCAGGGCTGTGCTTTGATGAGGATTCTCATCCTGCGGAGTAGCAAAGGGATCGCTAAACAGGCCGGCAGAGTCGTCGAGAGAGCACACGTCCTCGTGAAAACGGCTGGGCTCCGAGCTTTGTGATGCGGACCAACTCTGTCGTGAGGGCCCGGCATGCCCCAGCGGACTCGGATCCGGTCTCAGGGCCGTTGAGTCATTGCAGTTCGGTAGACGGCGCCTCTGGGGGCGTATATCCTTGTACACGCATCGCTTATTGCCTTGTCTACAGCGTGTGCACGTGGGCGTTGTTCCATCACACCGCAAATGCTGGTTGCGGCAGGTCGTGCAGGCTACGGTGATGCGATGCGGAATTTTGCGCTTCCCAGACGAGCTGGGCTTGCCATTGAGGCTTTGGGTTCTCGGCGTACTTGGCTGACGACTCGGCCTTTGACCGGCGTCGGTTCCTGTCAATCCAGAGGCCATCCCAATTCTTGTCTTGGTGGCAAGCGGCATTCGCTATCCATCGTGACGAGACGTTCAATGTTGGCAGGGATGGTCGTTGGGAGTTGATGGATTAGGGTTGACACCGCCACCGCCATTTCTCGACGGGTCAAAGCAACTACGGGAACTATAATAAGTCTGGTGCAGCTCCGATCAATTAATGGTCTTCCCCACTTGTTCAGCTCATCGCCCAACTTCTGTCTTGACTGTTGAGTCTCTTGTCATCTGGTTCAACTCGAGCTACGTCCTCAGCCGGTACTACACCCGCGATCTAAAGGATTCACAACACGCCGATGCTATTCTCCGAACATTGTTGCTTGACCATGATGCAAAGATGAACCCTAATCTGGGCCATGTGCAGATCATCCCCTGCGCAAACGCCGGACGGGCCATTGGTATCACCGACCTCAGCCAGGAGTACATCAACGTGCTAGAGTGGTTGCCGTTGGCTCAATAGCGGCACCAAGAATTCCTACCACTGTCAGCAGACAATCGCGGTGCCTATGCGACAAGTTGGAGTGTAAGCGATACACAGCGCCCGACCACGTTGATACCGCCCCCGAGGCAGGGTTCTACGAAGACATGCTGACATGTCTGCTCTTCACCAACTCGACGGCATTACTACGCTCTAGATGCACCAGGGAATAGAAGTCGGACTCTTTGCAAACGCACCCTTGGTGGGCGAAAAATGAATAACACTAAATGGCTTTATACAATGCCTGGATGCAGAACACAACAGACGACGCTACTCCATCAGATACCCAGCGCACCGCTTCGGAATTCTCCGCGGTAGCCGCTGCCGCCCCTCGGCGCCCGTACAGAGCGCTTCCCATGCGTCCCGTTGAATCCCGTGTACGAGCTCAGGCTGGGAGGCAGGTCCTCGACGGCGGTGCCCCACGAACTCTCCGCGCCGCCCAGCGTGAGAACAAGCTCCTTGCCCTCGGTGAAGAAGGAATGGTCGATCCAGTTCTTCGCGTAGGGCTCGCCGTTTAGCGTGGCACTCTGGATATATATATTCTTGTACGAGGGGTCGAAATGGACGTTTCGAATCGTGGCCGTCTTCTTGGTGAGGGGGTGCCTGATCTGCACGCTCTCGAAATACGGCGGCGTAATCAGATACACGTTCTGGCCCGGGTTCGGGAACAGCCCCATCATGGCAAACGCGAGGAACGAGCCCATGGCGCCGCTGTCGTCGTTGCCGGGAAGACCCTCGGGCTTGGGGGAGAAGTACTTCGGAATGTAAAAGTGGCTGCGGCGGGCGGACTCGGCCGGCCGCCCGGCATAGTGATACTGGAAGACGGTCAGGAACGCGGGCTCGTTGCCAATGTACGTGATGTCCTTGTCGTGGAGGTAGTTTAAGCGCTTGACGAACTGGTCCGGGCCGCCGTAGAGCGCGATGAGCTGTGCCTGGTCGTGGGGGACAAAACTGAGCCGTGGTCAGCATACTTGCACGGGCGTTCGGCCACGCTGCGGGAATCACTTACAAGCCATACTCCCAGACGCTGCTTTCAAACGTCTCGGGCCCGCTGTTCTGGAGCGAGCAGACGCTCCTCGCGTCGGTGTTGCTGCACTTGAGGGGATCCTGGTACCCCCACGTCTTGTTCAGATACCGCGGCTGGAAGAAGCCCGTGAAGCCGGTGTTTGTGCCGTCGGGCAGCGAGGACGGCTGGTCGGCCTTGTACAAGTTTTGCCAGTTTCCGCTGCTGGCCGTGTACTTTTCCTCTTCGTCCTTGGTGCCGAGGCTCTTTGCCATTTGCGCGATGCAAAAGTCGTTGTAGGCATACTCGACGGTGCGGCTGATGGACCTCGTCAGGGTCCCGAATCCCTTGTGGTCAAAGTCCTGCACCGGCACGTATCCCAGCCGCTTCCACGAGTCGATGCCGCCCCGGCCGCGGCAGCACCAGTCGTACGGCTCCTCCTCGGCGTCCTTCTTGACCGCCTCGTAGCCCTTGTCCCAGTCGATGCCCGTCGTGATGCCCTTGATGAAGACGTCCGCCAGCACATTGTCCGCGTTGGAGCCGCCCTGCGTGTAGCCTCTGCTGAGGCTCATGCGGCAGTCTGGCAGCCACCCGTCGTGCTCGTACGTCGAGATGAGCGAGCGGATCATTTGGGCGACGGCCTCGGGATCGACAATGGTCAGGAACGGAAACTGCGAGCGGAACAGGTCCCATATGCAGTAAAACGAGTCAAAGTAGGGCTCGCCGTCCTGCCAGAGGGGGTTTTCTCCCGTGTAGTTTTGCGGATTCACCATGGTGCGGTAGATGCCCGAGTAGAAGTTGGTCACAAAGCTCTCGTCTACTCCCCTGGGATCCACGGTAATGGGAGACAGCTTTTGTCGCCACGCATCCTGCGCGTCACGAGCATGCTTGTCAAAGTCAAACGCGGGCACCTCATCCTCGGCATTGGCGCAGGCCTGCTCGCGGCTCATGAAACTAAGACCAACACGGGCGTAGACGGGCTTGTCTCCGTTAACAAAGCGAACAAAGGCGCCGCCGGGCAGAGGGTAGCCGTTGATGGAGCGAGAAATCTTGAGTTGGTGAACATCAGTGCTGGCGCGGCTATCGGCGTAGACGCCGCTGTCGGCAATGTCGGCACCGTGAAAGTCGGTACAGAAAAACGGCTGGTATTTGCCTTGGCCAAAGCTGGCCACGAAGATGGCACTGCCCGTGATGCGGCCGGTCTCGGGGTCGACTTGAATAGTGCCGTTGTCTTGTCGCGAGTCGGAAAGGTCGCTGAGATCCTGGAGTATAAGCGGCTTGTCGCCCGCAGCAGCGCCCTTGAAGGTGAAGCGGAACAATGCGGTGTGTTTTGTAGCTGTCATTTCAACCTGGGGTCCGCTCTGCAGAGTGATGCCAAAGTATCCCGGTTTCGCCTTGACGCTCTCGTTGGCAAACTTGCCAAAGGTGGCACGCGTCTTCTTGGGGAACGCGCAGTTGTTCACATCACCACCCTTACACGTGTTGTATGGGAACAGCGGAAAGTTCCCCAACGACGGCGCACCACCGGTTCCCGAGTCGTGAAGAAGACTGAAGCCAGATACTGGCGCACCGTCGAGAGTAAACCCGCCTTGGTTGCTGCCGCTGGTCGTGTCTGCAACCGCCTTGGCCATGCCATACGGCACAGTTGCGCCGGGAAACACGTTGCCGCCATTACTTGCCCCGATCAGTGTGTCGACGTATTGAAGGGGGTCGATGCGACCGAGCTCTTGGGCATGGGCTCGTGGGAAAGGGGCAAGCAGCATGGCAGAAAGCCAGCCGAGCGTCTGCGCATGCACCATTGTTGTTCTCCTTGTCCCCGAAAGGGAGAAAGCGATGGGAACGGAAAATGGCTTCAGCCTACGAGGTTGAACCAGACGCGCCCAGGGTGAAGCCCATGTTTGTGCCGATCCATGACTTTATACGTGTATGAACACACGGAGTGCTACCAGACAAGACTGGTTTACCTTGATAATCGGCATTGTTTTGGGGAATGTGAGAGGCCGGGAGGAGAACCCTCAGATGACATCTTGCAATGGCCATCTTCGACCAATGTCTTGGATGCGTCCACATCACCCTTGCCAGTTCGTTCAATATTGTCGTTGCATCGCGTCGTCGGTAATGCCACGGCCAATTCTGTGCCACCCTGGCAGGATGGATAACGCAGATCACGATATCCGGACGGGTTAGCCCTCGTCGGATTCTGTGCGTCGTGTGTCTCGCCTGTGCAACATTGTTAGATCATGAGCTCCTCATGGCAAGTGACGATGCACCCACACCACACTCATGGCGGAATCGTTCTACGCCATGGGTTCACATGATGAACCGTTGCATTTGCCCCCGGTCCGGGTCTTGGGGCAGGACGGGATATTCTCCTCCGTATACGGAGTAGTCATGGCACAACCCGCACAACGTTTCCCGTCTTCAATGTTTCCATGAATCCGCAAAGCCATCTCCGTCGTGTGAATTATACCAGTGCCATTCCCTGCTCTTCATTCTGGACCCACTCGTCGGCAATCATCAAGGCGCGCCGCCCGCGTCTTGTGTCTTGGTGGCGCCCAGCCATGGCAAGGCATTCAGGGCAATCCTCCTGATAGGTTCTCTGTTGCTGCTAGTGAGATTGGCCAAGCAGGGCCTCGCTCAGGGGGTTATCGTCATTATTGGCTCTGAAATCCTTGGCGCAGGGGCAACATTGAATCCAATTTTTATACAAGAATACCAGACTGCAGGCTACGGCATTGACAGTGCGACAATGGCACCAAGGAATGTATTCAAGTAGCTGCTGTGTAAAGGACTCGGACGAGATACAGGAACAATCCAATCTCCATTTGTGCAGTTCAGCAATAGAGAAGAAAACTAAATTTTAGGGCGCACTGCGGGCATGCAGCGAACTGCCATTGACCGCCAGCGCAACACTCGGGTCAACTTGGTCCAACAGGATTTGATACAGTGAGTCGATTCAAGCATGACACAATCCATTTCGATCCCTCCTTGACAAAGGGGTGCCTAAAGCGGGTAGACAAAGCGCAAGTTCTGGCCATCAGTCAGATCCAGATCCTGGTCATTCAACTGCAAAATCTCGCTGCCAGTGTCTAGGCCTTCTACTTCCGAGTCGCTGCCTCGCGTCTCCTCGAGTCTTGCCGCCCGCTGTTTGTTCTGGTTGACAAGATACCATCGGATGATGAGACACATGATGGGTGAGATGAGCCAGAATGCCGTCATGAATGCCCAGGGAAGAAGATACCGGGGCTTGTATTTCTCTTGCCAGAATCTGTTGCCGCACAAAATGAGTCAGTTTACGCACATTGCTACATGTGGCTGCGCGCAGATGGACGTCGCACGACTTACTCGGGCGATATCATGTTGGCGACGGATGCCGCGACGATGCATGTAGACATCAAGCACAGCTTCTTGGTATACCCAATAGTGGTAGTTCCTGCCCACGACAAGCCCAAAAGGTACGAGGGCTTGAACGTTGAGATTTGCGTTCCCACAACGAGCGCAATCTTGTTCGACCACGGCGCCGAGACCTTGGGCGCGCCGTCAGTACTCGATGCTCATCCCCTCGGCTCACAGGAGCACTCACCATGATGATGCCTCCCACGAAGCAAGGTATGTAGGAAATGGCGCAGGTGTACCCAACGCCGAGCTCTGTGCCGTACAGCATGGCTGCGGAAACGAGAATCAGAAACGATCCCCAGAGAGGCTTGGCAATGTTGAACAGGGCGCTTTGGGCCGGGGTGAATCCGAAGCCAACAAGAATGAGCGGCAACTGCTGCGACGTATTATTCGGCAACTCGTTGAAGAACATGTGAATGCTTGAGGGAGCGGTTAGAATGTGCCCACGGATGCAACCACCGCAACGACCAGCAGACTCACATGAACAACCAGCTCTTGACGTCGGTAAAACACTCGCGAACTTGATACCACTTGAAGGACTTGTTGGAAATACCAGAGTGCGTCTCGCGAATGATGCGAATCGTTTGCACCTTTTCCCTGGTCGTGAGCCACTTAGCCTCGGACGGGTTATTCGGCAGGAAGATGATGAGAGGCACGGCGACGAGAAAAGTCAAGACGACGCAAATGATGTGCAGCCACTTCCACGACGAGATGCCCCCCGCGAGACCGCCCACTTGGTCGTCAATGATGAGCTTGTACGCGACCATGGTCAAGAGGACGTTGGCGAAGCTGCCAGACGCCCACCAGAGCAGCTGGACCCAGGGACTCTTTTTCGGAGGAAAGAAGGCTTGGTGCAGCACCGTGGTCGACGGCACGATTTGGGATTCGGTCTGTTGATGACGAAGCGGTTAGGGTCTGGCAAGGCATCGCCATGTACGAAGCTAACCAAGCACAATGTTGAAGACATCGGGGCCTTGTTACGTACCATGCCAAGAATGAATCGCAGCCCCATCATCTGCTTGCCCGTCTTGACCAGCGGATGCATGCCGAGGAGCAGGGCCCAAAGGAGCAAGGAGCCCGTGATGAATTGCTTGTGTCCAACGCGCTGCGCAAGAGCAGCACCCGGCCACAGGGCAATAAGGTAGCCCGCGTAGAAGAGAACAAAGAGGTCGTTGTACTCGCTCTTGCTCATCTTGACGTCTCGGAATATGCCCATGGTGCTGGCCTGGGACAGCGTCGACTTGTCCAGGTGAATCAAGAAGGCTACCCACCACGTCTGCATCAGCAAGAACCAAAAGTTCTTGCGGTTCAGGCGTCTCTCTTCATCTGGCTTGATGGGCTCGACATCATCCTTGTGCCGGTTGTAGAAGAGCGTCGTGTCGTCGATGTCCTGCTTGGTGACGAGGTGCACGCGCTGTCGTAGTCCAGAGCTCGACGTTGGATTGGCTGCAGACTTCTCCGGGGTCGAGTTGTCTCTATAGGGAGCGGCCTGGAGAGCCGACGTCTCTACAATGTGCTTCTCGCTCGACGACATGGCCACGGCGATGATGGTATATGAATATCCCTCTTGTTGCCTTGGTATGCTGAGATCAAATCGCCCACGGCACCACCCTGTCCAGTTTGTTTGCAATCATCGGCTTTATAGTCTGTTCGTTTGCCTTTGGCGAAAACAGCGAGGGAAAAAAAAATCAGTGTCCAGGTCTTTGATCTCCGTTGACAATGCGACAGGCTTGCAGCTGTACAACCCAGGTCAGAAAATGAGACAAAACCGATTCGTTCGGCTTCCCGGTGGTGGAGCGAGATTGAACAGCTAGATGCGACATCAAGGTGGCGTATCATGTATAAATCGAAGCTAATCAGGCAGCCATGTTCGTCTATTGGCCCGGAGACTACCCAAAACTTGTCTATCAAGGTGTCGATGAGCAAATTTGCCTCGCGCATTCACGTCCAACATCCGGGCTAGATGGGGCCGTGTCGGGGGTTCTTTTGACAGGACATATCTCCGATCAACAATCCAGTCCCTAGCTATAAGCAGCGTTTGATAAGCGTGCTCCAGTTCCCTCTCTCTCAACAAAGAAAGAAGCCGCGGAAACCGCCCGGATCTCGTATTGCAGAGTGCACACAGACCACACAACATGGCGCAGAAACAGAAGCGCGTCGCCGTAGTCGGTGGTATGAGCCCCCTTTGCAAAGGTGTGAGACAGCACCTTCTCTTCTCTGACCACCCCCATAGCTGGCATATTCGGCCTGTCTCTGGCCATTGGCTTGCAGAAAAGCGGTATGTCATTGGCCTTCAGCGCCTGTTGTGATGCAACCACACTCATAGCCCACGGCCAAAGGCCACAGTGTCACCGTCTTTGAGCGCTACCAGTACGACAAGAACAAATATGAGCCGGATGAAGACGACAAGGTCCAGGCAGCTTCGGTAGACGTCAACAAAATAGTAAGTGGCAGACCAGACCACGACATGCAAAGTCACGACGGGGTGCTGATCAAGTAGTTCCGGGCTTCCTATGGCAAGAAGCTGCATTATCAAAGATTGGCCATGGAGAGTCGAGAGGCGTGGCTACGAATCAATCAAGGCCTGGGTGACGCACTCTTTCTGGAATGCGGAATGCTTCGTGTCCAGCCTTCCGACGAGTTGGCCGCCTTGGAGAAGGAAACGCTCGCCAACATGCAACGGGACGGCTTCCGAGACACCCAATTTGTCAAGAGCGATGCCCGTGATCGGGAACGTGCTGCAAGGCTTGGCTGGGAGGAGAAACTTCTTGATTTTGAAATTCCAGGCGGCGCGCATCGCGAGACCTTTGACGCTGTGCTCGACTCCCTTGGGGGCCTGACGAGATGCAGCGCCGCCTGCTACTATTTCTACAAGCTGGCTGCGAGTGCCGGTGTCAAGTTTGTATTTGGTCCAGAGGAGGGGGCCTTTGCATCCTTTATTGAGAAAACAAGCACCGTGGACGGATCCAAACCCAAGGTTCTTGGGTTAAAAACAAAAGATGGCAAAGCTCACGAGGCAGATGTAGTCGCCATTGCAGGCAAGTCGAAGACTATTTCTTTCTTTCTTTTTTTCTCTTTCTTTTCCTGCCCGATCTCGGTCAAAACCTTAATAACCGAATGCAGCGGGCTCGTTCTCGACGCAGCTCTTATCGAAGCTCTCCTACCATCTAGAGTCCGCCGCCGGCAGCTTGGTGACGTTCAAGATCGACCCTGAAAACAAAGCCCTTTGGGACAAGTATTCTCCCGAGAAATTCCCCGTAATCACCTGGAAAAGTGCCCCTCGCGCCAAAGACGGAAAGGACACTGGGAGTATATACGTGTTTCCAAGAACCTCTGGTGGTATTATCAAGATTGGATATCGTGGTGTAAAGGTGGCGTGCAACCCGATGGTCCATCCGCCGAATACGTTGCTGAAACTATTGACATTATGTAGTTTACCAATTTTGAAAAGGCGCCCGACGGGGTCCCTTTTACGCAAGACGGTCAATGGTCAATTCCTCTACCGTATGACGACTGCAAGGCCGTTCCGCCACAAGCCGAGGAAGCAATCAGGACCTTCGTGTCCATCTTCCTGCCGGAGTTTGACAAGGCCGACTTTGACACGACCAAGTTGTGCTGGTACACTGACTCCCTGGACAACTCGTTTGTTGTCAGTTGCTCAAGATGCCAGGAGGCGTGTAGTACGCGTGGCTGATAGACTCGCCAGATTGATTATGTGCCCGATTACGCCGAGAATTCCGTCTTTGTGTGCACCGGCGGCAGCGGACATGGTGCCAAATTCATGCCGGTTCTTGGAGACGTAGGCCTGCCCGTTCCGGAGAGCTGGCATGTTACTGACGTGGTCTTGACGCAGCACGCGGCCGATGTCTTTAACAATGCCGACAATGCAACGTCTCACATGCGTACTCACTGGCGATGGAGAGAAGACGTTCCCCGGCGAAATGGCTTAGAGGACGGGCCTGGTGGCCCACGGAACATTGGAGGCAGGAGTAGGTAATTCCTGGCCAATTGGGGTGAAGTATCAGTCCAAGAAACGACATCGATGATTCACGAGTGACTGGCCATGGGTGGACGATGCATGCTTATAAGTCGTAACAGGGCGAAGGAGGTTCTTTACGCGGCTTTGTAGCTACAATAGACAATACAGAGAGTATTCAATAACGCTGCAACTTGCTAGTGAATACATACCACAAGGATCAATGATAGTTGACAAGTGCGTACTTTTACTACATAGGTCCATGACGACGAAATCAAGTCGTTTAATGTTGTCATAGGGTAAGCAACATTGAAAGCGCTGATTAACTCGAGCTCAGGTGCCAACATTGAATGTGAGACCTGCCCCACGTCCTGGACTCTGTTTCATCTCAGCCGTCTAATTATTTCTTCTATTCAATCTTCTCTTCCTGTCTGTCAACACCCAAAACATGATCGAGCCCAAAGAGCGGCTCTGGGCAGGGTCAGGCAACTTGCTCACTGGCGGCCCGTACACGTGGCATATTACCGATCTGGACCAGCGGAGGCATTTCTCAGTCACATATGCTCCGCCAGCTCCAGTTCAACATGTCGAGGATACAGAGGATATTTGTATGGCACAGCTCCAAAAACATGTTGACCAACTTGGCGATGGCGTTTACGGAATTCACTTCTCAGAACCAGATGGGCCTATTACCATGTCTATGAACCAGGAAGACGATGTGACCTGGTATGTCAACTGCCATCCATTGGCTGCCTTGGAGCTTCCATTTCCCATTAAGACGGTCTCCTTGCAAAGCCTGACCGAGCTCGACCGACTAGCCCCTCAAGTCGATCTAGTATCATGCCCAGGAACTCCGTGTATTAGTAACACGAAAATATCCGCCGTGTTCAAGTACTGGTTTATGGAGAATGGCATGTTTCGAACTTGGTATGAACTGAATAGTTGGAGCCGCTTACCTCGCGATCATCCACACATTGTCCCGTTCGATTCTGTCGTGCTTAATGCAACTGGTGGGATTGTCGGGTTTACCACTTTATTCATCCCTGGTGGTACACTCAAAGACAACAACGCTACAACTAGGCCTTTTCGTCTTCGGTGGTTTTACCAGCTCTTATCTGTGGTAGATGACCTGAACTACCAGTACGGCATTATGCATCAGGACATCGCACCGCGAAATATAGTGATTGATGAAGAAGAAGATAATCTTCGAATCTTTGACTTTAACTACTCAATCATGATTGACAAGCACTATACGCCCGATCGGGATGATATTAAGGGTGTAATTTTTACCTTGTACGAGATTATCACTCTAGATGAGCATTTTCGTGAGGTTCCTCACAAGGAACAAAATGCCGAAGCGCTCCTACAAACAGAGTGGCTAAAACACCCTGAGGTGAAGCTGGACAGTGATGTTCAAGCATTTCGGAGTGCCTTGGATGCGTGGGTCACAGCAAGAAAGGGCAAGGAGTTTAAACCTAGGGATACGTGGGTACAGTGGCCGTGGATGCCCAAGCCCCCATTGGGACCAGTGCTGAATTATGGCCCCAATGGAGAAGTTACTGGAAAGGAGATGAAGCCTGTTCCAGTTTTGATCCGGAAAGAGCTGGACCAGATGGGCGAGCCATATTGGGACTGGGGGAGGCCAGCGAGCTACCGGCTGGGGGAAGCTCTCAAAGGAGATGCAGGCAAGGAAGTCGGCATGCCCCCAGTGGGTGAAGAACCGAACGGAGTTTGAACAGACTGTGACTGGATGGACATTTGTACCGTACCATGAGAAATGGCAATTATGGCAAGCCGGTTGGGCATGACTAGGGCAGCGACGAAGAAAAGGCGCCTCAATACTCAATACCATCAATATGACGTCGGTGTGACTACCCAAGCGGCGGTCGGCATCGCTTCACCTGTGCGGCAACCTGGACGTGAAGAAGCAAGAGTGACATCGGAGTCATTGGGGTCTATTGCGCTCTAACCCATAATAAGTTGTTAGAAGAGCCAGGTTAGTAATCAATTGACAATAGCAGGGGGTATGATGTGATGTCGTGTCTAGTAGCTTGGTGGGTGATTGGCATGTGATTTTGACGCCATGTTCATCTCCCGACGCACCGACTCACAGGCCCGCGAATTGTCATCGGACAGACCACATGGGAACGTCGTGCCTGGGTTGGGTTTTCTCACGCGGCGACAATGCGGGGGTGGCCTGGGTTCTATTTCCGGGCATCATGAGAGGGGTTGACGAGTCACGACGACTGCGTTTAGACCTCGTCATCCGAGCCACGCCACGTCCGTTTCTGTCGACAGCAACTCTAAACCCAAAACAGGGGCACGGGAACGGCGCAATGACGCCCGAGCACTCCGAGGCCGTGCCGTCAGACTGGTCGGGGTAACGGAATGATGAGTCTATGGGGCCCTGCGCTAACATTTGAACCAGCATTTGGAGACGGGGCTTTCAGGCGTCAGGGGTTTATACAGCAAGCAACTCGGGGACAGGAGCCCGCAACCCCGGTGGTCCAGCGCCGATGGGTTCTGTGGGTTCAGGAAACGGCAGAAACACGGCCTCGAATGACCATGTCTGGAGACTGGCGTCGTCAGTTCTCCCGACGCTCCGCATGGGATCCCAAAAACTACAATAGAACAAGGGCCCCAGCCCGCAGTCGTCACATTGGCCGTCCCCTCTCGTAGAAGCATTCAATGTTACATGTACCAACTTGACAGCTCGTAGGCAAGAAGCAGACTGTCCCAAGACTCCCAACTTGAGTGCCAACATTGAACTCACAGGCTCACAGCCATGCAAGTCACCGTCCTGGTCGGCATTGCCCTCGGGGCCGCCGTCGTCGTCATGCTCATCAACGCCGTGCAGACGAGGCAGCGTCACCGGGCCATGGCCAAGAAGCTCGGGTGCAAGCCGCCCATCCAGGCGCCGTCGACGGAGCCCAGCGGCATCGTGGCCATGTACCGCGGCGCAAAGGCCTCCAAGGAGAAGCGCTTCCCGCAGTTTGTCCAGGAGCAGTTTGAGAAGCTCAACGAGCGCGAGGGCCGGCAGGTCGGCACGACGAGCCTCGTGACGCCATTCTTCAAGAAGATCATCTTCACGTCGGATCCGCAAAACATCCAGGCCATGCTGGCGCTCAAGTTTAAAGACTTTGGCCTGGGCGTGAACCGCACCGACAACTTCCGGCCGCTCCTCGGCAACGGCATTGTAAGTCTCAAGTCCGCTCGTCTTGTCTTGACGGTTCAACGCTGACTCTCGTCTTGCCGTCCAGTTCGCCGCCAACGGCAAGCAATGGGAGCACTCGCGCGCCCTCCTCCGCCCCCAGTTCGTGCGCAGCCAGGTCAGCGACCTGGACCTCGAGGAGGCGCACGTCCAGAACATGATGACGGTGCTGAACCGGCACCTGGGGAGCGACGGCTGGACCGGCACCGTCGACCTGCAGGTGCTCTTCTTCCGGCTGACGCTCGACTCGGCCACCGAGTTCCTGTTTGGCGAGAGCGTCAACAGCCAGCTGGACCAGCAGACCGACATCACCAACAGCGGCAAGGACGACGACAGCTTCGCCTACGCCTTCGACCGCTCGCAGTACATCCTGGCCATTGCCGCGCGCCTCGGCCACAACTACTGGCTCATGCACACGCCCGAGTTCCACCGCATGGTCGAGCGCGTCCACAAGTTTGTCGACTACTTTGTGCAAAAGGCCATGACCAACCGGCCGGGCGAGAAGCAGGCGGCGTCGGACCACTACGTCTTCCTGCACGCGCTGGCCGAGCAGACGCAGGACCCGGCCGAGCTGCGCTCCCAGCTGCTGAATATCCTGCTGGCCGGCCGCGACACGACGGCCTCGCTGCTGGGCTGGTTCTTCCACACGCTGGCCGACAAGCGCTACGAGCCCATCTACAAGCGGCTGCGGCAGATTGTCGTCGACGAGTTCGGCACCTACGACCGCCCGCGCGACATCAGCTTTGAGCGCATGAAGAGCTGCCAGTACCTGCAGTGGTGCATCAACGAGGCCCTGCGGCTGTACCCCGTCGTGCCCATGAATGTGCGCACCGCCCTGACCGACACGACGCTGCCCACCGGCGGCGGCGACGACGGCCGCTCGCCCATCTTTGTGCCCAAGGGGACCGACGTCGGCTACTCTGTAAGTTGATGCCATGCTGCCCCTTGTCCCCTGTCCTCTCAAGCGTACTGACACATTTCCCCTAGGTCTTCATCATGCACCGCCGCAAGGACCTGTGGGGAGACGACTGCGACGTCTTCAAGCCGGAGCGCTGGGAATCGCGCAAGCCCGGCTGGGACTACCTCCCCTTCAACGGCGGGCCGCGGATCTGCATCGGCCAGCAGTTTGCCCTCACGGAAATCGCCTACGTCCTGGTCCGCATGCTCCAGCGCATCGACGTCCTCGACGGCTCGGCCGCGGGCCCCGTCAAGCACGGCCTCACCCTGACCAACTGCCCGGCCGACGGGGTCAAGCTCCGCCTCCATTTCGCCGAGTAGGCCGTGACACAGCCGGGTGGCGGGGACATGGAAGCAAAAAAAGACAAAAAAAAAAGGCACTGGTGTAACGCACCCAAGCATGTAAGCCGCAGCTCGTGACGAGACACGACGCGGTGCAAATAATCTACTTGTACCATCATGATGAGGAAGCTATGTACATGAACTCTAGCGAACGTATGCTCTTAGTAAAGAATCTGCCCACCGTCCACGATGCTCCTCCCCGTCTTGACCGTGGCCAGCACCCCCGCGGCGTGTAGATCCCGCACGAGGGAGAAGAGGACGCCGTCGCACCCCCGGGCGGCCATGACGTCCACCGACACGGGCAGCACCTCGGCGCGCCCCGTCACCGCCGACTCGTAGGCCACCTCGCCAATGGGCAGCACCACGTCCGGCGCGCCGCTGTAGACCGAGAGGCGCGTCGCGGAAAAGGGAAACGGCCGCGACGGCCCGCCGAGGTACGTGTCGCGGTACTTGGGCGCCGGCCGTCGCGGCACGTAGACGAGGATGTGGCGGGAGCACGTGGCCGCGTCGCGCGGCAGCTGCTTCGCGTTGAACCAGTCCATGAACTTGGTCTTGGCGGCCACGACCTGCTCCGTCGTGCTGGGATTCGAGTCTCCCAGGGCCCATCTCTGCAGCGGGCTCGGGTCCACGTGCGGGAGGCGGCCGTCGTGGACGCGCGCGTAGTCGGGCACGAATACGTCCCGGACGAGCTTTGCCTGCTGCTTTGCCGTCAGGAGCTCGTATGTGTTGTTGAGCAGAGTCGGGAGTGGTGGCTCGTGCGGCATGTCTGCTTTCCACGACTCTTCGACATTGTACGGCGTTACGCTGGCCGACAGAAAGCGAGTCAGGTTTTGGAGGAAATTGCTCAGCAAGGCGTCGTATCTGGTGGACGAGTTGGTTGGGAAGCCGACGGCGAGCACCGAGCTTGGGTACCTGCTCGTCAGGGTAATGTTGTCGAGGTAGAGCGCTTGCGCCGTCGCGGCCCAGAGACGAGGGTCTCTTGCAAAGATTCCGGCCGTGTCATACTCTGGTGCGAGCGGCATGACACGGTTCATGGAGACTAATCCATGAGCTGCAGCCCGTCGTTAGTTTGTAACCGTCTGCCTTTTTCTCCTAAATACTACTCACATGGCCTGTTTCCGTATAGTCCTTGCGCTTGGCTTGGGCTCCTTATGCTGCCACCAGTGTCGGAGCCGAGTGTAATATCTAGCCACGGGTATGAAGCTACATGTGCTGTCAGTGAAAACACAACCAGTCAGTCACTAATGATGGGCTTCTGGCAGACCTTCTCCGGAAGCCGGTCCTGTAGACGACGACGACCCATCTTGGTAGCCATCCCCTCTGGGATTAAATGGCGAGTGGTAATCTACCCAGTCGGCAGTTGCCGTCTCCCCATTGGCAAACTGGCTCGTCTTCATTTTGCCCACGACAATGGCACCCGCATCAATGAGGTTCTGCACCGCCGGAGCGGTTGCGTCTGCGGCCTCATAGTGGTTATACCAAGCCCGGTTACCATTCGACGTCTTGACTCCTTTCAAATCATATATGTCCTTGACCCCGAGACGCACACCAGCCAGTGGCTTCTCGGGCGTGCGTTGGAAGTATAACCGGGATGGGACCGCAACAGCTAGCGATTGTCCGGGAATATTCGCCGGCAGGACTGTAAAACCCCCGTTGCCGTCCGGCACCGTGGTTTCGCTGAATGATCCCTGCGTATCGGAATACAGCCGGTATCCCTGGAATATAGACCCCGAGCTTGACATAAAGTACGGTCCGTCGGGAATGCTGGGACTGCTGTCGTCCAAGGTAGAAGCACTTACATCAACGCAGTTCCTCAGGGCGGCGTCGCAAAAACGGCTCCCTTCCGTCGTCGTACTCTGGATGTAGATGCCTATAGATTCCATCAGCCGGGCTTTTTCTTAGTTTGTGCCTTTCTTTTTCTTTCTTTTTTGTTTTGCAAATGATAGGCGCACCCTGAAGGAATCCATCTTGAAAAACGTCATCAATGCCAGAAAATTCTGTAGTTGTATTCTCAAGCTCATCTTGTCCAAATTTTCCATAATTTGACGTCACCACGGTGATGGGAACAAGATCAAAGTCGCGTGCCTTGGAGTTGTTTGCCGGCTGAGGGATCACACCAATTGACTGCGGCGGCACATAATACGGCACGTTGTTCAACTGCAGCGTGAGGCCAGTGATGCGAACGTGAGCCTCTCTCGTTGATGAAACAGCCAAAAGCATTGCCAAAGCAACCAACTGCCAACACTGTACTCGCAACATGGCTGGGTCGTGGTGCTTCATGTTGCCACAGAATGTTGCAAAGGATCAATGATTGCCGGAAGCAGCCGATTTACGAATGACATCAGACGAGAAATGGGTGCACCTACTCACACCACGATATTTTCGATACTACCCCGTACACTGAGATATAAAATCTTTGGATAAAAATCCTTGCTTGGGCTGTTCACCGCAGTTACATCGTGCGTGCAAGATAAGACCAGACGGCCATCTCCACAGAGCTGAACACCCTGAGAGACACAAAAGCACCTTGATGTTCTGCAAAGCCCCAGAAAGAAATTGCGCATAGCGACTTCATGGTGATGGTGCGTGATTATTCATGAGCATTAGCGAGGTGGCTGTTTAAACACGTCTAGAACAGGACAAGTGAGATTCCATCGCTTCTTAGCCATCAGAAGTGTCATTATCAGATTGACATGACTGTTTGCCAATATCGATCAATATGAATGCCGTCATCTACACTGTAACTAGCCGCTGCTCCAGAGGCCAATTTGACAAAACAGCTTCCGTCAACTCCTTCACAAAAGAGCTTTGTACAACGCAGGAGCGAATCACTGTGCAACAACGCTCTGGGGTAGTCCCGCGGCTCATCAGCAAGTCTCGGCTGTGTAATTGTGCCGTCAGCAACGTAACCATCAAGGTGAATGGCACGACGTTGAGGAATGTATGCGCCTTTATTGCATGCGCCAACAAACTCCGAGGACCCGACAAGAAGTACTATCATTTCGTTTTGCGATTACGGCAGTAATCCAGCGTGGTGGTTGGTTAAACAAGATCTGTAGTCGAATAAATATATAAGCAGACTTGAAGAGCCATGCTGCTCATTCACAACATGATGCCAGTCCGACAAGATCGCCATCTCAACCAAGTCGTTTAGTTCCAAGGAACGACGACATAGGCAAAATGTTGCTCGGGGTACCCAGTTTCAGGCATCTCGCGTCAGCCGTGACTCTACTTACACTGACGCCCGTCCTTGGTCATCCCGCCAACCAACAGCATACCCATGGCTCGTCACACAAGCCCGCGCTGCTAGAGAACTTTGATGCCATAGGCGCCTGGTTTGAAGATGTAGCAGCCATCAACGGAACGTCGATTGCGCGCCGCCCAAATGTCACAATCGCAATCGTCGGGGCCGGCATCTCTGGTCTCGCAACTGGGCTCATGCTCGACAGTATTGGTGTGCATAGCTGGGAGATAATCGAAGCTAGCGATCGAATCGGCGGCCGTTTCAGAACGGAATATGTCGGTGGCACGCAAGAATGGGCAGAAATGGGGCCCATGAGGTTGCCATATTCGGTCAAGTACAGGAGTGATAACACGACACACGAATACACAGACCACCGCATGACCTTCCAGTTGGCAGAGTGGTTGAATAAACTCAACAAGAATGACACAAAGTGGAAGGTCGACTTTATTCCTTGGCTGCAGCACCATCCCAATGAGCTTCTTGCCAGAGGAACCGGCCGTCATCCCGATGGGAGGATTCCAACCCGAGGAGACATCGCGGCGAACCCCAAGCTGGCGACTCCGGCGCCAATGAACAGCGCCGAGTATAATGGCACCAAGAGTGCCATGAATGGCATACTCAAGAATGAGACGCGCCTGCGTGAGATCCAGCGCGATATCTGGCGGGCACACGAGAAGGCAATGGAGGAGAATCTTGACGATTGGAGCGAGCAAGGGATGATGCGGCACCGGTTTCACGCCAGCGAGAACGTCACAGATGCTATTGCCACCGACACGGACTATGAGGTGTTTTGGGACGAGATGGTGCACAACTCCAACTTGGCACAGGATGGCGGACGCGGCGCCTTTGGCGAGACGGAGTGGAAGTGTGTCGACGGGGGCTTCAACCGGCTGTCCGACGCCTTTACGCCCCATGTGCAGGACAGGGTGATTTTCAACCGCAAGATCAGAAAGCTGGAGTCTGTCGGCGACGGCAAAGGCGGCCTCCGGACGCGGCTTTCCTGGTATCCCAGCGCGGCGAACCACACGTACGAATCCAAGGAGTACGACTACACCATCATGACGCTCCCATTTACCATGACGCGGCTGATGGACCTGCCCAAATTCTCGTCGACTCTCAGGAGGGCCATGGGCGAGCACGGCCTCCGGTTCAAATCAGCCTGCAAGGTGGCGCTTCTGTTCAAGGAACGGTTCTGGGAGAAGGGCGAGCGGCCCATCTTTGGCGGTTACTCTCAACCCGCGAGCGCGGCTATGGGAGCGCTGTACTATCCCAGCTATGGGCTGAACGAGAGCCGTCCGGGGCTTATTACGCAGTACCGCGGAGGCGACTGGAGCGATCGGTTCGTCAGCCTTCCGGACGAGGAGTACGTGGGCATGGTGCTGGATGCCATTGTCAGCCTGCACGGCGAAGAGGCACGGCGTCTGTACACGGGCGACTATGAGAAGCTCTGCTGGCTGCAGGACGAGCACTCGGCGACGTCGTGGTGTCGACCCAATGTTGAGCAGCATCGGCTGTACATTCCGTCGTATCACCGCACCGAGCACAACACCATCTTTATTGGCGAGCACACGGCCCCGACGCACGCGTGGATTAGCTCGTCGTTGCACTCGGCGGTTCGGGGTTCGGTGCAGCTGTTGCTGGAGCTAGGCATGGTTGATGAGGCAAAGAAGCTGAATAAGGTGTGGATGGGAAGATGGATTCACGGGGCGTGAGGGCTGGTGGCTGGCGGCTGGCGTTGTCGTCGATATTTCAACGTGATGCCTGGCATGTGCGGAGTAACTTGAACGTGCATCTGGAGTGTTGGAGCATCATTCATGTCACGTGTGGCTGGGATGCGCCCTGCGCAGCAGATGCAGGCGCGCGCACGTTGGCAATTATTTTGTTTGAAATAAATTACATGCAGTCATGTTGGATTCTTTACGCTCAGATGTGCAAGCTGATTTCAAATCTGCCATGGACCATGGACCATGGTTCCTCGGAATGCTGGCTGGCTGCCCTTTTTGTCAAACGGAGGCGCAGGCTGCTGCAGGGTAGGGCCACCCAATTGTGGCTTTTCGGCGGGCCATGCGCAGGGGCAAGTGAATATTTACGGTTAAATGTTGAACTTTGAAATTAATTGACGCAGGTGGTTTCGACAACATCACCAACCGCCACACGCACGGACAGAGCCGACGAGAGACTTTGCCGCCAGCCGCCGCCACCAACATTATGCATACCTACCAGACTTAAGTAGGTAATTGTTATGTGCAGCTGCTCAATGGCCCGCGCGACTGTGCTGAGGGCGGCTCAAGCCCGAGTACCGTCGACGGCGATTTCCTATCTCTCGTCTCCACGATGTGGTTTCCCGCCAAGAGACCAACGACTTCTCCCACGCGATCTCCAAGGATACCCTGGCACCCAATGACGTCGGTTTCTCGCTCGGCAGAAACGACCCAATTGTCTGCAAGCAATTGTGCGGGCGATGGAGCCCCGAGGAGTCAGCTTCCTTGTCCCTTGCGCTCCTCTCCTCTCCACCTTGCCTTGTCCGTTGAGACACTCACTCTTGGATATTGTGTTGAGATGCAAGCATTTCGAAAATGACACAAACTAGCACTTGGCCCAAGAGGCTGATTGGCTGCTCATGCCGTGCCTCCCTGTCCATTCGTAAAAAAATGGATGCTCGGGCGAACTTCAACATGGCTTCAGCAAGCGATGGAAGGCCCTTGTTGACCTTGAACGTGCATTATTAGCTATTGCTAGCTATTAGTTGGACGCCGTCAGCCCGTTTGTGCAACACGAGGTAATACATACATACACGCACGCATGCGGTTTGACTTAAATAGCGACATGCTGCCCCCCGGCACGTAAATCGTTTTCGTTCCGTCGTTCCATTCCTCTCTGTCAACACAGCCAACTGCTTTCGTCCCAGCTGAAATACACCCACTATGTCGTTTGCCCTACACGCCTTGAGCTGAGTAACTGGACATCATCAAAGACCAAGACAGGTCTGTTGGAAACACCAAGAGTGTTATTGGTTGGATCTCGGGGGCAACACACCCGACCAGACATCACCACCACCATCATCATGAGAAGCACCTGGACAGTCTTTGGCCTCGCTGCCGTCGCCGGCCTCGCTGATGCCGCGCCAGCCGACCAAAAGATCAAATGTCCGGCTGGGCCTCGCCTGGCCCATTGGCCGCCCGAGGCCGCCAAGGCCCTCAATCAAATGATTGCGCGCAATGCGCACAAGGGTCGCTATGCCGTCTTCGACATGGACAACACCAGCTACCGCTTCGATCTCGAGGAGTCCCTGCTGCCCTTTCTCGAGGCCAAGGGTGTCTTGTCGCGCGACAAGCTCGACCCTTCCCTGAAGATCGTCCCCTTCCAAGACACTGCCTCCTACACCGAGAGCCTGTACAGCTACTACCTTCGTCTGTGTGAAATCGACGATGCCGTCTGCTACCCCTTTGCCGCGCAGGTATTCGGCGGCCTGCCGCTGCGACAGCTCAAAGCCTACGTGGACGAGCTCATGGCCTTCAACGGCACCATCCCCGTGCAGTACTACGAAGAGGGCGTCCTGACCAATGCCACCGTGAGCCCGCCCAAGGTCTTCCGCGGCCAGGCTGAGCTGTACAATCGGCTCATGGCCAACGGCATCGAGGTCTACGTCGTCAGCGCCGCCTCGGAGGAACTCGTGCGCATGGTCGCCTCGGACCCCAAGTACGGGTATAACGTGAAGCCCCAAAACGTCATCGGCGTCACCCTCCTGATGAAGGATCTCCAGAGCGGAAACGTCACCTCGGCGCGAAAGCAGATCAAGGAGGGCGACTACAGCGAGAGCAAGAATCTCGACTTGGTCATGACGCCTCTCCTCTGGACTCCGGCCACGTGGAAGGAGGGCAAGTGGGCGGCTATTCTGGACTACATTGACCCTTGGAAGCGTCCCATCTTGGCCGCTGGTGATACGCCCGTGAGTGACGGGCCCATGATTTTCCAGGGCGTCGATGTTGGCCGTGGTGGCATTCACCTGTGGGTGAACCGCAAGGACAAGTACATGGAGCAGATCGACAAGATGAAGAAGGACTTTGCTGCCGCCCAGGAGCGCGAGGGTTTGCCCGTGTGGGCGGACAAGAATTGGGTCACTGTGAAGCCCGACGACATTTTGTGAGAGGTTTCTGTCGGCCGTCAACGGTCAATTCGTATGTGCATGTACATTGGGCAGTTTTTACACCACGATAATATGAATGGCAGCCGCTTGACACAGGGAAGCACCCAGCACCTTGGGTAACGAAATTACTACTCCCACCGTAGAATCTCCAGTACATGTAGCCTTTATCCTCCCACCAGGCAAGTAACATGATGAGATTACAGGTCCACTAGTTCTTGACTCCTACTGCTGGAGCCATTTGATGCTACTGAGGGCGGGTGGGTGTGCCGTTTCTAGGCGCCGTCAATCATTGCCCAACTCGGAAAACAACAACTGCCACGACTTGTTGGTCCAATAAAACCATCCGTGGCAGCATGGTTCAGGGCGTTCTGTGGGGGGCCGCTGGTTCCTGGAATTCGGGACGCATGAAATGGGCCTCGTTCGGCGTAATTAGGCCAAGTCTTTCCATGTCGGCTTCTGGGGCTTTGCGCCACGGACGGCATGGGCAATGGAACGTTGGCTGTGCTGCCGTCGTTGATCCTTGTAGAGTCTGAATCCAAGAAAGACTTGACGCAAACGTGACGGTCCAGCTGCGACTGAGTGAGCCTGGCCGGGCGCATTGTTTGTGGTCATACATGTATGCTATTGAGTTCACAACGATCCGAGAGAGCGTCGAGGTTCAATCAAGTGATGTGACGTCTTGTTTACGGGCCAACAAGTTGTGTATGAGCTGAACTCGGGACATTGAATTGGTGTAAAGATTTACGCTCTACCCGCAATTGTTCTGCACAAACGGCGCCGATATGGTTCAACATGTCTGGTAAATTTTGAACACCCGGCCAAATGTCCCGAATCGTCCAAGCTCGAAACAATGGCATGTAAACGACCCCCATATAATAAGAAATCCCATCCCAAAATCACACCTCCCGTTTCCAGCCAAGACATAGCATGCAATTGGACAGCAACAAGGTCGTGGTCTCACTGGCCAATGTCTGGCTCTACCGCCCTGACTGAAGCTGTTCTACCTTCGCTGGAAGCCGAGAACTGGGATCTGTCTTGGCCGTAACAAAGAATCACATCAGGTGTGTACATGTACATGTTACCACACACGCCTAGAGGATGGCACGGTTTGCCCAGCTGGCGTAAGCCATGTAAAGCAGAGTAAGAGCCCATGTGAGCCCTTTTTTGCACAAATCACCTATATAATGGTTGCAAACATCCTCAGGAATGTCTTGCTCTTCTGCTTCACCGACCAAGCAGGCTCGACGCCATCTTCCCGCTTCACAGCCAACACCTTCGTTTTAACCCATTCGCTGTACACTGTATATATCTTATTCAAGACCCTTTTAGCATACCCCAGTACCGACTGTCAAAATGTTTGGACAAGTTGCCCTCGCTTATGTTTCCTTTGCCGCCGTTGTAGCAGGACTACCGGCTTACACCAACCACGCCCACGTCCACGGGCATCAAAAGCGCGGCGCTATCGACGACATGGACCGCTACACTCTTTACACCGGCGACGGCTCTACTGGAGCTGGTTGGCCTTCCCAGGATGCGTGGGCCTCTTCGGAGGACCTCTGGAATGTCAACGTCAAGCTCATGCGACAGACCTGTGGCTGGAATGGCTGGGGCGCGGACAACTCGGTCGACGAAATCCGCGCCATTGAGTCTGCGATCCAGAAGCTAGCACGCCAGACGGAAGTCGACGATCGTTTTATCCTGGCTGTTATGATGCAAGAGAGTAAAGGCTGTGTTCGAGCTCCCACGACCAACAACGGAGTGACGAACCCGGGCCTCATGCAGTCGCACAACGGCAACGGTACCTGCGCCGACACCAACCCCTGCCCTGACAGCCAAATCACCCAAATGATCAGCGACGGCGTCGCCGGAACCTCGTCCGGAGACGGTCTTCAGCAATTGCTCGACCAGGCTCGTGGCGTCACGGGCCAGAATGGCACCCGGCCATTCTACGCGGCGGCCCGTCTCTACAACAGCGGCCTCATTGACTACAACAACCTTGACAAGGCCATGGGCAGTACCGCTTGCTATGTGTCTGATATTGCTAACCGTCTTACTGGTTGGACTCAGGCTGACAGTAGCTGCGAGATTTGAGGTGCAGCCGTGAGGGAAGAGGGCAGAGACATCCCATCTCGTATCTTTTGAGCACTGCTGTATGAATTGCGTTGGGGTTCCTCGAATACTTCCAGTACAAGAATTTCGATCTCATGTATATACTACACCATTTGTGAAGATGTTCTTCCCTTTTTGCCGGTCGCTTGTGGCGCCATGCAACCATCTTGCACCCAATTGGAGTGGCTTATGATGCCGAATACCGAACATGCGATGTTCCTATGAAAACTTGTGAAGGAATAAAACCCCTCCGCTTCTTGGAAGGGAGTAGCTTGTAACAGCATATGCGATACAATGGTGGGAAAAGCCCAACTCTAATGATACGAATAATTGGTTCCGTTTTTTTCTACATGGTATTGTCCACATGACAATATTTCGGGTCTGGTTCGTCATGACGGCTTTTACAGCATCCATTGCGAGACGGATGCATATCATGGTGGCTTCTAGGCTGATGTTAAGTAATTGACATCTTGCCATGATTGCAATTTGCAACAGCCTTGCTAGACCATGGACTGTTTCCAATTGTGACAACGACCGCGAGATCCAATTCGGAATCGGTTGTTTCTACATCGGCCTGCTATATCGTGCAACTCGGTGAGCCGCATGAAACCGCGCGCATCACGGATAGAGCCGAGGCAAGTCAACATCAACCCCAGACACGCGGATCGATCCCGATGGCCGGATACCCACTTGATCGGAAAGCACCCGTCACTTGCTTTGCACATACGAGGTGGCGAATGAGTATTGAAGCACAGAGATTGACATATAAGGTGCTTCATAAACGGCGGGTTTATTTAACAAGTCTATCCCACCTGGAAATCCAAAGATAAAAGTCAAGTGCGTATTTGCTCTTTTTGTTTGAGCTCCGTCACCACGAGCCTCCCACAGCTCCTGTTCCCACTACAACAATATATTTGAGGGTTTTCAGCACCTGGCGATCTCATTGACGTTACATCTTGGGGCAGGAGTACAGCTACAAAGGCATCATACAAAGGCAGCGAGTTCCAGATGGCCCAAAGCACAACTATACAGGTTGCGACCGGGGACCAGGTCCCGGTCTCGCGCAGCTCCAAGCGATTTGTGCCAAAGGACCTGTCTGGCAATCCAATCCCACAGAGCAAAAGATGGCTCTATTCAACGGCCGCCTCCAAACACGGAGGCGCCCTCCGGTCGTTTACCATTGATGCAGTCATAGTGGGCAGCTTTGTTGCCTTCAACGCGTCCCAACTCGGGCGCAACTTTTACGACGGCATCGAGACGCACTACGGCGAATGGAACGTGAATTTCTGGGGCACCTTTCTCATCACGTCCATCTTCTTCTGGGTCTGGGGCGCCGTGTTTGCGATCCCCGATCTCACCGGCCACCCGGCGTGGCTGTTCAAGTACAAGACGCAGCCGTTTGTCAGAGTCGACCTGCGACAGTACGCCCACATTGCCCTCATCTCGCTGAGAAACCAAGTCCTGGTCGCCGGGCCGCTGCTCCTCGCGACCATGTACATCGGCCCTGTGCGGCCCGTCGGCTCGGCGGCGTTGCCGGGCAAGCTGGAGACCGTGGCCACCATCCTCTTCGACGTGCTGTGTACCGAAGTCGGATTCTACTATATTCACAGATTGCTTCACACCAAGAGGCTCTACTCGCTGTTCCACAAGCAACACCACGAGTTCACGGCGCCGGTAGGTCTCGCGGCCACGTACTGCACCGTGACGGAGCACATCTTGTCCAACCTGCTCCCCAACGTCATCGGCACTTTGATTGTGAGGCACCACTGGTCGCAGGTCGTCTTTACATTCGTCTTTCTCGAGTTTGGCACCATTTGCTCGCACTCGGGGTACAACATTCCCTGGGTGCACTCGAACCTGCAGCACGACTTTCACCACTTTGCCTTTGACGAAAACTTTGGCCCGGCGGGGCTGCTGGATGCCCTTCACTCGACCGACAGAAAGTTCAAGAAGGCGTTGGCCGAGGCGAGGCATCGAGTAGGAGGGGACGACGAAAAGGCCCGTCAGCTCGTGCTCGAGAATCTGGCCGCTCTGGAAGTGCAGGCCAAATAAAGCCGGCCGGCACGTGCAAAGATGGATTTCGGAAAGATGAACAGCGGAGTTCGGGGTTGTATAAGCAACTTGACTCCGCAAGTACGTGCATACCGGGTTTGAAGGACATCGCTGGCCGTGGCCAACAATCGCGTTTGCGGGGAGGGGGGCATGAGACACGGGTCGAGGAGGCTCATGCATGGGTTTTCTCTCATTTGGGAAATCGACACTCGAGAGAATGAAAGCCCTGGCTCAACCTGATGGACGTGAACAGCGCGCCATGGACTCGTGCAGCCCAAAAAAGGAAGACCAAGCAGGACGCTCTGCGTTGGAGAAAGAAGCCACCGTCTGTGCGTCGCTACGGGAATATGATGCTCTCTACTATCTGCTGAACGGTTCTCTGTTGGACGAATATCACAGGGTCAATGGTTGTCTATTTGAACATGTTCTTGTTTTGTCCTCATCGCTCTTGGCGTGGACTGTTGCTACCATCTTGGGCACTGCTTTGGGGGCTTGTCTATAGGACAACGTTTTGCTCTTAGATGCTTGGGGAGGCCTTTTAGGTCCGAGAGACCTGGCTCCTCAAATCGTAACCACTTGGACAGAGTAGATGAAGATGTTCCTCTAGCATGTGATACTGTTTCTCGAACCCTGAGCGAACTTGATGAGAAGGAATACAGAGGCTTTTAGTTAGCTGGTACCTAGCTTGGTTCATAAGCCGGACAATACCATTGACAGCTTCTTTATCCGTGGGTGTCTCACTCCGGCAGTTGGGATACAGAGACATGGAGCCATGGACGCACCCGCCGTCCCATGCGCGCAACTTCGCAGGCCCGACACGCAAATTGCGGGGATTTCCATTGATGGTCTGGTCTGGTTGTATTTGGCTTGTCACCCAGGGTTGGCAAGCATGTGAAGAGGGGTCACCGTCGACAAGTCCGGTCGGGTTCCTGGGACCAGTCAAGGTTGACATGAAACTGACTCGTAGCCCCAACCCCTCTGGCGTCGAGGTTGAGAGGCAGCTGAGAGTCTGAGACTTGAGCTGACCAAGGCAAGCAAACTGGTTCGCCCGCAAGAGTCCGGTGATCAAGCCGTCAAGGACATGGAATCAAATGCGGGGGTGGAGTCTGGTCTGCATCTGGTGTCGAAAGATTCAACTCTTGTATCAAATGCAAAGTTGCTCCGCGGGTCCGGACAGCTCCATGCAACATCGCAGTCTCCGCCTGGCCCGTCAAATGGCACGTAGCTTGTCAGGTTGACGCCACGGTCCATCACTCCACTTCTGTCTTTCTACCGTTCTGATGGTTCATAATTAGAGCTTGCAAGGCGTCAACACTTTGCCCGATTGCCCGATGGCCGTGACAGGGTGCCCTCCGGCTGCCCTCCCTTTGCGCTCCGTTCCCCTTTCTCCCGTGTCATTTACATCCCATTGACCCTTCTCCCAAGACTATAAAATACCATTGATCCGTCTCTACCTGTATCGACCCGAGTGCCGGCCGCCCGTCTGCCCATTGTTGTTGGTGAGCAAGGCTTTAGACTCCGGAGCCCCCCAAACACGGCGCTCAATACGCGGCATAAAACACCAGACGTCTTTCTTACCGCGGCATCTTGCCTGCAACAACCATGCTCATGGTTACAGTCAACCCGTGGGCCGTGGTGCTCGCACTGCCGGGATTTCTCATGGCATTATGGACATTTCAGTTAATTTACCTGCCGATTCGGCTGCGGAAGAGTCCCGGCACGAGGGCGCCCATCCTGTCCGGGAACCCTTTTGGAGGTACATGGCCAACACTCACATCGATGCCCGCACGAGCTAATCCCTTTGCGCAGTCTTGTTCTTTTTTGCCCAATCGGCCTATATGCAAGCAACAAACCGCATGCTGGAGCACTTCAATACCATGTTCAGCAAGGGGGACCCCCAAAACCCCCATGTTGTCGAGCTACAGTTTGGCCGACGGCGCGTCATCGTTACCCGGGATCCAGAACACATCAAGACCGTTCTCACGAGCAAGTTCACCCAGTATGGAAAGGGGGAGCTGGTCCACACGGCGGCCAGCCCGTTCCTGGGAGACTCCATCTTCACCACCGACGGACAGCTCTGGCAGAAGAGCCGCGCTCTCATCAGACCCATGTTCACAAAAGAGCGCGTCCGGGACATTGAGATTTTCTCGCAATGGACCGATGTCTTGATGTCCAAGCTTCCAGCCTCGGGACAGACTGTCGACATCTGCGACTTGTTCTACCGCATGACGCTGGATGTTTCAACCGACTTCCTCCTGGGGCAGACTGTTGGTGCCTTGGACAACCCCAACAGCGAGTTCAGCCAAGCCTTCACCGATGTACAACGTATGCAGATGATTCGAGTCATCCTACAGTACGTGAAACCCCGTCTTCCCTGTGCCTTCGTGGCGTGCGCCGAGTCATCTCTGTACTAATTCATCCCGCATGTAGCCCATTCCGTCACGTACTGCCACTACGCAAATACTATGACGGAATCAAAGTAATCGAGCGCTTCATTACCCCGTACATTGAGTCAACGCTGCGCCTGCCCATGGAGGAGCTCGAGCAGCTGTCAAAGTCGGACAAGGAATTCACCTTTCTTCACAACATTGCCTTGTTTTCACGAGACCCCCAGGTGATCCGGGACCAGATCTTTGCCGTCTTGATTGCCGGCCGAGACACGACTGCCGCAACGCTATCGTGGGCTCTCTACGAACTTGCCAATTACCCCGACGTGTGGAAAAAGCTCCGAAACCAAGTCCTGGAGCACGTCGGCCCAACTCGAACCCCATCGTACGAGGACCTCAAAAACCTGACCTACCTGACGCACACCATCAACGAGACTCTGCGGCTGTACCCCGCGGTCCCTTATAACATTCGCGGCTGCAGTACGTCCGGTGCTTGACCCGTATACTGTTGTGAACAGGCACTGACTATCTGTGATGTAGTTGAGGACTCTACCCTTCCCACGCCCGAAGGCCAGCCGGAAATCGCGACGTCGACAGGCGACATCGTCATCTACAGCACCATGGCTATGCAGCGCCGACCTGATCTCTACCCGCCCGTTTCGGACTCCTTTGCCGACGCCGCCATCTTCAGCCCCGATCGATGGGAGAAATGGACCCCCAAGCCGTGGCAGTACGTGCCCTTCAACGGCGGGCCGAGAATCTGCATCGGCCAAAACTTTGCCGTTACCGAGATGGCCTTTACCAGTGAGGATTTCTTTCCACGCCCGTTTGGAGTGGGAGACGATGCTAACTCTGAAGCGTAGTGGTGCGCCTTTTGCAAAAATATGAGCGTGTGGAATACCGCGGCGATTGGAATGCGCAGTTTCACAAGGCGGAGCTGGTTGGATGTCCGGGACAGGGAGTGCCGGTGGCATTGTACGAAGCAAAGAAGTAGGGGAAACAGACAGGCTTAATAAATACATGTCAACTGCATGGGCCGCTGCATCCATGGGTAGGATTCGTATGTGTCTTGAGGCCTCGACGCGAGTGCCATGGCTTGCCGGCATTACGCATGTCTCAAACGGATGACAATGAGTAAAGGAACAGGGGATTGACAAACTAATACGCTTCGGCCGGGCACACACCAATGCGCTGGCAAATGGTTGGTCAATCGTGTTCATAATTGCGTGGATTGTTAGCGGGACTCTGCTTGCGCTGGATATCCGTCGTGACAATGATCCCATTGCTAATGAAGCAGCGAATCGCTGGATCTAGCATCAAGAAGGGATTCCTCGGGAGCACATAGTGGCTGGGATAGACACACTGACTCGGGGAAAGGGAGCGCAACAAGCAAAGAGCGCGTAAGATGGGATTGTGAGCGTGTCTGGATAGTTAAATCTGCCTGATTCCTCCCCGTTTGGCCACCGATTGCCTCTTCCGGCATCCCAGATCTGAGTGTCGAGGGGAGTAGTCAGTCGGGCAGTCTTTTGTAAGCGTCACAGGACAGAAGGCCAATTCATTGTATGCAAACATGCCAGTGGTTGCGAGACTATGTATTAGATTAAGTTGTATTACGTGCCAAGTGTCATACCATGCTATGCCATCCCCATCATATCCTCTTGACCTCAGTCTATTCCTCAACAAACTTTCTCTTGACATCAACCTTTACACAGCTTGGATTCTGGGGGTTTTCGCCGCCCAGGACCCAAGTGAGAGTCTGGTACGTGTAGCCGACGTTGTATGTGGTACAGATGTACCAACTCTTGAGAACGCGGGGATCCTGACCAGTGGGCGGTGATTTCGTATCATCAAGGTAGCTGACAATGTTCATGAGATCGTCCCCGTCAAAGCCGACGTATTGAACGTTGTTGGTTCCGGGATAGAAGAGGGGGAGGGCAACGTTGGTAGACGGGTCGGTGTAGAAGGACATGCTGGAAGGAATAGGCGGCTCTGTGAAACATTGGTTAGTTGACACTTGGCGCAGTGGCTTCACTCATGACATGATGATGATACATACGGGATGGCAGAGTCCAAGCCAGAACGCCAGAAAGGCCACCGGGTCCAGGTTGGGCACCTTCGGTGGTGTTGAGGTTGAAGACGGCCTTGGCGTCGCTGAGAAGACAGATGGATTCAATAGCCGCCCCCGTGTGACATGTACCCAGGGCACGGCCGTCGAGTTCCTTACTGTCCGACTGCACGAGTAGGTTGAATGGCTTTGACTGGACGGTTTGGCCTGCTGCCAGCCCGCCCAAGGTGAGGGAACCCAAGACAGCCGTAGACTTCATTTTTGTCCGAGTATTGTCAATAGTTTGGCGGATGTTCTGTGGGTTGGTGCACAGAGTCTCGAAGCCGGGGATGGTGTTGATGTAGGAGATGATGTTGGTTTCAAGAGAGATGGGTTACAACGTCCACCTTGCAGGCCAATGCCTGGTATATATAACAATTCACAACCCCCCAGCAACACTTGGCCGAGTTGCTCAGTGATGGTCAGTCCACCGACATTCAGTGCTCGCCGGGTGCGTGACGGACACTGACTCTAAGCCATGACGGAGTCTGACGTATGTGGTGCGCCCAACGGCACCCAACGGCAACGACTCTCTCCACATTCAATATGCTTATTTGCGGGGGCAAATACGAGCATCGGACGGCCGGGTCTGTCTCCCTGCATCCGCTACCCGTCATTGCAACCCTATGATGGTGAAGGTGAGCTGGTTGGCCCGCCAGTGATGCTCATCCGATGGTCACCAGTCCGTCCGGCCTCCGTCTCGCTGCCACCTAGTACCTACTATTTTGACGGCCGAGCACAAGGAATCACGGCCATTAGTGGATAATGTCTCTCCGCTGAAGCCAGGCACTTGCTACGTCGACAACTAACTAGTCTGGTGTTACTGCCCACGACTCCACGGTCGCCATGATCACAAGGCCCAGGCCTCCAACTGCTTGGGCCGGCAATGACTTCCGCGCAGCAAAATCAGTGCCTGTCAATACCTAGGCTCACTGTTGGAGTGGCGTTTATCCGAGGCGAAATAAACAACAAGTTCCATGTAAGCCTATGTAGCCCTGGCTACATGTAGTCAAGTGGTCCAAGATGAGCATCTCGCCAACACAACACATGGGCAAGTCCCTGCCAGCAAATGAATTGGAAGGAGGACTACCAACTACGTAACATTAAGGGGATATCGCCTCGATGCCTCTCGATAGACACTCACCGCTGAAGTGGCCGTGTCAAGTGACAACCACAGGACCCTGCCAAGCACGGCAATTAGACGGGAACGAACTAGTTGTTTAGAACGGGGCCGATTGAAACATAAACATGGAGGGATACATATCTCCACCACCGAGACAAAGGCCGAGACTACGACGGAGGAATGTGAAGCTGTGTTGGCGGCCAAGGCTACGAAAACAATTGTCCGATTACACCGAGTGAACGGTAAGGCGTTTCGCATCGACAATGGCATTGTCAAAGTCTAATTTAGTAACAATTCAACATGTAGCTGCACGTCGAGTTGCTGCTACAACGTCACCGTCTCGTTAGTGCTTATACCAGTCGCCCTGCATCGTCATCTACGCATAGTGCCCGCGTTCTGCAACACATCGTGTCCTTTTCAAGGCTAGCATCGAGGGTCATGTGCATCCATGTCAGATCCTGCCATCATCACGCCCAAGTCGCTCAAACCCGAGTGTAATCCCTCCCTTGGACAATCGTACCATCATAGTCGATGCCCGTGGTGGAGTTTGCGAGGGTGTAGTTGCCAAAGCAGGCAAAGGCATAGTTGCTCAGCTCGAATGCGCTCTCTTGGCTCTCGAGAAAGCTACCCAGCGCACACAGGCCGTCGAGCCGGCCAGACGTTGCGTTGCCGCACTGCCCGCCGCGAATCGTGTTGAGCGGCAGGATGCCATTGTTCAGGCGCATCCGCACGAATTTGTAGCTCGAGTTGGATGCTTCGTAGCCGTACTGCCCCGGCGCATAGGCAACGCGGCGGCTCTCCACGGGCTCCGGATCAGACGCGCCGCAGCCAACGACCTCGGTGATGAGGTTGGCCCCAAACGGGGTGAGCCGCGACAGGGTGAAGTGGTTGTCGGCGCTCGGGGGGAACTTGGACGTTGTCGGCGCATCCTTGAGGTAGTCTAGCGACATGGCGGTCAGGACCGAGATGATGATGTCGTCGTGGGAGAAATCGGCGTAGATTTGCTGTCCCAGGGGAAAGGTGGTTGGGTTGTCGTCGAGCGTGGCGTTGACGGATGAGTTGGAAGACGCGATGAACTGGTGACGAATGCGAGCCATCAGTTCCTGCAGGTAGCCGATGCCCTGGGCGCGGCCGGTGGGATTGCCGTAGCTGTAGAGGTAATAATCTGCCCACCGGGTTAATTTTTGTAAACATTGAAGCCGAATCGGACGATGGCGACCGCCTGCTCACACTGTAGATCGAGGACGTTTTCGAAGCCATGCCAGTCTTCCATCGTGAACAAGCTGCAAAAGTCGGACATTCCAATGAAGGAATACTCGTAAGCACACGTCATTTGCATGGCATACAGGTCCTGGTAGTCAAACGTGAAGCCTCGTGGCGCGTACGCCTGGAGCCGACGGAGCGCGGAGCGCAAGTACACCCTCTTGTACGCGTCTTGGAGCCGAGACGCAATGTTGGCATTTGCGTCGCTGTTGTCGTTGAAGCAGCTGTCGTAGGAAGCAAGAGTGTTGTTTTCGGTGCCGCCTTCAGGAATAACGACGACTCGAAACGGGCTCTCCCATTCCGTCAGGGCTGGATCCGGGGTCGAGTTGAAGGACGGGCCAAAGAACCCGAGGGACCAGTTGACCAGGCTATTCTCGATTCTCGACTGCCCAGTTGTTCGCAGAGTGACTTTGGGGCGCGCGCTCCCATTGCTCGCAAAGGTCGGGCTGTATTGCAACTGGGCGACCGAGGCATTGTACAGAGTCCGCCCGTATCGGTTCCAAAACGATGCACCCGCGCTGAATTCGGTGCTGGCGCCGCGGCCAGTGAGAAGTCCCGTGTCGTTTAGGATATAAACATGGGAATTCAGAAACGTCAACGGCCCCGTGAATGCCTCCTTGCCGCCGTTGGCTTTGCTGTAGTTTGCCACCTTTTGCGCAAATCCGCCGGTCACTGCTCCGTCCACGCTGTCTGGAAATCGCTCCGCGTGGCGCTGAAGAGTGCTCACAGACTCCTAACGCGGTCCGAGTCAAAATTGAGCGTTGTCGTGGTCAAGGGCCCTGGAGAGGGTGCGACTCACCACTTGGCATCCATCTGGGAGGCCAACATATTGCACCCCAAAGGCATCCTCGGCGTTGTCGGCATAGACCGAGAGCTCTCCCCAAGATGTGTATATACTGGGAATATCAGTGACGACTGCCGCAACCGAATGGGACATGTGCAGTCCCAGAACCACGAATTGGATGTACAGTGAATGCATCTCAAAGTGTCACTTGGACGGATTCTACGTCGGCTCATTGGGAAAAAAGAAAAGAGACAAGGAAAGAAACACCTCGTTTCGAGGACAGAATATAACCTTGTTTCCATCCGTCCTCAACATGGACCTCACCGAGCCTAAATCCGGCATTAACATGGTTGCTCCGGCTAAATCGGCAGAGGCTGCATCCGACAACTCCATCAATGGTTCTGCCAAAGGCCGAGTTGGGGAAAATGTGGCGTTTCGATGCTTCGACTGGTTGAATTGGGCCAATCAGTTCATGTTGATACATTCGGGAATCCCTCCACCATCCAGGAACACCCGGTTGTACCGTGCTGTGCTTTGGAACGTTTACCAATGTATGTATCCATCGGCCACGCCGCTTGGTCCAATAGTCTGCTCAACCATTCGTCCTTTGCATCAACGAGCGAGCAAACGCCGTGGGACCTGAGGAATTTATACAGTCCTATCAAGCGGGTGAATCAAGACACGGGTTGGGCCATGCTGTCTTTCTTTAGCACTGTCAACAACCATGTGGATGGTCGCTGAGGCGCAATATGACCTGCCTGGTGGCTTCTATGACACCGAGGGCGGGTAGATGGCGAGAGCTGGTTGAAGGGAAAAGAAGCAGACTGGAAGAATGCATTTGCTGCTTGGTGCCACAGTCTGCGTCTCAATGGGTTTTCGGAACCCATCAAATGGGAGCTTGCATGGTTGGCGCGCCTTGCGTCGATGGCCTCGCCTCAACAATCTCGTCAAAATGCTGCGTCATGGTTGTCGGCGGCCGTTATGCTGGTAGCCAACCAGCATCATCCAGGTTGGTGCTGTTGGGAATGGGCAGGAAATCCGACTAGACTTGCAAACAAGACAATGGGGAACAAGGGAAAGAAATACCAAACCTCAGCGCGAGCAAGACAAGAGGCGCGGGTCAAGGTGCAGCACGGACTCGCAAACACGTCGTATCCCGCTGCTGCTTTACCGTCATTGCTGGAGACTCGATGAATTGACCTATCAACTTGAAGCCTCATGTTCCAAGTGGCTAGGAACCAGGATCAAGCCCCCAGAGAGTGCGGGGAAGACTTGTCCAGCCGAGTTGCATACCAGTGACAACATCGGCCAAAGACAGAAGCCATCACGCATGGATAAAGTTGAAACGAATGGTCGACAAGTTGCCAAAACAAAGAAACACACTCTCGGAAATTTTACAACGGACATGAATTATAGCACTCCATCAACTCGGCGTCCCGATTCATGGCATGGTTTTGTCTGCCAAGTTCTGCAGTTTCTGCGACTTGTCGACTCGGTACGTGTGGCACATGATCGACATTCCTGTCACAAGGAGCCGAGGAGTCCCCTCCTTCACATTAGCCCAGCTTGATGCAACAGTCTTGGAGTCTCTAGATTCCTCTTTTTGGTAGGGTTTGCGCTCCGTGACTGGCCGTGACTGGCCATCCAGCTCGCTAGTGTTGCTGTATTTCTAGTTGGCATGACGCCGAGGCAATAGATGCGATTGAATCGTGGGGGAGCGTCCATCAATCCACGGCAGCCACTATAAATGCAACTTGACCAGTTTGTGGCATTTTAATTAGAGAGACATCTGCGCTTTGCATGCGCATTGCAGAATGGAGGCCATGTTTCCCGACTCTCCCTTTGAGTCTTGACGGTGAAATGCCTTCCTTTATGTATCTCGCGCATTTCGATTCAGACTCGAATCTGGCCTACATTCCGACCGAGAAACACCAAGTTGCAGCCTCCATTTCAAGAAAAGGCAGTCGGACGTCGTATCAGTCCACAAGACCACCCAAGAAGCAACGCTTAATTGATCACTTGAAGCGGTTTTGGGCACTTCATCTTGTCTTGTGGATATGCATCACCGTCCTGGTTGTGTGTCTCGCGTGAGTGATCCCTCCCGAGTCCAGACACAAGCCCTGCACAAGCTCTCCGCGTGCCCTACACAGTAGCAGTATATTAATGGTCCCCTTTTCGGACAGAATTTTCGTCGTTGTGCCCGTAATTGCCCAGAGAAAGGTTGACGACGCCAACTATGAGATTCAAGGCGTCAACATTCTCGACCCGAAACCGAATTCGGTTCTGATCCAAATCAATTCCACCATCCAGACAGACGGCCAGGTCAAGGCAGAGGTCGACTCCTTTGAGGCGAATCTAGCGCTGGCCAATGTCCCGAATGCGCAGCCTTTCATGACTCTCACGTTCCCCAAGACCAATGCCAACAAGTTCCAGGTTGTGAATATCAGTCAGATTGTCGAAATCGCCGACCAAAATGCTTTGCAACAGTTCAACCACGCGCTTTTCCAGAACCGCACGCTTAGAATCACCATGTATGGAAAGACAAGCGTAAAGCCCGCTGGCATGAGCAAAAAGTACCCGGTCAACGTTCGCAAGACCATAGAGTTCAATGGACTCAATCGGCTGAATGGCACAAAGCTCCAAGATACAAGTCTCTCACTTGATCGAGACGCGCCAAACTTCAACGCCACAGCCGTTATCGTAAACCCATCCTACTATACCCTTGACATGGTATGTTGAAGATGCTGGCTCACCTACGACATTGCACCCTTTTGTTTCTGTGCTCCTAAACTGTTGCAATGTGGAATGCTGCTAAGAGGTTTTGTTAGGGCAACGTCACACTACAGAGCTTTGCAGACGGTCAGCCCGTCGGAAATGTTGCCATTGCCAACTTGCTCCTTCGCCCAGGCAAGAACATGTTTCCCATTGAGACGCGCATAAACCAGACAAGAATAGCGCAAATTGTCGAAAACCCAGCCTATTGTACGACCGGCAATATTCCTTTTAAGCTCCAGGGAAAGAGGATTCAAAACCATGGCGAGGATATTACGTGGCTGGCGTCATCGCTGAGTAACGCCAACATGATGGTAGATGTCAGCATTGCAGCAATGATGGGAAGCTTGGAAAGTGCGAATTTCTGTGTTTAACGGCCACACATGGAAACTGTTGGTGTGTTACTTGTACAAGTCAATCTGTAGTGCAGCCTGACATAGGGCATCTGTTACCGCGGCTTTGAAAGTTCATGTATCGGGGGCTTTGGCGCAATGGGAACTCTGCAATTTGGGACATGCAGTATGCCGCGCAAGACGGTAAAAATGATCAAGAATAAAAAAGAGAATTATTACTCTTTCCCGCAAAGCTAAGCTGCCAATACCGAGATACATCTTCTCACCCGGTAGAGCGTTGCACTTGGCTTCTCACGAAGAAACCCGCCATGTGTTCACTGTTCAGAATTCAACTATATTCAACAAGAGTAAAATCCACTACGCTTACACATGTACAAACTCCATATGCATCATGCAAAACTTCTCACTACGTAATCACCAAGCAAGCAGCGACGGTGGCCAAAGCAGCGGAAGTGCTGCCCAACAGCCGCAGACCAGCACTCTTCGATGTCCCCTTGACATCTACGGCTGTCCCGTACAGCTGCGGCTCGTACATCTTGGCAGGGGGCCGTTCATCTATCGTGCCATTCCAGCAGTACCGCGAGAAGCACTGGTTGCACTTGTCCGGGACGGGCGTTTTTGTCCGCTCAAAGCTGCGCTGCAGCATGGCGCAACTCACACAAGTCGGCCAGTCTGCATCCCGCGTGCCGTTGAGTTGCGTCGCAACAGCCCAGCCATTCGAAATCATGGCATCGCGCTCGCTGTTATTGACGCTCAGCGAAAAGGTAGAAATGTTGGAGTGGAACTGGTACGGGTAGTTGGGCAGATAGACTATGAGCGGCGCGGCATTCGTCGTATTGGTAGCGTTGCAGCCAAAGAATGTCGGCTTGGTATTGAGGCCGAGATTGATAAACGAGTTGCGGCCAGGCACGACGGGGAAGCTCGTGCCGTTGGAGACGGGACTGAGGGAGCGCTCGTACGTCCTCATGGGCGCGGCGCCGTCGGGCCATGCATTCGTGTCGGCGGACGAGTCGACCGAGAAGACGACGTCGACTTTGCGCTCCAGAAGGAGGTGCGGATGGTATGGAACGTTTTGCCCGTCCTCGCCGCCGTCCACGAGCGTAAGACGATCCGACGTGGCGGCCTTGTTGACGGCCTTGTTCCAGCCCTTGAATGGATTCGGCGTCCAGTCGGCAATGTCGTCGTCGGCGTCTCCGAGGGCCGTTAGTATTTCGAGAATAATCTTGACCACAAACTTGGGCACGTCTGCTGGAATGTATTTGCTTCCATTTGAATCCTTGAGTCGAAGAATAATCTGGTTGAAGAGACTGCTGGATGTGCCCATGACAAAGCCAACGTTGTCAAAGCCAGCGATGCACTTTTCGGAATCGGGCAGCTTGCCGTTGTTGAACTTGGAGCCCACGTACTTGAGGGGGACAAACCCGTTGAGCGAAGGGTCCGTTGAGCCAAGTTCCCACGGGTTGAATTCGAACAAGGCGTCATCAATCGTCGTGTTCTTCTCCCCCGGAGCACGACTATCTGCAACAAGGAACGGGAGCGGCGCTTTTGCAGCAGAAAAGTCCGAGTCGTCGGCGATGGATGAAAAGGTATAGCTTGGACCACCACCCTCGGCGTTGACGAGTTGGAACGACAACATTCGGCCCCAGTAGTCAGTGATCGATCTGTTGAATCCAGCGTCGTGCTTTTTATCAGCCTCGTCAAAAACGGTCTTGTAGTAGTCTTTGAAACCCTTGGGGCCTTTGCAAAACAGTTAGCACGTCTCGGGCATCTTATAGGTGCAGCAATACTCGCCTTCCAAGATGGATTGTCCAAATTGCCAGATGGTCCCCGAGTTGACTGCATTTTGCACGGTAGTAAAGTTGTTGGTATAGATACTACCAACAAGCCAGCCTCCCCCGGACAAGCCCGAGATGTAAGTCGCAGTTTGCAGGAGACCTCCGATATTGCCCTTTGAGGTGCTGCCCGGAGATCTGCTGTCGAACGCCGCGACAGCCCCAGCGCCATTCAGCATGGCGCGATAGCCGCCGCCAGAAACCGCGATGCCGATGTTGGGCAGAGCAGTTGAATTAGCCGTGGCTCCGCTCAAGTATTTCTCGCTGTCGAATCCCGGTATCGCATTTCTTTGAAGAAAGTCCCGGATATGGGATATAGTCTCGGCTCGCCGTCTAGGGAGCCACTCTTTCTCCTGGGGACTGAGAGAAGATCCGACACGGATCTCTGGTCTGGTGCTCGGGCAGTCGACTGCTGCCGGCGCGTATCCGTCCGGGGCCTGAGGTGTTGCCCGTTCCACCAAGGAAACTAACTTTGGTCAACGAGCTGCATTCGTCGGGGCCGTTGTGCCACATGTGGTGACATTCAACTTACACGCTTGAGGAGGGCCGCTTCCTGGGTAGACGGCAGCGGCATGGGCAAACCATGGCGGTGTGATTCCCGAGAGGGCAGACGCTGCCGCGAGAATCAATGTCGGATGATGCATTGCCGGGTTGTCGAATCCAGATTTCCCGACCAACTGTCCTGAGGGAGCAAGGCCTCCAAGCCTGAAGGCCCAGCAGGGACAAATACGTAACGACTTTGCGTGCCGGGCAGAAGCTGTTGAAAACAACAACGGCAAAAAACAAAAAAGAAGCTGCAGCAACAACAAGTACAAAACGACAAGGCAAGAGTATCGAGTAAGCGCTGCAGACACTCGTAGGGGCAGGGAAGCCCAAACTGATATATGACCTCGCCATGCTCGCGGACCCCTCGGATATTGGACCGACTCGGCCAATTCCGCAAGAGACCGAAACGGGCGACGCAATGTTCATTTGGGATTCAGCCAACAGGGCGCAGCATCTGCGTGTAAGATGCTGTGGAGTGTGAAGCACCAGTTGAATGGCTCGACGGGCGGGTGATGGGATGGCGCAGCCGTGGCGTTTGGCATTGTGTCGGACCCTTCGGTTGCCCGTCAATGGAGGACCCTGCGTGAATATGCCCGAAAGAGGAAATTCTAGTGACATGGATGCTTGAGATATTGGTGCCCGACTACGCCGGGGCGGTGGTTTGGCGCGGGTGGAATCGCCAGCACAACCGTACCGGACTTCTTTTGTTCCAACAAGGAAAGGCCTTTGGCCGATACGTCGCGTCTTTTCGTTTGTACATGAATGACCTGTCCGGTCTACACCTTGCCGTTATGAATGAGCCGCCCTTGTGGCCCCTGAGACGTGTTTCAGTCCTTACACATGCACCAACATGGAGCAGACAAGAAGCAGACAAGAAGCAAACAAGTCTTGACACGAATCACACGTCAGCTACGGATGCTGTTTGGTTGTTTCGCTTCTCATATACAGAGGCTTCCCAACATTAAAGCCAAGCTTTCGTTGTTCCCCGACTTGCCGTGCGTTCCGTAAGCAACACACTTGGTGCCGTCGGTGAACCATGCGCAGCCCCATTACTACAGTAGTGCCGGTGTAATATTCGCGTGTACAACCCACTGGTTTGGAATGCCCTTTATCAGAGGATCCACCACTAAGGCTGAATCTTACCGGCCGTTTGTTGTTACGTAGTATTGCCGTCGTAACTTTGTGGCTAAGCACCAGGCTCGATCTCATGGCCTTGTCGGACTGGTTCCGCAGAGGGAGAGCGACAAGTATTTGAACGCATCTCTGCCGTCGTATTTTTCATGACCCGAACCCTTCGGATTACATAGAATTGATCGTGGTGTTACCCTAACCCTACCGTGTGGTGTTGTATGAGGTGTTAAAATGGTGTAGAACCTTGGTACTTGGAGAACCAGACTCGTGATTTTCTGTGACACATCAACACTGTAACTGCATTGGATTGTAGCCCTCATTGCAACAGAAGATATTGACTTGACAGATTCCGCTGCATCGTTTCTGTCGGTCCGTGCCGTCACCTCAAGCTATTCCTTTGAATGTTTTCCAGTCTTTGCAAAAGACCTAGGGTAAGTGGGGCAGCAGCTCATCTGCTCGTCAATGGCCATGAGGCTAGATGACCAGAGGGATTGTGGATGACTAATTCGGATACATCGGCAACGATGCCGAGATGGCTTTTGACCTTGGAAATCCTATGCTCTACTCCATCACAACATCAAGTATCCATTTCGGCAACATCCCGAAACTCGAATCCAGCTACTGAAATGTCCACCACGCGCCGGGCATCCTCCGTGCGTGGATCCACAACGCCGAAACGACCAAGGCGTGCATTGTTGGCAGAAAATGCCACCCAGGACAGTGCCGTGGGTGATGCTCCCAGGCGAGCTCCCATGGCCTGCCGCGTGTGTCGAGCTCGAAAGGTCAAGTGCTCTAATGAGCGTCCGACGTGTGCTGGATGCGTCAGACTTGGTTGCGAATGTGTTTACCCCGTGCCGGCAGTACCATACGAAAGCCAACCGTGAGTATTTGCCCGGAACCCAAATAATAAATGAGATGAGACGAAAATATAATTCTTTTTTATTTCATCATACTGAATCTCATCAAGCAATAACCAGAGTGGCGATGGAGTTGCGAGTACTCTCCAGGAAATACTCAGGCGACTGCCCCCAACCGCCGAGACGTCTGGTCGGAACCATGCCTCCAATCAGTCGTCTGTCGGCACGTCTGCCACGTTTACTACATTGGACTACATGTTTCAATGGCCGATCTTTTGCTCCAGTCTAGGAGAATGCTCAGCCGAAACCAACATTCTGGCTACTAACCACTTTCACGAACCAGACCAGCTGGCGAGCTCAGGGCTGGGGCTACCCTTGTTTGACAGCGGTGAGGTTGCTCAATTGTTGACGCGATTTCTAAGGCTCGTCCACGTCATGAATCCCATACTGGACTGTACGACCTTGATGCACCACGGGAGAGTCGTTGCAGAGCTTGGTCTGCAGTGGGATGCGAAAACATGCCTTGTGGTATATAATTTGCGCCCGCATCATTTCCCCTCATTAAACTGAACGTCGCTGATTTTGGATCCTTTCCTTTTGAAAAGCTCCTGGCCATGGCCCTGGGCTCTATTGCCAAACCCTTGGAAACGAGACTAGAGCCCTTGGAATCAGCTTCGCGCTCCGTGTCGGGGGACGACAAGAAATCGCGGCAACAAGCTGAGCTATACTACCAGTATGCGCTCAGGCGTATAGGGATGATTGGAGGGAGTCTGACAGCCTGCCAATGCCATTTTCTGAATGGCATATACTTGCTGTATACTCTCCGGCCGGTACAAGCCTGGCAGGCATTCTTCCACGCCTCTTCTTTATATACAGTGTACCTGAAAAGCCGAGCGGCAGCGCAGCAGATTGGACCGGGACACTATCACGATGATGCTCTGATTGGAGATGAGAGCTGCTCTGGTGAGAAGCTGCGGTGTTGTCTAGAACAGAGACTGTACTGGAGCTGCATCAAGTCGGAGAGGTTGGTAGAAAACACTCGACACTATAGAGCGCCGGCGGCATCCATGTTTGCTGACGATGAGCAGCGAAATCTGCACCGAGGTAGACTTGCCCAGATCCGAGTTGGGCAAGATGGAGTATCCGTACCTATTTCCGTCGCCGCCAACGCCCAAGAGTGTCGATGGCTTACACGACACCCACGACATGGGTGCAGTCGGCATGTTGGCCCCAACTGCCTTGTTATCCGTCGATGATGCGGCGGAAAAACAAGACTTCAAAACGCTCCACGAGCACTCGTGGTTTTCCTACCTCTCAAACATTGCGCTGCTCCGCATCTCTAGCCGCGTAGACGACGAGTTCTACACCAACCCCCCCTCGCTGTGGGCGAGTATGAATCTGCTCGACATGGCCAACACAGCATGGGACCTGGAGAAGCAGTTGCTACAATGGCAGCACACTCTGCCTTCTTCCATCTCGTGCTTTGATGAGCCGGCCTCCCTGTCGACGGTGACGGAGTTGCAGCTGGCTACGTGGCTGCACTGCACCTCGGTCAGGTTGCGCATGTATCGACCGTTCCTGTACCGCCTGGCTTTACAACAAGGCCACGACTGGCCGTTGGCAGACGCCCTGAAACAATTTGCCGACAAGGCCGTAGTGCTCAGTCTGAATCCTCTCCATACGCTTGGGCTACAGCACCGGCATGCTGGCTCCTGGTTTCGATGTCGGGAATCGGCGTCTCGCGTGCTGATACTCATTTGTGCCAGGAAAATCGGGCTGGTATCCAAAATGGGACTTGAGCAGCAAGTCCAAGATATGCTGGGGATTTGTTTAGCACACCTACGTTTCTGGGAAGAAGAAGCAGAGGACATACGACGAGTGCGCCAGGTTCTGGAGCCCATGAGCTAATGGTGGACTTGATGCCGAGAAAACAGCGAGTCCTTTGGAAACAGGGTATTACCAATAGTGTCGATACAACAGGTTTGGTCCGGCTTGAGCTGAAGCAGATTTGTAACCATGATCTTAGCAAGAGTCAAGACTCAAGTGTCTACCACCTCCAAACCCGGTTGCTGTTCAGCTTACGCCTTCGCACCAGGTTCATCTCCAAGCGCCACTTTTCTCGGGTACAGCCGAGTCTTGCCGACGCATTCTGCATCTCCGCCAGGTCGAGCGCTCGGCACGACACCGAAAATGCCGAAGATGGCGACGCCGTGGGAACTCCAAGGATCCACCGTCCCGCCTTTTGACACCATCGATTCCGGATCGCACCAATTACGGCCGCAGTCAAACCTACTTACACGGCATGATCCAAACTCACTGCTGAGAAATCAAGTCTAGGAAACCTTGGAGGGACCATTGCGTCAAACGCAATGAGCAGCCCTTGCGAGATGGGAGACGAATGCAGGACTGTTCATGTATAAAGAGAGCAGCCTGCCACCTCGTCATAAACTACCTTGGCCATCAGACGACATCAACTCCTATTCCGCAACACAACACCAAAGACTCCTTATTCTGTGACCCCCCAGCCCGATTGGTTCCGTGTGTCGATTACATCATGGCAGCATATCTCACGCAGCGCATCTCGCACCCTCATCACGGTATCCCCGTCTCGCGTTCCGAAACCCCAGCCCCCGAGAAAACCGCCAAATGCCTTGCTCCTATTCCCAATGTCGCTGCCAAAGGCGTCCCGTTCTTCACGCCAGAGCAGGATCCGGTCGCTGGCAGCGCCGTAGATCCCCAACCCTCTGGTAAACCCATACCCAAGCTCTTTACACCACTCAAAATCAGAGGCATCACGATGCCAAATCGAATCTGGATGAGCCCCATGTGCCAATACAGCGCTCACGAGGGTTTTCACACGCCCTGGCATATTACCCACTATGGCGGCATGATTCAGCGAGGCGTAAGTCCCTTGTCCCCCCCATCTTGTTTGTCGTTGCGCAAGGCTGAGACATGGTACAGCCCGGCCTCATGATGATTGAGGCCACTTCTGTCCAGCCAAACGGACGCATCACCCCAGAAGATTCGGGAATCTGGCTCGACGCCCACGTGGACACGCTCAAGAAACACGTCGACTTTGCGCACAGCCAAAACGCCCTCATCGGCATCCAACTGGCCCACGCCGGCCGAAAGGCCTCGACGGTCGCGCCCTGGCTCAGTTCCGGCGCGACCGCCACCGACGAGGTTGGAGGCTGGCCGTCGGACGTCGTCGGGCCCAGCGACGCCCCCTTTGCCGAGCACTATCCGACGCCGCGGGCCATGAGCCTGGCCGAGATTGACCAGTTCAAGCGCGACTTTCTCTCCGCCGTGCGCCGCGCCGTCCGCGCCGGCTTCGACGTCATCGAACTTCACTTTGCCCACGGCTATCTCGTATCGAGCTTCCTGTCGCCGGCGGTGAACAAGCGCACGGATCAATACGGCGGGAGCTTCGAGAACCGCACTCGGCTGGCCCTCGAGCTTGTCGAAGCGGCGCGGGCCGCGATTCCCAAGGACATGCCCTTGTTCGCGCGCATCAGCGCGACGGACTGGCTCGACACGAACCCCAACTGGGACGGGGGCGCGAGCTGGACAGTCGACGAGAGCGTCAAGCTGGCCAAGCTGTTTGCCGAGCGAGGCGTCGACGTCCTGGACGTGTCTAGCGGCGGCAACCATAGCCATCAGAAAGTGATTGGCGGACCGGGCTACCAGGCCCCTTTTGCAAAGGCCATCAAGGCGGCTGTCGGGGACGCCATGTTGGTGAGTTCCGTGGGGAGCATCAAGACGGGAGAGGTTGCCCGGGATATCATCGAGGGCGGGAAAGACAAGGACGATACGCCCCTGGATCTGATTGCCGCTGGTCGCATGTTTCTGAAGAACCCGGGATTGGTGTGGTCCTGGGCGGATGAGTTGGGCGTCACTATCCATGTCGCTCACCAGATTGGATGGGGTTTTGGTGGGAGGGCCTCGAAGAAGTCTGGCAAGAGCACGGTTCCTTGATTCAACAACGGCTTTGTTAGAGTATAGAAGAGAGAGATTGCATATAGAAAGAATGACGTATAGTATTTTGGCTTGAATTCTTGCATCGTGTGTACAATTTTACCGTTGAGAACACTTCACAATGATGCGTATAAGAGGCGTTTGAGCGCGTCGTTGGGCATTCGAATGGCCGAATAGTCACACGCGGTTCGACAGGGCATTGATTACAAGGTGATGCAAAAGTCTCAAATGGAAATTGCTCGTTGTGCTTGCTTCGCTGCTAGAACATATGACTAGCACTTGGCAGATAGGTCAACTGGTAGAATCGCATATATGTACAGAAAACTGAACCAAGGGTGGCCGATGATGCCTCCATTTGCTCTTGTACTTTATAGGTGACATTTATGGAAATTTAATCCTGGTTGAATCCAAAGTAACAAGATATCTCTTGCCCGGATGCTCAGTTACAGTGTAAATCTTTTTGCCCCTTTTGTCGTAACTCAAATCTTCAGGTCCGGGAGGGACCATGCCTTTATTGATTGCGGCTCCCTTTCCTGGAATCCATCCCCAAATGTCGCCATTCGTATTGGCGCCATTGCTTCGAGATACGTAGATTCTGCCATTGGCTTGCACAGCACCCTGAGTCCGCAGGATGTCATGGCAGGATGCCCAGACGCCCTTAGCCGTCTTCTTGTCCGCTCCAGTCCGCAAGGTACGAGTGGTGTAGTCGAGCTCAAACTGCACCATGCGGATGGGGTTCTTCTCGTCGGGCTGATACTCCCCAACCATGAGACGATCGGGAGAGGCAGTGCGGTCCAGAGAAATATAAGAGAATCGGAATGGGAAAGAAGGTGTCCATTTATACCACCTGCATCCTGTAGTTAGATCACCCGTTTATTCACGTGTCCAAGCGTGGGTTTCGAACCTGATCTGAGGAATGACATATTTATATCCCGCTGCGGCGTACTTCCCAGCGCTGATCTTGCCGACTTTGTCACCAGATCCAACCTCCCAGACGTTGGCCATGTCGAAAACACGAATGCCATTGGAGGTGTCGACTACCCAGAGAGTATCGCCATACCACATAATACCGCCTGCGTGAATGCCCACGCCTTGGAAATCGTCGTCGGCCGAGGGATTAACCAGCAATGCATGGCGATATTTCTTGGTGGCTTTATTCACAAAGGAGATGCGCACTTGGTGACTCTCGTCGCTGTACCAGCTGACCAGCCAGCCGTCCTTGCCGTCGTAGGTTCCAACCTCGGCGGCATCGGCGGTTGAAGAAATACCTTGAGGATACCACTTCTTCGTATCAACATCGTTGAAGTCTTTTGTTTTCTCCCAGCTGAGCTGGGTTGTCGCGCCACTCATCTGGTGGTTTCCATCGTCGAAGACTTTGGAAACGTTAACCTGCTTGTTGGCATTGGCGAACATCTTGGAAAGCGGGCCAAGATGCGCGTTTACGCCCTGATCAACAAGGACAAAGTCGGCGCCGTTTCGCTTGCCACCACCTTTGCAGCTACTAGGGCTTTGGCATATACTGAGTGTGCTGGCGGAAAGCACCAACAGCGTGGATGCTTTCATTTTGTTGTGTGGGCTATGAATTGAAAATGTAGCGGGTGTTTCTGATGACCTTGATATGAGGAAAAGGAGGGGGGCTTTAAATATGTATTTTAGGAGACGACCTGTTGGGCAGGCAAGGTTGCGGAAACTGGCATGATGTTGAACAACAGTCATGTTGGGCACACGATGCGGACTTGAATCCTCCGCAGCCCTTCAATGCTGGGAACTGTCCCCGAGCTAACCCTGCGCAATTGCTATTCTTGGTAACATGCTTAGCCAGACTCTTGTATGAACAAGGCTTCTGGCCAACTAAACAGCCCGATCCACAACGGCTTTGTCGATCAGCTCTCAGCTAAGCACACATCCAAAATAAGCCGTTATGCTCCGGAAGCAGCTGGTGCCAAATGGAGTTTAGGCAAACACAGCTGAGAACGAGCATCTTAAATTGGGAAACCTGTGCGATGGAATTAAAGTACTCATTCATAAAGATTCTAAAAATCTGTATCGGCGGCGACTAAGGATAGGAGGGACTGCAGAATCTGAGGGTCTTGGTAAAAAAAAAAGAAGGACATCCATTGTGCAAATAGGAACTGTTAATTAAGAATACAAAGAGACTTGCCTGTTTTGTACAGTTTACATCAAAGCAGCTAACTGAGGCTGGAAGCCTACTCTCCACCCGAGACTTGTCAATACTTCTCTCGCTCCTAGTCACCGTGTCTTTTGGAGGTCAATTGGCACAAAATAACTCCGAAGAACATGACATGAGCCAACGAATAAAGCATTTACTCTACAATAGGTGGTCTTTAGTTTTATTATCAAAAAAACTATTGAAAGCCAAAAAGCCAAGGGGGCGTATATGTCTTCATTTACCCATGTCGATGTACACATGATCTGGATCCATCCACATCGGCATTATGTAACTGGATCTGGGGCATTCTGGTCCAAGATATAAGAAAGAGCTAACTGTGGAGTTTATTCTATAAAATACTATTATATTATGAACCGTGGCAGTATCGTGCTATGAGGATGGTTTTGAAGGGGGATTGGGAGACTTGGAGATCCCAACCATCTCCTATGCCTAAAAGTGCACCTACCAGCCGCAAGTTAAATGAGTAGAATTTTGAGCTGAACATAGCTTTAAACAGTATACTGTTTCAATGATTGCAATAAACACCAGAGTTCAATCCACATAGGAACCTGTAAATACGACGGGTTCAGGGCCTGTACATGGGTTCACTTTGCAAGGCGTGAGGTATTCGCGCAGTCAATCAAACCACATGCACAATACGAGACTTAAATTCGGGCCGGGAACCTGTCTTGACATGTACAGGCGATTACGAGACGTTTCCCCAGCCATATCCATACGACCCATTGTTGTAGAAATTAAGTTGCTGCCATGTCCTAAGCAAATAAAGAGTCATGCAGTACAAACTTGAACAACTAGGTCTCTGATCCAGATTCCCGCAGCCATCTGCACTTTTTGCCATGCAAGGTTCTTGTATTTATTTCTTTAGCTTTCTTGTTTCTAGTATCTCGTCATCACCATGTAAGCCAGTGGGCAACACGGCTTACAAATGATCAAATGGGACGACGACAATGCCTCAACCACCACTCCACGTTTTAGCCTTGGTTGACTTTCTTCGTTTTCAAAGCAATGCAGCTTTCTAGTCCATTCAAGACACTCTTTCAGCCTTTAACTTGCAATCTTTGATGATGTTGCCCGCACGCAATGAATCGAAGCGGTCGCTCGACTACCCCGGGTGACGACGTGGTGTCCTTTGTCTCTTGTCGCAAAAGGAATGTGCCCTAATTGGTGCGCAATTAGTATCCCTCGTATTTCGTCGACATTTCTTCCACGGTATTACACCATAGTCTCAAAGTTCAAAAGCTTCTACTACTTCGTTGATTATGGCTCCAATGTACCGGCCAACCAAGGCCATTGACTTTTATTGCTACTAGTATCCACAAGTCAGTCGCTTAGTACCCGTCTTTGCGGCGAGTGACTGTGTAGGCTGACGGATAGACTATTGCAGCCTAGCTATTGATGTTTCCAGGGCCTACCCTGGATTTTGCTAGTCCATGATTGCAAGATCCAACAGTTCGGTGGCCACGCAGACTCGGACCCTGTCATCAATATCATGCCAATTGGACGCTCAGGGAACTGTACTCCCTTCCCTGCCAGGGGTAGACTATTCCAGAGGAGAAGGCAAAGGTCTAGAATATTGGCTCGGACAATTCAGGTCTGCCTGTTGTCAAGTAACTCATGGATCTAACCTAGTGCGATTATTCATCACCTACAACATTGAACAGGACAATGTGTCGAGGCAAGCGACAATGTTCGGGACACCCTGGTATGCCCCCGAGTTCATCTGCTGCGCAGGGGTTAAAGTTTAACTTGCTACAACGTACAAGACTTGAACTGATTACTCTACAAAGACTGCAAAAAATAGTCCCGTGCGGAATAGCTTCGGTTGTGTCTGCGACGTATTAGTGAGTCAACTTTCTCGAATGTACCCACCCTCGTCTTCACTGCTGTGAGGGATTGACATTTCTCGGCATCCTGATTCCCATTGCACAGAAGGATAATAGCGGCGGGCCCTGGCTAACGAAATCGTGAGACGGTCAATCGGATGCGAGTGGGTTGCCACGGTAGTGTTTTTGCTGTAGAATATGCCTCAACACACCAGGGTAGGTGCAAAAGCCTTCTATAAGACAAGTCCGTGGTGAACTGAGGTGCATTCTGAATCATAGGCAGCTTGTTTTGTTAAACCATGCAGCAAATACAACTGCGCTGAGAACCCGACTTCTAAATGCCGCTGATCTTAAATACTACTATTATCGGCAGAGGGGACTGTAACGGCTAGTGGATTGTGTTTAAATATCAATATGCGACCTCATCTTTATCCTTCAAACTGCTCGTAGCGCGACGGATTTGAGAAAGTCTCTCATGCGGCTTTGCCCATCATGGCCGTCACTATTTTGTATTCAATCCCAAACAGCCGTGCGGATTAACAGCTGAGAGAAGCCCGCTTTTGCAGCTTTAGGCTCCGCATCGCCCGAAATCGAACCGTCCAAACATCATGTTGAATGGAAGGTCTCAGGCGCGATACATCCTGGAATCGTCCAGGGCTGGGTCTGGGGGCTTTGATGGCACAACCCGGGGCGACCCTGGCATTGTGCAAGCCGCCATAAGAGAGCAAACCTCTTTTTGGCATCAACTTATGAAGCAGAAACAGTGAATCCGTAGAAATTCGTTTACGGCTGCGTGCGTATGTCGACTGACTAGTGTATTGGGGAACTCAACACGCGGCATCACCCCATTCCTGGCAGCAAAATATTTCGTTTTTTTACGGCCGAGATTTAACATCAGGTAATTGGACTGAGGACTGGGGAAAACCCATATCGCAGCGCTCATAATAACATGCTTTCGCAGCGTCCCACCAATTCCGGCCTCCGCGCAACGTTCAACACCACACTTGATCTCACATAAGAGCCCGATGAGCACGACTGCTTCGCCTCCATTCTGCTCGCTAGCATCCAAGGGCCTACTTAAACTAGCGACCCTAGACATGAACTTGAACTGATGGGTAACCTTCAGAGCTTTATCAGTAATACCAACAGCACGTGGGCTCTGCCTGGCTGGAAAGCCAAGACCAAGGACCCCCATGGTAGCGCCCGCGGTCGGAACAGCACATGGGTTTGCGATTCAAATGCACTTCAGGGTGTTTGCAAGGCATCAAAGTGAGATGCCGCAATCATGACCCTGAAAGGCCAAAAATGCGATATAGTCGCTGTTGCAAGGTGAAGATTTGATGCATGGTCCAACGAAGACGTTCGAGCTCAAATCTCGGTATCAAGACTCCAGAGTATCGGCAAGTACCGCTGAGCCTAGAAATATTTGACAGCAGGTCGTTGAAGAATCGGACAAGTCGAGACGAGAGGTGGGGGAGTCCAGCGCTGCAGGTGGCTGAACGAGGATCCAAAGCTTTCGAGCTCTGCGCTATAGTAGTCCGGATTTGCAACAAGACTGCTTGGCAGCATGATAAATATGAGAGAACAAACGCTTCAGCAATGTATCGTCTCACCCAACGCAAAATGGTCAATACTATTCCTGCCTAGACGGCAGTAGAACCTCGGTCCTAGTTTCCACCGACTGTCTGCGACGTTGACGGCAAGTGAATCCTTGGTTTGTTGTACAAAGCACTATGCTTCCAAGACGAATTGAAATCAAGCGCACTAAAGGGATGGCTTCTCCAAAATGTAAACGATTATTCTAGCGAGGTGTATATCGCGGAGCGGAGTGTAGTACACAAGTTCTGCAACAGGGTGTATGTTGCCAGTTGAGGGGAGATGGGTCTAGGTCTAGCACAAAGGGCTAGAGACAAAAGTTCAAGGGTCACCGGTTCGTATTGCTCAAGATTGGTTGCCATTCCGACCAGAAAACGTTGTCTTGTTGCGTCTTGAACCAGAGTATATTCTCCAAGTGCGTCATCACATCATCCCAGCAGTTCAAGCCGAGAGATGCTTGGGCAGAGCGGGCCTCTGACGCAAACCACGCACCATCAATCGGGTCAAACGAGGATACCATTCCGATGGAGATGGCCCAGACTTTGAGCGAGTCCAGAATGCCGCCCTTTGCGGGTAAATACTGTAGCTGTCCTCTGAGCCGCTTTGCCAGCAAAGTGGCCATGTGGATGTGTGAATAATACGTGGTGCCGTGGATGATGAGCAGATACAGCACCAACGCCAGCCGAAGAGACTCGGATACGGCATGGTGGCCGTTGTTGCTCGCATGGCAGGGCGGCTGTTGCAGGGACAGCAACTTGTGTATCACAAAGCACGTCAGATCGTGCAGCTCGGTCGTCGTGATTTTTCCTTGATGAAAAATGTAGCGCAGACAAGCAAGGGCATCTCGCACGTTGGGGTCAATCTCTTCATGGCCCAGCCCGATGCTCCCTGGATCCAGGTGAGCCGACGCAAACTGCCATTGCAAACCGGACAGAATGCCGTCGCAGGCGACATGGTCGTGAATCCCAAATTGGGGCTGACAAGTAACCAGCATGGAGACCCTGCCAATAGCATTCAGCAAGATTCTCAAGAATTTGGGGACAAGACGGCTTACCATAACACCATGCGAGCCGTCAGTGGACTTGTGTGTTTTACCCGGCCAATGCCGCCTCGCAGGCTGATCATTTTCTTGACCCCCTTGATGTGCATGACACTAGACTCGAAGTTTCCTTTTCCGTGCTATCGTAGCAGGAGTCAGATGCGACAGGTACGAATTGCACGAGGGCCGGCTCACCTCAATCGCGGCCAATGTAACGACTGCGTTGATTGTCTCATCCTGCACCGCCGAAGATGAATGCTCAATTTTTTTTCTCAATTCGCAGACTGAGTCGACCATGAGAGCTTCCGATATAGCAAATCCCCTTTGCGCGCGTAGTTCTTCGTCAAGGGAAGCTGTTTGGAGAGAGACGTGGAAGAGAGCAGGGTCGTCGAGGGCCAAGGGCCACCACGAGACAATGAATGGATTTGTGTCGGTGTTCATGTCGAGGGGGTAATACTGAAATGCGATGCTCGACAGGACTGGACCAGTTAGCTCTCGCCCACACGAGCAGAGGAAGAGGATTGACTACAGTGGCGAATAAGACGCTGGACATGGAGGCGAGGAAGCCTTGTTGGCGGGTAGGAATCAAACGGGTCGTAGGACGTGTTGGCCGGGTCAACAAGCCACACGGGCGACGCTGGACGCACTGCCAAGGACACATTTGAGTGTGAAGATGTCGCCAGAGTGTCGATTTCGTCGTCGCAGGGCCAAGAGGCGGTTCCCGAGGTGTCCGACGAGGTCAATGGCTGGTTGGCATAGACACACCTTGCTCTCCTTTTGATGCAGCGAGAGCATTGGGGCGTTTGAAGATCGCATCGGTGCTTTGCTTTGGCACATGCATCGCACGATCTCCGCAGGGTGGCACGCATGTTGGCGATGGCGAGGCGGACCAAGTGTTGTCACGGCGCCTCGATTGTCGGAGGACGAAGTTGAATTGATGGGAACATGACATCTGGAGCATTTGAAGCTATGGCATGAAGGGCGTATGGGGGCGATTTGGGTGGGACGATGCCGGACAAGGGTCAATCGACATGGCACCTGGCACTGGTCAATTGACTGGTCAGGTCGGCACCTGGCGATCGATCAATTGATGGCATAAAATCAGCCCCGAAAGTTGGTGCTGCCGAATGCCGCCAACGTCTCAAGTCTGCCAGCTGGCAATAGATTGACGTGATATTCGAAGAACGGACCGTCGACAATACGCATCAAATAGCAGCGCACCAGACTACAGAACGAGCAACTCGGCCATGGCGTCAATACGCTAGACTTACTTGGCAACTATCGCCCCAAGCGCATTGACCAGACTTGACATAATAAAGATTGAACCTTGACATGAATTGATGATTGATGTCTGCGCAATGCCTCCAGCTCCATGCACGCACCGTCCACACCAGACTCTGGACAGCATCCGTGACCTTGTTTTCCAACCGCACCAGACAACTGCCGCCGACTCTAGTCTATAAAGAGCCCTCCGTTGGCACACAAGTGCTCCCCATTGATCCATCTCGCGCGCTCCTCGCAAAGAAAGGCCACGGCATAGGCAATCTCGTCGGGCGACCCGAGGCGCTTCTCGACGGGCGTCGCGGCAATGATGGGCCCCAGCACCTTCATCATGTCTTCTCCCGCCGCCATGAAGCCCTCGGTCGCCGTCGGCCCCGGCGACACGGCGTTGACGGTGCAGCCATACTTGGGCGGCAGCTCCTTGGCCCAGACGCGCGTGAACGAGTCCACCATGCCCTTGGTGCCGGCGTAGATGGTCTGCAGCGGCGGCGATGCCCGCGCCGACGCCGACACAATGTTGACGATCCGGCCGCCGGCGCCGAGGTGAGGCAGCGCCGCCTGCGTCGCGAGAAACGTGCCGCGCGCATTCAGGTTGACCAGCTGGTCCCAATGCGCCAGCGTCTGCTCCTCGAGCGGCAGGTTGACGGCTAGGGCGGCGTTGTTGACGACAATGTCGACCCGGGCGTAGCGGGCGACGGCGGCATCCATCAGCGACGCCGGCCCTTGCACCGTGGAAATGTCGGCGCAGACGGCCATGCCCGGGGTTGCCAGGGCCGCCGCCGCATCGTCTGCCTGCTCTTTGAGGCTGGGAGAAGGGTAGTTGATGACGACGTTGGCGCCGCGCGACGACAGCTCCTGGGCGATGGCGTAGCCGATGCCGCTGTTGGAGCCCGTCACCACGGCCACCTTGCCGGCGAGAGTCTGGGCTACTTTGTTGTCCGCCATGATCTGTGTGTAGAATGCGTCAACGGTAGAGTTGAATCAAGTGGTGCAGGAATTGGTTCCTATTGTAAAAGGCAAACATGACATGAAATATAAACTGTCAATCTGACGCCGCTCTCACCCCGCCTTTGCCATGGCAGCACAAATGCATGCATCTTGGTTGGTCACACGAGCCAACCAGACTGAACATTAATCATCTGCCAGGTTCAAGTTGTTACACTGAATTCGCAGCTGAGCTTTGTCATCATTATCAATCAATTGACCGGTCCTTTCTACTCCGTAGCTGTACTCCGAAGTGCGGATAGAACCAGACAGAATGATGGACGAGCGAATGACATTGCGACAAGTTGGACCGTCGATCCTTTCCATGTCGCCCTTGTACCACAGGCAGCGATTTCTGGCAGCATCAAGAGCACAACCTGTCTCTCCAGATGTCTCCATTTGGCGACGACTTGAAATTTCCGAGCCCGGAAAATGCAGGTGAGACGGCGAGGACGGGGCTCAGGCGTTCAATGTTGGTTTCGTCTTGCAGACGCTCAGCATGCCGCCCCTACACGTCAACAGACAACAAAACACAAACACGACGAGAGCGCGTCTGGGTGAGACATCCAGACTCACCCTAATGAGCGTCTCATACCAGCATGCTGGTATTTTCCGCAATAGGTCGAAAAGAAAATGACAAACACCAGAGTCTCACGTCGCGACTCATGCTGGATTGGGTTGGCAGGCCTGGAACCATCCAAGCCCAGAACTCGTCGCGCGCTGGGCAGTCTGCGCATCTTTCCAAGAAATAACCTCACAGCACGAATACGCCCATTTCAGGGACTTCGCAGGGTCCCAATGTCACATTATGCAGGTCAATCGAGACGGGACCGGCCGTGTGGCGGGTTAGGCGTGAAGCCATGGTACCCTTGAGAGGTCAAGTCCCTTCGAAAAATTTACGCACCAATCTTCATCTCGTGTTATGGTCCACAAACTCAAAGTAGCCATGTTCCCGTCTGGCGGAACATGAACTGGAATCCGATTCACCTCGGCTGCAGGATGGGAACGGTTGCCATTGAGCGAGTACAACAGCCCGCGTCCGGGGCACGGTTTGGCACGCGAAATGTGCTGGTATGAGACTTGTACTAGCTTTTCTTTTTTTCTTCTTGTTTTTGTTTTCTTATTTTTAGCTGCGGACTTTGGACCGCGCCCAGTTCTGATTAGTATTTGAGACTACAACCGATTGGGTGAGTGTCGACCAAGACATTGCGCATAGCGCCGAGTGATTAGTAGGGGCATCCGGAATCCTGGGGAATGGGTCGAGACTGAAGTCGGATTATGAATTTACAACACGGAGCACACAGCAAGATCAACTACTGTTGAAACCTTCCGTCGTTCCCAGAAGCAGCCATGTAGAGGCTCAGGAACACAGAGAAACAGGGACAGGGGCAGGGTCCCTTGGGCAACTGTTTTCATAACGTCTACAAACGGCTGCCATGGCGAGGAGAAACAGAGCTAAATGGTTATGCTCTTGGTGCCGTTTCGGCGGATCGGCGGCTAACTACGCGAGACAAAATGCTTGCAGTCGTATAGACTAGACGCGCCCGACATCGCTGCCTCACCTTGTCCATTGAAAAGGTTGACAATGCTAAATCTTGTAGTTTATTTATAACGAGTATAACCCGCAATAAAACTCCCCAACTTGACAACGTGTGGTAGACAATTGACCACAATCCCAGGGGCGACGGACCGCAGTAGATAAAGATGAAGTTGGCCTCGAGTACCAAACATTGCTCACGAGTGTCCAGTCATGACGGGCCAGGTATGGGCTGGATAAGTCGGGGACTTGCCACTGGTAGGCAGCGTATGTTTCAACCAGACCCTTTCAGATGAAATAAACACTTCACGATGCTACGGTTCCTGCCGCCGCAGGGATCTGTCCCGTCCTAGAGCAACCACGATTAATTTCGGTCAAGTCTTGGATGTTTGCATCAACGTTTCTCCCGCTTGGTCGATGTCAAGCATAAGCTCTTTTTTTTTTACAGTTATTGTCTTGGACTGCCTAATCACCCGGCCAAAGAAGCCTCCCTGCACTATTTCACGGGAATTTGAGACCTGCCCGCCCTGCATCGCCCGGAAGCAGTAGTATTGTCTCACCCCGCGACGACAGAACCTTCATTACACGTTTGTGTAAGATCATCCTCGAGCATGCTACCGCCACGCTAGAAGATCCAGCCCAGACGCCACTAGTTATCGTGTCAAGGGGAATGCATCCGCTGGCGGCATCGCCCAACAGCAGAAACTGAAAATACATAAGAATTGTTTGCTGCCCGGGTCAAGTCTACCCTTGGTCATCTCTCTTCTTTTCCTTCACCCATCACTCGTTACCATTTTTCACCACCATCGCTCGTTATTTCGTCCCTCCTTTTTTTCCTTCTTGTTCAACATCCTGGTGACAAAACATGCCTACACATCGTGGCTTCTTGACGGCCTCTCTGGCGAAACTGGCACTCATTGCACCATTCTTGGCGCAGCAGGCCATTGCCGGTGATATTGAGGCCCGGACTGTCGAAGTTTTTGCCACCACGTATCTTGACCTGGGCCATTGCCATAATGCATGCACTACCAAGAAGTGGCATGAGTGGGAGACACCAGGTCACGAATCGCCGCCATATGCTACCCACACCATGCCTGCCGAGGAAGGTTGTGTGACTACATCGATATCTACAAAGCACCCCGAGTGCCAAAAGTGTAAAGGAACTGTCTATGTATATGTACCGAAGACGGAGCATCATGCGAAGACTACCACGGTTACCAAGTCTGTTCACACATCGACGCAACACACCACTAAACCTACTACGGTCAAGACTTGGACCAGGCCCTCGTCTTCCAGCAAGCCGGTGACTGAGTCCAAGTCGTCTACCACCAAGAGAGAGCCAACAACTACAAAGAAAGAGACAACGTCTACAAAGAAGGAGCCGACTACCACAAAGAGAGAGCCAACGACTACTACGAAGAGAGAGCCGACGACTAGTACAAAGAAAGAGTCGACGACTACGAAGAAAGAACCAACGACCACAAAGAGAGAGTCGACGTCCACAAAGATAGCGTCAACGACTACTAAGAGAGAACCAACGACTACCAGGACATGGACATGGGCTACAAGCAAACCACAATCTTCGACCAAGACGTCCACTACGACGAAAGAGCCAACTTCATCTTCAACGAGGACATGGATATGGACATGGACTTCAACCAAGCCACACTCTTCTACCAAGACGTCAACTGCGACGAAAGAGCCAACGACTACAAAGAGAGAGCCAACGACTACCAAGCGTGAAACGACTACCACGAAGACATGGACATGGACAAGCAGACCACTCTCCACCAAGACGTCAACTGCGACAAAAGAGCCAACTTCCACCAAGAGAGAGCCAACGACTACCAAGCGAGAGCCAACGTCCACCAAGCATGAAACGACTACCACGAGGACATGGACATGGACAAGCAAACCACTCTCGACCAAGACGTCGACTGCGACCAAAGAGCCAACTTCCACCAAGAGAGAGTGGACGACTACAAAGAGAGAATCAACGTCGACCAAGCGTGAAACGACTTCTACAAAGCGTTATCCTCGTCCCACCCCTCATTCGGGGCCAACCGTCGGTGATGCCAATGCCCAGTGCGGCAATCACCAGGTCCTCTCATGCTGCCGTTCAGGAAATAGCGCTGGTCTCCTAAACAATGTGCTGGGCGGCCAATGCTCACCCATTAATGTTCTTATTGGTACGAGAAATTCCCTTTACTACTACAAGCAACAGGTCAGATGATGCTAACCATGAGCAGCTCTTGTCCCCCTGCAGAATGCATGCAGCAACCAGGTTGCGTGCTGCACAGGAAGCGCGAATGTAAGTTCCCCATGACTATGTATATCAAGGCGTGGCTTGTGATGCTAACCGCGACATGTAGGGTTTGCTCAACGTGGAGTGCACCAATCTCAATGTGTAAGCCTCGCTCGCCGGCGTGCCACATTGTGGAGGGGTCTTGAAGCCGCCAGTCAAGTCTGGTTGGCAATTTTTTTGCCAACCAGGATTCATAGCCTTGATCGAGATTGTGAGCATGGCAGTGCACCGTTGAGGTATCTTGGGACTGGAAAACGAGTATTGCATTGCAGTCTGGTCTGGTGCAGTGAACCCAGACCACGGTGCCAGGGACGCCACCCACACCCAGAAGAGCTGTCGTTGTGCAACGGCAGCTTTGATGGGCCTAAACACGCAAGCACTGTGGATGTAGGGTATGGTTAATATGTTTTAGGCCAAGCTGTGTCAGGCTTGCGAGCAACTCTGGATAACCTGTTTCCATGTTGCTCGGCACAGAGGTTGTCATTATTTATTAATTTTATTTCATTTATTTTCAAGTTATGTACCTATAATGCTAGTAGACTGTGGGGTCTGGTATGTATATGGGGCCGCCATGTAACGTGTTACCCTATAATATTGTCAGCCCCCTATTATTATTATACTTACAGCTTAATTATAATATATTAAAATTATATTTATTTTTAAGTTATGCACCTATAATACTAGTAGACTGCGGGGTCTGGTATGTATATAGGGCCGCCATGTAACGTGTTACCCCATAATATTGTCAGCCCCCTATTATTATTAATACTGTTTTAGATTTTACGCTTGCACGATACCTGTATTATGCGTGTAATTTCATTTGACTACAGAGCGAATCAACCAATAATTAATATTATTAAATATTAAAAAAAAAGCTTTTATATTAATTACGTTATTATAAGTATAACAAAATTAGGGGGCTGACAATGTTGTGGGGTGACACGTTACTAAGTAAGCCACCAGCCGAAATTCCGAGAATTACGGGGCATAAAATCTCGACGCCTCCCTTAAACACCAAGCAACGCTCCAAGTCACCTTTAATGTTCTCCAGTTATCACCCAGTTAAGGGGCAAAGGGCGCTCCCCGGCCCGTGCTGCATCCGGTGTGGCGAACATTGAACCGTCCAAGCCCATTATGCGGTCCATGCGTGAAGAAGGCCGCCGCTTGGCCGCATTGGGACATCGACATTGGGGCAATGCCAACGCAGAAACAAAAAGCTGTGCTGGCGGCAAACCTGGCAATGTATTAATTTCTCGTCATGCTTGCACATAGTTGCCGTGTTATGGCGCAAGTGGTTCCCCGTGGCTTTGCCCAGCTCCGCCAAAGCTGGGTTGCGTGTGTGATTACGCGCAAGCTGAATCGCCTTGAACTGGTCAACCAGCATGGCCATCTCGAGGATTCAGTGTCGTGGTGCGAGTTGATGGACGATGAGTACATGTGTCGCGTCAAGTATGTAAATCGACTACAAGTGCCCGGAATACCGCCATCATATTGAACAAGATTCCACCCCAACATCACGTAGGAATTGAGTCAACCCCCGTGAAGCCATCAGCAGCTATTCATGGAATTCACCAGTGGATTAACCCTTGACTGACTATTAATTCAGGTGGTTCGCCAGCTTCCCAAGTTTCAGCTAGCCTCTTGAAGCCTGATTCATGTGTTTTCTGGTCAAGGAATATTACCGTTATGATATTGGGTACGTTGTCGGCGTCGGCTTCTCCTAGTCTCGGAAAGGCACCCGGTATACTGAGTCTTGGCCGTGACTCAGTCATGGATGTAGCTAAGCCTCTGAGAATTCAAAGTTGCTGGTCCTTGCTATAATATCCAGGACTGACAACCGCAGCACGGTGCTGGTGCAAATCAAGGGTGGGCGATGTGCCGCTCCACCTCTGGTCTGATCATCTGATGTTGGCTTGGCCGTTGATGGCTGTGCGTAGTAGTTCTTGAGAAAGATGCTGTGGGAGAAAACATGTATTAAAGACCTGACTGCTTCGTCTGTATCAGTCGAGGAACATCTTGTCGAAGCATCCGTCTATTCGTCCTTTGCCGGCTGCCACTCGTGCGTCACTCTTTGTTTCGTATCCGTTGCTCCCCAAAAGTCCTTCTTTTTGTCAAGAGTCACCATTCTGGTCAATCAAGTCATGAAGTTGCAAACGGCTCTTTCTTTGGCGGCCCTTGGCTACGTGACAACCGGCTGCCTCCTCCCAGAGGAGCTGGAAGGCGGGAAAGTCAGTCTTCGCCGGCGTCAGTCTGCGAGAACCAAAAAGTATGCGCCCATAGGAAAGGGGGATCGCTTTGAAGGCGGCAACAAGGTGCCATATGGTATTGGCTCCGACCCTGACAACTTTAAAGACGTATCCAAGTTGTCCATTCTCAGTGTCTCCGAGATCGAGTCAGCGCTCAAGGGTCTGGAGCAGGAATATCCCGAGAAAATCAATCTCAGCAAAGCAGACGACAAGACGTTTGAGGGCCGCGATATTTATTACGGAGTAGTCGGCTCCAACGAACCCCGTGTGTTTCTTACCAGCGGTGTGCATGCTCGCGAGCGTGGGGGGCCAGACAATATTATATACTTGATTTCGGATCTGCTTTGGGCGGATAAGCAAAACGCCAACCTCACCTATGACGGCAAAACGTATGATGCTTTGCAAGTCCGCCAAGCGCTCGAAGTAGGCATCGCCATTATTCCCGCCGTCAACCCAGATGGGATCAACTACGATCAGACCTACGACGCCTGCTGGCGCAAGAACCGCAGACCTTTTGGAGACGAATTTGGCGTCGACATCAACCGCAACTTCAGAGTTTTCTGGGACTACAAGCGAATATTTCACCCCCAGGCCAGAGTCAGTATGAGCAACACGCCATCAGACCACACTTATGTTGGGCCAAGTCCTCTCTCGGAGCCCGAGACACGGAGCATCACAAACGTATTCAAACGTGTCACCTCCCTATCATGGTATCTGGACTTGCATTCCGCTCTGGGCAAGGTTCTATATTCATGGGGCGACGATTATGCCCAGTTCAACGACCCTTCCATGAGCTTTCGCAATCAACGATACGACCGCCAACGAGGCCTCTTCCACGATGGATACAATGAGTACATGGAGCAGGATGATTTTGACGCCCAGAAATCTGCCGCGGAGCGCATGGCCACTGCCATGAACAGCGTCGCCGGCAACAGCGCTCGCTACAAGGCTGACCAGACCATCAACTTGTACCCGGCTCTGGGCAGCACCGATGAGGCCATGGCGGGATATTATAACCAGACCTGCGGGGCGAGTCGAATCCATGCCTTGACCTTTGAGTTTGGGCAACGATCACGCAGCTGGGACTGCAACGACATATTCTACCCCGATGCGAGGCAGTACAGGGACAACATTGTCCACACCAATGTCGGTTTAATGGAGCTTCTGCTGACTGCGGCAGGAAAGGATGGTGAGAGCAAGACGTATAAATGTGACAATGGGCAAGGCACGCCGGAAGAGCCCAAGCCCGAGCAGCAACGCCCGAACAATCCACAGGCACAATTGTCACCCGAGCAGCGGGAGTGCCTCGCGAAAAGTCTGCCCGAGTACAACGCTTGCAGAGATCAGGCGTGCAGAGACAGCATCGCCCAGAAGATTAGGGACTGCGCAGAAGAGGCAACCAACGCAAAGAGCCAGCCCAAGCCCGAGTCGCCCAAGCCCAACGAACAAACCCCGAAGAGTCCAGCGGCACAATTGACACGTGAGCAGCAGGAGTGTCTCGCGAAAAGTCTGCCCGAGTACAACGCCTGTGAACCTAGAGATCAGGCGTGCAGAGATAATATCGCCCAGAGGATTAGAGATTGCGCAGATCAGGCAATGAAAGCAAAATCGGCAGGCCAGGGGCAGGAGTGTCCTCCGGGTTCGTCTTACAGTGCGTTTTTCGGCGGCTGTGCTAGTTGAGAATGAAGGCAGGATATGCCTGTAGCTGGAAAGACATCTTGGTTTGCGCCAGGGTAATACTCACAACTATACCGTTATCAATGGTTGCAAGGAAACATTATATTATACCAGACATTAGCCTGGACTTTCATCGCTATTTGTAAATGTCTATCTGGGTGTGGATGGAAGAGTAATGAGACTGGATAGATCCAAGTATACAAATAGTGTTCGTCTACGTGATGCCGGAATCGTACCGTTGCCATTCTTGTTGAACTTGCGATTGCATCTCCTTCAGCCTTTCTTTCGGCTTTTCAGTACGCAATAAAAGAATCCATATAATGAATTCCGGCCTGTTCTATTCTTACTACATCCCAATCCATTAATAGAGCCAGCTATATGACCCCTAGAGATCCTGATGATATTTTCCAATCATTGTTAAGGATCCATACCGAAAAACTAACTATAATAGAATATAAATAGGTAGCGTTTGTCGCAGACAACTATGGAGGGTAACGCGCCGGGCTATCGTTCTATCTGCGCAAGTTGCACGCTGGTTGCCTCAAGCCGTCGAGTGTTACGTACGCTGGATGAATCGGCCCAAATTTAGGCGAAACTGAAGGCGATGATACTGTTGTATTGAGTTGGTTGACGACCCGGGAAGCTTGGAACGGGACCTCGGGGCAATCGTCCCATTATGCCCGGTGAATTGTGCGCGGAGAGGAGCCCGATGTGGTGTCGAGATCGCGGAGGTTGCGGCGACGGAATGTAAGCTCTATGCCTCCATGTCACCGGGTATGGAAGCCAAGTAGCGGATTAAAATTTGGGGGCGAGTCATTTGCGGTGTGGTGTCCTCTTCACATGTCGAAAATGATCAATCGAGACTCTGCTGGTTCGGCATGATATTGTCATCAACCTCATCGGGTCGTCGATTCACAATTTTTAAATTGCCCTTAATCGAGTAAAATTTAGTCAAGGTTAATACTGTTTCATTTTCTATTTTCCCCTCCGCCGCCAATCAGAATGTTTTGGGCCGGCTTGGTAGTAACAGCAATTGATGCAGCCCTCGTCAAATCAATGACAATACGCGTGGCCATTCCAACCAAACGCAGAGAACGCCGTTTCTGTAACTCTCAAGAGCTCGTTACACTATTTTGCGACGATGATTGTTCTCATGCACAAGTGTGTCTCTCCGCCATATCAACACCACTGCTGCACCGACTGGGCCAAGGATCAAGGCACTCATCAGCCCGCCGACCATGATCTTCCAGGTCGCCTTCAAATGGCGTGCGCTGTCTTCTAATAGCTCCAATCTTACAGCCAAAGCCCACACAAAACAGGCCACGCTGATTAGCCAAAAGTCCCACTGCACAAACCAGAGTTGCCCTTGTGATACGGATGGCAACGGAGAGCCGAGCGCAAAGGGATTCCTTAGCTGACACATGTGTCTAAGGCTCCATGCCTCAGCTATCTCGGGTCTGAAGATGAAAGGAAGCACGGAAGCCGAAAATACCATGCTCATGAAGTACCAGTACGTTGCTGTGCTCCACAAGAGGCCGATGCCGTAGACTCGGTGCATGGCGCCATTGCCCCGGCCGCCGGCTTGACGTGTCGATCCGAGAAACCGCCTGGCTAGAGGATCCAGCCCCCTTTGCGCCAGGTATGTTGTGATTGGGAAAATTTCCCAAAGCCTTACCATGTTGACCTTTTGGTTGATTGACAGGACAGAAGGCGCTGGTAGAGCCGCAAGAGCCCAAGGCAAAGCCATTCCGATGACGATGCTGACGGGTGTTGTGTAGAATACCTCTGGTGCAACATCATAATCGGACCCGCGCCAAGACGAGTTTCGTTCATTCAGCGACAAGCCGTAAAACAGAGGGCTCACGATTCCCAGGCCCAGGATTTGTCCTAATGATGCCATTGTTGTGAAGCTATAAGATCAGCCTAGTGTCAACGCCGAGGGCAACGTGCAACGGAATGCTTACAAGGCAGGTATGCGGTCCTTGTTCCCATTTCGACGGCTCTCAATCATGCCCAGAATCCAGATTCCCACTGCGGAGCCGCTGAATGGAATCATGAGTAAAGACATGTCAGCCCTCGATCCGTCGACCAGATCGTAGAAAAACACTGTGAAGCCATCCAGCAACGCGTCCAACCAGTTCCAGCCTGTCAATGTGGTGTCATATGGGGAGGACTCTGCCCCAATCTTTCGCTGCGATGCCTGGAGAAGCAGTGCATTGAATAGGCCATTTGAAATCGGAAATGCGAGCAAGGCAAAAATGCCGACAACCGTGAGAGTGAAGAGGATTATTACGGGAGTAGCTCCGCGTAGAGAAGTGGGTTGTGGCGAGGCCATTTCCGACAGACTGAGTGAGGGCATTTTCAAGATCTGGAGGGCAAGTAAAGCTTGTACGAAAGCTCTGTTGAGGTATCAAGCGCAATGCGAAGACCATCTACTATGTAGGGGTCACCAATGACCACAACTGCCGAGCCCGAAACACTTCCGGATGTCTTTGACCCCGGACCGGCGGAGATCACTCATCTAGCCCGGACGGGCTTATTCCCAGCCAAGATATAAGAAGTGAGCTAGTTTCGGGAGAGGATACTTTCCCATGTGTCTCTCTAGTCGAATATACTGTGGGTAAACTTGCTTCTTTTGCCATGGCCTCGACTCGTTCACGGCCAAAGGTTTCGTTGCTTTTAGCTGTGCCTTTAAGCACCGTGCTTTTCTTGTTTGCGCTGTTTGCATTTACCGGCGTGCCCAGGTTTCGAGCAGACCCGTCCTTGGGAGTATTTTCATTGTTTAGGACTTTGGAAGTAGGAAATTGTCCTCATATTAGACAAGTCGAGATGGCTAACATGTACATATAGACGGGCACCAATATTATCGATCATAGAAAAGAAACAGCGCCTCGATGGCTGTACCATGGATTACACGCTGGTCCGGCCATGGTATGGTGTGTGGCGATGCCACTGCAGCATATTGATGGCCTTCGAATGAAGTGGCCCATCTTTCATCGCATCAACGGATATACAGCCTTGACCGTCTCTTTGATCCAGTCCGTTAGCGGAGTCTTGTTCCTTATCTACGGATACGCCTACACTCACCAGAACCTACTCCATATCCATTATTTGTACATCCGAGGTAAATGGATTCCGCCATTCTTCTGGCCAACTTTTGAAGCCGGCCTGTGGGTTTATGCGCCGATATTTGTCTTTACATTGGTGCGAACCGTCCAAACAGCCCGGTCCAGAAACTTGGCCCAGCATCGCAAATGGGCGGTACTGCATACTATTGCTGGCTATGTTATTGCCATCAACAGGCTCAACCTCACCGTGTTACTTGCCTTGGGGGATATTCTGACGTGGCTGCCTGTTCGTACCAGGGAGTTTGTATTGGGTTCTCCATCTTTCACAGAAGTTGTTGACATGGAAATAAGTGCCTTTGCAGGAGCTGCGGCTTACGCCTATGTTATAGCCGGCATTTGGGCTGTCACGCAGGTCACCAACAGAGGTCGAACACCCAGCCGCAAAGCCGTGCTCGAAAAGGCGACTGAGTCATGAAACTAGGGTCGTTTTGTATAGTGTCCTTGGGGTTTATTAATGACAGAGCATCGTGGTTTTGATGGCCGAAGAGCCTGGCATGAGCGCCGCGCCAGACCGTCTATGCTTAGAGTATCTCGCATTACAATGCTTCATTTGGTGCCCTACTCTCCTCTCTCCTGGTCGCATCTCTCACTACTAGTCAGGATACTTCATAGCATGTCTCTTTTGTAGTAAATTTGAACGTCAATCTTTAAATGTCAAGTCTACTCGAGGAAGAAAATGGTCGTACCATCATATGTCTTTCTCTTCAACCGAAAACACAGCCAGCCGCTCTTACAGCAAGACTAATATGTTTCCCGAAGCTGAGACCGTAGTTTCTCCCCGTATTTCCAAAGTATCCAAGGGGATGGGAGGCTAATGCAAAGCGCCGCAGCGGCCAGTACAGTATTTCCCCAGCCATATCCCAAGGCTGAGTACATTTTTGGTGCGAAAAGAGGAAACAGAAATGCAGCCAGGCTACGTGGGAGCTGTGATGCACTGATTGCCGAGCTTGTGTGCTCTCCATACACATCTATGAGGTAAGCATGAAGTGGTAATCCGGCAATCTGGCTGCCAAAGGAAGTAATCACGATTCCGAGATCGACAATTACCCAAGAAAGCCGGTACTGGGCGCTCCAGCCATAAAGACAAAGGCCAACTGGCACAAGCGATAAGCCGCCAAACATGAATGGAAGGCGATGCTCTGGTTTAGGCTCTGCGCCGCCATTCTTTGAGACGGCCTTTCGGTAGTAATAATCCATCAATGGTCCACCAAGTTGGGAGCCAGCAACTTCGCCTATGGCGCAGGCAAGGTAATGCAACCCACTGATTTCGACAGATTGCCCATATTGATCTACCCATAGCTGACCAAAGGTTGATAGGACAAGATAGAGCAGACCGTATTCAAAAGAAGATATAATGGACGTGATTTGCACTATTGGGTGCGTTGCAAGAAGCCTAAATGGTCTCGAGAGTGCCCGACGGATAGCAGTGAATCCGAGCTTCCTCGTTTCGTGTGTTTCGATGGCAGCATAATACCGGTCGTCCCCCGTGGCGCGTCGAACGCGCCTTGCCTGCCGTCTTAGAATGACCGGGCCGTAGGATTCTTCATATATTGCGAATGAAACGGCAGTCATTATGCCCTGAAATGCGGAAGTAGCCCAGAAGGACCAACGCCAATCCGAACGTGATGCAATAAATCCACCAACGATGGGACCTTGGATCTATGTTAGCTGCAATGCCTAGAGAATGTTTCCTTTTTGCAAATGCCCCAACAAAAACACATACCTACTGCAGCCCCAAGTAAAGGTATGAGCAAGTAAGCACCCAGGGACTTGCCGCGTTGATCTGCTCGCCACAGGTCACTCAGCACACCACTAGCGAGAGCATATATGGCGCTGGCTCCGAGGCCAGCGAGGAATCGGGCAGCGATCAATAGTCCGGCAGAGTTGGCAAAGCCGCAGGCAATGTTCCAGCCCAAGAACCAAATATTTGAGGCGTGCAATATTGGCTTTCGTCCATATAGCTCAGATAAAGGCCCCATAAACAGCGGGCCTATAGCCGTGGCAAGAGGATAAATGGACATGACCATGGCGGCCGCAGCGCTGTTCATGCCGAATTCCTGGGCGATTGTAGCGAGTGCCGGTGCCATGATCGTTGACACCATGGTGCGGTTGAAGCCCGCCGTGGATAGAACATCCAGTATGAGCCATTTCTTTCCATTTCGCCAGTTGAGAGGATTCTTGTGGCTGTGGTCCGAATCAAACGTGACAAGGAAAGGGTCACCAGGCTCTGAGGGAAACGGACGGACCTCTTTTAATGGAATATGTGAAGCCTGTGGCGGACGAGTGGTTTCGATATCATTGTCTTGGGATACGGACGCCATTCTAGAATTATGCCATGCCCGCGAGGGTACTCGATGTCGAGGGGCAGCGGATGCATATTATCAGGTTTATGAATGAAACCTCAGTACATAGCTTGACACTTGCGGCAACCTACCATCTGATAGGAGAGAAATGACGCGGCCATTGGTTTCCTCTACACGTTATAGAGGGGCCAATGGTGGCATACGCGTTGCGGGACCGTTTAACTCCGAGCACATTCAAATAACATGAATGGCCAGTAACAGGGATGAATGAGGAAAACCTACGCTAGCACCGTGACGATTCTTTCGGAAAGTGTCCGAGCAGTTGCAAAACCAGAAGAGATTGCTCTCTTGGCTGGATGGTTAGACCGCGCATGTTTTCCCGCTTCCCCTCAAGAGTGTACATGGACGAGCTAACCTTGCCTTCCTTTCCCTCCTTTTTGAAGAGTCGTATGCGTCTCCACTGAAGACGAATCAACGCGTCAAAGCCTACGAATGTATACGTATTAGTGTGTGACCCCAGGAGGTAGCGGCAACGCGGACGTGCTATTGTTCGGAAACTAAGCCGATCGAGATATTGCACAGCCTTGAGGCTGTTTCTACCACGTTGGTGGTAGACGAAGGCAGTTCTAATGTCTGCATGGACTAGACTTGGCAGAAGGCTTCTGGTACACCCGTTTTGGATTCAAGTCTATAACCTTCAATGCTACGCCGATATTTCGCGCTAACTAACCCCCTGCGAAACTCCATCAGGCACTATCCCGTGCCCAGCAGTCCAAGGCGATAGTCTGGAGTGACTACAGGTACTCCGTAAACCGACCCATACATGGCAGCATTTCAAGTGTTGCTCGGCTTCCGTATTTGGTTACCCGGAAGCGGATAGCGGACTAGTCGCCGACGAGTTGGTGAAAATCTGGGGCAGCCGGCACAAGGATGTCAATACATCTAAATATGTAGTGCCTGGCTCGTTTGTTCAGGATTTGGAGACATGGTAAGAACTTTGACTTGGCGTGTTGCTTCTCTTAAAGCATGCGACAATCGCCGTAGCCTAATTTCAAAATAGCACTTGAGTGTATATCGTTCATCCAGTAGCCAACCAGGCAATTGGTTCTCCTATCCACTGGCTTGACGTAAGCAATCTAGCCTGACCAGTCTAGTTGATCCTTCAAATCGCATTCCCTCCGTCGGCTCCGTAGTGTAATCACCCCCGATCGGCCGAGGCGTAAGGGACGCGCTTTTGTGGGGGGCGGCAAACTTGCATTTTAGTTACTTGGCGAGTAGTTTAGGTATGACAGTTATAATTTGTTCACAATAATTCTTACAATATTTTGTTTAATGGAGGGATGTATTCTGATGTAGTGTCTGGTGCTACTAAATTGCCCGACTTTCTCGTCACTTATCGCGACTAGTTGAACACGACGAGTGCTAAATCATCAATGGTTGAACTCTGTTCTATTGATATCCACATTTGACCGTAAGTTTATCTTGCGCTCGAGTCCAAGTTGACTTCAGGGAATACACAGAGTACTGAGAATCGACAGTATTAACTGCCAAGCCGTTACTAATTGTTTTAGCATGTCTTGGCCCCTTTTGTCACAGTAAATCTCTGATGTAGTACATGGTCCCTATTCTCAATCAAAGCTACAGCCGCGGCACCCGGACCAAAGACCAAAGCAAATACCCCAGCTTTAACAGTGCTTAGACCAAGGTGGTCCGTGTGACTTGATGATTGCAATGCCATCCTATTCATGTTCCAAGCCCACACTAGGAGTGACACCGTCGAAATAACTTCATTAGCCGTCATAAAAGTAGAAGTACCGAGTGCAATGGTATCAGTCTTGGTAACAAAACCTCGCCAAATAGATGGCACGGGCCATAGAGAAGCAAGCGACAGAGAGCTGACGATATGAGCTGGCAGCAGATGGGGGAACGAGTAGGCGAACAAGACGGCTGACACGGTCAAGATATGAGAGCTAGCCGTGATCCAAAAGGCGACCGAGTAAAGCCGTCCTAGCCTCTTCATACGTCTTTCGAGCTGCTGCCTGCCGTCGGCGGGGGGTGCAGGGCCGATGCTTCTCAGGAGAGCATGTGCAATAGCCAGGAGAACTGGATGAAACAAACGAACCACGATCCATGTCTGGCGAGACCACAATGGGGGCTCTGGGCTCCATGTACCCACGAGCATGAGCAAAGTCGGGAGCCCAGCGCCCAAGAGGAAAGCAAATGGTAGGGATTCGAGGTCGGCTAGGGTTATTGTTGTGAATTCGGCCGACGAGGAGGCCCGTCTCATGCGAAGGAGGCTGAAGGCACACCATGCCGGAAGGCCCACGGCAACTCCAGCAAATTCCATGACCAAACCCCAAAGGACATAGGAATACTTGTACGGCCTTGATGTTGTCTTGCTCTGTGGCCCGTTGTTGTGCGACTCTAGCAGTATCAGAATCCAAGATGTCATCCATAACCCAAAGAAGTGATTCCCTTGTATAAATAGGCTCAGGTTGTGGTGATTAAGAATAGACGAAAATACAGTGACCATGATGGAGAAGTCGAGGTCCAACAGCCCCAGTCCTGTCCAATGTGTCCGTAGGGGAATATCGCTGCCAGGGAGGATCGGACGGGAAGAAAGAAGATTGTCAGAGATCATCTGTACCAGGCCATTTCGAATGCCGAGGACGTGGAGACACGAGATGGCAGCCAAAAAGAGAAGCGGTAACGCCAAAAAACTCGTAGTTAGCTTTGTAGACATTTTGGTAGGTGGCAACGTGTTGGACACGCGATTGTTTTGCATGAACGGTTAGGGAAGACGTTTTACAGGATACATATAGATAACTGTGGCGGAATTCCGCGGAAGGAGTCAATGCGGCAGCGGCGTAACGGCATAGTAAACCGGCGGCCGTAGATTGATACATATGCTCATCAGTCCGGACCGGGAATGCGGTGCGGAGTTGCAGATGGCCCGCATTGTCCGGTCGATTGAGACATGGCGGTATATTTAACCTCGCCTTGCCGACGGTAGCGTACCTGTAAAATTGCCTTGGAAGGAACATGTTGCAAAAATGGCCTTTACATCCCGTTCACCGGTTCGCATCTCGCCTTGGATCGGCCTGCCACTCAGCGTGTTTATGATTGTTGTCGCTACCATCACGTTTGTGGGAGCACCGTACGGCGATGGAAGCAAATGGCCTGTCCTAACAACGTTTCGGGATAAACGGGTAAGTACCTGCCAACTCCCATACCGCATATGGCAAGGATGCTTACTGAGACGTCTTCGGTAGTCGGAGCTTAATATTCTCAACTATCGTGCACAGCAAGCACCGCCATGGCTGTACAAAGGAGGAAAGGGAGCGACATCCATTCTGTGGAGCATACTCATCCCCTTGCAGCACAGCCAAAGCATTCGTCAAAGAATGCCTACCTTCCATCGGGGGGCCGGATACATGGTTGTTCTCTTGTCCATTGAGCTGGGCTTGGCCGGCTATTATCTGTCCAGCCGTGGAATGGTGACGACCCATGAAAAATGGTATCATGTGCATTCATTCTATGGTGCTCGTCTCCCGATTCCATTCTTGGTGTGGCCCACGTTTGACTTTTCCATTGGCGTTCTTGGTGTTTTTTACTTTGTTAGCCTATTCAAGCTATTCACCGCGATTCGGGCTCAGAAGGTGGAATTACATCGACGGTGGGCCGTATTCCACAGCATGACGGGATATGCCATTTCTATTGAGCGACTTATTGCCGTCTTGGTCATCGCGCTGGGCTGGGTCTTGCATAGCATGCCGGAGCACTTTCAAACCTGGCTACAACTGCCTCTAGACAGGGACGGAAAGATGGAGGTTGAGTTGTCAGCCCTCGCTTGGACGCTGGCAGCAGCAGGTATCACAGTCGCTGCTTGGGCCTATATAGAATTTGCCAAGGTTCGTTCAACGGAATCAAGGAGCGGAGGATCGCGCATAGAGGCAGTGAGGAAGAACAAGTGAGAACGGGCTGGGCTCTTATTCCCAGTCCTTGCTTCAAGCCCGCTGGATATATAGAATAATGCTTAGGTGGTGGTTCCCATTCCTCACCCTGGCATATCGTAGCAGCTGTGCTCACTAGCAACAAATTTATGTCAAATTTCATCCTTGCTTAAACCGCTTACCCGCTGTCCAGCAGTTCAAGGCCGGTGGAGATGACAACTTGTAACTGGGCAGCACAATTCGACGTAACACGAAGCCTGCTAGGTTCTGCCATCCGGTCGGGAGTCCAGCAGGACTTATCTTGTATCTTTATATAGATCAATATACATGATCAGATCTCTTTACACTTTAATATAATATTATCGAGCTAAGACGATGGAAGTGAATCCAGGTATTGATAGCGCGGCATAGTACTTTATATACAGAGACATGACTTTTGATTTGATATAATCAAATTGATTGAGATTGGAAAATATATAAGCCACGAATAATCCAAAAAACTTAAATACCTATAGTTCCCCAGGGGTACCTATTTTTACGCCAGCCTTATATGCTATACCGATAGCGGTATCGGCGAGCTGACTTGCTACCTCGCCTTACCCTTCTTCTATCTCGACTTTAGTTAACACAAGACTGAAACAACTACCTAGTTCGGAATAAGTATATTAAATCCTCTGTAAAAGTGCCTTATCCTTCATTTTGACAATAGTCTTTTCTTTATATCAAACCTTCCGAAAATCCCCAGTATACTGTGTTTTATTAGCCGCTCTTTATTCTTCTTCCTTCCTAAACCAATAAATTCGTTATATTATATCCAAGGAAATTTTAACGCAGAAAAAGCCTGTTTTACAACTACTGGCTTGTATACAATTCAGACCCTGAATATTTAGCCAGGCGTGACATAATAAGAGAGCTTACAACTAATTAAAAAAAATTATTATAAGGGGTATATAAGGTAAAAAAAAGTACCTAATAAGCTATTATAAAATTCTTATCGGCACAAGTTACTACTAAAAAATTACTACTCCTTGTAAATTATACTTAATAGCTACTGTTATAAATCAAGGCTACTCTTGTTAGTAGAGAGGCCCCTGTAAATAACTATGTCCCTTGTCAGGTCACTGATCAATAGCTAATCTTACAGGGGTCTGGTTAGATTGTATATTCCGGCGCGATTAATCCTACTCTCGGGAAAGAGAAGACCAGCACTGAGTGACGTCAACTGGTGGGTTGCTTTCTAGTCGCCCCATCCATAAGATTTTCGTGGTGGGTGCATTAGAGGACAGGAAAATAAAATTTGACCCAGAGGACAACCGCGCTAGTGAACTTGGCGAGGCTTTCTGGGATAGTATTCCTGGCTGGAAGTTGTGGAAGGAGAGCAAACCATGTCAAGTGTTCGCACGTGCGGCTTTATTCGTTCATGACTCTCGGTATACCCGGTAAGGGGCCCCTGCAAGCCCCTTGGGACCCCTGACGATAAACCTCAATCTTCCGGGTTTTTGACTCAACAATATTGCCGTCTATCTCTTAAAGGGGGTCAGTTGTCCAGAATCCTTGATACCCGTTCTGGAGTTGGCATTTTCTGCTGGTCGGTTCGGCACATTGGAGTCTGGTCTCAGTCAAATAGCTTCGGCACCTGAGCGGACAGCCACCGAGCTGGTCTATCTTCTAGACGATGGGAGTCATGGACCGGCCTGAGGGCCACAGAATAAACGATGGCGGCCTTGATATAGAAATGCCCTTGGTTTAAGACCAACTATCGATGGAGGGCTTTCGCTCTCATCATCTCGTGATACGACCGCACGGTTACTTGCTACGCGCACATACACACATAGGTAAAGGGAGATGCAGCAGCGAGGCGTGGTTTCTTCTAGGTACTGGTGCTTGGCAAGAAAGAACTTTGTTTACCCCTATATTTCCTATTAAAGATACATGTAGGCATGAGTCAAAGTGATGTGCTACGTAATACTAAAGTATAGCAACGCTATGCATAACCAAACATGGCCGAACTACTTGCCAGATCAAGGCCACGAGCCTGACCCCGTTCGTAGCAAAGTGGTTCGGCGTGCATAGCTTTCACCATCACCATTCATATCTAATTGTGTCCCCTTTCGGCTCGGCGACGGATCATGCTAGATGAATTTCCTTTTTGGCAGTATGTAATCTGGAACCGCGGCGACTCACTGACATCCCAGTCCTCGTCATTGCTAGGGTTGCCGAAAATCCTCAGGGCCCGCACAACGAGCTTGTAGTAGCCCTCGGGCACATTGCTACCTGTGTCGAGCTGCCCATTCCATTTGAACTGGGTGAATTGAAGCAAGTCTGGGGAATTCGAATCCTGCTGCAAGTTCCTCGGGCGCCACTGCACGGGGAATCCTTGAACCTGACCAATCGATGTAGTAATATCGGTGGCATCTGTGCCATTCGCGGGCACTACCTCAGCACGCATGAGAGGGATTCCCATTGTTGCGTTGATATTCAACACAAGTTGAGATGGCGTGATGGAGCCTGGTGCTGGCAGGACAACAGTGGTACCCTCAGTGACAGAGGCATTTCGATAGGTGAGCGAGGCGCCGTCGGGTCGCAGGACCTGGTGTTTGCGGATTGAGCCGGAAAACCCCTGATAAGGAACAGAGAGTGAAGTGCTGTCAGACCCGTTGATCGCAATCCAGCCAGACCACAGGGGCATTCGACTGGCGTCGAGGCCCTCAGGAATCGAGGCTGATACACGGATGTTGACGGAATTCCCAGGGTCTACGGTGACACTTGTCTCACTGAGAGTAATCGCGGCTGGAGTCTCAACTGCCTCAAGCTTATTGGGATACGAAGAAACGGTGCCATTTTCCGTAAAGGTATACACGGTGACGGCGGGAACGTGAGAAAGACGGTACGTGATAGCACCTTGGCCCACATTCTTGAGGGTAAAGTTGAGTGAGGCCGCCATATGTTCAGTGTCGTTGAAGTTGAGGCCCGCCGGTTGGACAAGAGTTGTGGCATAGGCAGCGTCATAGGCACGCGCCAGACCGCCGCCCTGCTGGGCAACAGGGGCAAGGTAGGGCAAGAAATTCTCTCCGTCGTGGTAGAGCTGCGGATTCGAGTGCGAAACGAGAAGGCTCTCGACGGTAGCTGGATCCAGAGAGCCGCGAGCCTCGCCAATCAGTGCAACGAGGGCAGCAATCAGGGGACCTGAGAAGGAAGTTCCTCGTGTAATCGTGTAGCCAGAAGGATTCTTCTCTCTAAAATCCGTCGAGATGATTTCTCCGCCAATCGCAGTCAGGGAAGGCTTGAGACCGAGATTCCACGAAGGGCCCCAGGAACTGAAATCAGAAACAGATCCTGCAATCTCGTCATTTGGCTCCTCGACATAGACTCGGGGTGCATCATTCCAGGGGAAGGCTGTGGCGAGGACTTTGCGGCCAGACTGGAGCGCCTTGAGCATCTCCGTCGCGGTATCAAACCCTAGCATTCCGAGGGCGAGAACCCCCTCGGGCAAGTTATCCACGTAATACAAATCAGGAAGCCAGTCTTCACTAGCAACGTAGGCAAGAATACGCGCTGCCCCCTTTGCATGAACCGCTTTGGTCATATTCCTCAAGCTACAGTCCCCTCTGCCACCATGGAAATTCAGCAGGACTAGCTTGTTGCTCAAGTCCGGCGTGTCAGGACGGAGCGGGCCACAGGCATGAGTCCCGTTGCCAGCACTAGATCCATTCACGGGCAGGGCATAGACCTCCATCGGGGTGCCGGTGAAGTTATCCGAGGGAGTTGTCGGGAAAAAGTGGAAGCGGACTTCGGATCCGTTGCCGATGGTGTACTTGGCCTCATTGATGAGCTGGGGATAGACACGGCTATTCACCGATCCTACACTAATAACGCCATTGCCGACGGCCGGGTCCAAGTGCGAAAAGAGACCGAGAGTGCCGTCGTTGCCTGCGCCCTGGACGAAGACGACGCCGCTCTCGACAGCCCGCGTGGCGGCCGACGACAAGAGACTATCCGGCCACCCGCCCGGAAGCCCGGCCGACGACGTGATGATATCCACGCCGTCGGCGAGGGCGCGGTAAATTGCGTCCACCATGACGTCGGTGGGAAATTCACCGCTGCAGGTTATGCGGTACATGCCCAACTGGGCGCCAGGGGCCGCGCCGGTAAAGCCCATCGCGTTTGGTCGCGTGCCAATGATGCCGGCGGCATTGGTTCCGTGACCGTTGCAGTCCATCGGCGTGGGATCGTTATTGACCAAGTCTGCTCCAAAGGAAAAGAGGCATCCGGGGCCAAAGCAACCCCCGAGTGCCGGGTGGTTATAGTCAACCTATACGTGTTAACCTCGAAGTTGACAAAATCCCCTACGAGGAGGAGCTACTTACACCGGTATCGATCATGCCAATCTTAATGCCCTTGCCCGTGATTCCTTTGCTGCGGAGCTTGTCAACTTGCATCATGACGTGAGGAGGGTATGCCGTGGTATTCGTTTCGGGCAGAGCACGTCGCATTGCCCGACGTTTACTGATCTTGCCAGCAAAAGACTCCTGCTTTTCACTCTTGGGTCGGTCGCTTGACGGAGCAATGCCGCCCATGGTATGCACCTCGACTTGATGTACCTTGAAAACGTCGTCCATGGAAGCCACATCGTTGATCTTGCCTGCCTCGTCGAGCACTATCGAGACAGCCTTGTACGGTTCGGCTGCTTTTCCCTTGGCAGGCGTGAAGTCGATCTGTCGGCGAATACGAGCATTGGCTTCTGTCGTGACTCTTTGTGCAAAGCCGGCCACATCCTACGATCTCTTGTTAGTCATCTGGCCGGAAATTTTCTCTCGGGTGGTAGGACGTACAGCGCCTTTGTTAAGCTCAACAAAATAGGTGCCAGGTAAGACTCGGGGAGCCTTGTCGGCGGTAGAGGGAGTTGCTGCTAGTGCCGCAACGGCAAGCAAGGCTCTCACCATGGCGTGCATTGTTTCGGCCGAAGATCTTGAATATTTCGCACAGGGCGCCGCCTACAGTCTCAGAGTCTCGGACAGGCAGGCCTCTTCTACATGTATTTATACGCAAGACTCTTCAGAACGGCCAAGGCCGTAAGATAAGAGCCTTCCAAGCATTATACTACCAGACATAACTAGGCATAGAAGTAAATGCTCCGCCTGCCCCTGCCCGTAGTGGTCGGAATATTCCACGGCATGAGGACCAGGGAAAATTCAAGCCTTACATACGAAGGCATCTGACATTTCGGTACTTCATGCCCATATTGGCAAGGGTCGAGATTGACCAGTCCCACTGGGAATGTCACCTTCCAACTCCTTGCGTTGGGCACCTCGCCCGGCATGAACACCCTTTACCGGGGGAGGAAGTTACAAACAGGGATTTACGTATTAGCAGCGGCATGTTGGATACCCGTGTAAGAGATATCCCCATCTTCTATTGGCAGCATAACCCCCGCTTTGCTGCGGGCAGTTAAGGCTGCATTATGAGTATGATCTGATACGAGCTACGTCACGCTAGTCGCGGTATCATTGTGGTCTGACGCGTCGATCGGTAGCACATAAAGAGTTCGCCTCGCTATAATGCTCGTCTTATTCATGGCTAGCACAAGCGCAAGCAGGTCTCCCATGACGTAGCATCTTTCTGCTGGCCCTGAAGCCAAAATTCGTCTCATGAGTCTATCTATACGCACCTGAATTTTCTATTGAGAGGGAAAAGAAATTTTATATAATTACTAGCATATATATCAGCATGGATCAACGAATATCATGGCAAGGTATCCTCCTATAGGTAGGATGATTCCAAATGCTGGGCACTACATTACCCGGGTCCGTCTAGCGTAAGCCAAGAGATACCTAGCAATTTCGATTCATGTATATATTACTACCCGGATAGTCAATCTGCAAGGGTAATACACAGAGTTTTCGGTTGGAACATTGTACGACGGCCACCCATGCATTCTGTTGTACTATACTATATCTGGATATGAACTGGAACCATTTAAACTTTAACCTCCTTACTTAGAAGCTACATATACTCACATGCGCCAGGAGACCGCCGTCTTTTTTTTACGATACTTGATACCGTACTTGAAGAGATGTTGGATCCAGGGTATTAAAGTTTTCAGTCCTTGCATAACTGCATCAGACGATGATTTTAGTCAAATTAACTTGGCCTGTCCAGTAGTATCTACTGTAGAACTGACTATAGAATCGAGCTTGAGAGAGTTTGAGTTAATTTCGAACTCCAATAACTTTCCTTCCCAAACGTCGCGGTTCAATCAGCGCTCGTGTTATTTTTCTGGAGCAACAAGCCAGTTTCAAGTCTCGCATTCCGCATGAAGTAATTAACACTGAATACTTTAAGACGCGAGTGATCCCCCATTCAATTCTCAAAGGTGAAGGATAAATTGGCAACCAGAAATTAAAGTGAAGGGAAGGCCAGTGGCGTTAGGATAATGCACAGGGAAATACCGATAGCGCTCGATTCTTCAGATTCTGAAACGCCAACTTTGGAAACAATGCTTCAGGGTAAATACTATAAGTGAGGAACCAATAACTTCACATGTATCGTTTGTCATAAAATTATTTAGTATATTAATAGACTATTACTAGGAGTGTTTTTGGCGTGGGCGATCCTCCATGTCTAGCTGAGACGTTGGATGCGGAGGAGCTAAACACTTGGCCACAACTTCACAGGTAATCCCTATATCAGCTATCGGCTTGTTAAAAATTTCAGGGCCTTGAATACAATTGGCAGTTCTAACTGTCAGATAGATGTAAAGAAGCACTACCCGCAGCCGCGACACTCTCAACCGATTCTGCAGTTGACCAAAGGGAAATAATGGCACGTAGTTTAGATTCCTCGAATACCAGCATTAGGAAAATTCTAGAACGGGTCAACTATGTTTCGCAAGACGAGTTACCACACAACAACTTGGAAGAATTGATTTAGGTACGTAACTTGAGTTGAAGTTTCCCTGAGAATTGGTTTCATATTCTGACTGATTGCATTTCCGTTACGCTGGAAGACGTGAACCTGCCCGCAATCTCGATCGAGTAATCTAAATCTTCTTCGACTCCAGATCGTGGTGACGATTTTGTAAATCACTTTCGTCAGTGATGAAAAGAGAGAGCAATGCATGGCCCTTGAATGGTTTTAACCCTGTATTTATGGGCAAAGTATTCGACAGCAACAACGCTAACGAGGCGACATCCAAGTACATCAAAGAGGCAAGCATTCACAGTTGCGAAGAGGTTCATAAATTCCAACTTCCGCAATGTCACCGATTCTTTGCCTATAAGGAGCAAGTACACAACGCCATTGGAGGCGCGAACCTCATGATCAAAAAGGACTTGACCAATTGACCCGACCATGACTCGCCCAGTGCTTTTTTTAGCAGCTACATCGAACAACAAACACAATGAAGAAAACCCAATTAGGTTCCCGGCAGTTCTGGAAAACATAATCGGGGTGTCATCAGTCCGCTACAACGGAACCAAATCCAACTTCAGCCCGGATCCCTGGTCGCAAGAGATTCCTGTTCCGGGGGGACTCGTCAAGGCAGCGTTTCATTGATTTGAACAATGCACAGGATCAAAAACGGCTCAACGGGACCTCAGTAATAATGCAATACATCTGAGTGGCGGGAACGGGACATCGACAGTTCAAATGTTGCAAAGGACAGGCGGCCAGTGGCTTGCTTGTCCCACATGGAAGGCCAAGCTCAATGCAAATGCAAACGGTATCAACATGAATCATGAGAAGCATTATGTCATCGCATAATGTGGCCACGGTGCTAAGGTTTTCATGACTCACGTAGGTTATGCCATGTCTATTTGTGTATCAGGTAGACGGTGCATTATCCTGGAGCAAAGGCAACTTCAAAGAGGCTTGGACTGGGTGGAGATGTCTTGCGCAAATGTTGGGCAATGCTGTCAAATTGAGTGCGCAGAAACGTGTATTCAGCCCCCTCACGCCCCGGAATAAGCGGACGCAGAATAGGGGCATGTTGAGCCGCTTAATGATTCGAAACCTCCATATCCGAGGTCACGTTCTTGGTAAACTCTTCATTAAATGTTCTGGAAGCAGCCTCCAATGAGACGCTCGAGGTCTTCACAATATAAGCCACGTGGCCTAGCAATGTCTGGCGCCGCTTCACGGCCACTTGGGCTGGAATGGCCTCCCGAATTCCTTCAGCGGCTTATGGTAGAGCACAGGAGGATCATGAAGCTCATCGGAAAGACAGAAGAGAGTACTGTTGCATACTTGCGAGGCCAAGTGTTGCGCGTCCAAGCAGGCCCGAGCCAGATAAGACCTGGTGCCGGCAGTGTACGGGCTTCCATTTGAGTACTCGTATCCGGGGTTGGCGATCCATTTCTGTATACTGTGTCCATCCTGGTACACCTTTCTGAGCAAATAGGCGCCCACAGCTGTTTCTGGTTCGATGCTGCCGTTGACTGCCAACTGGAAATTTTGCTGACTGTGGATGGGCATCTCAGGGTAGAAGTCTGCCGTGTGACTGCGTATGCCTTGTGGGGAAAGAATAAAGAGGAAGGCATCGCCTTGTGTCTCTTCTGCACGTCTATGATTGGTCTCGACATCTTAACGGCGAAGCTCACATGTCGTGTAAGTGATACGGATTCTGCCCCGCCAGTATATGCATGGCTGCGGCCAGTCTAAGGATCCCAACCCTCGTTGAAGATGATGTCGGGCGGCTGCGAGTCGCCACGGAATAGGAGCCCTTCAGGGCTATCATCCTCTGTGGGAAATTGGGCAACAAGCTCAGGTAAGACTTTGAAAACATATAAGTGAGGACACGGACTTTGGCCACTTGACCATCCCGCGTATCTATTTTCAACCACGCAAGGGCCAACCGGAGGACCGGACGTCAACCGAGTCGAGGAAGAATTGACATTTGTCATATACTAATACTTGGCGTGACTGCTTTTGCTATCTCAACTCCTCCGTACTGTACTGACTGCTCCAAGAGCTTGTTCTGTGAGGGCTTGGAACGGTGTTCATATCCAATCTGATAGTCTGTTTTTGTGACAAGGGCTCAACTAGAAGGCTTGAAGCAAAATGCTTCAATTCGATAATAACCTCGAAGGGCATCAAATTCCCTTCGTTCTTCGAGAGGATGAGAGGGACTGGTGACTAATGTGTATACTTGAGGGGAACGTCTGTGCCTATGTAGGGCTTCTGCGCGATCATATGTCCAGCCTGTGTAGCCAACAGGTCCTTTCTCGGTGAAGCCCCCTTTGTTGGGCTTCGAAGGTGTTGGGCCTTTTTCGCGCAACAGTTTTTCGTCACTACAGGTCCTTGGTTTGTTTCCAGAAACTTGCGGCAGAATAACTTTATCGTACGAAGCAGTGGTGAAGTCTAGAAGCCCGAGGCGACTGGGCCCTAATAACATTGAAGGCTTTTCATCGTGGTCGCGTGACTGTCCTTTGTGATGTAAGCGGCCTGTTGTTGGTCCAAGTGTGTGAGAGGCAGCACAGATGTATGCATAAAAAACCAACGCACCCCTCCGTACACCATTTTCATTCACGGCAGACACGGCATACCGCATCGACTGCTGTTTATACCGCATATTTGGACAGGATTTGCGCCGAGTACCTGGAAATGGGTATTGAAATCACCAAGCTCGCAGATCTCTGTTCGATATGCGAGGACACAGTCGAGTCTAACGGGGAGCAGGTGCCACGGACTGCATTCGCGGCTGTCGACGCAGAAGAGAATGCTTTCTTTGGCGTCAAGCTGGGCATCCATATAAAGCAACTCACCGTGGAGGTGGCCAGAGACTGTCTTCAGCCCCTGCCAGACGAAGAGATTTATCCATACTTCCCCACGACTGGCTTAACCGCGGCGCCGCATGACTGCTCTGGACGCTATGTTAAACGCACTGCTTGGCCAAGCTACCTCGACTTCAAGGACACTACATTTATTCCCAGGCTGATGCTTCAGGAAGCACAAACAATGGAACTCCTGGCGCAATGGCCCCATCCCAATATCGTGGGATATTACGGCTGTCGTGTAAAGAGGGGTAGAATTGCTGGGCTAGTCCTAGAAACTTTTTCATTCTCTTACGACATCGCGTTTGCCACCCAGCGGCCAGACCTGTTCAAAGGACTAGTCGACAAGGACCGTATAATGTCAGGACTGCGGTCCGCCGTTAGCCATCTGCACTCGATGGGACTGGCGCATAATGATATCAACCCGGCGAATATTATGCTCAAGGAACAAGGGGAGCCAGTACTCATTGACTTTGGCTCATGCCAGCCTGTTGGTCAACGTCTCATGTCATGCGGGACGGCTGGGTGGCGCCAGGAAGAATTTTACACGTCGGAAATCGCTCATGATGACTATAGTCTTGGCATACTAGAGGAATGGCTAGATAACTTAATCACCAGAGAGCGTTTATAGCGTGTTTATACCTTGAGACTGAGACGGGATAGAGCAGTCATCTTGAGGGCATGCTTCTACCAGATTGTCACACGGTTATACCATCACGATGCCTGGGGAATAAGGGTCTTGGGGAATTTTTGCATGAATTGAACAATTTGGTATATTCACCTTGAGAAAACCAAAAACCTTTCATAGCAAAAACTGTTATCAGACGAATTGAACTAGACTCCAGGCCCTCATACACCAATCCCTTGTCACACCGTCACTGAGACTAAACTCGACTTGACGCTCCGACATGTCGCGAATTATATGTAAGAACAGCTTTATGTCAAATGGATCTAACTTTCAATAACATCCACGTCTTCGCGAAACGCAATGCGTCTAGCCGGTATTAGCCCAGCTTCATCTCCGTCAACTTTCAAGTGCCAAGCGTTTTTGATGACGGTTGGCCGAACCCGTATACTTCCAGCCTGCAGGATTCTTTTGGCCCTTTCCGAAACCCTGCTTTCACTCTTCCAAATGTGTTTGTTGACATCCAGTAAAATTCTATTCGCCTGCGGCATGAATCGCCCCATGTTATATAACAACTCGCAACCTTTGGCTAAGGAGTCCTCCATAGTACCAACTGGGTTCTCTAGAAGTAAGCCTCTGACTGCAATCTCACATGTGTGCAAGAGCCAATAGTCGTGTCGCCCCAAGAAGGCTACATCGTATTCCTTCAATGCTGAAATTATTGCTGCGCTGTGCTCCAACAACAATGCCCGGGCGGATCTGCCATGACTAAAATTTAGGAAGGGCAACCTGAAAAATGGCTCTAGTAGTGTGATGCACGTTGTGTGATAGAATGTCCTTCCAACATCAGTACATGTTTGCAAATCGGATGAGCTTGGGTTACCAACTTACAGAATGGCGACCCATGACGGAATGATGGAGCTAGAGCCGTAAAATCGTCTAGCATGGAAGTCCTTCCAATGAACCAATCTATCGTATATGGTAGTTGAAGCAAGGTGATTTGGCATCCGAGCTGGTCCATTTACTTCGGTGACTTCTAAACATTCGCTTGTTAATCGGACCAGCTCATACTCCGCCGTAAGCGCTTCCGTTGAATAGCTTATTCGCGAATTGAAGGAAATAGGATAAGGAACCCAGAGCGTATCGGCGTGCCTTTCCATGTTTGGCGATGGGCCGTGGCCATTCTTCGGAAGCACTTGTCTTGTCCACCTGCTTGGCAGACACGGGCTTGCAATAAGGCTCAGCTTGCTGCAAACGTAAGTTGCTGGAATTTCGACGGCAGATAGAGGTATGGCGGCATACACATCAATACAATAAAACCCACTGGAAATAAATGACAATGCATCTTGCGTTTTTTGCTTCATGCCACTGTCGTCTGGTGCCATGCTGTGATCGACAGGGAGCAAGGTCGAACGTAGATCAAGCAGAGTCTCGAAAAAAAGGCTTGCTCCCTTTTGGGGATCTCCAAATGTGTACTCGTAAACAGATAGTACAGCAACAGCTTGTAGGAGTGCGATGCAATTGTTCAACGGCTGTTTTTCGAGAAGTCTATATGCTTCTTTTGCAAAATCATGCCCCTGAACTGTTTTGTGTTTGCCCATAATTGCAAAGCAGTTCTGACCAGTTAGTGCAGCTGCGAGGGGACAGCATTCTGTTTACTTCTAGTGCTGGTTGCTTACCGAACTATAAGCTAATATCGAGTTGATGAGCAGTTCCGAACAGAACTGAGCAACAAACTGGCTATCAGCTTTCTCACCATTGCCCCTGCGAGTGGAAATCATGTCTCCCAGAAGATCGCGATGAATCAGTCGGGTAAGAGTGGTATCCCATGTCCAGAAGAGTCTGAGTAGATGCGACAACCAAGTGTCGTCTTGGCTTATTGTGGTCCATTGCGAAACGGGCAGGAGATATACATGCTCAGTTCTATTTGAAAGTTGTTCTGAGGAGATGTGCCCTAAAGCGTCTGGATCTTTCATCCAGTTGCGTTGTTGTTCTGCAGATAGAAGCCGATATTGTTCAACCCTGGGATGACTGCAAAGCGACGGGATGATATTGTCCAAACCTTTAGCTCGCCTCATATGTTGAACTATATCAGCGGCATCTCTTTCAGAGCCTGCGTATATTGCTTCCACCGCCTGCCGGAGTTCATTATATGATTCCTGCAACCCTACATGGCGTTGGGCTAACGAGGACCCCCGAGTCGTATACTTGCATTCTGCACTTGCCATGACGCAAGCATGGCAACATGGCCGACCACCATCACACTGGAAATTGTGAGAAATTCGTGTATTTGGCATGGTCGAGGCATACGCACTTTTGCTTTCCGTTTTCGGCATCCTACAAGCAGAGCATACATAAGTCAGCCGTGCAGAGTCCATGGTAGTCGTAGAGACCGGACATACTATCACACGCCAGTGATACCCCTTGACGTTTATGAACTTGGTTTTCTTCGGGCTTCTCGATGTGGTGGAACGGGGGAAACGGCAGCTTAGGTATAAGTTGTCTTCCTGGCATAATGATCAACCCTTTACCCACTATCGAAAATGCAATTTCGGAAGGCAAGGAGAGTCAGCTAAGGTATGACTGCTTTAAACTTTTGAACATATCGGTGGGAATAACACCAGCACGTTACATGGTCCATGTGAGGGGTAAAGCGGATGTCGTCAGTCTTGCGTCTGCATACCTTGCGAGGTTACACTCATACAGAAGATATAGGGGCGACAGGGCAAGCCGGGTGGCTGACGGTGGCAATCGGCTGCCGTTTGCGTAAACATGGAGCTACCTGCAGTTGTTAGTTGTTTAAAGGGAAGAGAGGAGCAGCGACTGATATCTGTTATAACCAAGTTTGCGTTTGTCACAACACCGCGACGGAAAGGGAGATTGAGTTCTACAACTACGTAGTCGGTACGTGTTTTCAATTTGTTTTCGACATCTTCGGCTCAGTGGAGGATGTTGTCACACGGACAAGCCAAAACAAAGGCATCGTACCGACAAAGGGTTCCATAACAATAAAGAAGGCATCGCGATTCACGAGACGGACACTCAGGCCTCAAAGGGCTCACTGACTTCTTGCGTGTATAGAGACCGCTCGCCCCCTAAGGCCTTGAAAACACAAACCAAGGACCTTTAATGCCTCAAAATTTCTTATTCAATTCATATGGAACCTGACGTTCAAACCCAGTCAAAGCTGCCTCTGTCGCAGCTGTTACTGTATCAAGCATATAGCGGCGATGCATAGGAAGGTGTGCTGGTAAGCAACATAAAATGTCATGTAGCGTAAATTAATCAATCAACCTTATGGCAACAACAAGCCAGACTTACAGAAACCGAAAAAACAGTATACCCGTTCCATTCTTTTGTTTGTGGCCCTTTACTTACAAGCTTATTGCTACTCCCCTTATCCAAACACGGCGAATTTTGCTGCAAAACCTGATATCATCCAGGGGATTCCCTTCAACCAGTATCAAATCGGCTCTGTAGCCAATTCTCACAAATCCACGGTCGCGAAGTCCAAACAAAGTCGTAGGTTGACAAGTCGCGGAACGAATGGCATCTAAATTTGACATACCTGCCGTTGTGAGTAGCTGGAGCTCATCATGAAGCCCTTGGCCGAATGGAACAGTTATGAGCCTTGACGTGTTTGCTGATGTACCAGCGCATATGATGGCGCCTGCGTCGTACAGTCTTTTCACCGCAGCAAAGGCAAATGATAAATCATATTCGGGATTGTGAATTTTCCAGAGGGGCATGCCCTGCTGGAGAAAACGGAGAGTAGGAATGATACCTATCCCTCGCTCTACTATCCTGGCGACCACACCGGATTCAATATCCCCGTCTATTGGCACAGGTGAAAGAACATCAAAACCCGCGTCTACAGCTAGGGTATACGAACTGGACTGTGCCGCATGCGCAATGGCCAGCTTGCCGTGACGATGTGTCGCTCTTACTAGAGCCGAGAGCAGATTTGCGTTTAATCCCGGCTGGTCCACTATGACTTTGATGAAATCTGCTCGGCTTGATGTGAGTTTAGATTCCACAACTCGCTCGGCTTCGTCGGCGGTTGTGACTACCTCCATGCTACCATAATTAGATAGGGTCGGAAGAGACGTATCCCTAGCGACGATGGCCGACCCCGTAGCTAAAAATGAAGGAAGAGTAGGCTCATCGGCGGCGGCGATTCTCATAGCCTGACTCTCAGCACATGAGCTGCTTGAATCGATTAGTGTTGTCACTCCATACGCTGAACATGTTGAGAGAATCCCTGGCACCACGCCAGCATCAATTTTGGAGTCAATGAGGCCAGGGATAATCGTGCAGTCGGTGCCATCAATTACGGCGTCGGGATCAGGCTCGGGGCCAAGGATGTCACCTGGGTTCCCGGCGAAATAAAAGCCTGGATGATGCTTAATGCTGCCTCCGTCCAACACGCCGACATTTCGTATCATGATGGTTGGCATGTTTTCAAACGCTCTCGTCTCGATGCCTAAGTTCTCTACTGCAGAGTTAGTGCGTTTGCTGTTGATTCATCTAGTGTTAATACTTGGCGATGAATAACACCACGTTGATGGCAGTCTCTCCGTGTAGTACGATGATCAAGTACTAGTCTGCCGTTGCCTGACAAGGGACCTTGTTTGGGACAGAATGAGACAGGACCTTGGGCTTCAACAACAAATGACATGCTATTGTTGGGGTCTTTATAGGATTGCTTGTGTCGCGACCCGTGCATAATATCCCTTTACAGCAGTTAAGGCTTCAACGTTGTATCTCCAACGTCGATGATCAGAGCCAATAGGCATCTTCTTCTGATCGATACTTCCATCAACACTTACTACCCACTGGAACCAAAGTATCGAAAATTCGATGTGCCAGTGATACCTCGTTGCAGCCTTAGCCGCTCTAAAGGGATATTTTTACTCGCCTCACAACCCAAAAATCGTAGAGGGGGTCTCGGTTTGGGTCAGTGACGATGGTATTGCGCGATGATGATGTAACGCCTTGCATTGCGCGCCGCGCAACTTGTACGTTATTCATGGCCTTTGCAGCAGGTCACAGAGTAGTACTGTCTAGAAGTGGTACGTATAGAGGGATTGAATCGTGTGCCGCACGCATTGTATTTCTAGATGATTTTTTTTTTCGCATATCCAAATACGCGCCATGATTGATGACAAGGCCTTGTTCCAGTGGTAACAGGTGCCGACGGGAACCAACATTGAAAGCATATTTTCTTTCGCCACCAAAAGGATATATGCGGCGCTGATTGCGAGAGGAGTATGCTCTGAACTATACAGGCATTATTCCCAACGAGCTTTTGGAGAGGAGGCATTGAGGCAGAAAAGGACTGCATGTGCGATATTACTCTGCTGAAACGGTTAGATTTCGAGTTCGCGCGCAGTTTATCAACTCCACGGGCTAGGTTATGGAATGCGCAAATTACGAGGTAGACATGATAAGCCCTTCTCGCTTTATTGGCAGAATTGGTCAGTATCGACCACCAAAGTCCAGACGCCCTTTGAAGAGGAGTAAATTAAGAGGCGAGCTTGCAGCTTGGAAGGAATCTCTACATCAGTGTGCTGGCATATTCTCCAGGAGTGGCGAAGCCATGGACCTTCAGGATTCTCTAGAGCCTTACCGGGAGTATCCGGCTGATTGAACTGGCACCAGTGGAGACGACAAAAACCACATATGCACATGTATTGATGTACATATGTCTGGTGGATTTGTAATTGGCGTCAACTGGTCAAGTGCTTACTGTTGGCTCGTTGCCTGCCGCATAGCGGATCGTGTGTTACATTCCAGCCCAATCCCGTCATCATCAGCACCGAGTATTTAAGTGACTGGTCACCGCAGCCAACATCCGGGCACCGCCGACCAAGACAGAGCGCGACATGGTTATTCGGCGCCCTCTCTCCAAAGTGAGCTCACTTGACACTTTCTAGGACCTGATCAAAACAGACACTGACCCCAGCTGTAGGTGTTCAAGGGCCATACAATAGCATCAGCCGTCCGATTTTACTCCAAGTCATCCATCCCGCCCATCATGAACGCAGACGTCCGACGGGTTGTGGACTTTTGGTTCAACCGTCCCCCCATGGAATGGATCATCGCGCCCGAGGGTCTCGACGCCCAAATCAAGTCCGAGTTTGGGCAACTCGTCCTCAAAGCTCGTAACAACGAGTTGGACGACTGGACCGCGGCGCCAGAAGGCTCTGTCGCCCTGGTCGCTCTGCTGGACCAATTCTCTCGAAACATGTTTCGCGGCTCTCCAGACGCCTTCAGCGCCGATGCCAAGGCGTGGGACATTGCCACAAAGGCCATCGCCCGTGAATTCGACAGCAAGGTCACCGTTATCCAGGCGACGGCGTTGTACATGGCGCTGATGCAGCAGGAAAGTTTGATCTCGCTCATCGCCGCGCGCCAACTGTTTAAGGCCCTGAAGCCGAGATGTGCCACCGAGGAGGAACACAAATGGGTCGACATGGGCGTTGCGGCTTCAAAGAGACACATGCAGCAATTGGAACAGTTTGGGAGGTATCCAACCCGGAATGCGCTACTGGGAAGAAAGAATACCGAGGCTGAGGAAGAGTTTCTAAAGGCACATGCTCCTAGTCTGTAGTCGACTGTGCCTTCGACTACCAGGTACTTGGGAGAGTGATAGCGCAGTCTACCATCAAAAATAATACGCATCAGCTAGTCGTTCTTCTTGGTGCACATCTTACTTGCTAACTGTAGTAAACGAGGGTCGATATACTGCGGCGCAACGCACTAGACAGATTCAACGCCATGTAGACATCAACACAGCATCCCGCGTATCAACCTAGAGAAAGCTCATGTTGCCGATCCATCCGCGCCATCCCACTCAAATTCCAATATACCCATGGCAGAGCCTTTGGGTTCAATGGCGCTCTTGAACACAAATCCCGAGTCTGCCTCTCTGAACAGGGCTTTCCAGTCAGCGAGTGTTCTTTCTCGAGAGTTGAAGGTATAAGCCATCTCCAAGTCCATCGCCCTGTGGAATTATGAGTGTGTGTCAGAATACGCCCCTCTTGCAGCTTTGGGCGGCCACACCAGATGACATACCTCAAGTCTCTTTCCTTGCACTGGGATACACTTCCACTTGCCGGCATGAAAGACTCTTGTACAACAAGACGCGCCCCTTTTTTCAGCGCCGGTAGCTGGGCCCTGAGAATCTGGATGCAATATCGGTCCGACCAGTTGTGAAAGATCCAGCGAAAGAAGAATACATCAGCGGCGATAGTCTGAGCATCAAACAAGTTGTGAGCCATGAACCGAACCCTCTCCCGCAAATCACCACTCGTCGCGTTCTCAACCACCTTGGCCATGTCCTGCACAACGACATCCAGTCGGGCGTATCGTTTGGCGAGTGTGAGCGCAAAGTGGCCGTTGCCGCCGCCGACATCGACAACTCGAGCCGCGCCGAGCGACGCCCAGTCGTAAAAATCTGTACCGTAACACGCGTCAAACTCTGGCTTCGACGTCATCACCTTCATCGCGTTTGCGAAGCGAACGGCTCTCTGTGGATACTCCGAAATCACGTCGTAAATTGACCCCGTCGTGTTATTTGCCAAAGAGAATCCCTGTATAGAAGGATTAGCAAACAGCCTGCTAGACAATTGGGACAGCGTATGCCTCGCAATACCGTCTCGTTTGGCTCCTGCGAGCCTGGCCATTTCTCAAGTGCTTCTGCCAACTACAGAGAGGTCATCAATATGCCGTTCTACTCGAGTTCCGCTCAGATGTCTCACCTTGCTTCCTGCCGGTCCCAGTTCCTCGGTGCCGGCGCGAATCCAGTCTCTCATCTCTGGGCTTGCCAGCATTCTCGATGCTCTTGTATGAGCCACAAATCCACATTCGGGCTCGCGGAATACGCGCATCGTCACGGCGTGGCGAATGATGCGACCCATCATTTGCTCCGTCAGAGGTGTCTGGCTGGCAAGTTCTTTAAATGAGATCTGGCCGCCTGGTGGTACGAGGCTCGCAATATCGAAACGAGCAATGGTTTGCAGACAGGCCGTCTTATCTCCCTATATTTTTCGACCGTGTTAGCCACTCGACTAATAAATCATGCTGGTTTAGGAACATGTACTCTGGCAAATCGGTGCATAAGATTCAAGGGATCTGTGAGCAAGTCGTGAAGCTCTGCCGTGGCATCAAGAACAACATCTTGGGCTTCTCTAATGTCTACGGGAAGAGGAGCACTATCCTCGTCAAAGGAAGGCGATGGTGCTTGTTGGCTATCTAGAACTCGTTGAATCCTGGCTACTGAAAGGTTGATAGTGGTGGCCAGCTGGATCAATCGCGGCATCGACTGGCTGGAGTCCATGTTGATTTCTCGGCGTGGGGGCAAGCAAGGACTCAGAAGGCAAGATTGCGGTTTGGCTGCAAAAAGGTTTTATGGTCAATTACTTAATTCCAACGGCCTTCTTGTACAGGCAGGCGTTGACGATGCACACGGATCGCTGAGTGTGGCTTTCCGAATCAGCATTCAAGTTGGCCGACGTGATGCATCAATGTCAGAAGACAGCCTCCCAGCGCACTCGTTTTTCGCCCCGTACAGAAAGGGTCAAGTCTAACTAGGTTATTGACAGCATCATACTGCCACACCGGGGGATTTACGTATCAAATAGACCCTGTCCGAGTTGGGGGCCGCATCCGTTCCATGTTGCCTGATACGTAAGCATTCGCCTTGTGCTCCATCCACGCTCTGCGAATTTGGACACGCCGGTCAGTGCTCCATCGTCGATTAGACTCTGACGGCTAATCACAACGGATATAACTGCAGGATACCTGGGGGCGGAGGCGTTCTCTTGGCGTCGCGACCAAGACCAACCAACGTACTCCGTAATCCACCCGAATTGCCGTTGTAACGGTCTTGTTGCTATTTGTACACTTTGAATGCAGATGTGGACCCGTGGGAATGACCTTGAATAGGCCTTGCTGTGGTGTGATTTGCGGTCATTGCAGAATATGGAACAGGTAAGCAATGAACCGCATCATCGCCCAGTAGAGCAACCACCGGGTCTCGATTTTGAGGCTGTAGGTGCACTCCCGGTGTCAGTTCATTACCCGTGGCCCCCGAATCGATTCTGAAAGCCTCATCATTTAACATCATGTGGAGTTGAAGCCGGGCGGGAACATGCTTGGTCATACTACTCGTGCTGCACGTCGTGCCTATTCACCAGCATCGATATTGAGGTTATCAGGCAGTTCACGACTTGGGGCAAATAAGACAGTTGGAGGCTGCACACCGTCAAAGCATGCTTCAATATTCTGGTGATTCCAATTCTCTTCCAGTTTTTACCATGGCTTTGCTGCATCAATTGGCGTCCTGGCTCATGGGACGCAAGTTCTTGACAGCTTCTGGGTCTCGGACAATGGCCAAACGTCAATCAGCCATCAAGCCTTCCTTTTCAGAAGTCGAATCAGAAAATGTCTGCCTTCAAGACATCTTGAAGGCCCGAGCAATATCGAATAGAGGCGCAGTCATCTGCTACTTTACGGGAGATACCACAACCGCCAAAGAGTTCTCTTGTCTTGAGCTGTATACCGAGGCCAGTCAGTACAGTCGCATTATTCGAAACCTTCCTGGTTTCCAAGATGGAAAGCCAGTGGTACTGCACTTGGATGAACAATGGGATGCCATCGTCTGGTTTTGGGCCGTCTTGCTCGCCAACGGCTTGCCCGTGCTCTCCCCTCCCTTGAGCCACATTGATGATCATCGACATAAGCATATCCGGGGACTATCAGATCTGCTCCAGTCACCGATATGCATCACACGAAACAAACTATCAAATTTATTTGACGGGGCGAAGCATTTGCTGGGGTTACACACCATTGAAGCGCTGTGTTGTGACACAGCATGGACGCAGCAGCATGGATCGACAACCATGACTGCTTCAGCAACTCAACAGTCCAGTTACTTGCAGTATCAAGGCGGCCAAGGTCTCGCCATGCTCATGTTAACATCGGGAAGCACCGGCAACGCCAAGGCAGTGTGCTTGAGTCACAGACAAGTCCTTGCGGCCATTTCCGGCAAGGCAGCCGTGCGACCACTTCCTACAGACGGACCGTTTCTGAACTGGATCGGACTTGACCATGTGGCCAGCCTGGTTGAGATTCATCTCCAGGCCCTGTGGCTCGGTGTTGACCAGGTCCACGTGAATGCGGCCGACGTCGTCTCCAGTCCGCAGGTCTTCTTGGACCTCTTGACGCGGCATCGCATCTGTCGAACTTTTGCCCCGAATTTCTTCCTCGCCCGGTTAGTCTCCGTGACCGAACAGGAGTCTGATCTCGAGCAAAAGGACACTCCATGGGATCTGTCAAACCTCAAAGTTGTCGCCTCTGGTGGTGAATCCAATGATATCCAAACATGCTTGGCAGCATCTTCCTTGTTTCGCAAATACGGTGCCAGCCATAATGTCATTACGCCGGGATTTGGAATGACGGAGACATGTGCTGGATCAATCTTCAACCTCTCGTGTCCTGGCTACGATATCACGCAAGGCTATGCCTCAGTCTCACTGGGCAAGTGTATGAGAGGTATTGAAATTCGGGTCATGGTTGGCTCTAGATTGGCGACTACGGACGAGATTGGGGATTTGGAAGTACGGGGTGATGTTGTTTTCAACGGCTATTATCGAGATGCTGAGGCTACCGCGGAGGCCTTTCCGTGGAAGAATGAATGGTTTCGAACCGGCGATGAAGGCTGCATCGACCCTGCTGGCAATTTGCGTCTTTTCGGCCGGAAGAAGGAAGTCATCAACATCAACGGAATCAAAATTGTCATAGGTGATATCGGCTCCCTACTGGATCAGGCTTTGGGCAACAGGACAAGCCGGCTCGTGGTGTTTCCATCCAGGGCTGTGCATACTGAGCAGATAACCATTGCCTACGTTCCGAGAGATTGGCCCCAAAAGTCCGATGAAATGGCCGAAATTGACGAATTGGCAATCCAAACCTGCCTCGCCGGCTTTTACGCTCGCCCTCTGGTCTTTTCCATCAGTCAGACATCGTTGCCGCTACTGCCTCTATCGTCCCTGGGAAAGGTATCCCGGTCCAAAATGACCTCCTTATTTGAGGACGGTGTCTTTGACGAGGACGTGACAATTTACAGACAAAAACTTGCTGCACACAAAAAGGATAAAATCCAAGACGCTTCGCCCTCGATGGCTGCCACTGAGTCGGAAATACTGTTGCTGGATGACTTTGCCAAGGTTCTCGGCGTCGACCTCAACACTATAGGCCCGGAAACAAGACTTTACGATGTGGGCTTCACTTCAATGGACTTGATCCGTTTGAAGCGTCGCATAGACACTCGCCTGGGGATGGCCGTCCCCGTTATCACACTCATGAAGAATCCGACGGCACGGTCGCTGGCGAGAGCTCTAGATTCGGAGCCCTGCCTTGACAACTGGTCGGAAAAGCCAAAACAATCGACGACAGATTACGATCCTGTAGTGATACTCAAACCCAGTGGTACAAAGACACCCCTTTGGCTTGTCCACCCTGGGGTAGGAGAAGTTCTGGTTTTCGTCGGTCTCGCACACCATCTTGCCGACGATGATCGTCCCATCTACGCTCTACGGGCCAGAGGTTTTGAGCCTGGTCAGGGAAGATTTTCTTCCATTGATGAGACGGTCGACACCTATGTTAAAGCAATCCGACAAAAACAACCACAAGGCCCATATGCATTGGCCGGATACAGCTACGGCGCGATGCTTGCGTTCGAGATGGCCAAAAGAATAGAGGCAGGGACCGGCAGTACAGCAGACAGCTTGGTGCGGTTTCTCGGTAGCTTCAACTTGCCACCGCATATCAAGTCGCGCATGCGGCAACTTAGCTGGAACATGTGCCTCTTACACCTGACTCAGTTTCTCGGTCTGACGACGGAGGAAGATGTGGAGGACATGGCCAGGGACCCTGGATTCTCTACTGCAGCCAGGGAAGACTCGCTAGCACAGGTCCTCGGGGCTTCGGATCGGCATCGTATGGATGACCTGGGATTGGGAGATGCGGCTCTCGCCCGGTGGGCAGATGTCGCTTATGGGCTGCAGAGCATGGCCAGGGAGTACGAGCCAAGCGGGCGGGTGGACGGGATTGACGTATTCCACGCCATTCCACTAAAACGGGCGGCTGCATCAAGAGAGGAGTGGGTAGATGTGCATCTAAGCAGGTGGAAGAACTTCTCCAGGACTGAGCCAAGGATGCATGCCGTTGGGGGCGCACATTACACCATGATTGCGCCCGACCATGTTGTGGGGTTCGCCGCGAAGCTCAAGGAGGCTCTGAGGGCTCGAGGCATCTAGAATTTGATCCATAATGTCTGGTGCCTTGCTTAGTTGTTGCGCTACGCGAGAGGGTGAATCCTGGCTTGTTTCGTTCTGTAAATACAAAGCGTCCTTGACACCAGTGCTTCTGGCCAAGGCCACGACCAACAAGAAACATTCATCACAACTTGCTTCGTCTCTTTAGACCTCGCCAGCATGGACGCACCCCTTGACCAGCTCAAGCAGTTGGCAGCGACGGCTGACGATGTAACCCGTCAGCAGCTCGTGAAGTCGCTGAACGAGTTGGTCCTCTCGCTAGAAAGCCCCAATGACACGGTCCACAGATACGGACACATGGTGAGTTCCCTTTTCGCCTTTGTTGAACTTGTTCAAAGAGTTGACTGTTGTTCGTCGCAGAACCTCCAGACAGCCACAATCAGAATCGGCTTCGACTTGGGACTGTTCAAGCTCTTATCTGAAGCAGGAGGCCCGATTACCGTAGAAGAGGTGGCCCAAAAGACTCGATCAGAGCGCGCCTTGATTCGTACGTCCAGCGTTCCACGTTTAACAGGACCCTTGCTGAATGTACACGTCTAGATCGAATCTTGAGATACCTCGAGGCCATTGGCGCAGTCACCGAGACCTCGGCAACCCAGTACAGCGCGAACAACGTCACTAGAAACCTCACGGAGAAGGCTGTTGAAGCAGGCTTGGGACATTAGTTCGTGTTTCTTCAAGACTCTGTTCAACTCCGCGACAAAGAGCTTGTGCTAACAACTCTCAGCTTCTACACGGCCGGACCGCAGTATGAGGCCCTGCCGGCCTTCCTGAAGAGAACAAATTACAGAAACCCCGCCGACGAGCTGCATACAGCTTTCCAGGATGCATGGAAAACGCCACTCCACGCGTTTGCTTGGTTTGGTGAGAACCCCGAGCACCTCGCCAATTTCAATGACTACATGGCTCTTCGTCGTCAGCCCCAAGTTTCGTGGCTCTCGGTGTATCCGGTCGCACGCGAAATCAAGAATTGGCATGCGCAGGACCAAGACAAAGTTTTATATGTCAACGTGGGTGGCGGCATCGGACATCAGTGCAAACAGTTCAAGGAGAAATATCCCGATCTGACCGGGAGGGTGGTCCTTCAGGATCTCCCGCATTCGATCGCGAAGGCTCTACCGACTCCGGGAGTTGAGAACCTGGAGCATGATTTTTTCCAACCGCAGCCGATCAAGAGTGAGTAGCACGTCGGTCTACATCCACCATTCCAGTCCGAATGCTAATCAATGTTCTTTTTTTTTTCCCGCCTCTCTCGCAGATGCCAAATTCTACCATCTCCGGGGCATCCTCCACGACCATCCGCCACACCAAGTCCAGAAGATCCTTGAGCAGACCAAGGCGGCCATGGGGCCAGAGTCGGTCCTGCTGATTGACGAGATGATCTTGCCCGAGAGAGGGGTGAATCTGATGGCCGCGTCTATAGACTTGACCATGCTTACGGCCTTGGCAGGCATGGAGCGGACCGAGGCGCAATGGCATGACACATTGAGAGAGGCAGGGCTTGAACTTGTTGAAACCTTTATGTACGCACCGTTACATTATGAGGGGGTGATGCATGTGAGATTGCCAGGCGTCAATCCATGAGTAATCCATGCATAATCTATTTCGAGCACTTAGAGGAGAGAGCCGTCGGGGTCAGAGGTAGCCAATGCCGTCATCAAATGCCGAAAAACTGCAGCCTGCTATGAAAAGATCAAGTATTGATCGGATCTGCCAATAGTCATGAGGCCGCACGCATTCACTGGCCCGTAAGTGGCTCTGACGCTTATCCGCTGAAGGGTCTGGTCAATACATAATACTGGTACGCACACTGCGCCTCGCCCACGCTGCGTGTAATATGCGGGCGAAGAGAATGTAACATGGGGTCTAAACTGGCAAATACGTAATGTAACGGTAGGCTTACCAACAGCCGCGCAATCCCTACATAGGGTTACAATCGTCAGCGTGTTGTGCCAGTGTCCCCAATCGAATGGCTTACAAGGTGGAGTGCAATTACTTCTACACTCCACCGGTTTTCAGTTCTCGGACCAGATCGTATTCTTATTTTTTTGCGACTTGAGGCAGCAGTTGTTGTGTCTTGTAAGGAGTTGTCTTGCAGGTCATCGGGCGTTCACGGCGTGAGACGACGATACATATGTAATCTTTGCATCAAGAGTGGTCCCATTTTCCGCTCAACATGCAAAAACTAGTGTCTTCATCTGCAGAGATTACGAGCGCCCGGACGCGAGTACCAAGCAGCCTTGCCCAGCTCTTTTCTGTGACTGAACCTGGTGAACAGCCTACCCTAGCTTCCAAATAGAACCCATCAAGTCCTGCAGCACCTCTCACAAGTGATATATGCAAACTGTTCACTTTCAAACTATGTGTAGGATAATTGGCCGTATAATTGAGTTATCCGCACGTGCATCTACAACCCTGCGGTGAAACCAGCATCTACTACCTCCATGTCGCTACTCTATTGTCGAGTATCAGACCTACCCCATCAGCCAGAGAGAACCTCGCTACTTGGTGAGCCATGAACTTGCTCACTTTATTCTTTGCAGCGTCTGCTGTAGCACTTGTTCTGTGTCGCTTCTATATGAGCGCACGGCGCAGACCGCACAACGACCTATGGAATAAGATAGATATCGTAGGCGTCCCAGAGGGCGGTGGTATCCTATCATGGACCTTTGCCATTGCAAAGTCAGTCACCTCGATGCAGGAAGCCATGCGCGATGGTTACAAAAGGTTTTCAAAGTTTGATAAACCCTTTGGCCTTCCGACCATGTGGATGGGAGGGGCTCTTGTTGTCCTGCCGCCATCCATGTTGCACCTCCTCAACAGGCCTCGTGATGAGTTGTCTAGTTTCGACGCCTTGCTGGAGAATGCTCAGTTTCAATACTTGATGACGGATAAGGATGTTTGGGGCAACACTATTCACTTTGACATTGTTCGCAAGAACCTCACCCAGAAGGACATGGGTCCCCTAGCCGGCATCATGGCCGAGGAATGGGCCACAGCGTTCCAGAAATGTTGGGGAGATTCAAGAAATGGAACTGTTGTTAATGCCTGGGACTCGATGGTGCGAATTACTTCGCACGTCGCATTGCGAATCATGGTCGGGTTGCCTGGAAGCAAGGACGAAACGTACTTGGAGCAGTCGAGGCTGTATGCCAATGCCGTTCTGGTAGACGCTTGCTTCATCAACTGTCTGCCTCCGGCTTTGCGGCCAATATTAGGAAGAGTACTAGCCCTGCGAGCTAGATATCACCAGCGAAAGTTGCTCAAGATGTTGCTACCCATGGTGGAGGAAAAGATGCAGCAGTTCGAGGACCGAGGCGGCGATGAAGCCGACAGCCCAGTAGGCCAACACACCTCATCATCCAATTTATACTTTCCGCTTCTAACTGTATACCTATCCGTTTCAGGGCGATGTTGTTCAGTGGCTTATTGCCGTTGCTAAGAGCCATGGACCCGAACAAATGACAGCGAACAAGATAGCCATGCGCATCCTCGCCCTAACATCCATGTTTGTATTCGCCATCGGCTGGGTCTTTGCGCACGCAGTGATAGACATATACAGCAGCGACAAGCGTGACGAGATTGTCAGCACGTGCAGGGACGAGTGTCGACGCGTGTCGTCCGAATACCAAGGTCTGTCGACAAAAGAGTCCACCGACGCTCTCTACTGCGTCGACTCTGCTGTGCGTGAATCTATGCGCCTCAACGACGTAATGGTGCATCTGCTCCCACTGGACGTCATATCAGGAAAGGGAATTGATCTCGGTCAAGGCCGCCGAATAACTGCTCGGTCAGGCGTGCGGACTGTGTTTCCCGCGCAAATGGTGCACATGGATCCCGAGATATATCATCATCCTGAGCATTTCGATGCGTTTCGCTTCTCACGCAATTTTCCTGCTCAGCAACAGACTGACCGTCAGCATGGGACCAAGAGGCAGCTCATGACCACCGTTAGCACTTCGTTTCTCCCATTTGGCTATGGTAGACATGCGTGTCCAGGGCGTTGGTTCGTAGCCCAGATGGTGAAGCAGGCCGTGGCTTATGTGCTCCTCAACTACGACGTTGAGGTCGTCAAGAGACCAGGAAAGCGGACTTCGATGCTAAACTTTATGCTTCCCCCGCAAAAAGTTGCGCTGCATGTTAGTAGAAGATCATGCAACACGACTGCGAATGAAAAGACGGGGACTGGGCTACAAGATGTTTAACGGATTGCTCTATCCACAGAACTGTGGCAACCGGATTCAGGGAATAGATGGATAGTATATAGTGCCTTTGCAGAATAAACCGAGAAAGCTGCTGATCAGAATGAATTCCATTTATCATGAATAGGTCGCCTTCACTGTCTCCCTTTCTCTCTCCAAAAAGTTCTTGAAGGATGTAGGCCGAATCACCGACGCAACCCCATTCATATCGATATACCGTGACATATATCTCATGGAGATTTGAGAGTTCGTAAATACATTTGAGGTTTTTTGGTTCTCGCTAATCTCGTCGTCCGTCAAGAAAACTGCCTTCAGAGGCCGCCCGGCTGCTTCCCCCAATGTGGTCAGGGTATCCTGCACCGACAACATGTCGCTCGCCAACCCAATGGCCTGGCCGTGAAATCTTTCCGGATCTTGAAACACCCCGGCTGCAAACGAGGCAATATCGACATGATCGATCAAAGCAAGGAGCGTCTCTGGCGTCATTGCCGTCGTCCACGTGCCCTTGTCCCGGGGCTCCGGATAACGGGCCACTTTGGGTTCCAGGAAGTTGGCCATGAAGAAAGAAGGCCGCAAAAAGGTCCAGTATTGGAAGCCGCCACGCCGAACAGACTCCTCTACGCCCTTCTTGCCGGCCAAGTGTCCTGCCATGAACGATTCGGGGACAATGTGTTCCTTGGCCTCGATGTCGTCCAGCGTGAAGACGCCTAGCGACGTCGACGCAACCACTTGACCAACACCCGCGGCCTGGGCAATCTTTACAATGGCCTCGGCCTGTCGTCTTTCACGATTCATGTCACTAAAGTCCGGCAGCAAGCATAGAAAGAGTTTGTCGCAGCCGGTCATGGCCGACTTGAGCGCCGCAGCATCATCCCAATCGCCCTGTGTGAGTTGCACGCCGGCGGCCTTGAGCAATTTTGCTGGTCCGGATTCGAGGTTGCGGACTGTCGCATGAACTGCCCAGTCCATCGCACGGAGTTGGTGAGCGAGGGCTCCGCCCTGGCTGCCGGTTGCGCCGCAGATAAACACGGTCGGTTTCATAGACATGATGCCGATGATGGGCGGCTTACCTGCAAACTACGGTCAACGACTGGCGGCCTTTTGTGGCAACGATCAAGGCATGAGGAGTATATGGTGAGGCGAATGACATCAATACAGCCACCAGGACGGCAATGGGACTCAGAACAAGGCAGCGTCGGAACCGGTCGAATCCATTCCAGAGCTCGGGAAGGGCTGACCGGGCGGTTTCTGCTCTGCGGAGCCAGATGCAGCGTAAGTCAGAGTTGACGTTTCCTTGGACTGAGTCGGGCGTGTTGCGCAGATGTTCTGTGATGCATACATAGCCCCCCGACAATTTGTCGGAGGATAGTTCCAAGTTTGCCGGCTGCATAATCTGTGCTGATGAGATGCCTGGGGACCCATGAATGTACCCTGAGTAGTTCAATGTACCGTCAGATGTGCCCTGCAGCCGGTCACGCAGGCATTGCAATTGTATGTGTCAAGACCTTGGTGTGGGATATGAAATACTGGCGAGTTATATGTACATGTGTGTGTGTGTGTGTATTGTGAGCAGTACCTGATTCAGCCTGGACGCTTTCTCCAACGTAGCCCAAGCCATGGCAATTAGGCGTATAATTAAATACTTGCAAGTGATGAAACAGCAGCACGAGCCTATTCGCAGTCTTTACTCCAATAATCACCGCCATGCTAGGCCGTTGTATGGAAAAATACGGAGGGGTGTGGCAGCCTGGCTTACGGTGTGGCCCAGAAATCGGTGTGCCTGGCTGCATATGCATGCTACTGTACGTCCATTGTGACCAGTAAAATAAGACGCCCATTCGACCAGTGAAAGCACGAACTTGGCATAATCCAAGTCATTTCTCAGGGCACGGTGGCTGTGATTGAGGCATACGGCGACCACATGTCTGGCACATGCTGCGTAGCATGACGGTGAGCGATGGTCTTGCCCAATCCTTTCCCTTATCCTCGACAGGGTATGTTGGAACTTGGAACGCTCTATTCCGTCTCGTAAGCCACCTTGGTAGCAGCTGATGTCTGACCACTCTATTTCCTGAATTTGGCTTCTTGGTGCATGACCCGAGTCTTTTGCTGGCTGGTGTACTGCGTTTCCCCGTACGACATTGAGTGTAGAATTCAGAATCCCCCTACACGCCCGGAGCCGCACTTGTCTTTGAGTTCCACATTTCGTTCCCTTTCATTCATAGAAATGTCTGGTGGGCCAAACTGGTGAGTAGCATAGATGACTGTGAATATCGGTTGTCCTCGAGACAACTTGCCATGGTACATTAATAATAACTTTTTTTTTTCATCTGAAACTATTCAGCCAACCAGTCCCCATCGTGGAATTGGACAATAGTGCACAAGGTGCTGGCGTCTGGCCTGCCTTTCAACTTTGTTTGTCATCACGAGCAAGGAAATACCGAAACTACAGAGACGTTGCTCGCGCTTGGTAATTCTGATCCTCTGGCTTCAGCTACAACTCACCCTAGTCTTTATACCTTGCTATATCCCTCCCATTACAGGTGGGTGCGGGAATACTTCACCACAACTAGTAAGTGCCCGTCGCCAACTCGTTTCGTATACTCAAACCAGTTGACGTCTAACCTGAAGTATCAGCACTAGAAAACAACCACTAGTCTGGAAGGCGCCATGTCAAACTCCTCTCCCACTGCTGAGCCTACGCCCATGCAGGGACCCGACGAGAAGGATGCGCCCATGGCTGATAGTAAACCCCAAAACGGCGTGGGCTACGTAACAGGCCTCAAGTTGGCATTGATTGTCGGCAGCGTAGCGCTTGCCTGCTTCCTCATGCTCTTGGACACCATGATCATCAGTACGGTAAGTAGTTCAAATCCCGGTGCTCCCTCACGGCTTGCCACTGACCGTTGCGTCAAGGCGATTCCACGCATCACAGACACCTTCAACTCACTCCCCGATGTCGGATGGTACGCCAGTGCATACCAATTTGGCAGGTATGCGATTTCGCAAAATCCGGGGTGAAGAGCAATTGAACTGAGACGACCAACAGCGCCGCGCCTCAGCCACTGACGGGAAAAGTATACACACACTTCAACTCCAAGGTTTGCAAGTCCCTTGCTGTAGTGCGAATATTCTTGCGGCTCCTATGCTAAGTTGGACGAAAACAAGTGGTCCTTTTTAACCTTCTTTGCCATTTTCGAGTTTGGCTCCGTGCTATGTGGCGCTGCTGTCTCATCAGACATGTTGATTGTTGGCCGAGCCATTGCTGGATTCGGCTCCGCCGGCATCATCAACGGCGCCATTACCATAATCTCAAGCTGCGCACCTCTGGAGAAGCGTCCATGTAAGTGAAGCTTTAGGATGAAAAAGTCGCGCCAAACCCCTTCCATGTAGCCAGAAAGAAATCACTGACTAGTCTCGCAGCCCTCATCGGCCTCACAATGGGATGTAAGTGGTCCCTTTCACCAGTGAAACATATACCCATCAGAACTAATTTGTACCCTCCTATGCGCAGTAAACCAACTAGGTCTTGTAGCCGGCCCTTTGATTGGAGGTGCCTTCACTTCATATACTACCTGGAGATGGTGTATGTTCTTTGTGTCCCTTTTGCTGTCGTGCACTGTCATCGCTTACATGGATGAGCAGGCTTTTACATCAACTTGCCCCTGGGCGCTTTTACTGCGTTGATCCTTCTCCTTCTGCGAGTGCCCGAGCAAAAGGCAAAGCAAAGCCCACTTGTCGTGCTTTCGAGGCTGCATCATTACCTGGACCTCGTGGGATTCGCCCTTTTTGCCCCCGCTACCCTGCAACTCCTTCTTGCCCTCCAGTATGGAGGTACCCAGTTGCCATGGAATTCGTCTCGTGTGATAGGCTTATTCTGTGGTTCCGTTGGCACGTTTGTAGCGTGGTTCTTCTGGAATCGACACAAGGGAGACGATGCGTTGCTCCCGCCCTCAATGATCAAGCAGAGAGTTGTATGGGCGTCAGGGCTGTATCAGTCCTTTATGATCTCTGCTGTCTATGGAGCGACTTTCTTCCTTCCCATATACTTCCAGGCTATTGAAAATGCCACGGCAATGCTCAGTGGGGTCTATCTCCTACCCACGATTCTCCCGCAACTTTTCGCTGCCGTCTTTTCGGGAGTCTTGTGTAAGTGTGCCTTGCAGAGCCACTAGTCTCCGTGTATACATGTGGCTAATGCTTCGCCCAGTGCAAAAGATCGGATTTGTAATACCTTTGGCCATTGTTGGTACCATCCTTCTGGCCGTAGGAAGCGGGCTGTACTCGCTCCTGCAACCAGGAAGCCCAACTGGATATTGGGTAGGATTTCAGATCTTGGCAGGGATTGGCTCAGGGCTTAGTATGCAGCTGGTTTGTCTCATTCCATACTCCCGTCGTGGACCTTGCAACAAGTACTTACATATGACCCCCTAGGCTATCATTACTGTTCAAGCAGCTGTGGGCGGAGAGCAACTGGCCACGGGGATGGCTCTGGTTATTTTTGCGCAATCCTTGGGACCGGCTATTGTGCTGACTCTTTGCAATGTCATTTTTGTTTCCAGTCTTGCCTCACAACTGCAAGACAATGCGCCTCTTGAGAATGCCCAGGCGGTGATACGGGCTGGCGCGACGGGATTCCGTACCATTGTCCAGTCCGATAATCTTCCTGGCGTTTTGGCTGCATATGCGAACAGTATCGATCGTGTTTTCTATTTAGTTGCAGCAGTGGCTTCTGCATGTGCATTTGTGCTATGGGGAATGGGTTGGCATGACTTGAGGAAGAAAGATGGCAATGGTCAGCATGATTCCGCCACTTCTGACGGCCAGGCTTAATAATGCCCGCCCGATACGCTGGCCTCGATATGCATCGATTCATCTAGTTCAGCACATCCATTTGTACTGTCAACTGTTCGCTTTACTGAATTGGCGAGGGGCCAATCACAAGGAGATAATCACACAATCTAATGATAACATGGCCTTCGGGTTTTACTCCAAAATGGAAAGTCAAAGACTCTTGAAAGAGTTCTCATCTGTCATACGGATGTGGCATAAAATCACGATATGGATCAACCTCTGAACCTGATGATAGTTTCGCGAGGGCTACGGTTATGAGGCCTCAGAGCCCGAGGGCTCACCGCTGCGGTGTGTGAATATGGGCATCCTGCTTTAAAGGTTTTAGGCAAAACCAAGGACCTTTATAAACAAAGACTTTAATTAGATGAGTTGAGGTAGTGACCCCAAGCCCCTGTTGAGCCATTGTCACAACAACTATTCCACATACCTCAAACTGTTGATAGGCTTTTCGACTTGAAAGCCGAATCTTCCTGCGCATGTAGCTCCAAGATCTACTAGACAGGTCAAGTCTACCAGTAGCGCGGGTCATTATATTATTGACATTAATAAGCAATTTACATTGGCACCGGAACGTTAACAATTTTTCTTATATCGCGGTGTTTACCTGGGTCGGTCTCCCTCAAGAGACACTGGCGCTTTATGCCAGACGGCTTCCACCCATCAAACCGGCTTGAATCGCATCAAACATCCACATCCATCCAAGTCTGCTTGGATTGAACATGAGGCACCGGTCTGGAATGCATCTTGTCTTTGCCCACCAAACTTTGTTGGCTTCCTGCGTGCCGTGGACCCATATAGGGTAACCCATCATTCTCATCAATCCGCCCCAGTCTGCCGTGGGACATTTCCAAATTTTCATACTGCTCGGCCCTGCTGACATATTTCGGAGAGTCCACTGACGACTTGGAGGCCTTTTTCCTCCGTATAATGCTGGCCAATGAATCGGAGATGGATCTCACCAGCTGCAACTTGACGACGGATCGCAGTGGCGGGACGCAGCCCATGATGATGACAAACGCCTGTTCGAGACAAGACCAGAGAATCTCAAGCGAGGCACCATACAGAACATCGGTGGCAGTGGGATCGGCTTGTTGGTCGGCAATGTGCTTCAGGCCGACGGTCTTGAGAATTGACAGGACCATGGTGAATAGCGACACGCTCATGAGAAGCACAAGGCCGAGGCGCTGTCTCATGGCCATATGTAGCCCCCAAATCACCAGGATTGGAAACAAGACAAAGGTCAGATCGGTAAATGTCCATAGCGCTGTGGCGACACCCGGACATGGTGGTTAGCGACGAAGCGAGGTGAACGGAGAAGCGGCAGAGGCGCAACTCACCTTGACAAAAGTATGCCAAGGAAATGTAAATCTTTGGATTCCAATGCTCGGCTGGAATAAACGGATCCCAGTTGCCGCTTACCGGAGTGCTCTGGAGGTAGGTACAGGGAAGGATAATGAGGGTCAATATGGTGCACAGGCCGGTCACGACGATGACGAACCATTTCAGCCATTTGTGCACGCCGCCAAAGAGACGCACCAGCAAGACGGCGATGGATATACGCGCCAATATGGAAACAATGAGTCCGGGCGTGTTGGCAAGCCACATCCACTTCAAGACGTTGATGACCTGGTCCGGACGCAAGCTGGCATCGTGCTTTCCGAGACCATGGTGGTAGGCAATCGTGACAAACGACTGCGATACAATGTTGCAAGCCTGGTTGAGGGAAGTTCCTCGGGTTAGCATCGCGGCCTCAATAGTTGAGGATATGCTTTGCCGTGCTGGCTCTTACAATGGCGGCAAACATGAGCCAATCGTCCAAAGCAAGGCCAATGGCCAGCTTGGTGCGCACGTAGAAGCGAAGGACTCCGGCAATGATGGCTACACTGGCAAAAGTCCAGGTCAAACCCATCACCAAAGGCCCGCGGCCTTGGTCATCCGGGTTGACGGGCACGGGTAGCTGCGACATGGTATGACGGCGCGAAATGAAGGTGGAAAGCGACGACTTCTGGGAGCACAGCAGTCTGACCGTCCATAAATCGCCAGCACGTATTCTCATCATGGTCGAAATACCTGACTCATCGTCTCTTTGTACATTTGAACCATGGACGTGATGTACGCTTATTTCTCTTTTCGCCCCCAATGTGGACGAATGTACCGCAGACGTATCTCAATGTACTACCGGACAGAATACAAATCTTGTTCGCTGCCTCTGCAGCATGGGAAGCATCCGGTCGGCCTCGGGCTGATCTCGTTGGTCCAGCTGAGGACCAACGAATCCTCCAGGCAACATTCCATGAGCAAACTACTGCACGAGCCGTGCACTACCAGGCTGCATGTAAGACGCCGTGCAGCGAGATCCACGGTCGACAAGGCTAGACGTCGCTCAATGGGACGAAGATCCAGGCAGGTAAGACTACATGTGTATTCATTAGGCTATAGTGTCTTGCTCCATGTCCCTTTGCTTACCCCGATGCGACTGTATGTATCCCCCGCATGTGCGAAGTAGAATGTTCAACACTACTACAGAGAAGTCTGCACTCTGTCGGGCGATCAAATACTACGCAGGCAAATCATGCATGATGCAACAGTAAGATGGGGCAACATCAGCCTTCGTATGGGTCGACACGAGCCATCAGATTACACCCAGCCTTGGTACCGATGCCAAAATTGTCCTTTTCCAATTCAAAGTCACTGGCTGCGACACCCTCGATGGTGAAGGAAAACCTCTGAACTAGAGCCGCGAGAACAAGGTACATCTCTGCCCAGGCCAGGCTGCGTCGTATCACTGCGTCAGCCAATCCAACAAAAGGTACAAATACCCAAGGGAGGGCGGCTGTGCCAAGGAGAAGAGTGAGACTCACTGCATGCCGAGGCAAATCCTTGTTCCGCGGGAAAAAGGCGCAAACTTGGTGACGGCTGCTTTCCCGGCACCTTGATCTATCCATCGATCGGGGTTGAAGCACATTGGATCGGGGTACAAATTTTGATCGGTGTGAATCAATATAGTAGTCATTCCGACGGGCGTGCCTGCAGGAATACACCAGTCGTTGTAGGCGAGGTCCTTGTCGGTGATTCTGGCTGCTCTCGAGGCGACTCCAGGGCTTAGGCGCAGGCCCTCCGTTAGAACACCCGTAAGGTATGGGAGCTGCTCCAGTTGTCTCAGAGTAATGGGCCCAGAGGACTCGGTAGTTAACGACGAGATTTCCTCTCGGAGTCGTCCGAGAATCGCGTCATTCGTGTAAACGTGGAAGAGTATCAGTCTCAGGGCGTTTGCCGACGTTTCGAAACCAGCTCCGGTGACGGTGGCCACTTCTTCATGGATGCGCTCAAAGCTTTTCTCAGCGGATGGAAGGTCAGACTTGACAATTGCGTGGACCATGGTGTTCTGGACCTCGGCGCCGGGAGAGGACGATGCTTCAGCAGCCAGGGTGTCTCGCGTGTCTTGTTCGGATTGCTGTTGGAGTCAGTGATGAGCAAATGAGACGCAAGCGAGAGACCACGGCTTGTTCTGCAGGTCGTCGTAGTTTAACTTGCCTGGATATATCGAAGAAAGGCCTTTGTGCGTTCATCAGCCATCTTCATGGCCCAGCCAACAGGCATGGCTCGCAAGGCAGGACCAAACCAGCGGATATGCTTGGTCGTGCGCCAGAACACGCCAGCTCCTTGTGACGCGACGGACAACCCAATGCCAAAGTCCTCCAGGTCAAGCTCATTATATGCTTTGCCAATAATGTATTCGTTGGCATTGTCTCGGGTGAAGGCGCTGATGGCCTCGCCTAGGTTGACGGCGGTTCCCGAGAGGTCGGAGAGGCGCCGGCAAAGTTTGCCAACATTTCTGTGCAGCAAAGCTTGGCGGTCAACGACGTTGGCTTTGGAGAAGAATGGTGCAATGGCTCGACGACGGGCTTTGTGGACATGATGATCTGCAAACGAGGAATGTTGGCGATACCAATCTACACGTGCAATGGCTGGCAAAATGTGATACCTGAGCAAAATACCGTTGAGCCCTTGGCCCCGAAAGCATCGTATGTCCACGAATATTTGTCCCAACGTCCCTCCATGCGATAGAGCGTGTCGAAAAACTTGGCATCGGCGACGTGCAGTTCGTACGGGCTGATTCGAATGATTGGGCCTGACCAGGGCGATGGGTCAGTTTAATGTTTCTGGGGTCCATGGAAGGGATTGAAAATTGCAGACCTACCGTATTCTCCATGTAATTCTGCAATCTTTGCCGTGTATTGTCCGCCCAGGACAACATCATAGTACGCCTCATACCAGCGCGATATAGCTGCCAGTTTGGGGCCAGGAAAGCGAGCCAGAGGATGAAGAAACAGGCGATACGACGCCACGGTCGCAAGGTACGCGACAGTCGCTCCCAATACCATGGGCCAACTGATATCCAACGCCATGCTAGACGTAGTAAGAAGATGGACGCGGCCGTAGCAGTCAAGACGCCTAGAGAAGATCAGGCTCTGTCCAATTCTGCCAGACAATCGTCAGAAATTGAAGAAAGAGAGGAGGTGTCCATGCAGGCGGTGCTGACTGTTCACAGCATACCAGAATGTACCAGACCACACATGTCAAGTTCACCTCGGGCCAACAGGTCCGGCGGGGTTTGTTGGACCAAGCACAATATTGACTTGACATGTCACTATGCCTTGTTTTTGATGCATTGACATGCAACCAGCGTCATTTTACTGGTGATACACCACCTATCAGTTGGGTCGGTGTAGAACACCGCAGCATGGCTGTGCATTATTCATCAGCATCATGTGGAATTCAGCAAGTTCATTCTCCCTGCAGTCAAAAAAAAAAAAACAAAAAAAAATTGAGGTGCCTTTGTGCATATTTTCGTTGCTTTGTTATATCTCCCAAAGACCACAGCCCTTACTTCCGGCTAGACATGTATTGACTAGGCCCCAATAATAAACTATTGTCTCTAATACAAGGTACGTACTTGGCGCTGCGAGTGAGCAAATCCGGCACATACAGCGTATAAATATAAGCCCAATGGTTTGAAGGACTTTGGAGGCAGACTTTTAATATAGGCTCAAGCTCTACATGAGTTGATAGGAGTACCGCGACACGTTTTAGGTGCCAAGACCCCCATTCTGGCAGACAACTGACCAAAGCTTGACCGTTTCAAGGACAATGCGGCATTGTTCTTCGTTGGATAGACCAAAAGGGTCCATGTTGTTTTTGAAAGATGTGCCAGCCATCTGGCAAGAACACTGACTTTTGGGATACCGAGATGATGCGCCGACGAGTTGTGAAGGGGAACTTCATCAATTGTGATGTTTTCGGCGCAAGATGGCAGAGGATTAAGCAGACGCAGCGAGAGCAAGATGGTCGAAGAATTACCTTTGTCAGGACACACGAAATGTAAGTAAATATATGGTCGTCGAAACAAAAGAGGGTCAGATTGCCTTCCTGTTCGGCCGCATATTGCCACCTTCTCGCCCTCTGAAATACAAGGTGTCAGATCTTTGAGAGCAAGATGACAGGAATGGGTGGGATTGTCGTTACTGCTGTCTCTCCACTGTCGGCAATATTATTAGTTATGTTGTCTTTGTGCGATTCCGAAGATGTACACACCCTATGGGTACCTTACACATAGGAAGCAGAAACGCCATTGATCTTGATAACACTCCTTGTAGGCCACACTGCTGAAACCATGACACTGACGCCCTCTTGACTTTCAGCCGGGACTTTCTTGCCAAACCTCTTTAGGCGGCTAACAGCGGGAATAGAGGTTTCAAGCGTGGCGTAGGTTTGAACTATGCGCAAAAGATTCTCACCGAACAGTAAAACAGTGACTAGACTAGCGCCGGTAAAGTCCATTCTTGACCTTTATTCCGTCTTGGATCTACCCAAAGGCCAGGAAAGTCGCAATGCCTTTGATTGAATCCATAAAGTGCGTGCTATGTCCTAGTAGGAATGTGACTGGTTGGACTAACGGAACGGAACTAACTATAGTGGGCTTTTTTGCTTCCAAGTTGAGGAGCCGAACTTGCCGAGACGTCCGAAGATAGAACTTCTGTATGATGTGAGGGATTATGGCAAAGAAGGGGTATGTAGTCGCGAGGAGTGGTGAAGACGTGGCAACAACGGCTGCCATTCCCAAACAAGAAAACATGTAGATGGCAAAATCGACCAGAGACCCCTGGATGTGCCCGTATATAAGAGTTAAATCTTGAGAAAAGATGTTGGTCACGGCGCCGTTGTCAGTAGCTGTAAAGAACCGCAGCGGCGCGCTCATCACTGTGCAAGGAGTCTTCTTGTGGAGGCGAGCGCCGACAATTTTAGCGACTGTCATGAAGCATATCAACCACAACATGAGAAGATATAAAAGACGGGAAAACTGAAAACAAGCGTATAGTCCTAGGTAGAAGGAATCGGGGTACTTGGGATGTTCAGTTGAGATGTCGACAGACCAGAACTTCAGCCATATGTTGTTGAAGTTGGTAAAAAAGCCGCAACCTAGGCCACAGACAGCGCAGCCCACAATGGATGCGGCGCCAATGCGAAAAATGTAATGGCGGTATACCGTGAAGTCCCCAATCATTCGCATTGTCTGTTCTATACAGCTGGATGTGTCCGGTTTTGTGGTGGATTTTGGCTAGGACGCCGTATGCACAGCTCCAGGTTCCGTATCCTCTGACGATATTGAAGTCCAGGCCTTCTCAATCTTGAGACTGAAAATACGAAATCTTGATGTTCTTGATTTGTCCAACGACGCTGGCAGTCAAAACAGGGAGGAGGAGAGGGATAGAGAGCGATTTCATCAGCGCTCTGGCCAGACCGTAACGTTTCCCAGGGCTACTGCGCAAACTGCCGACACAGGCAGCACTAGGGTAATTGACCTGCAGATGCTCCGATGCCAAGTTGGAATCGAGCGGGTACAGGTCATCTAGGGTCAATCTCTTCTTGTATCCTGTCAACAAGAGCGGGTTAAGCCATGCAAGAGCACCAAGACCAAATACGCCAGCCGTCTCCTCAGGACTGTGCTTATTTCTGTCCCAGCGAACTCATTTAGCCTTTTTCCATGACTTGAGAACAATAATGACGGCCTTTAGGGCCACGGAGGTGGTAAACAGCCGGGAGAAGGCAGCCTCGTCAGAGCGGGATGAAGCCAACGACAGGGTACGGGTTTGGCCGATATCCAGGATGATGACAAGGCACAGAAAACCGTTGAGCAAGATGGACGGCCTAGTCGATGGCGTATGTTCCAGTCACGAGGGGGGCATCGCACGGACGGCGGAAGCAAACGGTAGAGCCGACGACGAGATAAATAATGCCCTGGACTTGGTGGACACGCGGCGATGAAGATGGTTGCCGGAATGATGGCAAACAAGACATGGATTCTTTCAAATTTCACGGGGAAAGTAAAGTCGTCACGACACCCTTGAATGGCAGACCCAAAGGCCTCGTGATGAGCCACCGCGACCAGCTCCTGGGGATGGGGAAGCCATCTCTGGCCACGACAATCGTCGACAGCCGACTCGGGGGTCAACGGTGGGTTCTTTTCAATGCGTGGTCGCGTCGGAGGGACCCATTCAGACGTGTCAGTCTTTCGCTAGATGTTTGGTGGCTTATAATTTAAGCAAAACACAGTTGCTTCCACTGCGCGGACAACCAAGGCATGCCAACACAAGGCACGCAAGATGGCCTTCGATTCTCCAGCAGGGTGTGTCGCAGTACCAGATATATTTGACAAATAGTAAAGAGCCGCTCGAGACAGAAGGCACTGCTCCTTACAAGTAATTGCCTGTGCTGGCCATGTGAACCTTGCGCTTCTGTAGCGAACAACGAGACGGCTGCTCTCTGCTCCTCCTACAGATTCAGTGGCACCACGTCATGGAGAACTGCTGGGAGGGAGAGGACCTCCCAACGGCAAACTTACATTCTCTGTCTCTGACTTGCTTGAAGACATGGCCACGCTCTGGTGTAGCTCAATGTGTTTTGTGAGGGCAATGCGTGGGCTTGTCCGCGGCACGCAGGCCACAGCAACCCGGCGATACGTGGATTGACGGCTCCTTCGCAACCTCAGTTGCAACAAGCATCTCAGGCCGTCACAGAGCCAAGGACGTCATCAGCTAAGCAAACGGGATCAGTCGGGTCTGCCCAGCGGCAATTGGTAGTTCCCCGCACGCCCATGGACGCAGCATGTTGCATTCGCACAACCCAACAAGGGCGTCGACAACCAATGAGTATTTCTCTTACGAGACACTGGGTGAGCCCGAAGAGTAGTGATATACAGACAGAGCCGTCTCTACTCGGTACTGGCTCTTGTTTGTGGGTGCTTGCTGCCATGAAGATGAACAGATGCATTTCATCACAGACGGGGGCAGTTCTGCTCGAATACTACTCCGTCCTCTACATCCGCCTCTGCATCTGCACGGTGGCGGGCTGAAAAGCACTCCTTTGGGTTACCTCGGTCTGCAGCGTGTCATTTCGTGACGGTAGTTGTCAAGTCTAAATAGGATGCGAATTCAAGCCACAAAAAGGTGACAGTCAGAGTCAGTCATGATGACGGAACATTCATCGACAGGAATCCGAAACACCCACGCCAACCTAAATGGAAACCAAGCCTCTGTTTGCCCTGGCCACAACCCATATATTTCCCTGTGCGGCAGGTTGTGGAAGTGGTGAGGCCATGTTGGCTTGCACCCTGCTCCAACACGGCAATGGCAGATGCATCAAGAAGCACCAAACGACAGCTGCAAAACAGAGACTCACAACGTCGCTTCCGTAAGCAAACTTGACTCACAAAGCGTACAAAGAAGCTGAAAGGTTCCAGGCAAGAGAAACAAGGCCCGGCACATGTTCAACATGCCGCATGAAAGGGTTGGCCATGCTGCTTCCTCATCCGCTCCATGTCCGATGCCGCTGGGTTTCAGCGGTGCGCCATCATCCGCTGAGCCGGCTGTCTCAACCTTTCCGAGAGCCAGTCTCGATTTGCCCAGTGTGCTGAGCCCTCCGTCATCGGATGAGTGGGCAGGCATGAGCCGCCTTGCCGTAGAAGCTCACCACCAAAACGGCGCGCAGGGACGGATGCGCCACGATTACCATGATCCAAGTTTTGCGGCACACGGCATGGCACACACGGCGTCGTCGTTTGCTCTAGAAGAACTGACTCTGCCCAGAACAAATATGGATCTGGAGCATTGTGAGGGACATGCTCTCGGGTCCGTGGTACAACCCGACCGGTGCAGCAGTAGTGACGTGCTGCTTTCGCCGACATCCCTCACGGACTCAAACACAATACCCAACATGGAATTGGAAGCGTTGGCTTGGCCAGACAGTGGCATACCATTGTCCAAAGCAGACCAGATGATATCAAATGTGGAAAATCTTCATGATTTCGGAGTCTGGCTTGCTCTCTTCCCGGAAGATCCATCGCTTCGAAAATCCCTGGCGAGAATAAAGGAACGATTCCGCCGCCTCACAAGGGCCGCGGGAACCAGCGTCGTCGATCATCAGAGAGACTTTGCTTGCGGAACAGATGGCAATCTGGCACAAGAAAACGGGCGGTAAAACGTCATGATGGACGCAGGCCTCGAGGCATCCAGCCCGTGGTCCAACCCATCGCCTCGCTCAATCGCTGGATTCGATGAAGAATGCAGGAATGTGGTTGAGAGGGGATTAGCGTTGGTAGTAATTAGCTTACAATATATCCCCTGAATGTTTAGCCATGTGTGACATCAGTGTGTGGGGCCAGCTGTCAGGTTATTCGCTAACAGCTGCCAGAGTAGGCTATCAGAAAAACTGTTAGAGCGACACAAGAAGAATAAAAGGGATATAAACCCTAGTAGAGAATACTAATTCTTCTATAAAGCTTATATAATCTTTTTAGTACCTTTTACTCTACTACATGTACTGCCTATTTTTTTACAGGCACCTTATTGGGCCCTTAGCCCCTGCAAGCTCCATCAGAGGTTACTGGTGGCTAAACTTACAGGGGTTGGATTGTAAACTATTTGTGGATATTTGAATGGCCTGTTTATATAGGGCTTTTAATTGCGCTCAAGTTGGCCGGGTAGCGCCGGATCGCGTGACTCCTTACAACAGATGTCTGTACAGAGGTCCAACAACTTGGTCAAAGATGGCAACGAAAGAGGCAAGAAGATGACCACGAGGCCTACCGACAGGCGCGCAACAAATGGGTAGATGTCGACTTGTATAAAAAGTCCTCCACAACACCTACTGTCAAAGAGTGGAAGACAAAACACATGCCCTCACGGCAACCACAAAGTCCCATGTGCCATCATCCGCAAGACTATGCGCGCCGAATAGAAGGCCAAACATGGCAGAGAGCTCCAGTGGTAGGCCCCTGCGAGGCCTTGGTACCGTGTTAAAAATCCAGTATAATAATGGCACCGTAAAAAGCTATGGCACGGTGCTATAATTTTACACGGTAGGGGTATAATACCGGCTAGGTATAGGTAAAGTACTAATTATTATAATAATTATAATTAATTAATTAAAAAGCTTATAATTAATTATTATATAAAAAATATTAGCCTTAAATTTTAGGCACTTTTGGCACTTTACGGCACCTCACGGCACCACACAGCACCTAACAGCACTAGCCTTCAGGGCCTTTTGGCACCTTTTGGCACCTCTGTTACGGTGCCGGCACCGTGCCGGCACCGCTACAGGCCCCCATAGAGCCCCACTACAGACTTCAAAGTCGCAGTCCACCCGGGCAAGGATGTGCTCACCACACACGCTGGAACACACAAAGCCATTGGTTTAGTCGTCAATTGACAGTTTCCGGGACAAGTTTGATGGAAGCAAGAAATTGGTCGATGTCTCGTCCGGTCTACCAGACGCTGCATAACTGCCGATAGGGCCGCTAACCCTAACCGGTACTAGCCAGGCACTAGCGGCACTGGCTTCACCGCCTTGTGCGGGCTTACCGTTGGCATGACAGGCCAGGGCCAGGCCGTTAAATTTTGGCACCAATAGAAACACGCTAGAGAAGGGAATCGTGCTACGCCCCACTTTTGGGTTGGACCTTACAGGGGCTACGGGGCCAATAGGGTATCTGCAAGGAAATCAAAAGTATATAAAGTGGGGTAAAAGGTACGAAATAAAGCATGGTATTATAGTGGAAGGATTAGTATTTTTTACTAGGATTTACAATCTAACCCCTGTAAGTTTAGCCACCAGTGACTTCCGATAAAGCTTACAAGGGCTAAAGGCCAAATAAGGTGTCTGCCAGAAAATTTATAGTACTTAAGGTAGAGTAAAAGGTACTAAAAAACCTATAGAATATCTATAGCAAGATTAGTACTTTTTACTAGGATTAATATCTCTTTTATCTGTCTTGTATCGCCTTATCAGCCCGAGCAGGCTCCTCGATTTTTGTCAAAGGAAAAAAAGGGCCCCACTTTATCAGCTGTTAGCAAATAACCTGCCAGCTGGCCCCACTGACTGATGTCACACATGGCTAAACTTTCAGGGTCTGAATTGTATATTATAAAGTAGTAATTTGTATTAAGCCTGTTATAGTAACCTTTACTGTCACCTAATTTACTAGTAGATATATGTACCCTTTAAGTCTTCTCATTGGATACACATCCCTACAAATACCTTACTGGAGCCTTAACACACCAGAGGGGATATATGTCAAGTCAAGTCTGGTATCTTTTTGACAACCAGTTGACATATAATTCAAGGGTCCCTTGGGTCAACGTGCCCCAAGCAAAAGTCGACATTGCTTCGAGCACTTCACCCCTCGCACCATTCACGACCATCGCCCAACATGTTACCCTCGTCTCTGAAGAGTATTTATCAACAGTACAAAGCTGACACAGACTCTGTAGCCAATTGGCTGGCCAAAACGGCCAATGCCAACGGTTATCAAGACAATGCTTCAAGCTCCAACAATGTACTGGCCAAGTCAGGTAGAGTGAAGGGCAAGGCTCGGAAACAAGCTAAAGCTTCAGGCCAGCCTCAGCCAGGCAACTTGGCCAACAAGACTTCTCGCATCATCAGGGTCAGGGATTTTGAACCCATGGCAAGCCATATCGCCAAGTTAGATTCCGTCAAGGTTCCCCATGACTTGAGTGTGGCCCTTGAGCGCGTTATTTGGGGTACTTGAATTGACTGTCACGGCCCTCATTTGGATGCAGCAAACTAATATTTCTGTCGACAGTGCGCAAGAACTTTTTGAAACGGCTTCTTGACAGTGGAGCCGAAATCGAGCCCGGCTCAGATGTACGACACTCTTTCTTTGTCGGCGTACTTGAAAAGTGCGCAACTGTCTGAAACCCCTCATGGAGACGGGCAGCTTCAACGCCGACGAAGCAGCTGAAAAGGCTGGCGAGAAGTCTCAAGAGGCTTTCAAGAACATGTTCGACGTTCTCCAAGTGTACGCACCATCCGAATCATTCTTGAACGCTCCAGATGTTGCTCCCAAGTCCGCAACCGTTTTGGAGTATACTGTCGAACAGGACGAGTCCATGGAGGACGCCATCTTTGCTCTTGTCACTCTTTTGGGTGACTATAGCCGCCTCAGGCAAGAGGTCAAGTCGCTGTGGGCGGATTACGAAGCAAATCGTCTCGATCTGGCTGCCGCCGCTGTTGCAACCAACATGGCTTTTGAGCTCGCTCGCAGCATGGAAGACGAAATCGCACCCATAATCCGCAAGCACGACGGCGAAGCAGGTGAACTTGCCACCACGTACTTCATGGGATTGTGCAATTTATATGGCATTGATCCAGGTGACAAGCAGCCAGGTGATGCTTATAACTTGCAAGCCTACGATTTGGCCGAGCTCTGTCTGGCAACCACCAACACTCTTCTCACTAGTTATGCAACGGGCACTTCGCCCACCGTCGTCATCAACTACTACAACGGCAAGTTCGGCTGGTATAATGAAGAGCTTGGTGCCAAGGGCAAGACCAGCCGCGCAAAGTGGGATCAGGATAAGAATGCAATGCTCGAGATCCTGCCCGACCTGCATTTCCTCGCCTCGAACATGGGAACAGGAGCGGTTGAAGACGAGCTGATCCGTGGCATTGGTGCTCTCATGAGGGATCCCGACGGGGTTACCCCCCTGTGGTTATCCTTCGCTGCGCAAATTTATCTTGATGTCCTACAGTCCCTCGGGTCAAACTGCGGCCGCGGCTTTGACGAGATGAAACAGGAAAGCCTCAAGATCAAGAAGGCAATGCTCAACGTCCCCAGCTCGCCGGAACGCAGCCGGGTCCTCAAAGCTGCAACAAAGTGGGACAAGGATCCGATTCGGGCATGCCGCGACCAAATGGTCAAATTGGGGCAGTTGTCTGGGACCATGCCCCCGGCATGGAGGTTTCTGCGTCGTAATCCGATTCACTGCGGCCTCCTGATCCATAATATGCGTGTGAATCTACACCTCTCGGGCGTAGCATACGCCGCAACCCCGGGAGCAGTCATGTGTACGACGCAGCTGTACCAGGCTCTTCGCCAGGAGAAGCTGCTTTCGGACCAGTTGGTATGGGAAGATGTCGAAACATTTTGGAAGATGCAGGGTGACTCGGCGTTCTTTGTCGGTGATCCACCCAAGAACCGCGAAGGCTATTTCAAGAATTACTGTCTTTGCCTCGGCGTGTCAGTCAGTAACTGGGCGCCAACCAAGCGCAAGGGCAAAGTCAATGTCAACACCGCAAACAGGCGCAACATGAAGTTCAATGGTTGGGTGTCTTTGGTGATTAACCGTCGTCTCGCGCCGACCGGCGAACGTCTCCCCTTGTCGTCTGACTTGATTGAAGGCATCTTGATTGAGGGTCGCCGCCATGAGACCATGGACGGCAAAGGGCATATCCAGCCAGAGATCAAGGGAAAAGCCAAGGATGAGCCTGTGAGTTTTAAATAAGGGTGAATTACAATGCTAAAAAGTTGTTGCTGACACTTGACAATAGATTGACGCAGTGTCGCTCCCCCCTGCTGCTCTTATCCGCAGGCTTGCCCTCAACATACACGCCGAGATCCCCGACATTCGCTTCAACTACTTCACCATGCACCACTCGGCGTGGAGATTCCTCACGGAGTTGAAAGAAGAGTTTACCCGATTATGGGGGGCTCGATTCCTCCAGTACATACCCACAGAAGACAAGCTGCCTTACGTGGTCGGCTACGTCTTCTCCACTGCTGCAGGCCAAAAAGGCCTGACAAGCGACGATAAGGGAGAGGCTGTGGATGCCGGGATCGATGCCGCCGCAAAGGTTATGCGCAAATTCTTGGAAGACGGACATGGACGAGTTGTCAAGGAGCAAGTTGAGACGGAGGTTGAGCCGGAGGAGCTGAAAGATGCGGATTTTGAAGGATTTTCGGACTCGTGGAGGCTGGATACTCTGATGAAGAAGCTTAAAAGAGAGAGTCAAGCCGGCAGGGGTTCCGGTAGAGGAGGAGCCGAAGAGGATTGCCACATGCAGTGAGAAGCCCCGACTAGTTCAGGTTCAGGTTCTGTTCGTACTCGGTTTTGGTCACCACTACAGCAGCCATACAAATACCATTTGGTGTTTGATCAGCTGTATGAATGATGAGTCAAGTTTATTACGACCGGGAGAAAATGCCTCACTGTTCATCGCCAAACGCCTTGCTCGCTGCCGTTTCTGGCCGCAGTGTGGCAGTTTGCCATCCCGCAAGGCGCGGGCTTATGGAATCTTATCTTGAGACTCTAGGCAGACAATACATGCTGTCACTTGCCACTAAGGCCGAGAAACACTGTATGAGATTACTTCTAATTTATTGACGTGAAGTGACTGAGTTCTGTCAAATGACACTAACCCTAACCCCCACAAACGCCAAGGACAGCCATGTCATAACTGATGCAGCATTCTTCAACAAGGCAAATCCCACCTATCCCGGATCAGAGACTAATAGTGCAGAGGTACAGTGAGCTATTGATATCTCCGTGGTCAACAGGGGCTACTAGTTTGGCGCTGAAAACCACAGGAATAATGACGAGACCCACGACTCGCACATGACTTGAGCAATACAGTCCGACTATATACCGCCACTCTTTCAACCGACGGCCTGCTAGATAACCCTTACAAGCCCCTAGATACTGAGACCAAGACCACAGTATGATTGGCAGCCATGAAGGGATTAGTACCAGACTACATCTTGGCACCAACTCATCAACGCTCACTGCCAGTCAGCGGAACCCAAACATTACCCGTATTGCACTGCGTGATAGTGTGTCGACTCGTGCATTGCTTTCTTTTTTTGTTTTTGCTCTACAAAGAGACATAATAATACCTAGTTTGCGCATCATACTCCATGATGACCTCTTTCTCCATGGCATCGACATCAATAACAATCTGGTGCCACAAACTCAACTCGTAGCTCTCCGGCACCTGTCCCGGAGTCAGTTGTCCGCACAAGTACCGCCCCTGGCCATGGCTGTTTCGAGCCTGTGTGCCGGTCTCTACGCTCCGGGTAGGGTTCACCACATTTGCAGCGCCATCTATAAAGGTGCCATCCAAATTCTGGACAGGGCAAAGGATTACAGCCATCCCAGATCCGCCCGATATACTGGCACCTACATCAGAGCTGGGGGACCGGTTCCAACTAACAATCATGCCAGGACGAAGGCGTTTTCTGAGGGGTACGGTAGTGGGATTGTTCAGCTCCCGAGTCAAGATTCGGCTCGTTGGTCTCTGACCACGTAAATTGGCACCGTCAACGCCAGCAGGGTCGTCGAGCCTGGTCCCGGGGCTGCCGTGTTGGGAGTCGAGGTGCATCTGCCACAACTTTGATCTGATGGAATTCACTTGCTCGCTGCTGAATCCAATCATGCCAGGGCACTTGTTTTCAAACTCTTCTTTTGACAAGCGTACGAGTTGAGCCAAAGACTTTGCCCAAGGCACGCCAGCAGATCCAACAGAACAAGCACCCGACTAGCTCGTGGAAGAGATGGTTGCGTCGTCAGCACACAATACTCGACAGAGCCGGGTTTTGCTCAGGAACCCACCTTGTCGATAATCCAGTCCTTCAACTGCTCATCGGTCCAAGTCATTGGATCCATGTGATTTTGGTTCACTTTTGCAGAAGTGGTCGGAACCATAACACGCAACATTTCCGCGTATCGCAGGGTATTTTTACTCGGGCCAACATCAGCAATGCTCGGGTTTATACAGGCTATAACGACCATTCTACAAGCTCGGTCAACTGAAGGCTCAAAAACATGTTTCAGGACCTTGGTCAATGCGCTCTGTCGGAAGGGAACCCGTGGTTTCCTTTGCTTCGATTTCCGACCACGACCCGCGGATGCCAGAGCGTCTAGCTCGGCCTTGTTGCGGATACAGTCCTTCAAGACTGATAAGCTCATGTTGATCTCACGGGTTTCCCGCATGCGGTCCGCGCCATGCGTCGCAACGTCACGCGCAGCCTCGGAGCCAGCTAGGTCGATTAGATACAGAAGCCCGGCTGAGTCTGGGCCAGCTGCTGGGTTTGTAATACGTATTCGACAAATGCCGTGGGACCGGGACGATGAGTCGTTTTTTAGAGTGGGCGCTGTGCGTCGAAAGGATGCAGCTCGTTCAATCAGCTCCATCATGTCATCTCGGCACCGTACCTGGTGCTCGACTGCACCTGCTAGCTGTGTGGCTCCAAACGAGTCTTCAAGAATTGATATTGGCTCACGCGAGTTAAGCAAATCATGGGCTGAGTTTCCGGCAAGGTCAATAATTGTCATGTGCACTTGCCGCTGGCTTGTGTCGTTTCCTTCCATCAACGACATGGCAACAAGCTTCTCGAGTTGACTGATTGTAAAGGTCTTTCCGGAGCCGGTTTGCCCGTAGGCAAATAGAGTTCCAACGCCCCCGTTGGATGCAAAGGCAACCAAGTCAGCCACCAGGCTGTCATAAATCTCACCCGTGTCTGCCTGCGAGGTGAAGGTTCGATCTACCTGATACGTGGAGGACTGGGGCATACGAAACAAGGGCGCAATCAGTATTCAATCCAATTTCCTCGCAAAGGCACAAGCAGAAACTTTGGCATCGTACCTTGAGAATGGGCCGTCCCCTTGGATGATTATAGAGATCATGGATGTCTATGATGCCAGGTCGCGCCACACGCGGGAAGACGGCACATGGAAAGCCCGCGGCAACATCTTCTTCAAGCAAAGGCCGTATTCTAGCACAAACAACGACATCTGGACTATTTGTTTCGGTAGCAAGCTGCTGTGGCGTGCGAGACTCCGGCGAGGTCTTGTTGAGTGATTTTAGCAGAGCTCGGTAGAAGTCGGCATTTTCAAGATAGAACTTTTCCATCCTGCCAGGATAACCAGACGATCACAACATCAAGTACCAAGGTAGCCAGGTCCCAGGTCAAGATGTTGAAGCCCTTTGGTGGAAACTGTCAGTTAGTACGTGACCTTGCACCGAAAGGGGCATGCTAACCTGGATCTCTGCGTGCGTGAGATGTCGATGATTGGTTCGCGCTGACTTTGGCAGCTGGCCTACTCCATATGTTGTTCTGGTATTGCAAAATGATTGCCGGAACCATGATTTCTTGGACACAGAAGTGCAAAGGAGGCCGAATCATGGCACTGGCAATGAGGTCGGTCAACTGGCAACAGGTAAGCGCACATGTGACATGTCACGGGCATCCACAGACCACCGCCGAGGTGACCAAGGGCAACATGGAAAACTTGAATGCCCGATGCATGCCTGACACACCTTTCATCCAAGACACTGCGGACTGTGCAGCAACATGTCTGGACCGTCCGGACCGTCATTCGTAGCAACGGTACAGATAGCAGGGTCCCAATCAAAGTAATCACGCAGATGCCCGTGACGATCAATGACAGACTGGAGGATCATGTCTTGGACCGAGTCCCTGTCACCTGCTTACCTGAAATGGGAGATGAAGTTGGGCATCCATCTTGGTCCGCGGTCCAAGCCAACCTGGGTCGACGGTGACCCCCCAATCTGATCGGCGACACCAGCCATCTGCTATCTTGGTGGTTGAGTCGTAAGAGTTGTCGAGCCTTGGCTTATTGGAACACAATATTGTCCAGCCCTATCAACTCATCAGAGAGAGTGCAACGGTTTGCCGCATCAATGTTGTTTTCAAAAGCTTACCACCAAGTCGACCAGGTCGACATGAATTCTAGTGAAATCCTTGACAAAACGGGCAGCACCAGCTCTTCAACTCGAGCGTGGCTCCCCTGGGTGTTCCACATGTTCGTGATGGCCATCTATGCCGTCGGCTTGTTCAATTTGTATTTTATGGACGCACAAAATTGCTCGCCATGCTTTAGTGGTTCGTTTAATTAGTATCCTGATTTCATTAGCCATTTCGTCCGCATTTAACTGTCATTATGTAGAAAAACTTCTCGGGGCACCAATAACGTGGGGGGAATGTATGTACCCTACGCCAGCAAATATGACAGTCCGCTCACCAACAAACCGTGAATACTGATACACCGCAGGGACTTTCTCTACAAACAAAAATAGCGACCGCATTGACCCCTACTCACGCCATAACCCGGACGTGGATATCGTCTGGGAGGGCAAGATTGAGAATACCATCAGTGTAATAAGTGAGGCGGAGATGCAGAATCTTCCAGGTGGACGACGCACTGCAAGGGCGTACGGACCTCAAGACGGCTATGCTGTCATGATTGAAGTTTTCCATCAGTTGCATTGTCTCGTAAGTTTTCCCATTTCGGTGCCAAGAAAGAGATATTGGTGTCTTTGCTAATCACTCCAAGGGCAGAATCATCTTCGAACCTCGTTCTTTATGGACCGCGACAACGGCAAGCCAGGCGGCAGCACCATGGATCCGGAGGATCATGCAGATCATTGCTTCAGCTATCTGTTCCAAACACTTCTGTGCCACGCCGATGTTGGGGTAATGACGGTGACATGGCACCCGGAATGGGATGTTTTTAAGCCTCAGTTCAACATCACAAAGCAGTGCCGCAACTTTGATGCTATTAAAGACTGGGCACACACTCGCAAGGCTCGGTTTTTCCCCCCACAGAGGAATTTTTCAAGCTAGAATTAGGTGCCGAGACTGAACAAGACCAATGAGAGTAGCTTTGATATACAATTTTAACTACTTTATCTCGAGTGATGACCTTCGCTGTCCCTGACGCTCGATATGGCAATGTGGTCCTTCATCCAATTTGCAACCTTGCCAAAATCCCGACACCTTTTAAAGACAGAAAAGTCAATGTTTAGTGCACCCATCGAGTCATCCGGGCGGTCCAAGACTAAATATGGCGTCACGTCCGCTTGACACATCATGTCCATACGGATAAGTTCGATGCAGTGGTCTATATGTTGCCAGTCTCAGGTTAGAATCATGGACGACAGATGGCGTGTCACAAGGGGCCTGGCTGACCTAAATGCGTCCGGCGAAGTGCCTCGGGGTCGCGGAGAATAGACGGTAGCCTCTGCCCAGATTTCTCGTATTCCTCTTTATAGGACATCTGACGGAGGAGATCCTGTCATTTATTTTGTAATTCTTAGCGTTTCAACCGGGCCAATTCTACGTCTCCTTCGGGATGTCTTACCAAGCAGTGGATTTGATGAAAGCCCCAGAAGAGTCCGGCCACGCCGCCGCCATGACCCGGGTCCGTGTGATGCCACGGATCGTCCGTTGATTTGTTCAGGAGGGAAATTTTGTCTTCGGGTACATTGAACGCACCCCAGTCCCAGAGCTTCTCCCAACGGGCGTCGATGTCGGGCGTCGGTGTTCCGCGGTAAGGCGAGGGTTGTAAAAAGGCGCCGGGCAGGGTCTCGTCATGATACTCAACAGCCTCCAATGCTGGTGCTATCATGTCAAACATGCCGTCAGAGATATATTCATGTATATAGGTGCGTGGCGGATTCAAGTTGCAGCTCAATAGAAAATTATTGGACTCACAATATGGAAATAACTTTCGTACACAGGTCTCATCTGATGGCCTGCCAGACCAGGAAAGGATAAAAAGCGTCAAAGAACACGCCAACATGGCTGACTGAATAATCCACGTCCAGGTATGGCTAATACATCTCCGTCCATATTCGTCCACCAGAGGGTATTTCTTCAAAGAGAAACCTCGGTCAAGTCCCTCGTCCTCAAGAAGACCCTCATCCGCCCTATCCTGTTCCATGGTTTGATGGCCTCGTAAACGAAAATGCCACATGGCGTATGAAAAAGACTGCATTTAACCAAGACAGTAAAAAGTATCATAAACCAAGAGAATGATCTGCTATTGAAGGTTCGATCTCTACATTAAGGTCGTTGCCCCATTCGCCAGGATAGCAGGTTGCTCTGGGCGTGACAGCGGAATGCTACGCGACGGCCAAAATCTAGCACTCAGTAGTGATGACAGCACTAGTGTAAAGCATGGTCACCCTGAGACATATGCTGGTCCCCGTCCATAGCATTGACAGTTGAGCGATCTCATGTACTCGTGCTTTCTTGAATGATGACATCTCACGCAGCGCCACTGCAACATCTGGGGAGACTTCCGCACTAGTGATACCAAAGAAAAGAAAAGAAAAGTCGATTACGTTTTTAAACGCAGCATTATCTAATGAAAGCGGCATTGATTGGTCAGCTTGAGCCGTAAATGTTGCTGATTGCTGCACATTCAGGCGCCGCTTCGGACTATAGAGGGAAATGCTGCACACGCATAGAGATCGCCCTGCCATTGAATGTGTTTCACTATTGAAATGCCCATTGATGTCTTAGGCGACTCACCAAGCAAACCGACGTGTAAGCCGTCAATTTGTTTGTACCATCCATGACACACTGAAAACTTGCCCGTAATCATGCATCGGCTATTCTCAAAAAGCAAGTGCCGGCATGAAATGAGTAATAATAAGATCAGCATAAGCAAGACTGTAACGGTCCAAGCTGACTGTATTGACAACTAGCTTGGCGGCTACTACTAGCCCCGGTTTGTAGACGACGCCGGAGCAATATGCGCCTCAGTCCAACGGCGCGGTCATGTTACCGGGTAACTGGTAAATGTTTAGCAACCAAACTCGGGTATTATACATAATCTGCAACTGTCATGTAATATTCGTAGCCGCAGTATCACATTAGCCAGTAGTCCCATGTGAGGGGTTAGAGCAAAGAAGATGCAATCATCAACTCTTGGGCTACTTTCTCAAGGGATGATGTCGTTGCATTAGGAGTATCGAAAGGCTAAAGTCAACTGATAACTGGCAAGAAAATCCATTTCAATCCCTAAATACTGTCTTGTAGATCCCCGGATCCTGGAACGATATATGGGAGCAAATATTATTGATTCGTATTTGCTATGTTCTGCTTCGGCCGTTCCCATGATGAATTTTTTAAACGTGTAGAGCGTAAAGTAGCTTCTAGTGTATAGCAGTAGGTAGTTTGGAACCCTGGTAATGAGTGATATTTGTACTAAAGAGCAGCTATAAACTATTTAACGAGAGTATAAGAGCCTTGGATAAAATCTGTAAAAAATCTTCCGTAATCGACAGTCTCCCACTCATTTTACGGTTGAAAGTTAAAAGAAGCCCGTGTGATGTCCCTTACGATTGTCAGCATCATTTCTGTTTTGGCCCCTGTATTCTTCAACAAATAGCAACATCCGCCTGGCAATCTTTATTGGTCATCTGCAGTCACCACACAAAAAGTCCACCTGCCTCACGCTCTGCGGCGGCCTATTCCTCAGTGCTTTTATGGTCAGCGCTCGTCCCGTCAGCCCAGTCCCAGATGAAGGAGCCCTGGGGTGTTCTTTTTTCATTCTTATGCGCCTCGCTCTTGGCCCAGTCCCAGATAAACGAGCCTTGAGGTGCTCTCTTTTCATTCTCGTGCCCCTCGCTCTTGGCCCAGTCCCAGATAAACGAGCCCTGGGGTGTTCGCTTTTCATTCTTGTGCGCCTCGCTCTTAGCCCAATCCCAGATAAAAGAGCCTTGTGGGTTGCGAGCCTAGATTGGTGAGTTAATATTAGACCGACTCATTCCATGGGAAATATTCTACCTCAAGGTTGGATTTATCCGCTCCCACGACAGGGGCTCCTAGAGCTGATGTTGCCAGGGTTGTGACAGCAATAACCTGAGCCAAGAGCTTCATTGTTTCTAAAGATTATATATTAGCAAAGAGAGATATAATATGGAGAGGTGAGGCATGCCGTATCAAGGTAAAAGCCGTGTTGATTTCGATTTTTTTCTTCCAAAAAGGTTATCGCGGCACGAATAGCAGAATATAATAACTAGGAGTGGTAGTGGGTTTGCGAAATTTTGAATTCCAGGAATCCACATGGAGCTGTATTAATATTTCACATGGGATAGTAGTCAAAGCAGGACCTACAATAGCTAAAGTCACACTGTATAGACCCCCTCCCCTGATGCCACAATGTCTCACTCATCCTGCCGAGCAACGAGGTGGCGTAATAATACTATGCATGATTATTGCGCAGATTTAAGACACACAAGTAAGCATACAGATGCAGAGTTTTCTCCATTAAGAATCAAGCACATTCGTGATAGATAACATGTTTCAAGCACATGGTCAGGTGCTAGCTGTTGACCAGCCGTGGACTAGAAGTGGTCAGTTTCCATTCGATTTGTTTCTCTTCACTCCATATTTCTCCATGTTTCATGATTCTGGCTTAGAACCACGTACACATTTCATTAGAAAATATGGGCTCTAACGGCCATTACCCCTTCTGGTCGCGTTTTACTCTCAGGACCATGAAGTCTACGGCCGATGAAATCTTTGCCTCTCGCAACCATCACTCATACGAAAAGGCTTCTTCATCTGATGAAGACCACCTGTTGTGTGAAAATGGGAGCTTCCTTGACCAGAAAACCCACCGGTCAAGACATGATGCACCATCCAAGTACGGGCTTATCCGGACCGCTGTCCTCATTTGCTCCGTCGTTCTAAACGTGTGTTTGTTGGGTTTTCTGATTTCCATGTATTCTCTTCGGGGCCCATCCAATCCTATATTTCCAGAATCTCTATACTGTACGTTGGTTATTTCCTCTTATTTTGAGAAATGGGAATTATCGGCCTTTATACTGACAACACACACCAACAATTTAGCACCGCTCCAAGAAGCAATCCGGTACAAGACAGTGCTATTCACCAGCGGATTCGGTAGCCAGAAAACCAAGTACATGGGAAACTCGACTGCTGCGGATGATGCCTGGAAGACGCTCTACCCACGCACGGTAGTACGCATTCCCAAGTCTTCGGCAGATCAGCTCGTCAACCAGACGATTCCACTGAATGGCGACGAAGACCACTTTCCGGTTCTAATTAGCGTCTTTCACGAGATGCACTGCCTGGATTCAATCCGCCACATCTACTTTGGTCACACTAAAGGATTCGATCAGAACCCAGTGATTAATGAGGCGATTCTTGCACCGGAACATATTGACCATTGCTTTGACTCACTCCGGCAGACGCTCATGTGTGGTGGTGACGTTGCGCCGATGCCATATAAATGGGTAGAAGAGAGGAAAAAGGCTTTGGGGCATTTGGATGTGCAACACACCTGTAGAGACTATGAAGCGCTGCTGGAGTGGGCTGGGCGGCCAGAACACGACATCACAGGCTGGGATGAGAAAATTAAGCCGACCTCAATTCCCTGAACTATTAGGCGATGTCTTCCAGAACAATTGGCTTCGTCAGAGCCGGTTGGGACGCTGGTGTTGTTGCGATTACACTTGCTTCTATTGAATACTGGTTGACTCCAGACCTTAGCTTCTCTCTCCTATGTAGCTTTAATCAGACAATTATTATGACTTGCCTCTTGCCAGAGTTGATGAAAGAACAGCACTTTAGCCCTCATAAGCCCTACGAATGTTGACTACGCCTATGCCTTCTCCATGATCCCCGCCTGGGGCGCATCCAAAGACGACATCTACCCTAACTACTCCCTCGCAGGCGGCTCCATCATGCAAATGGGCACGTAAAACTGCGCCGCCCTTCGAGAAGTCTTCATCGCCAAGCAGGGCCAACTAGTAAATCAAAGCCTACATAGCTAACGATGGATCGTGGCACATGGGCTGGCGTTGGTTCAGCATGTGGTGCGGCAGTAGGAGCTTTCATCAACACGGAATACCGTCATATAGCGACTTGTTGTTCGTCATACACGAACCGACCATGCATGTTTCGTCGTATTTGGACAGTGAGCGACTAATCTAGATTCTAGAATAACCCAACCAAGTCGCTGACAATGGCCCCCAAGAAATCTTTAAATGATATCTGAGCACTATTGTCGAGGACGATTCGAACATGGTCTCCAGTGTACCAGCTACACATGTTAGTTGTTTTTGGTGCAGCACGGCATTTGCCTGTTGGGCACACAGTAGGAGGCACTGGGGCTTTGCGGATCGGATACGATCATCTAGGGGGGCGTCATGGGTGTCGAATATGCTGACCATTTCTACAGAATCTAAACTCTCTACTCATGGATTTCGGCACCGGGACGAGCGTTTCCATCATGCCAAATTGAATGCCGTACTTTTTGACTGGCACGACCCGAGCATGACAGTTGATACCGCCTGCTCATCGTCCCTAATCGCGGTCCATCGTGCGGTGCAGGCTCCGAGAGCAGGCGAGTCGCAAGTCACAGTGGCGTGCCGGCCGCAGGGTATTTTGAGACCTAGAGTACTTGTATATGAGAGCAAGTTGAATATGGTCTCCCCCACGCGCCGATGACGCATGTGGGATGCGGATGCGGGTGGGTATGCTCGTCAAGGTGAGGTGTGGCGGCTGTCGTGATGAAGAGACTCGGTGATGCCATTGCCGACGGAGACCACATTGAGTGTTAATTCGCCAGAGAGGCGTCAACCAAGATGGCCATTCAAGCGGTCTCGCCCATGCCTTTATTCTATTAATTTTATTATTATACGACTTGATTTAGTGGAAATAAATAAAAGGTGCCTAGTAAGACCAAATCGTATATATTCCCCTAGTCCGACCCGATTACTATAATATTAATTATAATAGTATTCTAGTAAATCTTCATTTACTTATATATAAAACCTTAAGTGAGGCAGACAAAATGCAAAAACGCTTTATTTTTGCGCTTAGCGCGATATTATGCCTCCAAGAGGTAGCTGCGAGAATAGTTCCCGCTCGTTCCGAAAATACATGTAGTGCTTTACCTTACAACTTCAAGCGTCCTCGCCAACCAAATACTCTCGTGAAAAGTATATAAGTTACATATGTATTTTCTGTTACAGTATAGAACAGAATATTAATCAAGACGGACCCAATTTCCTTTCTCAAAAGAGTTCCTAAGCTGTGGCTGCTTTAACCTGAGCGCTTCCTGAGCCTCAGTGAGCCTTCCTGAGTATCACCTGATCTAACCTGAGCATACCTGAGCAGCTCCCTGAGTTGTCCTGAGCGTGTAAGCAAGAAAAATATCACTAAATGCCTCCAATACTCCAAAGGGATTACGTGGCCTTCATGTACACGTCCCTTTTGACCCGCTTCACAGGAGATACTGAGCCAGCAATCATGCAATGATTTGCTTACAAGTCATCCTATTACCTGAAAGATGCCAGCGCCCTCGGCCATTCTGATGACTGCCTGGAATTAGGCTGAAAATATCATCTTGTTTGATGTCATGAGATTCTAAGAGCTAGGATCGAAACTTGTGCAAGTCCCAGGCCTTGTCCAAATTCTTTTCATTACTTCCAACTTGTTGGTGTTGTCTCCGCTCTGGCGTTGATAACCCGCTGCTCCACCTTGTTCGTCCTCGTCGCGCCGCTTGGGAGGCGCCGTAGAATCCTTGCACGATGCCTTTGACCGCAAAGGGTATAGGATCGTTATAGGCCTGGTTTACTGTACTTCTACATTGATTTGACAAGTGCGCGCATTATAACCGGCCCGAACGCATGTGCCACATTGTTACACGGAACAAGTCACAAAGAGCACAGGTACCTAACGGTTACACAACAGGATCACGCGCCTCACTTAAGGCCTGAGGCATCTCTGTTTCTATCTTGTATATATATCGGTTACCTGTCCCTTCCCTTCTGCTCTTCCACGAACCAAGGACCTTGGACATGCTCCCAAGACGAGCCTTTGTTACAGTAAACATTACCACGAGACAAATATGACCGAACAAGTTCCGATCATCGACCTCACGGCTTACTACAACGGCGGACTGCCTGCGCAGGAAGCCATTCGTGCTATCCACGATGCGGCGTCGACATGGGGCTTCTTTCTCATCACGAAGACGAGGGTGTCCCCCCGGGTCCAGTCATCACTTGTCTCCATGTCACGTACCTTCTTCGACCTACCACTCGAATCCAAGATGGCACTCGATGTTCATAGTGGTGGCGTTGCCTGGCGTGGCTACATGCCTCTCGGCGGCGAGCATACACACGGACGTCTCGACTGGAAGGAAGGTCTCTACGTAGGCCCTGAGCACGCCGATGACCACCCACTCGCCGGCCTCCCACTGCACGGACGTAACCAATTTCCTGACTTTGATCTCCCCGAGATGAGGCCCACTGTGCTGAAATACGTGGATCAAGTTACGGAGCTGGGCAAGACGCTGACAGACATGTTCTCGTTGGCGTTGGGGTTGAGTCGCGCCGAGTTGCGCCAGACACTTCTAGAGCCGGAGCCCGTTGTGCTATTCCGGTGTTTCAAATATCAGGCGGTGGAGGGGCAGCTTTTTCAGGACAAGATTGTTGGCGTAGGAGACAGGGAGAAGTCAAGGGATGGGACTGGTGAGCAGAGTTTCGGTATCGGCGAACATACTGGTAAGGCGGTCTCACGACTCAAGTACACTCGGGACGCGCTCATTATAGCTATAGACTTTGGTTTCCTCACCATTCTGAAAGTGGACTCACCCGGCCTCCAGGTGAGCGAGCATGACATGCTCCAACATGACATGACAACTCTATCTAACCCTTGGTCTAGATCCTATCGCCCTCGGATAAGTGGGTAGATGTTCCAGTTCTTGAGGACTCTTTCATCGTGAACAGTAAGCCCAAGCGGCAATTTTCCACCTGTACCATACATACCATTCTACCAACGCAAATCTGACTCGCTTCTAGTTGGCGACATGTTTGATCAACTCACACATGGCCGATATCGATCCCGACCCCACCGTGTCTGCCGGCCCGGACCCGGCAACGCGCCGCGCTTTTCTTTCCCCCTTTTTTTCGACTTTGCATGGAATGCTAAGATGGTGCGTTTACCGCTACATCACTTGACCCCGCTGTCGGAGGAGGAGATTGTGTCCGCGAAACAGCGCTGGGCTGGGACCACGTTCCGTTCAGTTCAAGGGCTTTGGTCACAATATTTGGCGCGTAAGATGCAGAAGGTGTTTCCAGATTTAAACATGGAAGATTTTGAACCCAACGCTGCACCTTCTACGAGGTTCACAAGGGTAGTAGGAACGTAAAATCGATGGTCCATGGGAGAAGCATCATGGCAGACAGGTCAAGACGATTGCCTTTGGTCGGGAAGATAGATACTCCCATCACGACACCAGTGGTGCGTTCAAGCCTAGGAGGAGGCCGTCAACTCCCATGACTGGCTTAGAACTTGGGTTGGTCGTCTAACTTGAATGCGACAGTCAAGTGCCCATTGGCCTATGGATCTGTCTGTCGCCTTGGTCTTGTATCCCTGGCATTTTGGGTGATTTTGGTATTTGGCTAGATTCGCCGCTCAGAGCATACTCATTGGGTGTGTTTTGCATACTTTGCGAAATTAGGCCTCGATGCAGCATGTTACGCAGTGCTTGCTTTCACTTTTTCTTTTTCATGACTGAACGGTGAAGGTGTGGTAAGTATCCTGTCCACCAAGAAGCTCTATATTAAATGACAGTCAATAGAAACACATGGTGCCAATAAATGTAGGACCAGTAATTTGGAGCTACAAGGCCAGAATTTGCTGTATCACTTTACCCGCAACGTCTATACCCCAACTCATCTCTGTACATACAATGAGCTTCATTCAGAAAGTGCCAATTGGCCCAACTGTTTCCGGAGTGCGAAAACCGATCATGTCATAACTCTGCCCCTTACGTCTTGAATACACAAAATGCAAGTCAATATCGGATTCAAACAAGGTATCAAAGTCCCGTGTCGCCCTGCCAGCATCTCTGCGTGCGTACACTTTTGTCCTAAAATAGGAAAAGTAGGAAGAAGCCCATGCACGCTCAGGCACGCTCATGGAGGGCTCAGTGAGGACTCGGGAAGCTGAGCTGGCATGGCTAAAATCGGCGATGCAGTGCGTCTAGATTAACGTTCTGTTACAGTAAACACGGGTACTAATAGAGTCTAATAGTTACCTTGAATACTAAATTCAATAACAAAGTCATACTACGGGCTGATACGCCAAAGGATTCGTTGTCGGCCCAAGTCGAAGGCATTGATAGCTTTGCAAAGATGTTGACAAGAGCCGTCACTCCCCATGACTGCTTCTTTATTACGACTGCACACCGAACGGGCGTATCCGTCGAAGATCTCTCAAAGCACACTGGCGTTGACGTGCCTACATTGACCAAAACGACCAGGCGATCGTGGTCCCGATGGTGTTCCCGATGGTGTTGAGCTTAAAACCATGATTCAAGTATTTGAGAAGCTTGGCCTGCGTTATCGTACATGGACGTACAAATCGAAGCCCGATTCGATTGGCCGTGTAGAGGCGCTGGCACTGCCACCCAGAAATTCGCCTCGCGTTGCCGGGGTTGCATATGAACGCCCCGATAACGGAGGTGGACACATTGCTGTTTGCACGTAAGTAAATATAAAGTTCCGGTCAGCGTCAATAAACGAGCCTAACGCTTTAAATCGCAGAAACCCAGGAACACCATACAGGCGGTACATTGACTACCAGACAAACCCCAAAGGAATAGATGTAACAGGAGAAGTCCGCAAGTCACTAATCTATGGCTACTTTTATCTTGATAAGAAGGCTTCTGAGGGTGAATTCGTCAAGAAACAGCTAGCAGCAATCAGTCTAATGGAAACTGACGAAGCCAATCTGAACCTGCCCGGTGGCAGCCAGGACGAGCTCATGGAGGTAGTATATGACGACCAGTTGCCACCACTGACTCGAGGTGATTATGAGGGTCTCAACTGCCCTGCGCTTCTTGCCACTCTATCAGCACCACCGAACATGGAAGCTGGGCGCTCAATCGAGGACGGCCATTTCCTTCGAACCCGTGCTGATGGGGATTGTGATAAAGCTCGTGAGACAGCAAACCAACAAATTAAGAAGGATAAGCAGTTAGCCAAGCAAGAACAAGTGTCAACTACTCCTGGCGAAAGACACCAGAAAGTCTAAAGGAAGAGGGCAAGCTTCCAAAGGAAGACCAGCCAACCATTTATAATGGAAAGGAAGTGACAATAATGGATGAAGCTAAAGTAGCAGAGTTGGTTGAGACCGCGTTGGAAAAGGGGTTCTCAGAGCTCGTGGACAAGCGCGGGCTTGTTGACCTTGTCAAGAAGTGGTGGCCTGTGGATTTACACAAGTTCCGCGCGAAGCGATTAGTCTATAAAATCTGGTGCTCAGGCACTTGCGAAATTAAAGAAGGCGGCCAAAGGCGGATTTAATGCCCTTGGCCTTGGCTTGTGGATCGCCGGAATGACTGAAGCCTTCACTTCGGACACGGCGACCGACTGGGATAAAGCCGCCGCCGCGGGAAGTATTATCCCCTTTCTTGGCTGTGGCCTTGGTGCAAAGGCTGACGCGGACAAGGGGGAGTCTGACTGGGTTGACACGGTATTATGCGCAACGGCTGATGCTTTGACATTGACTCCCGTCGCTCTGCTTGGAATCTTGCTTCATATTTATCGAATTTTTCGCAAATTGGCACAACCTGAGCCACTGCCTAAATCCGAGCACATGCGTGGGGTTCATGATAGTGCATGGACGAGCATTCTCAACGAGAAAATATACACGCAACTTTATTCAGATAACAGCTTCCAAGAGCGCTTGAAAGATGCTTTGCTTTTCACGGAACTGGCCGTTCTATCCGAAGCCGCACTGGGTATTGGCCTGGCAAATCCAGATGTGTTGAGCGCCATGCAGGCCAGCACTTCTGATACGGACAAGTCCAAAACCCAGAGTATATCTCCATCAGCTGCTGATAATATCCGAGAGGGTATTTCAAATGAGACGATTCACGGCCAGCGCGATTTTCTGCTGCGTCTACCAGATCAACTTCTGACAAGCGCGGAGCCTTATGCTAAAACCTTAGCTGAGCAATTTAAAACGGAATTTACTGCCGAGTTGATATCCGATTATACGGCGCTCAAATACACTCAATTTACTCAAGGGCGTTATCTCAGCGTTGGAGAGCCCATCATTCCTCCGACTAACAATTTTACCCAAGTTCAATCTACACTGAAAAGGATGGCTGAGCGTTTGAATAGCTCACCACTACATATGCCTAACCGCTTTGATGTTGCCTATGTTATTGGGCAGTCAAAAGGCCTCCAAGGAATGGATCCGCTTATCCCAACCCTGCGAGATTTTCTAAAGACTCAAGAGCCAAACCTACCGGAATCTGGACGCGACCCCTTGCTCCTGTTCCATACACTAGAGGTCTCAAGGTTATTGTATGGCGAGAAAACTGAAGATGAACTTGACAGTTACTGGCCGTCATCTGGAAATACAGCCAATCTTAGACCGCTTCAAATTCTTATTGCTATGAAATTCCGAAAGGTATTTGAGGAGGTGAAAATGAAGAAGCCTCAGAAAGATGAAGATGAATTCAATAGCCGCCCAAGTCTTCCCCATGCCAAGGGTATTTTAGATGAACTGCAAAGCGCCCCATATCGTAGTCTTATTCTTGGACTTGGCGAAGAGGTTATTAACAATCTACCCAAAGACCCACGATATAAAACATACATTGCTTTATTTAAAGAGCCGGCGCTTATAGACGCCATGCTGCAGCGCGCGATGGAAATGCAGGCCGAAAATGGTACTACTCCTGTTGATAACTAGCAAGCACCTAGGAACTCGAACAGGCCGCAGACGTGGTCTCGCACGGCATACTGTGCAAAGCATGGGAGATGCTGCACCGATCCTTGCCCGTGTCTGCTGCATTGTGGAAAACAAGAAGCGGAGGTCTATAAAGGCTGGGTCGGGGGTCGGTCGACATGGAAAGGCTGTGGCAAGTCGGGAAAGATCGCGCCCGCAACAATAGAGGTGAGACAGGCAATACTTGACCTTGGCAAAGCTGCCCAGCGGCTTTGTAGTAGTTCATACCGAGGATGAGTGCTGGCGTGTCTCTAGACTATCTCAATAAGACTCGACTCACTATGGAGCACTTGATACCGAATCCTTTCGTGTCACCCCAGCACGTAGCTGCCGGCTGGAGACTCATGTATCGGGTGATGTCGGCCACTTGAGAGACGACGGAGCCATGGTGTTCCACTCTCGCATAGGAAGCGACACGCAAATCAAGATTTGGGGCATTCGAATTGAGTTAAGCGACATGGAAAGCAACATCATCGCGGCCTCCGGCGCTCCATTGCGACAAGCCGGGCAAGGCGACGGCGCTTTTCTCGTCGCCCATGTCGTATTTGCTCCTGTGTAGTCACACTCTGATGTAAATTACGCTGGTGCAGCCGGTAGTTTAGACAATCAAGTCGTTCTGGAATCCCTTCCTCGGAACCTCCCAAGCCCCCGGTACATGGTGCCTGCTGCTGCCATCCTTCTTCATCAAATGCCCCTCAGCAACCGCTCCCAGGCCGACCGTGAAGGTCATCAAAAGCCACTGTGATGCGTCTCAAGCTGATGAAAAAGGTACAGGAAATCACATGCTTACTGCAACCATGGTTCAGCTGACGCGTCTATGGCATGAGGTTCTCGGGGCCCATGGCTGCCCAGCATTCGACAACGACTTGACACCGGTTGACGCCGGTTGAACCAGACGTTATTGTAGTTATACTGGCCTCATATTAGTAGGCTGGCCTCACTAGTCACGCCATTCCCCTCCTTTATAGCCGAGTCATGTTTCCATAAAGAATCAGTCAGCATTGCATAAACACGCACAGCCGCCTTTAAAAAGGCGGGCCAAGAAGATAAATCGACGGGGTAATAATATAATACAGCTCTTTATGCTTGATAGGGTTACTTGTATAATTATTACCTGCTAATTTCCGAGTAAATAAAGTAGTAATCTAACCATTATTATCCGATTAATTGTTCAACCCCGGAACTAACACTCCACAAGGCTTCGCAAGCCTCGTGAGATTGTGAAAAACTTTTTTATTACGTATTTATGAGGCCCCGGCGAGTCACGCATAAAGAATAATTTAAGAGAGGGACCGTATGCGAGCATTTACCCCTGGTTCAGCCATCCACGTCGTCAAGACACCAATGGCAAGTCGGCGTCATGAATCACGATATTTCCAGGATAACGAGCGGGAAGAAACTTATACTACCGAGTACATACTTGCTCGGAGCCACAACGATTTGTGAATACTTAAGGACAGTTGCTTCCTTTGATTTTGGGCCTGCTCCTGGACTATCAGCCGACAATACCAGTATAGTATTCGCCTTCTGAACCGAGTAGCTCGTTCTCGTTTTGCTTAAACATTACTCTAAAATGCGTCTCTACTTCTTGGCACTGGCATTGACCGCGGCGGCAGCCCCAAAAAGCCTAGCAGCTGAAGAACATGTCGCCAAATTTGGTGATACTCGACCTATTTCAAACGATCCTCGCCCCGTCAGTGGCACTGTTGTTCCTCGCCAACAGCCCGACGGGACCGAAGAGGTTGGCTTCGACGTTTACGTGCACGTTGTTGGCAGGCCTGAGGAAACAAAGGCCAATCAGACTGAGTTTCTTCTCACGGTAAGCCATGTCCGACGACTCGAATAACTCCACAAGCTGGCTTATCAATTTTAGCGCGACGATGTGAAGAGTCAGATGGAGGTGCTCAACAGGAGCTTTAAACCAGTTGGCATCTCGTTCAAGCTTGCAGGCGTGGACTGGACGGCGATTAGTACTTTGGCCCCCTATGAAAACCCCTTCTCAAACATTCTATACAACAAAGAGCTTGAAGGCATATACAAGGGCGACGATAAGGGCGACAATACTACACTAAACCTCTATTTCCTAAATGGGACCAACGGCCATGGGGGTATAAGCCAAAACTTTTTTTATTTGAAACGTTTTGTATTCGTGAATGCGAGAACCGTTCCCGGTGGAACTGAACCTTCCTTCAACATGGGCTTAACTACCGTCCACGAGGTCGGCCATTGGCTCGGGCTTGTCGACGTCTATAAAGTGAAACCTTCGTGGGGGACCGCAGAAGACTTCAGCAAGGCAAGAGCGGCGTGTCTCAAATTAGAGTATGGCGTTATTCCTTGCTGTCCGCCCGTTTTTGCCATGGCTAGAAATGCTAACAAAAAGCAGTGGCCCCTGCGATACCCAGGTCGAGTGCCTCAACTACATGAGCTATGCCTCCGAGTGAGTTGGGCCACCTAACCACCACTAAACCGAAGCCATACCCTCCTAACATTGTACAGTACATGCAAGAATGAGTTCAATCCCGAACAGATTAGATTTATGAAGACCTATGCCAAGGAAATGCTAGCAGGCGGAACCCCTCAGCCTATTGAGATTGATCTGTAGTTGAGCCCCTAGGGCGTGTTGAACCGTACAGGAATTTCGGCCCGTCAGGCAGACGGTTTAAATAGTCTGGTGCTACATGGTGCTGTAACGGTTTAAGAATGGTGGGGTTCTTGGGGTTAGATAGACTAAAATAAAAAGACGGTTTTGTCAGGCTATACTCACACATCGTTTCTTGATAGTAAATAACTTGCGGCTATTTTGATTTTGTTTTTTCACTGACAATCATCTCTTTACCTCCAAGTCGCTGTAACAATCGACGGGTGCTACAGTGTGAGCACTCGCGTCGGGAGCTCAAAGTAGCGGACATGAATCAGCACAAGAAGCAACAGCAGAAATCTCTTAAACTACAAGAGGAACGACTTTAATTGCATAGTGGTTACGCTGACATAAACTACATTTAGAAGAGCTTCTGTAATGTGTATACAGTATGTTCAAGCTCTCAAGCGCATCAAGAATCGCCGCTACACGAACGCTCAACGTTATGAATAAGCATGTTCGCAATTCATGGTCACGTCTTCTCTGCCCAGCCTTAATGCAGCACATTTGGTACACAATATCGTCCCACCATTCAGCCGTTAAGAGGGCATACCTGAGGCGGCTGTCAAGCAACACAGGGCGCCACGCTTTTCTCGGTCAACGAATTCCAGGATATGACATTCGCGCCTGTGACGACGCGTACGTGCTCCGGGTCGCAGGAGGCAATCCTGGCGCTTATATCAGACTGCTCACTATCTTACAGTGAGAGCTGAGACTGACATGGTTGACTTTGAGGAAAGGCATGTATAGGCGACTACGTGACGCTCATTCACACGCAAATCTTCAGTTTCTGGACCAGGAATAACGCACGGCGACTCCGAGTACGGGATTAACATCGTGACGATCTAACCAAGCAACCATTGATATTTGCAGAATAACAGAAAAAATCTACTCCTCAATTTTCCCAGAGTTCAACAAATCTTGCTGGCGGTTGCCATAGAGTTCAGCTAGCCAATCAGTCAAATCTTGTATTTGGCTGGCGGAAGCGACCTCATCGACCATCTCAAAATCGACAGCCATGATCGTATCGCCAACAATATGGAAGTTTTCTGATCTAGTATCATCAGGCAAGGCGCCAAATTGAGCCAGGTCGCCTAATGTGTCCTTTATCAATCGACGGAATTCTTCCTTGTCCAGAAGGGCTCCTGCAGGCTCGCCGACACGAGCACCCCCAATGTCTGAAAGAAGAATGGCTTTGATACCTCTGTACGTCAACTCGCCAAAATACCTGGGAATCCTTATTCCTTGAAGGCTCTTCCATTTTGCGTACGCTGATTTCTCAATTTGGAACTCTTGATCCCATCCGTCCTTGCACGCCTTTAGCACGAGGCGGTTTGGTAAACCCCATTCAGGAAAGCAGCGCTCGAACCAGCCGCGCAATAGCGGTGGGAGGAGGCCAACAGCGACGCTAATTCGTTGATCTGTCCTGGACAGGATGACCTGAAGAAGAAAAACATTGGGCATCTCCTTGTCTATCTTTGTCGCTTTCGCGCGAATTAGTCGAGTTCTGAACCGGAACGCCTGTTAAAGTCAGATACAAAACTCAACCTCGAGTAATTGAAGTGTTCCAGCATACAATGGGCTCCGCGGGAAGCACTCTCGAAGTTGAGACAACTCTAAATCGGCCCTTCGAACGTCGCCCCTGAGCCCAGCGAGGCATCGCTTGGTCCAAGGGCGAGCGAGGATTAGGCGACTGCTCGACCGCACTTGACTCTCCAATGTCAAAGGAAGACATTCACAATGTAAGACGCAATGAAAACTCTCAGTGTAGTCGCGACAACGTATGGTCAGTAATGATGAGTTTCTGTACAGTGGAGTCCTTGGAGGTTAAAGTTGTTGACGTCGTGGTCGCCTTTTACGTTGGCACATGCGGTGGGGTCTGGCGACTTAACCTCTTTTCCCCATTGGCTACATATGTACTTGACCAGATATAATCCATCAATTCCCATACCATTGAGGCTCGGCCTGCATACATATATACTGGAGCCTAGCTGCCTACCATGCACAGGCAGCTTTTCAGCACCAATTGATCGAACAGTCCGGCGCAATTGTCATAAAAATGCGCGCCAAGGTAATATATCATCCACGGCAAGGACGGCTGGCCGTGCATAGCCATGTTGTCATGTTCAAAGCGTCTTGATAACATGGTCAGTGAATTCACGACCGGCCTAGTTACCTTCACAAAGGCACTACCCTACATGTTGACGGTATGTGAGAACAATATTCCTGCCTAGACCCAACCGAACGCGTTTGGTTCGATTTATCATTTCAATAATAAAACTTTTGCTCATCTCCTCCATGTTTTATGTCTTTGGCAGAGCATTATATACACTTCTTTCATCACATAGATCAACGTTGCGCAGTGGCAAAGAGGACAGCTGATATCGGGGTCCCAGAAGAAGCTGTCCCAAGAACTTCGAGGGTATGCCTGTATCGTGCCTGCGCCACCATTCGACATAGTTGACGGACAGTATAATAGTTACGTCCACAAATACGAATGCCCGCAGATGTTTTGTTTCCATGGGGAAGCTTTCCTGCTCCAATTCTGCGCTACGCGCAAAGATCATCCCGATAATGAGAATTGTAACGTGGACTGCTGGGTAATACCGAGAAATCGCGGAATTTCACTTCGCGATGCACTCCATCGGCTTCTTACACAAGGTTTCAGGCGTTATCAAGGCGTGCTTGCTCTTGCCGACTTTAAATGTGATATTCGTCAGTGGTATAATAGTCGGCCACTGTGGGCTGTCCCGGACACCCGTCCAGTTCTGTATACATCTAATGAACCTTCTGGATTCCAGCGCTCCGTGGATGCGGCAACAGGAGCCTTGATACGGACTCATCCTCTGGTTGAGGCTACAGGAAGAGATATTAGGGAAGTCTGGCACTGATTGCGACTAAGTTGGTGTACGCAGAGATTGTCACACGGCCAAGATCTGGACAAAGGTATCGGGCTGCAAAGGTTACACAACAACATAGCAAGGTATCACGAGAGGCCGGCGTCGGACCTAGGCGAGAGCTGCCCCAGGCCCCTAGGACTCATGATTTATCGTATTGAAAGAGTCTCGTTTAAAGTGCTCTTTGGTCCGTTTATGCCTCAAGAAACCAAGGACCTTTAATACTAAAGACTATGATTAAACGAGTTGAGTCATGGTATTCCAAGGCTTTAGCTCTTATCACGCTTGCCCAGGAGTTGGTTCGACTGGAGGTGTTAAACTCGGCTTCTGTACAAGTTGATGTAGTCCTACTCGGCGAACTTCCAGGTTAAACTGATCCACACGCCCCAGTTATCGGATCATTCAAGGATGACCCTTGAAGATGGTTCGAGGCTGTCAGCTGCCATCGTAATCGGCGATGTTGAGTCTAGTGGAAGCTTGTGACTAAATTGAATTGGTCGTATAAGCCGGGCTTGTAACTATTATAAACCACGATTATTTAGGCTAGCGTAAATAAAGCAAAAGACTCTAGATTTTCTATTTAAAGAGTGGAGTAATATGAAACTAAGTACTTGTAATATTATTACCTGTCAGGTAATAGTATGGTAAGAGGCGTTACCTCAGATGAGAGACTTGATCTTGATACTATATAGGTCTTATTAGAGTCCCGCCTATTAAGCACAAGGTCTCCGTGTCACTTATCAAAGCGGGTTAAAGCCTTCCCATGTCTCGTTCACGGCCCTGTTCCACACGGCTCTAAAACTCCCGAGCCCGTTGAGATAAGCCCGGACGCTGTTTGGCTTACCGGGAATATTGCCTCCGTTAAACCAGGAATACTTGGATTTACTGAAAAGGCTCCCTTCAGCGTGATGCAGGCAGAGGCGGTCCCATGCGTCCTGTGCGGCAGGAGTAGCCTCAACAATACCTTTGGAACCAGAATCACGCCTGGCAGCTTCTGCACGCTGAATAGCACTGGTGTTAAGGTCGACACTAGCTTGAATCGTTTGCGGAACATTCCCAAAAGCCGACTGCGGGCCGTTGACAATAAACATGTTTGGAAAGCCAGGGACGAAAGTGCCCAGATACGCCTTGGGCCCTGTAGCCCATTCGTCTTTGAGGACCGTGGCATCGCGACCGGTGATGTTGACGCGCATAATATTGCCTTCAACGGCATCAAACCCAGTGGCGAAAACTACAACGTCCAATTCGTGAACCATGCCGTCTGCAGTCAGGATACCGTCAGGAGTGATCGCCTTGATGGGGTGCTCTTTTAGGTCTACAATAGACACATTCTTGCGGTTAAAGGTCTCATAGTATCCGTCGTTCGACACGGGTCGACGCGCAAAGAGCTCATCAGGAACAAGTTTACGCGCCTTCTCCGGGTCTTTGACAATGTGACGAATCTTATTGCGGAGGAAATCGCAGACCTCTTCGTTGGCTTTTTCGTTCGTCACAACGTCATTAAAGCTCTCCATGAGAAAATGCATCCCGTTACCATGGTTCCACTGATCTTCCAGTAGTTCCTGACGCCGTTCAGGAGGGAGGGAAAAGAAAGGCCGGTTGGACTCGACAAAACCGAATCCGGAAAAGGAGCTGTTGACCTGTTCCCGGATACGGTCGTAGTTCTCATCCAGCCATTTCATGTGAGTTGGCGAAAGTTGTCTGTCATTGTTGGGCACCGTAAACTGCGGGTGCCGAATAAACGCTGTCAAAGATCGAACAACAGGAGCAGTATTGGTAATAATCTGGACTCCGCTCGCACCACAACCAATTACTCCAATACGTTTATTTTTCACGTCCAGATCCTTCGGCCAACTGGACGAGTGCGTAAAACACCCCTTAAAGGTTGAAACCCCTGGGATATCAGGCAGGTAGACTTTGGACAAGACCCCCAAGGCAGGAATGAAATAGCGAACCCGAAACATTTCGTTGGTGTTTGTCCTGATCTCCCAAGTGCTAGTGGCCTGATCCCACCTAGCTGACAACATTTCCGTGTTAAATTGCATGTACTTGCGTAGATCGTGTTTGGCGACGATGCGATTGAGATAGGCCAAGATCTCAGGTTGCCGAAGATATCGCCGATTCCACGGATGAGATTTGTGGTCTTCCTGATCCCAAAAGAAACGATATACAAAGCTCTCCGTGTCGCTCAAGGCTCCAGGATAGATGTTGGTCAGCCAAGTACCTCCCACATCCGGGAGGGAGTCAATAAGCTTGATAGACAGGCCCATGTTCCGCAGGCTGTACGCCTGGCATATCCCACCGAAACCGGCGCCGACGATTAGAACGTCAAATTGTTGTTCTGGAATGGATGCCATGGTGATGTAGAAAAGTTGATGAATAATTCTCGGTTTTCCTTGAAAATAGTAGTAATGATACGATTGTTGCACTATTCGCTGTGACCAAGTAGTAACTTTGGCCGAGTTTAAATACCATGCTTGAACTGTATACACTGCCGGAGCTCAGTTACCGGATCTCGGTCGTCCGACCGAGTTCACAAAGAATAGAAGGGAAATCTATTCGCTTTAAGAATTTGCCGTCGGGCTACTATTCTTAAATCCGACACTCGCCATCCAAATAGCACCGCCAAGGATTAGACGTGCACCTCTAACTTAGTGTCACAGGAGCAATGACTACATGTAACTACACCAGACTCTCGCACCCTTTAGTCTTTCGGAGCCCCTTGGTTGCGAACGGGTCTGGCAGTAGCTAATAAACTGGAGCCTCAACTGCCATAAACGTCAACGTCGGACAACTCTAACTGGGCTCGGCACTTACCCTCAAAGAGGGAATACACCGAACTGACGCTAGTTGCCTCCCCGACCCGGACTTAAACGGGTCATAAGACGGTTCGCATTCTACAACCCCCTGCAGCATAAAATTTCCAACCAGGGACATGGCATGCGGCTTGTTCGGTAGGCCGGCTTTGTTTTTAGGCATTAGTACGGCGGGTCATTGCGTATTTTCCACCAGACGTCTTTGTAATCCTATCCTATCTATTACTAACCAGTTTGTAACACAACGATGCCGCAGCTCAAAACAAGTAGCCGCATTTCTGATTGTCTCAGCATTATAGCGATCAGCTTCTCGAATCCTCTGTGGTAGTATAGAGTATTGAGGGCGTTTAAACAAACAGTCTTGACCCTCCCAGAGACCATAATTTACCGACTAGTGTAGTCCATGAACCAAGCGAGTGACTTGGCTGAGATGAGGCTCGCATACCCCCCCATCGACCAGAGCGTCGAGTATGCTCTCCTGGCCCAGGAAACCGCCGACGCACAACGTGACAAGAATTGTCACGAAGCCACAGCGTGACCAGTATTGCTGTCCTTGCAGGACATCTGTCATCCCGACCGTGCAGTAAATGATTATGGATAGGGTATACAGGATGGCAGTCTGGGTGCTGAAAACACGTACCACTGGAACTGCATCCCTCTGACTTGGTTTCTGTTGATACGTAGTCCCTACAAATGAAGACAGTTAGTATCGGGGAGTATGCGTCCTGAGCCATTCTGGTTCAAGGTGTCCGCGAACATACTTGCACGGTGAAGGTAAACGATGGTTGCAGTGGCAATGCCAGCACTTAGTACCCCAAGTGAATTAAAATGCTTGTAAGGTCTCCCATGGGTCCGACTGTGCTTAGCTAGACACTTGGATGATGATGAGGGTGGCATTTTTGACCCTGGGCTCGTGGGTGAATTGATGACTTTGGTGCCACGCGTTTCTGGGCCCGGCCAAATTGGGAAAGAAAGGTCAAACAGACGCGAGGTGAGAAGCGTCTTGTCGATTGCGGAGAGTTTGGGGGCAAGAAATGCAGACGCGATGTGAATAAGCTTGTAGCTGCTACCAGCCTCCGCAATATATTCCTGATCCTCCAAGTCTCGGTCTTCCGTTGCGACGCCAGGTCCAAGATTCGCGGAAAGGCGTGGTAATCGGTAGGGGACACGTTGCGCGGATGTCGCATGGCCATGAAGATATTGATCCTCGGTGATTGTGTCGAAATCAGGAAATATTAGAGGCGGCTCGTTGTCGAACTCGGCCACATGGAAGCCGGGTTTTTCTGCCCCTTCCAATATAAACTGTATATTACTCCAGGTCTTGGGATACCATACCTCGTTTCCATGGGTCTCTAGCGAAGGCGGCTGTGCTTGGTCGTGACGTGAGGGTGGTTTCGCTGGCACTGGGGATGGGCATATTAATAATATGGCTCGGGTGAACATTGGGTCAAACACTAGCAATCATTCGTGTGCCCCTGCCATCTCATGTGACATCTGACGTCGCTACTTGAGGTTGTTCTTTGCCAGCCAAACGGTGACTGGGAGATGTCAATAAACTGCGCAAGGTAGCATTCAGAGGCCGAAGACGATTTGCGGATTGTTCAAGGTATGGGTGAATGTCTTCGTCGGGTACCGCCATACCCACCACCGGCCGACCTCCCTCAATGTCTATCAAGATTTGCCGGCAAGTTTGATGATCCGGGGCCTCGAGTTCGTCGATAACAGTGTTGCAGTCTTCGAGAAGCTTGCCGACTTCCGTGAGCAGAAGCGCAGTTCTTTTACTAAATGTTACATATTAGTGCGGTCGCCATGGGAGACAGTATGCTCCTACGTAGTGTTGTTTCTTGCACTAGAGCTCTCTCGAGTCTTCGTTGTATATATCGCCTCTTCCCAAGGTGTTACACGGAAAAGGCCCAACAGATCGTGAAGTCCAATAAAGGGGCTTCACCGATACGGGACTTGTTGGTTACACGGCTTAAACACGTGCCCGGGTAAGAGCCCTAGGCCTGGGCGTTCCTTTTATGTATATAGAGTAGTTACTATTCCCTTTCTTTATCTTAGCAACTAAGGAGCTTTAATATCCTACGAGATTATTATTAATTTGAGCCCATTTTTACTCCAAGCCCTCATAACGAGCCCTTGTCACACAAGGTTCGATGACCTCTCGTCGTGGCAAGCGTGGCGCATGGCCCGCGGCTGCCAGGACGGCGGAGAGCATTTGTGTGAATACTGGCATCCTGAGTTGACCCATCGAGTTTTACCTCGTCCAGGACCAAATCCCCAATGTCCCATACGATATTAGCCGTGTCTATCTCGATCACGAGGAGACTATGTCTTTGGCTCTGTTGGTACGGTGGAGCTTGTGTCTGCATATGATGCTTCAATCTCCAAGGGTCTTGTCAGGCCTACTTCCGTGTGTAACCCATACTTGAACTACTTGGAATCACCAAAGGCAGACATGAGTCGGTACACCTTTGATGATGTCGAACCCTCGAAACGTTCAGCTCGACTTTTATCATAACGTTTGAGACGGACGTGGGCTAGAAAGCTGTCTTCAGCGCGCTACCACGCCAAAATTCAAGCTGCCGGTATCGCATCTCGTTGGTGCTACTGGCAAGGGAAAATGTTGTTTCTTGCAGACTCGATCAAGGCCGACGGTATTCTGAGAGATGGAGCGACGGGGTGGTGCGAGAGAAGACACTTTATTCTCCTGGCAATATTATCCCGGCCCCCGTGGTTTCATTGCAAATCGCCAATTTTCACCTCGATTCAGGCCCGCTACTCGATGCCCCCCGAGATCGCTACTGAGGGAGATAGGCGTCGATGGGACTTGTACAACTACAACTCCAAAGAGCGAGTGTGCAGAACACCACACTACATTGGATGGGGTTGAGAAGATTCAAGTGGTATTTTGGATATGAATTTATAGAGTCAAGTCTAGTAGTAAGAGCCCCGAGGGGCAAATCTGTACCATCCAAGTAGTGGATGGCGTGCCGTGGAACTATAAGGTACATTTAGATACCTTCTCCAACAACTTCTAAACCCTGAACGTTGCCTAAATGACATATTGTGGGTGTTGGTGACATAGTTTCCCCTGCAGGGAGTCGTAAATACTGGAGCACGCCAGAAGCCACGCCCTTTGACAAGAATGCCATGGAGGATGTTGTCGAGGACCATCATGTAAACAAGCATGGGGACATCGAGGGAATGAAGAGGCGGATACCAGCGGTTGAAGGACCCTTATAGACCCACAGGAGTCAAGAGAATAGCCGAACACCAAGTTAATATGCGAAATAAGGGAGTACGAGGCCTCGGTACAATCACAAGGGAAAGCGAATAAGCTCAACTGGTCCAAGTCTTGGTCGCTAAGCCTGTTACATGCATTCACGTGGGCCTAACTAGCTTGGTATATTGTGAGCTGGGGCAGATGGTGTTTTACGAGGCGCGAGTACCTTGCATGAAGAGGCCAGTTGACTGGATATATCCATCAGTTACTTGAAATGGAAAGGCGCTAGATTTGTACAATGTAGCGAAATTTCTAAATCTTCCCCCGCTTACCCCTCTCACTACACACACCCCAGGGTTGGGTGTGATCGGGGAAATACATTGACTACATTTCTGGTTCAAGGTCAAGTTTCGTTTCTACCGCCAAAATAATAAGGAGAAGATTTAATGTAACTACGACGCTTAGTGCAAGTCAGCCGCACCTCCAACCTTGAAGTCAGCTCCCTACACACATTCTATTTCCTTCATTCTGCCGTCCTTGGCGGAAAAGGAACGGCAGCTTGTCAATTGAGCCACTCTGTTCCATGTTTCTCTCCGTCTCGGTCTGATTTTGGCAACGCAAAATGACTTCTCTGTCGACCCAAGGCGTGTATTTTCGCCTATACCACATATTGGAGGAAAAGACACGTCACAGGCCGTCATGGATCGAACAGGCCAATTACACTGCTTGGCTGCTCTGTCTAGTCGTGGCCTACGCGACGTGGAAAATCGCCTATGCACGGCTCCTATCTCCATTGAGACATATTCCGGGCCCCATGGCCTCGCGACTTACGTCCAAGAGGGGAACCTGGGCCGTTATCACGGGCAAAGCTTCAGACATTGCCTTGGCCGACTACAACGCGTATGGCGATGTATACGTGGCCAAGCCAAACGCCGTCTTCCTCTGCGACCCGGAAGATGCCCGCAACGTCCTGTCGGTGGGCGAGTTTCGGAAAACAGACATGTATCGCATCTTTGAGTACGAGGGGGTGCCCAACGTGTCGACATTCACGGATCCCGTCGAGGCGAACCGTAGACGCCGCCAGCTTCATCCGTTTTTCAACTACGGATATTTGGCCAAGGTGGAGCACAAGATTCTCGAAAAGGGGTTTCTGGCACTCAGGGAGCGATGGAACAAGGCCATAGACAAGGCCGCAGCCGAGGCAGGCCATGCCGACACCACCGTCGTCAATTATCGCATCGACACGCAGCTGGCCATGTTTGACATCACCGGCGTGCTCGTCTTCGGGAGAGACTTTCACGCGTTGCGTGACACAAATCTGGACTACACAAGCTGGGTAAACAATACGCTCACCTACATGCTGCTGAACCACTACTTCCCGGTCCTGAAGCGCTGGCCCTTTTCCGGCCTCACCCGGCGCCTGAAGAAGTCGTACGACGATCTCGCCCGGTTTAGTCGGGACTCGATTACCATACGCAAGCAACTTCTCGACAGAGGCGACAAGAAGCCCGTCGACTTGCTGCAAGCCTTGTTAGACTCGGTAGAGCCCGACTCTAAAATCCGCATGACAAGTCGCGAGGTGCAGACGGAGAGCATCAGCATGCTCGTGGGAGGATCCGAGTCCACATCGTCCGTCATTTCATGGGTCATTCACTTTCTACTGCTGTACCCCAACTACTTCACCAGAGTCGTCAACGAGGTCCGCAGTGAGTTCCCCCCGGACCACGTTATTACGCAGGCCGAGAGTCGCGCAAAACTGCCCTTCCTCGAGGCATGCATCTACGAGACGCTGCGCTGCATACCGACCGCAAGCACATCCTTCCCACGCATCTCCCATCAACGGGGCATCACTGTCAAGGGCCATTACATCCCCCCCGGGACGGAAATCGTGACCAACAAGTGCGCAGCCCATGTGCATCGCGAGACCTGGGAGGACCCCTTTGATTTCAAGCCTGATCGCTTCATCGGCGGCAACAACGACAGCGCCGAGGCCAAGCGCAACATGCTCTCCTTTGCGTACGGCACCAGAGTTTGCATTGGCAAGAATCTCGCCTGGGTGGTCATGATGGTCACGCTGGCCAACTTGTTTAATACGTACGACATTTCTATTCCGGACGATAGCATCTTCCGACCGGAGAATGTAGATGCGGATGGTCGTCCCAAGATCATGCCTACAAAGCTGGGTGTGGCTACGATGCCGGCCAATCCAGACAGGGACTGTCGCATGGTGATTAAGAAGAGAGCGAGTGCCTAGATGGAGGATCCCCGAGAAGAGGCAAAAAAAAGAGAAAGAGAGATGGAGGGAGATGGAGAGAGAGAGACAGACGGAGGGAGAGGCGAGTTAGACCAGTTCGAATCACTTTACATAAAAAAAAGAGCAGCATAGTAACAAGAGAACTTAGTTCACAACATAGCATGACGATGAATACTCTGCAACATGTCAATTTTGTACTTTGCACTACTTGCTACCAAACTAACTCGCAAGTCTGCCGCCAAAAGTCATTTTCAACCACACCAGCCATGGCGTCCTTATTCGTTGTCAGCAGAATATACACGCCATCCTTGCCCGGGGGCGGCGGCAAAAACGCCGCCATGGTATACGCGCCCTCGAACAAGGGCGTGAGCGACACAAAGGCAGGCTTGCCGAAGCCGAAATCCGCATCGTACAGCCCGAACCTGACCTGGCTCGTCGCCACCATGGACGTGGTCGTGTGAGAGGCCGCAAACGCCAGCGGCCGCATGTAACTCGTCGGGTGCTCGCCCAAGACGTCGTGGTATCCGCTCACGAGGGCGGCGTCGACATCGCCAACGCACCTCCTCACCTGGAGTGCCGATCTGGCCAAGGACGCCGCCGTGGTCTTTTGGCCATAGTCCTCCATGGTGTCCCTCATCAGAACGGGCACGAGAAGATTCCCCGTGAAGTTGTGCTTCATTCCTAGCCGGGGCCGCGCATCACAGGGTATCCGAACGGAGAAGTGTGTCTCGGGGGGAGGCGCAGGGCTGAACCAGCCCGCCCTCGGAACCGGCTGCTTTTGGCTCTGGACATAGGTTCTGCCCACTAGGGCGACGAGAAGGTCGTTGGTGCTCAGGCGAGCGACGTGCTCTGGCAGATGCTCCTGGGACGATTTCTGCAGGCTGTCGAGAGCCTGCTGGGTAATGTGGAAGAGGTGGGCTTGACCGGGGGGCGACAGACTGCCCAGCTTGCCGAGCAGACGTCCCAGGTGGACGGGCGAGAGCCAAGTCATGGCGTCGCAGAGGAAATTGGCCGTCGCGTAGATGGCGTTGGATACGGGGTCGAGAGGTCTTTTACGCGCCGTCAGGTACTCTTGGATGCAGGTCCGGTCGTGGCAGTACTCGGTGCCGGGCTTTGGCAACGACTGGGAAGCAGCGCAGCGCATTTTGGAAGCCCATTCTTTGATAAAGGCAAAGTAGCCCGCGCCGTCAAAGACGTAGTGCGGACAATTGACGAAGAGGATGAGGCCCGTGTTGTCGCGGAGACGCACCACGTGAACGTTGAGCAGCTTGATGTCGCCGGTGGTGTCGTGCGGCATGGCAAACGGCTTTACGGTCGCGACGCCCTCGGGCCATGACTTCCACGAGAAGTTTGCGGCTTCAAGAGTCGCAAAAGAAACGTTGCTGTCGTTTGGCAGGATGGTTTCGCGGAAGTCTGGACAGTTGATGTGCGATGGATCAAGGTCGATTTGCAGCTTGCATCTTGCGGTAGCCTTGATATGGCCAAGAAGGATCGGAAAGGACTCGAGTGTTTGTGCCAGTGACTGTTTCAGGAGGGTAGTGGGCATGAATTCCTTTTGCTTCCCATCTTGGCCCCTGTTCCCGTAGAAGAACGCATATGGGATGTTGGAAAATGATCCCTGCATATCGAAAGCGGACAGGGCGAACGTTTGAGCCCGCAAGGGCTGCTTGATAAAATCTTCCATGGTGCATGTACGTCAAGAGATGCTCGAGTGTTGGGCTAATTATCGAGCTCACTCCATGGTGGTTACAAAAGGGGTTCCTAGATGCTTCATCCAAATGGCGGCTTTAGCCTTTGCTGGTCACTCGAGAGGCTGCGGCCAGGTTGCTGGGCGCACATGCACGCGTTGGTTGGACCAGACTGGATAGTGGGATGAGATGCTAGCACGGTCTGGTGTCAGTATGTGCGTTCCTTTTCTTTTCTCTTCTTTCCTTTCCTCCGCCAGACGTGAAATGACGCGGAATAATGCGCGGATACATCAGCGGGCATCGCAAGCCAGCTAAGACACCCGTGCTTGTTGTGCTCACCCCGCCGTTGCCGGAGATGACAAGAATGCCGCCAGCTGAAGGGCAGATAGGGTAGATGGGGCTGGGCGCGGATCTGCGGAGATGGACAGTGACCCACATTTCCGGGCAGCTGAAAGCTTAGCTTTTCCCGAAAACGCAGGTGTGGACCCCCAAGGTGCCGTCTTGGCGATATTCGGGCTAGTATTCCGAAACCCCTGCATGTGCCGACTCCGTACCTTGTCACATGCAAGCGTCAACGGTTTTTGACCAAGAATTCCTCCGTGCTCGGATAAGCAGAACTCTCCTCTTGGCGTGGAGCCGTGTCTAGTTTGGTCAAGTCAAGTTGCATAATGCGTGCCAAGCTCACAGGCGTCGAGTACAAGGTCCAATTGGCACGTCTGTGGTGTATGCACCTGCCGATTCTTGCCGCGGCATGCCATGCAACATGAACACCAGTTGACCCTATTCCAGCCCGTCTCATGACGCTATTCGCAAAAAGGAGACCTCTTTCATCCATGACCCTCCACTTCATGCCGCAACAGCAAAGTCCATGATGAACATGTTGTCGAAATTCACGTCTTCCAAGGCCGTCGACTCGGGACAAGGACCCTATGATGAAGAAGTCGACGTCCTCATCGTCGGCGCTGGAGCTGCCGGCCTGACCGCTGCGCTGCGCACGCGCTTCCACAGCCTGCAACCGCTCCTCGTCGACAAGAACGACAAGCTCGGCGGCAGCTCTGCCTACTCGGGTGCCGGGCTATGGATACCGCAAAACCCTCTTGCCGAGGCTGCAGGCATTCGTGACAACAAGCAAGATGCCTTGAAATACATGGAGGCTGTCATAGGTCATGATGCCGGCCCAGCCTCGTCAGCAAGTCGGAAGCTCGCCTACCTCGACCAAGGCCCGCACATGGTTCGCTTCTTGCAGACGCTGGGCTTCAACTGGCGCCTGAGCCGCGGCTGCCCAGACTACTATCCCACGTCACCGGGTGCGATGCCGCACTTTGGCAGGACCATCGAACCAGGCGTCTTTGACCTGAATCGCATCGACAAGTGGCAGTCGCTGCTACGGGCGCGCCCGCGACAGCCACCGCCCCTCTTCACAGACGAGGCAAGCAGTGTCACGAGGCTGGGATCGTCCTTCAGAGACTTTGGCAAGGCCATGAGCGTCATGTGTCGCGGCATATGGCTCAAGCTGCGAGGCCAGGCACCCGCGACTATGGGACAGTCGCTCGTCGGACAGCTTCTCTACCTGGGACAACAATCACAGGTGCCCATCTGGCGAAACGCGCGCCTGGTGGACATTATACAAGCGCCGGATGGGACAGTGGTTGGCGCAAGCGTGCAGCAGACAAGCAGCGACGGTGGGCATCGTGAACTCCGCAGGATTCATGCCCGGCGCGGCGTATTGCTCTGCGCGGGTGGCTTCGCGCATAACAAGGAACTGAGGGACAGATATGGCCCGGCGCCAGCAAGCACCGAATGGACGAGCGTGCCCGAGGGAGACACGGGCGACGCGATCCAAGCCGGTATAAAGCTGGGGGCGGCGACGGCCCTCATGGACGAGGCCTGGTGGGGTCCAACAATTCTTGACCCTGTTCTAGGGAGATATTTCTTTGCTCTTCAGGAACGTGCGCGTCCCTATAGTATTATCATCGACTCGACTGGGTCACGGTTCATGAACGAGTCCGCGCCATACGTAGACTGTGGGCATAACCAATACAGGCGCAACCAGGAGGTCAAGGCTATTCCAGGCTGGCTGATCCTTGATACAAACCACCGCAAGAAGTACTCGCTTGGGTCTCTTATGCCTCGACAGGAAGCCAAAGTCGGCTTAGAAAACGGATATATTTACCGCGCTGATACCCTAGCCGAGTTAGCCTCCCAGATCGACATTAAACCGTCGGCGCTCGAATCGACCGTGGCTCGGTTTAACGGCATGGCGAAAGATGGCGTGGATGCGGATTTTGGCCGGGGTGGCAACGTTTTCGATAACTACTTTGGAGATCCAAAGGTTCAGCCCAATCCTAACCTAGGACCCATTAGTGCGCCGCCATTTTACGCGGTTCCTATTGTGCCCGGCGATTTAGGTACCAAAGGCGGACTTGTGACGGACGAACATGCCCGGGTCTTACGAAGCGATGGGTCTGTGATCAAGGGCTTATATGCGACTGGAAATACCACGGCGAGTATTATGGGCAGGACATATCCCGGGGCTGGAGCGACGTTAGGTCCCGCGTTGACATTTGCTTACATTGCCGTAAATCACATGGCTGGTTCTATAGCCGTGTAGCGTTCGTAGTGTAAAGACCTTTGAACTCTTATTTCACATCATTCAAGCGCTCTATATTTTACGCCACAATATTTCGTGTCCAACCTGGCAAGCTGCAAGATACTTTGTCCAAGCACAGCGTGGTTTAGAAGTGTTGCACCAGACTTGTTAGTTTCACAATAGCCACCGGTCAATAGCGGCCAATGAATTCTAGTAATCGTAGTGGGTTATTTCTGAGGCCATGGTGGAAGATATATACAGGATACCAGACGCCTTTTTTACTAATAAATCACTTCAGCAAAAGACTGGAATCCCCCATTGCCAAGCACCCTGCTCATCTGGCACTCTTCCAGCGTCAAATACACAAAAAACACGTCGTGGCCCATGGCCAGGGACGGCGGCGGTGGCACAATAACGGCCACAGTTCTCGGATATGCCATGGGACTCACAAATACCGGCCTCCCAACGCCAAAATCCACCTCGTAAAACGGCAAACGGCTCTGGTTCGAAAAGGCCTGGCAGATCATCAACGAGTAAAGGATGCGAACCTTGTCGCCCAAAAGCTGAATCGACCTCATTGCGCGCTGTATCAGTTTTTCAATCGTCGCCCCATCGGCCGCCGACGTGGTGCTTCTCGAGAAGCGCGCCACCTCCATGACGCTCGTCTCCGTCATGGGCCGCAGCAGCGTCTCCGACGGTGCCGTGACAAACAAGCCCACGGCGCAGTTTCCCGTATAGCCCTCGGGTACGCCGAGGCGATGTCGAAAGTCACAAGGCACAATGGCGCGGGCCTGTGGTGGTTTTCGCCGGAAAATGCCACCCCTGGATGACGGTGACGAGGCTGACTTTTCTTGCATCGTGCACTGCGCGTATGCTATTGTGAAGATGGCAACGAGCACGTCGTTGTAGGATATGCCGTTAGACGGCTTTGCCCCTGTTGTCGCCAGACTTTTGACCGCATCGAGCTTGTCACGACGTACTCGGAACAGGTGGCTTCTTGTGCGTCCCGCGGTGAGGTTTCTTTTGAGGATGAGACCCAGCAGCGAAACGACTGCCACCAACAGCATCGACAGAGGCCACATGTACCACGGCAGTGGACGTGGGCGAGCGTCTTGCGAGAGCTTCTCATACATGACACTTCGGCGACAGACAAGTGCGGCAGACGTCTGCGGCGGAGGAGACGGCGAAGCGGTGGCGGAAACTACTACATTATTGCGTCGGCGGAAGCAATCTGCCCAATGCCTCATGAAGGCGACGGCGCCCTTGGCATCGACAACAGCGTGCGCGATGCGAAGGACGATGGCGACGCCGCTGTTGTCAGCCAAGCGAGCGACATGAACGCGCACAAGCTTGGATGCATCGCCTGCGGTGCGTGCAATTTGCGGTTCCGCAATTCGTATGCCCTTGGGCCAAAGACGTCGATGAAAACCCTCTGCCTTCAAGGTGCGGAAGCTCAGGGCAGCAGTCTCGGATACCTCCCAGCTTGGAGGGTTGAGGGCGTCCTTGTCGACAACGACCTTCATGGTGTTTCCCCAACCGCGTTGCAGTCTGCCCAACAGCATGGGAAAGCCGCGCAACGCATCGTAGAGGCTCTGCTTCAGCAGTTCTTCTGGCAGCCAGTCGCGCGCGGATTGCGTATTCTCAAAGAAAAACACGTTGGAAATGTACAAGTGGCTACTGATGATGTCCAGAGGCGACAAATCAAAATGGGCGCTTTCGATATTCGACCAGGCCTGTTCCATGATGAAGGATGGAGCCGTATTGGGAATGCAAGGTTTGCCCATGCCACGGCCGATTACGGGACTGTTTCTTGGTGTACAATTGCTGCCACGGTATTTTTCAGACCTCTGAGAATCTTCTTTTTTTTTTAATTTTTGCCCCCTCCTTGTCAACAACGCCAGATCATGGGAGAGACGTCTGGTGCTTCTCCAAGCTTGAGAGCAATGTGTAAGGGACCAGGCGGGGTATCGACCAAAAGTTCCTGACCGCTCCTCTAGGCGCAAGCTCATGTCAATTGGAACAAGAAGCTTCGCTCTCCAGTTTTGCTACCGGCCGAATGAAGAGTGCCGTCTTACGTCCAACGGCCGAAGAACAAGACACATTGACCCCTTGACCCTTGCAAGTGGCTTGGGGCGTGCTTTGCCGCACGAGATTCAGCTGGGTGGGGGCGCGATGCCGCGGGGCCAGCCTCGTGAATCGTAAAAAGCATTGGCAACAATTGACTGGTCAAGTGTCTGGTGTTGTGTTGCACAATCGCAGATTGAAGCGTCGCATTGCTGTTGGTCATGGAAACTAGATACGGTGAGCCATGTTCAATTTCTCCGGCCATGATACCGCGACTACCCGAGAGCTTGATACCTCGTAGTCTCACGCCAGGGCGTGCGTGCAACATTTGGAGTAACGACGGGGAAGAGTCAAGGCAGTCGAATCAATGCAACTTGACCAGACGAGTTGAGCACCAGCAGCAGCATTGAACACAGTCCCATGCCGTGATTCGGGGACCGCCAGACACACAGCTTGCTCAAGTCATTGATGGGGTGACCGACCAGCCTCGAGTCCAACACGCCAACCCGCGCTCTGAGTTCGTGTGGTGAAGAGAAGAGCATCCATCATGCCTCTGCAAGACAAGCTTCGCCTGGTTCAAGATGATGGCTTCCGCTTGATCCTTACGCTCAGCTTTCTGTGGATTCTAGCCAAGCTCCTGTACGCATTTACTCTATCGCCCCTCCGATCTATTCCTGGGCCAAAAGTCGCGAGAATCACGGCCTTGAGGGCCATTCGCAATCGGTTGCCCAAAAATGTCATCCGCTATGCCCTCGACGACTTTCACACCTACGGGGACATTTACATTTCCAAGCCCGACACCATCACCCTCAGCAATCCAGCCCATGCTCGCGCTGTCCTTGGCGCCCTGGACTCTCGCAAGATGGACATCTACAAGAGCCTCAGCGACCCCGTGATGAAAAATCTTGTCACGTTCAGCGAGCCTCGTCTGGCCAGCCAGCGCCGCAGGCAGATTGGCCCCTACCTCAACAGTCCCAGCTACCTCGCGAGAATGGAGCAAGTAGTCCTACAGTACGGCGCCGTCTCGATGATGCACAAGTGGAATGAGCAGCTAGACTCAGCAGCGTCAGGCGACAAAGATAGGGACAAGGATACGAGGACAATAGAATTGAATTACCGCAATGACACGCAGCTGGCGACCTTCAACATCATGAGCGCCCTGGCGTTTGGGCGCGTCGACAAAGCCACCTCGGACAGCAGCACCGTGGTTGACTGGATCGCCGCCACGGCCGTGTACATTGGCATCAGCATCAACTTCCGGATCCTGCTGCGCTTTCCACTATCCCTGCTGGTGCGGCCGTGGCTGCGCAAATACGACGACTTTGTCGGATACGCGCGCGAGTCGGTGCGGCAGCGCAAAGAGCTGCTCGACGAGAACCCAGACGACAAGACGCCTGCCGACATGCTCCAGGCCTTCATCGACGCCGAGGACCCGGACTCGAAGATTAAAATGAGCCCGCTCGAGGTCCAGGCCGAAAGCGTGGGAATGCAGCTGGCCGGGAGCGAGACAACGTCGGCGTCGCTGACGTGGGTGTTCCATCTCCTCACGCTGTATCCAGACGTGCTCGACCGAGCCGTCGGCCAAGTGCGCTCGCGGTTCGGCGCCGACCACCTCATATCGTATACCGATTGCAAACAGCACTTGCCGTATCTCGAGGCTCTTGTGTACGAGACGTTTCGTTTTGCGCCCATCACGTCGGGTTTCATGCCTCGCATGTGCAGCAAGGACATGTCCTTCCAGGGCTACCGTGTGCCGGCGGGAACGCACATCGCCTTCAACCTCATGGCCATGAACAACCACCCAGACGTGTGGGATCAGCCGGATCGTTTCTGGCCCGAGCGATTTTTGGGAAACGAAGATGCCAAGCGGAATATTTTTGCCTTTTCGTACGGGCCGAGGAGCTGTATTGGAAGGAACTTGGCCTGGATGGAAATTATGACGATTCTCGCCAACGTGCTGAATACGTTTGATATCCGCCTACCAGAGGATGCCATGTACGGTCCGCACAATGTGGATGGAAACGGTACGCCCGTCATGATGCCCTCGCATTGTCACATTGTGTTTGCGCCGCAGCGGCCGGACAGGGATTGCAGGTTGCTGGTGTCGAGGAGACCGACGCCGAGGAAAGCATGAGGTCAGACTGCTGATATAAAAGCGGAACGTCGTATTGCATGAATAATGATAGAACCGTGTTTGAATTGCTATCCACATATGCTCCTTGGTGACACTATTCACTATAGCTCTGTTTTAATCAGGTGAATTTTTTAATTTTTTAATTTTTTTTTTAAAATAGCTGGCTGTCACTTTCCCTCACGACTTGGACCCCTGTTACTCTGGCAGAAAGCCAGCATGGATCCTTTGTCCCTCGGTAGCGTCCAAGTAGACAACCTTTCCGAACCTATCACGGTCATCTATGCACTGCAGCGCCGCCTCGGCTACCTGCTCCGGCTGCAGCCTCGCCAAGCCCATGGCGCGCATCTCCTCTTCGGGCGTGTACCCGGGCCCAGACTTGTCCGTCGGCACGCGCATCATGGTGTTCTTGTCAAAGGCGGTCGCGATGGCCGTGGGCGCAACGGCATTGACGCGGATCCGGGGGCCAAACGAGCGGCAAGCAAACGTGAATTGTGCGGCTCCCGCCTTCGCAGCGCCATAGGCAGCGATGCTCGCATACGTCTTGAAAGACGACGAAGAAGTAATGTTGACGACGTTGGCGTCCTGGATCGTGTCTGCGTGGCTCTCCCAGAAGCGGATGGCCTGGTGCGTCGCGTAGACGGTGGCCGTCAGGTTGATGGCGATGGTGTCGCTGATTTGCTGGGCGTCGATGGCCAGAAATGGCGCGCGCAGGAAGCCCGCGTTGTTGACGAGGACAGAGAAGCCCGAGAACTTGTCCGTGGTGAGCTGGAAGAGGCGGTCGATGTCGTCGGTTTTGGCGAGATCGCAGGGGATGAAGTGGGCGACTTGCTTGCCGAGCGAGGCGTTGATGTCGACGACGGCCTGCTCGCCCGCGGCGACGTCAATGTCGCTCAGGACAACTTGGTAATTGCGCGCCGCGAGGAGCTTGGCCACGGCGAGGCCGACGCCCTGGGCGGCGCCAGTGACTACCGCGACTTGAGGCGATGAGGACATGGATGCTGTCATTATACCGTGTGCGACAGTGGACGTGGTGGTTCTAGAGCAAAAAGTCCCAAACTCAAAAAGACAGAAGACAAAGAAGCTCCAGAAGGCGAAACAGAGGATTGACGCAATGCTTCAAAGGTCAAGTCAAGCAAGTGCTATTGACCAGACTGCACATGTGCCGCGGTGACCAGACATGGAAGGCCTGGTGTCTACAAGGGTCCAATGGCGCCGATATACTGAGCCCCGGCCGCCATCACTTGATGTCCAAGCCGGCAGCTCGTTCCTTATCGTGGGGCAAAGCCCGGTCTGGTGTTGTTGTATTTCCCCGTGCAAGGCGTAATAGCAGCATGCACCATACGAGGTGACGTCCAGATGTCCAGCTGTCCACTTTTCGTTAGTCCATCGGCAAAGTTAGAAACATGCTCGAGATGAATGCTACGCTGACCATGCATATGTGTGGGGAAGGTGGGGCAGTTCGACCCAGGGCCAGGAGCCGGCCCAGATGCAATAGTGGGGCCGCCGACGCAAAAGCCCCCCAGTGTCTGCATTGGGAAGCTCGTCATGGGCGTGCACGTAGCACACATTTTTGGTGTGGTGGTGGCCTTTCTCATTGCCCGGTGCTCAAGGACGCCAATTTGAAGACCGAGATAAACGGTGCCGACGGCATGGACAGGCGACAAGGGCGGGATGGAGTGTTTGTTCTATTGCAGTCCGTGTTGCTCAACGACAGAGACAAGGCCCGGAGCCCACGATCCACGCCATGACATGTTATATGCCCAATTTTCTCGCCCATTCCCTTTTTACGCTCGTCCTCTTTTATTCAGCCGTATGCTTCCCCTGGAGGCTGGATAACGTACTGGTCTCGTTGCAAAGGCGTATCCGAGGCCTGATTTTCTCAGTCTTGTTGGGAGTCAACATTGTCACTTATTTTCGCAATACCCAATAATCTTGAGAGGAACGGACATCACTTGAAGCAACAACAACAAAACCACATCCCCCACATCTGCCTCAACGATGCCGTCGACGACGCCCAGCAACAGTGTTGTCGGGTTGTCCGACCGCAGAGACACCAAGGCCGCTGCAGAATACAAAACAGACTTGTCAAGGTGGCGGCTCAATGTTGAACTGGGTCGCCACATGTGGGAGTACGTGGCGGATGACCAAGACGACGACAGCAATACACACCATGGCAATGCCTTGCACAACAAGAAAAGTAGCCGTCCGCAGAGCTTCCTTGAGCAGTACTGGCTGGGCCGGGAGTACTCGCTTCCCAAGATGCCAAGGCCAGCGAGGCCAAGCGAGGCCCTAGACAACGGCTGGGAATTTTTCAAGCGGCTGCAGACAGAGGATGGACATTGGGGATGCAATGATGACGGACCGCTCTTTGTCACCAGCGGCATCGTCATCTCTTCATACATCATTGGCATCCCCTTCCCGGAGCCCATGAAGCACGAGATGATCCGCTACCTTTTAAACTTTGCCAACAGCGAAGGCGGCTGGGGCCTTTGGATCAATAGTCCATCGACCGTCTTCGGCACGGCCATGAACTACGTGATGCTTCGAATCCTCGGCCTGTCACCACACCACCCAGTACTTCAGAATGCCCGTGCCGCACTGCACCGTATGGGAACTGCCAAAGCCCTCCCAACCTGGGGCAAGTTCTGGATGTGCGCTCTCGGGGTGTACGAGTGGGATGGCATGCTGCCGCTGATCCCAGAGCCGCTTCTGGCCCCGAGTTTCCTCCCCCTCAACCCCGGAAACTGGTGGGTGCATGTACGCAACGTCTACGTGAGCATGAGCTATCTCTTTGGCCATCGCTTCAGGATGCAGCCCACAGCCTTGTCTGAGGAGCTGCGCCATGAGCTGTACGACGTTCCCTACGAGAGCATAGACTGGTTTGCGCAAAGGGCCAACGTCAGCCCCCACGACCGCCTGGCTCCGGAGACTCTGCTGCAAAAGGGGCTGTCCAAGGCGCTGTGCGCCTACGAGTACTGCAAGATTCCGCTGATGCGGAGAATCGCGCTCAACGAGGCCTTGTTCCAGGTCGAGGCCGAGGTGCACAACACAAACTACCTGTGCATTGCTCCCGTAAGCTTCGCCTCCAACATGCTGGTGCTGTTCCACGCCCACGGGCGCGACAGCCACTGGATATCAGGCATGAGCCAGCGCATCATCGACCCCATGTGGATGTGCAGAGAGGGCATGGCCGCGTCCGGCACCAACGGCACCTCTCTCTGGGACACCGTCTTCACGGTGCAGGCGGCGCTTGACAGCGGTCTGGCCCAACGGCCCGAGAACCGCGATATCATGACCAGGGCGCTCGAGTTCATCGAAGCCTCGCAGATCCGAGAGAACCCTATGGGGGCGGCGCACAGCTATCGCCAGCCGACCAAGGGTTCGTGGCCCTTTAGCACGCGCGACCAAGCCTACGCCGTGTCGGACACGACGGCCGAGACGGTCCGCTGCGTCATCCAGCTGCAGCAATCTGGTGCCGCGCCGCGCCTCGTCTCGGACGACAGGATATTCGAAGCCGTCGACTTGATTCTGGGCATGCAGAACAGGGGCGGCGGCTACTCGGCCTTTGAGCCCATCCGGGCGCCCAAGGCCCTCGAGCGCCTCAACATCACGGAGCTCTACGAAAACGTCATGACGGACAACCTGTTTCCAGAGTGCTCTGCCTCGGTGCTCATGTGTCTGCAGACGGTCCAAAAGGCGTACGCCGAGTACAGACCGCTCGACGTGCAGAGATGCATGCGCGGCTGCGTCAAGTATCTCCTTGTATCGCAGTTCCCAGAGGGCGGCTGGATCGGCTCCTGGGGCATCTGCTTCACCTATGCCACCATGTTTGCCCTGCAGGGCCTCGAGAGCGCCGGGCTGAGCGAGGGCAATCACCAAGCTTGCCTGCGCGGCTGCGAGTTCCTGCTCGCTCATCAGAATCCCGACGGCGGCTGGGGCGAGGACCTCGAGAGCATCAGGCTCAAGCGGTACGTCCAAGACGCAACAGGGAGCCAGGTGACGTGTACGGCCTACGCCGTCACAGGACTCATTGCCGCCCGGTGCTCAAACAGGGACGCTATTAAGAAGGGCATAGCGTGGCTAGTCAGACAGCAGAAGGACACAGGTGAGTGGACGCAGACGGCGCTCGAGGGCATCTTTGCCAGTCCCGGTGGTATGAGATATCCCAACTACAAGTTTCACTTCACCCTGGGAGCTCTGGGCAAGTACATTGATTTGTATGGCGATGAGAGCTGCGAATTGCAGAAACAGTAGAATCAACGGTCCTGGGAGGACGACTTTTTTGCCATGTTCAAGATTCGGGCCCGTTGGCTGGCTCCGCCATGGGAATTGCTTCAATGAGCAAATAGTTATGATGCGGCATGGTTTCGTTGGCCTACATGCTGCTAGAGTTTTCAGTTGTGCATGGTTACCCGTGTTCTGCGCGTTTGCTTTCCCTTATCAGCCCCAATATAAGACCAGCGTCATGATTGTGCTTGTACGTCTCTCTGTTGAGTATGGAATGGTCCAAATCCATGGTTGTAGTGACACCCCTGGATCGAGCTGGTACGTTGCCAGAATCGGTCATCACCAGCGCTGGTGATAGCCGCGGAGCGTCTCGACACATCGATTCGATGCAATATAATGAGCTCATGCAGCTAGTCTAGCCTTGTTTTGTCTGCCATGGCTGGCACTACTGCACGAGTTGTGCCGTCAAGCCGATGCCAGCTACGACAAATAGCCTCGGAATTCTAGTCCAGGGCCAAGGTCCCCGATGCTCAAGTCTGGCTGCCCGTTGGACAATAAGCGACGGGTTTATCATTCGGCCGAGCGGGACCGTTGCTTATTCTCAGCCTTGTCAGTGGCTGTCGTTTGACGATAAGCCATTGTTTTTTTGTCTTTACATGTCAACTAGCAACATTGCATTGAAACTGCATGTGGTCAATATAACACCACACCCCCCATCACCCCCTCCTCCACATCCACATCCACCCCACCCCCACCATTGGAACATGAAGCAATCAGCCGCACTTGAGCGACGAACTACCGGGCCAAGAGATCAATTGATGTGACCCTGCATGAATAAGGCAGGTAGATACGCGCTAAGGATTTCTTGATTGTGGCTTGCAGCGGACTACAATGTTAAGTCTCCACAAGCTAATATTGTTCGTCATGGGCTGTTGCTGTTGCCGTTGCGTCAGTCTACGGGAGACACATCGCAGGGAGTTTATGCACATCGTCTCATGTGGCTGCCATCTAACTCTTTCAATTTCCCCAACCAGTTTGAAGACAAGATACAAGGCAGATGCAAAATTGGACTCGGTCAACTTTACAGTGAGCTATTTGGCAAACACCAAATTTCCGTCACAGCCAGTTGACAGCCGTGGCAGCTTGACACTCGACTACCATACAAGACCAGGAAAGTTTCTTTCCTTAACTTGTTGGCATTGTCAATCAACGTAAAGGAACCTAGAAAAAAAAAGAAAAAGAGAGAAAGAAAGACAAAAAGGAAAAAAAAATGTCTGGCACCTTCTTCTTACCCCCATCTCTGGCAGAGCTCGGCTGGATCCGGCTGCTGTGCCTTTGGGCCATAGTCACCTTCCTTTGCAAAGTCACGTACCGGCTGTTCCTGTCACCGCTGCGCACAATCCCCGGGTCTCCTCTATCGCGCATCTTCAGTTCTTACTCGGTGGTCAAGAGGGTTGTAGCGCAGGGAGCGAAATCGGTGCGAGATGACTACGAGGCGTATGGCGACATTTACGTCAACAAGCCCAATGGCGTGAGCATCAGCAACCCAAAGGACATCAAGATAGTGCTCACGACGTACGAGTTTCGCAAAACCGACATCTACCAGATGCTGGATATCCACGACCAGCCGAGCATCTTTACCAATCGCGACCCCAAACAGGCCAGCCAGCGTCGACGTCAAATCGGGCCTTATCTCAATCACACCTATCTCAGCCGCATGGAACCCTTGATTCTCAAATATAGCATCATGGCCATCAAGCAGAAATGGGATCGTCTCCTTGACGAAGCTGAGGCGAAAAACACCAAGATTGGAGGCGCCGCATCCTCGGTCACGGTCAACTTTCGCAACGACACACAGTATGCCACGTTTGACACGATTGGTGCGCTGGCGTTTGGGCGCGAGTTCAAGGCTCTGGAGACGGACGACGCGACTATTATCCGATGGATCGAAGCCACTGGGTTCTATCTCGGCATGACGAAAAACTTTCCATTTCTTCTGTTCTGGCCGTTGGACAAGCTGATTCAGAAGAAGAAGGACATGTTTGAGAGTTTTGTGCAGTACAGCAAGGAGTCGGTGCTCCAGAGACGGCAGCAATTAAACAGCAGCAGCAGCAGCAGCAGCCACCACGACAAGGAAAAGCCAGTTGATCTGCTACAGGCGCTGATGGATGCCGAGGACCCAGAGGCGGAAACAAAGGTGCGCATGACGCCCAACGAGGTCAGCACGGAGAGCATCGCCATGCAGCTGGCCGGAAGCGAGTCGACATCCTTCGTCACATCGTGGGTGATTCACCTCCTAACGCTGTATCCGGCGTACATGAAGCGCGCCGTGGACGAGGTCCGAAGCCAGTTCCCGGCATCGCACATGGTAGGGTTCGACGAGTGCCGGAAACGCCTCCCCTTTCTCGAGGCCTGCATCTACGAGACACTGCGCTACTCGCCCATCACGTCTGGCTTCATGCCGCGCGTCAACCCGGTCAACGGCGTGACCATCCAAGGCCACTACATCCCGGCCGGTACCGAGGTCGCCATCAATCTGCACGGGGCCCATGTGCACAAGGACGTCTGGGACCGGCCGTACGCGTACGACCCGACGCGGTTTCTCGACAATGACGAGGCTAAGCGCAACGTGTTTGCATTTTCCTACGGGCATCGAAACTGCATCGGCAGGAACTTGGCGTGGGTGGAAATGATGGTCATTCTGGCCAATCTGCTCAAGGACTACGATTTGACGCTGCCAGAGGACAGCGTGTGCGGGCCGCATAATGTCGATGAGTTTGGACGTCCGCGCATAATGCCTACGAGGAGTACCCTTTTTACTACGCCCAAGTACCCGGAGAGGGATTGCAGAATTGTAGTTGGCAGGGCACCAGCACGGAATGCGTAGGCAGAAGAGTCTGATGTTGTGTTGATGCCAAGTTGTACAGTAGAGAGTCGTAAATATTCAACCAGACCAGACCCTTTAACATATACATCTAAACATGTATCCCTGAACCCTAACCCTTTTATGGCATTGTGTTGCATTAAAATATCCTAATTAGGCTAGCCGGTCTCGCGGTACAAGGAGGAGGTCAAATAATTATAGCCACTACAGTACTAGTTTGTTGTCCTTGCATCCTTGGCACCGAGTACGCAATTGTCAGTCTGCATTATCAAGCTTACTCGGCCGGTGAGGTCAAGTCAAGTCAGCTTGCATCAAATCGAATCGCCGGAATATGAATGGCCGCTTTTCGGCCAAGCTGAGCGTTTGGCGCCCACCATCTTCTCCTTCCCCTGCCGAGAGCTTGCCGCCAAGCAGGGGTTTCGGCTAAGAGAGCACTTGAGGGCACCCGGGGGGGCACCTGCGGCCGATAAGGACCCCGCATGGTCCGTGCGTCTGATGAGGGCACCTGGGGCAACATTGAACAGGTCAAGTAATATTGTGGGAATGCCGGCCAAACTTGAACCCCGGCGGCGAAATTATGTATCGGCATGTGAACCAGAACTTTGCTCACCCATGCAATGGGGTGTGTGTAGGGTGTGTGAACATACAAGTCCAAGATGAAAATAAAAGCACCATACCATTTGGCCCTATGAGAACCCTCTTGGACGGCATTTCCCTTTTGAGTTTGGCGTCTTCCTTTCTTCTCTTCTTGTGACGCTCTCGTTTTGTTTTTTTATCTTTGCGCCATCTAATCATCTCAGAGCTGGCAGAACAGGAAAAAGAGGGAGAGACGAGTTGAGCTCACAACATGTCATCGCGTCTTGGTACATCCATGGGCCTTGAGGTTCTTTTACTGAGGCTCCAGGGTACCTGCAACGAGCAGCCCCTTCTCGTGGCATCGTCTTTGGTGGCCGGCCTCGCCATCACCTGGCTCGCCTGGCGTCTAGCCTGGGCTCTGCTACTGTCTCCGTTGCGAAAAGTACCGGGTCCTTTTTTGGCACGCCTCACTTCCAATCGCGGCGACATCAATAACTTCTCCGGTGCTGTTGCGCTGCAGGCCCAGAAAGACACGGCCCGATACGGTCCCGTATATGTTTTCAAACCCAATGCTGTCTGCATTTCGCACCCGGACGATGTTCGTGCCGTTCTGGGGTCCGACGACTTCTGCAAGGCCGAGTTCTTCGACATTTTCAACGATGGCAGAGTCCAGAATATCGTGTCGCAGCGAGACCCGGCCTTGGCTCGCATGCGCAGGCGGCAGATTGGACCTTTTCTCAACTATGCATATCTCACCCGTATGGAGCCCGTCATTCAACGCCATGGCTATCTGGCCATCCGCTCCAAGTGGGATCGCCGTATCATGGAGACCAAGACGGACAAAGACGAGCCAGTCGAGGTCAACTACCGCCACGACACGCAGCTGGCCACCTTTGACATCATGAGCGCGCTGGCCTTTGGCAGAGATCCCGATTCCATATCCAAGGGCTCATCCTCCATCAGCGAGTCGGCGGCTGTCATCATGGACATTCTCGACTACTCGCTCGTGCTGGGTCTGCTGTCCCTGTTGCCCTTCTCTCTCATCATGCGACCATGGAAGACCATGTACCGTGAGCTTGCCGCCTACAGCAAGACTTCTGCCCAGATGCGCAAGGAGCACCTCGCCAACGGCGGCGAGCCCCCGGCCGACATGCTTCAAGCCTTTATCGAAGCCGAGGACCCGGATTCCAAGATCAAAATGACCCCCTCCGAGATCCAGGCCGAGTGCATCATGATGATGCTCGCCGGCAGCGAGACGACATCGTCCGCCATCATGTGGACCATTCATTTATTGCTTCTGCACCCGGACATGCTGAAGCGCGTGACCGAGGAGATCCGCAGTGCCTTTGGACCCCGTCACTTGATTTCCCACAAGGACGTCTTGACAAAATTGCCCTTCTTTGAGGCCTGCGTGTACGAGTCACTGCGCGTGTCGCCCACGACCGCCGGTCTGACACCCAGAGTGTCGCACAAACGAGGCATCGTGCTGCACGGGGGCTATTACATCCCACCTGGCACGGAGCTCTATGTGAATCTGCGGTCCGTCAATATGGATGACGAGTTTTGGCACGAGCCGCAGCGCTTCAGGCCCGATCGATTCGTCAACTGCGACGCGGCCAAGAAAAACCTCTTCACCTTCTCCTATGGTCCTCGTAACTGCATCGGAAGAAATCTGGCGTGGGTGGAAATGCTGACCATTACGGCGAATATTTTCAAAGATTATGACCTTGCCTTGACGCCGGACAGCAGGTACGGGCCAGACAATGTGGATGAGAATGGTGTTCCGCACTTGTTGCCGGCAAAGTGCTTTATTGCGTCGTTTCCGTCCAAGCCAGATCGCGATTGTCGCATGTTGATATCACGACCGGCGCTGGGCTAGTCTTGACATGTGTATTCAATACCTTTTTCTGTAGTTGTATTTGAGATACGCACTACTATGAGGGCATTTATCCAGAATTGCCATGAAGTCCAAGACGGCCTCGACAGGCACCCGTTTGTCTTTGTGGCAAGTTCAGAATATGGGACACGGGTAATTGAGAGGTCGTGTGCCTATGCTTGCCTAGAGCAGGATCAATCACCTGCTAATTCTGCCACCAGAGTCGAGGTTCCTTGCGGACTTGCAAGGATAACAGGCTATCTTGTTGTTATATGCACCGGCGTGGCAGCTCTATACCCTACTCAACCCGAGCTATGCATCACCACCGCGAGTGCTATCGGTGATTTGGCGGCTGGACTGGCTGCCTTTATGTTGACAGACCTGCAGACCGATGCAGACATGGATGGCTGCAAGATTGCGTACGCATATCCCTATCCCACTAACCGAAGCCTGTCACCAAGACGAGCGCTTGCATGATGAGGAGCTCGGCGACCATGGCAACTAGATATAAAAAAACTTGTACCTTTTACGCTAGCTGCTTATGTTGTTAAAGCTATGTTCTTGCTTTAAATTAAAGAATAACGCCATCCTTTTCACGTATTACCTAGTAGCTACCAGGTCCCAGTGATGAATTTCTCCATTACTTCCCCAAAGCTCTGTCTCATTTCGGGGCTTCCTCCTCGCTCATACTATCGGACCAATATCTAATAAAGGAGTGGATTACATCATGGCCACTCGATCCAGAGATTATTTGGACGCGAGAGTAATGTCCCACTCGTTAGGATCATGTCCCCAGAATTGCTCGAACTGAATCCCGCCATCCCTTAATCTGTTTTCATTGCGTACTCGTGCCACTCGCGAATCAAGATATTGAAGGCTCATAACCGAGCTCCATACCGGTAGAACTGATCCAATCAAACCATGCTGGTGTGTAAGCGATTCCAAAAAATCATCTTGTGCTCCTGACAATAAGTCAGCGAGGCTGCCTTTGCTTCTGTCGATTCGGCATAGTATCATGTTCGCGAGGGAACCAACTATATCGCCTACACACTCGATGGGGACGTCGCGATTTGCCGTCATATATCCAAACTGTTACACGGAAATGGCTGGTTACACAAGGGCTACGGTCACGAGACCTAGGGCAAAGTCCCTCACGGACTTCTTGTATAAATAGACGGCTTTGGTCCCTCAAGGCCTTAAGGAAAACCAAGGACCTTTGATACCAAAGACTGTTATTAGTTGAATTGAGCTATTGCTCCAAGCCCTCTTTCTGAGCCCTTGTCACACAAACAGTGCATCGTCCTGTCCTGTATGCGCAGACAAGACAAGGCCCCAGACCACCTGAAAAAAGGTAGCCATGGTGACACCGTGTTCGAGGCAAGTATTTCGATTCCTTTCCACAGTGTTGACGCATATATCTACATCAAATACTTTGTGTCTTGTCGCAGCTGCTCTTTGGCTGGTATTGGAGACGCCTGTATTCCGCGCGCAAACTTTTGCCAGTAATCGGATGACTTGGCTTTTATTTGCGCGTTTTGCCAAAAGACAAAGCTGCTGAATGCAGGTCCCGGGCCTTCTTTCAGCTGTCCTTGGTACGCTTGTTGCACATCACGAAGTATGAGAGCTGTAGAGACGCCATCATTCAGAGCGTGGCTCATCTCCAATTTGCATGCTTTGTGAGCCCCATCATTACTTGTGAAGATGGTAAGCTGATGATGCGGACGATTGAAACTTCGGTAGTCAACGGATCTGTAGGCTTGCGCTTGTGCGACAAGGTCATGCTTGTCGACACAGGTGATGACGGGCACATTGGCCGTATAATGTGCGAGCACTACCTGTTCATGGAAGCCTGCCCGTAAATCACTAGGTACAAAAATCGTACGCAGTATTGAGTGTCTGTCGATTACCTGCTGCTACGCTGATTCGAGCTTTGCTGTATTGACATTGTCTCCTGTGATGTGAAAGGCGAGCTCGACCTCGTAAATGCCCAGTCCACTCTGCTGAGCCATCAGTGATACCATGTGTTGCTGCAAAGCCGCGCATGGTACAATCTCTTGTACATTTGCCATATCAACTCCCAAATTATTAAGCATCTGTTCTTTTGAAGATAATGTCTCCTTCTTCGTTTCGCTGCCAGACTTGGCGAATAGGGTTTCCAATTCAGATGCGTTCAAGCTGCTCAAGCTTTCATCCGCGACCTTTAGTAAGGAGTGCATAGTCATAACCCATTCATGAATTTTATTCTGGTGTTGCATCCTCCTGTTGTACTTGACTGTCATCTTGAGTCTCCCACCCGTGACGATGGCGGAAACATCAAATAGAGCAAGGCGGTTCAGCTCAGGGCCGTTGTCAATGATAATCTCATTCTCTAATAGCGGAGCATTTGAAAAGAGACCCTCTTTTGACTCGAGTTGTTGGAAGCTGCCAAGGAAGTTGAAAAGAATCTCTATCTGGGTTGAGTGTGTGCCGAAATCATCTCTACCAACACTGAGACGTGGCCCCGAGGAGCTTCATCTGTAACCGGGCCTTCTGCACCTCCCGTATCGTGTTCACAATATTATCATCGACCGACACTACGTGCAGAGGTGTCAGAGTGGTGAACCAGCCAACTGTTCCCGAAGGATCGACATCCTTATCTGCAGACTCGCGGCCATGGCCTTCAGAGAACACGGTAGGGAGTATTGAGTGGTCGGTGAACACAGCTGAAAATGCTTGCAGCAGAGTTGCTACCATAATGTCAACAGACTCGGCCGCAGCAGGTGTCGACCTATTACCATATCCACTTAACAGCCTTGCAGTTTCTCCCTCGTCTAATGAGAAGGATAGTTCTACATCGCTACCGTACTTATTGGCCTGGTCGGTCATGCCCCAATAGGTGAGATCAAGTGCTTGCATGCTATTCAGGGAGGAATCGAGCCCGTTAGCCTGCACCAGATTTTCTTGGGGCTGCTCTTGTTGTGAACACAGCCAGGTTTGGAAGGAGAGGGGTTTCTCCAAAGACGGTAGGCCGGGCTTGGACCTGATCAGGAATTCTGCCATGTCACCAAGAATTACAAGCCAGGAAACGACGTCAATTACGAGGTGATGGCCTGAGAGAAGGGGAAGCTGTTCCTGGCTCCCATTATTGATGTTAAACAGGTGGGCGGCGAATATAGGGCCTTGGCTTATATCGAAAGCAGAGTTTCGCTCTGCCAGAATCTTGTACAGATTGCTTCGGTCCTCTATCCTCTCAACCTGAAAGGTAAATGATTCCTCCACCTTATCACTCACACTCTGCGTCCAATCACCCTGATTCCCGCGGGAGAATCTCGCACGGAGCATTGAGTGACGACTGACAATGGCATGAATGGCTTTGTGGATTCTCAGGGCCTCCATATGTCGGTTGACTTTGAGCAGTATGGTTTGATTAAAGTGCGATGTAGAAGAGCCTCGAGGGGGTCCAGCCCTATCAAAGAACAGTTTTTGAATAGGTGACAGCCCGAATGGTGTATCCAATACTTCAGCTCAAGGGACATCAATCTCCGCAATCGGGAATGGAGAAATGGAGTTGAGAGGTGTTGCAGCCTCGGCCATGCCAAACAGGGTTTTTGCCTTTAATATATCTCTAACGCTCAAGTCGATACCTGCTGCTCTTGCCTTGATTCGGAGCTGCATCGCAGTAATGGAATCGCCACCGAGTCCAAAGAAGCAGCGGTTCATGGGAATGACTGGAATGCCGAGGACTTGGCTGGCCAGAGTTGGAATAACTGTGGCCTGACCCGACACAGCTACCGCAGACTCTACTTTCGTATCATACTCGTTGGAGTCTAGTAGCAGGTCTTGATAAGCCTCATGGTCAAAATTTTCAGCCCATTTGGCAACTGCCGTCCCATCCATCTTGCCATATCTAGTCAGAGTCATCGTCTCAACACAAATCCAGACCGTGGGGATCATATAATCAGGGAGACGTTCTTCCAGCAACTGTCTTATGGTTGCAATCTGATCACTAGCTGCCTGATTGTCCTTTCCTCGCAGTGGCTTCAGTTGTTCATGCTCAGGGACGCCTCGTCCAGAAATATTGGACAGGGCCAGGACTGCGATAAGCTGAAGTGTAGATAGTAGTCTCTGCAGGTCCCTAGATGAAGATAAGATCCAGCCGGTTAGCCCACGTCGTGACGTTCTCGGCCGTCGGAGCTTCGCCACCCAACACGAGAGTGCGCAAAGAAGGTACCGATTCCGGATCAATTGGCTGGGCGACCGTGGGCATGATAGACATCCAGTCTGCCCGGTACTTTGTAGCAGCGCTGGTCAGGTCGTTTATACACTCATATTCGGACGGTATGCAGATTGTAGTGCCGCGCTGGAGTGTTATAAATATATCGGCGCAGCTTATGTCGAAAGTGTAAGCTGCGAATTGCAACACTCTTGTACTCTGGTTGATCTTGAATTGCCCACCTTGGGAGAACGAACTGGATGCAAGATTCTGGTGTTCAACTACAATGCCCTTTGGCCGCTCAGTGCTTCCCGAAGTGAATAACATGTATGCCGCGTTGCTGGGCCCGATTTCTGGAAGGGGTGTATTAAATTTGGGCAGCTGGGCTGTGCATTGCCGATCGATGACCATTGTTGGGACTATGCCAGTAAAATCGTCATCGATCTCGGTCGACGGTACCAGCACAAGCCTTGCTCTCGTGTCTTCGAGAATTTCCTTCTTGCGACTTAAAGGATGTATGCACCCAGCTGAGTGACGACACCTCCGGCCTTCAGGACAGCGAGCTCCGCGACAACAGCCCATTTAGACTTTTCAAAGCACAGGGGGAAAACAGTTTCATGGCCAATGGACTTTGACACCAAAATCTTGGCAACCCATGTTGAGTGCTCATCTAACTCGAGGTATGACATCTGACCATCCCAACCCGTGATGGCAACAGCATTGGGAGTCAGGTGAACCTGATCGGAAATGATATCATGGAAAGTCTTTTCTACGCCCTCCCAAGGTTGCGAGGCGTTCCAGGAAATTACCTGATCAACATCGTCACGACTTGCGAGGCGTATGTCGTCTAATGTGTCCAGTTGGTCAATATTGTCAAGTTGTTCAACAACGTGCCGAAATTGTCTGCAAAGTCCCAGTATCTGCTTCTTTGAGATGACAACTGCATCAAATCTTGCATCCATGGTGATCTGGATGTCATTTTGACCAGGCCCTTCCGTCGTAGAAATGAGGATGCACTCCATCACCAGGGGGTAGTCAAAATACCCTGTCATCAAGTCGCCAAATCCCTCTACCTCATCGAGAAAAAAATCCATATCAAGTTTTGCAAAGAATTCTGGACTAAAAAAGGGCTTTTCAGACTCAAAGCGGCTTGCACATCGGAACCCAGTTCCCGCAAAGCTTACAAACCAGCGTGCTGGTATGGAAGCATGCCGTCTGCTTGATTCTGGACCTGCTGTAAGAAATCGATGACCTTTTGCGTACTGTTTAATCGCACTGGGACATGATGAACAGGTAAGATGTAGTTCTCGGGTCAGAGTTCAACTCAATCGCACAATACGGAGGTAAAGGGAGGGGATTATTTACAAGACCCGTGCATTACAAGCGACAATCTATCCGTCCATCTTTTTCGCTTTCGCAAGCTCATTAGCCAAGACCACGATTACAAGCTGGGAAGCTCCATGGCAGACGTAGCAAGCAGTCCATGGCCCTTTGGTGACGATATCAAATATGCAACAAGCTGGTGTAGTAATTCCTTTTCTGTTGCTTACTCGCATTCATTTTTAGAATGCTTACCCTGTACCACATTTGGCACGACCCAGCAACGCAGGCTCCTTGGAGATGAATAATTCAAGGAACATGAGAGTATGTGTTTATTTGGCCACCCCTCTGGGTCCCGTATTGGGAGTGACTCACATCCTCAACTCACAAGATCGTGGCCAATTCCGCTATAACCCCAGGCCTCAACATTGAATCCCTCATTCGATCACTGGCAGCTAACTGAGCCCGTGGCGGAGACATCAGACCAGACTGCCTCATCCTTATCAGGTCCCGCGTTCCCCCAGCAGCACGAGCTAGAGCTACTGTCGGCATGTTGGCATTTCGCGACCCATGGTATCACTCTTGCCATGTTACTCCACCTGATGGGGCTATATGTGCCCGTTTTTTACGTGACTTTGTATAGCCAGAAGGAACTAGGCATCAATGGACAACTATCTTTCTTATCTGTTGTCCATCTTGAATGCAGCGAGCATCCTGGAAAGGGCGATAGTCGGCCCTATTGCTGATAGAGTAGGTGCTCTTAATCTGATGATTCCTGAGGCATCTGGCACCGGCCTCCTTCAGTTTTCACGGATAAGCGTTAATAGTACCGCTGGAATCGTTATTTTTTGCGTACTTTACGGGTTTTTGTCTAGTGCCTATGTGACTTTGCTTGGTGCGATGGTCGCGGGTATCGCACCCCATGTCAGTAAAGGGCGCACTTGGATAGGAATGAATTTTGGCATCTCAAGTGTTGGACTTTTAACTGTGAACCCGATCGCTGGAGAACTTATTAAGCATATAAACTTGATTCCTCTGCAGATTTTCGGTGGTGTCATGGTGTTTGCTAATTGCTTCATTTTCTGTTATGTCAGATATACTCAGCTGCGCAAAGGCGTGCGTGGAATGCAAAGGCATAGATGTCTTGGAGGCCGGTATCACAGGAAAGGTTTCGGGCGTGCCCAGTAGAGGAAAGCTGTTACAAAAAAAAACAATTGGTAAGGGCAGGCTGCTATTTATTTAATGAAGCTTAATGAAAAAAGGTGAGGTTCTAAATGAGGTCTTTTGCCTGTTCTGCAGTCCGTTGCACCAATCAAGAGACGAGACATGAGGATCCACCTTACCCCGCCCGAGGCAACTACTGTACTAGCTCCCGGCTTCGGTTCTTGGCGGAGCTAACGTATAAAGGCAAGGTCCTCGAACCGATCCTCCTCCATCATCAAAGGCCCCGCAATCCGATCTTTGAATCGCCTCTCGCAACCCTGTCGGGTCGGGAGCTCCTGATAAACTTGAACCACCACACGTGCACTTATATTTGCCAGAGGTTCCTTTGGATAGAGGCTTGCCGGGCTTGTTTCATGCGTGGCGCGCGACTACCGTACTCGCGAACGGCCCTGGACATCCATAAGAGTAAACGCATTGACGGTCCGTGATTATGGAGTTTCCTGCTGTTATTAGCAATTGGTTGCATGGTTGGTTGTCTGGACTCTCCCATTCTGTTAAGTGAGGTGTAGGAGAGACCACTTCTGACTCATTCACGGTTAGACGGAGGTATCGGCGCATTACAGTCGTGTAGCCCGTCAACATTCACACACATTGATCTATTCGGCTCGCAGGTCATCTCCATCGCTGCTAACATCGTCACCAACTATACGAAAACGGCACCACACCGAGAGACGGTCCACCATCCAACCATTGAGGTGAAGAACGCAACATTCTGCAATGTTACGGTGACTTATACGCATCCTGGGCAAGGAGATGTTATCAATGTCGAAACATGGCTTCCAGTCGGCGACTGGAACCAGCGCCTCCTTGCCGTGGGCGGAGGCGGATACGCCGCGGGCCGATTCGTATACTCTGAACTGGCTATGGTCGCAGCACTGGGCCAAGGATTTGCGACTGTCACTACGGACGCGGGCCTAGGAGAATCAGTTTTGGCACATGATTGGGCACTATTAAGCCCTGGAAACGTGAATCTATACAAGCTTCATAATCTCGCCTCTCGGTCTCTTTATGATGAGGTACGTTGGGGTTTCCCATTCGCGCAAGTTGAAGCAAAAGAAAAGGAGGGGCCAAGCGTTGACCTATGTGCTCAGTCGATTATTGCCAAGTCTGTTATTAAGAAGTTTTATGGAAAATCACCAGAGTATTCATACTGGAGTGGCTGCTCGCAAGGAGGAAGACAAGGCCTCATGCTTGCCCAGAGATATCCCAGCGCTTATGATGGTATTGTTGCCACGGCCCCAGCTCTCAACTGGGGGGAGCTGGTGCCTGGTTTCTTCTGGCCACAGGTAATTATGAACGAGCTGGGGGAGTATCCAGCTCCATGTGAGTTGAGCTATCTAGCAGAAGCCGCTGTGGGGGCTTGTGACGGTCTTGATGGTGTCGTCGACGGAGTCATATCACACATGGACAAATGCGAAGCCTCCTTTGACTCGTTTAGCTACGTAGGTACAGAGCTCGAGTGTTCTGAACTGGGACGCTCCATCAAGCTCAGCCAAGCCGCTGCAGTCGTAGCTAATGCGACTTGGTCTGGCCCGCGAGGATCTGACGGCAACTTCCTTTGGTATGGTATTGGTTATGGATCGAGTTTTCAAGAGGCTTTCGGTGCGGGCGTTGCAACGACTCAATGTAGCCAAGGAAAGTGCGTGGGTGTTCCATCATTGCTAGGAACGCAGTGGTTGCAGTTGTTCGTGGAGAAGAATCCGGCCTTTGACGTCAAGGAGGTAACGCGAACGGATTTTGAGAGACTATTTCACACTTCAGTGTTAGAATACTCGACTGTTTTAGGCACTAGGGATCCGGACCTGTCTGCCTTTCGTAACAGAGGCGGCAAGATTCTCAGCTTCCACGGTTTGGTAAGACAAGTTTCTACAAGGTATTCCCAATTTCTATAATCACTGACACAAGAGCAGAACGATCAATTAATCCCGTACAAGGGCACTGACCAATATTATGACTCAGTGTTAAGACATGCACCAGATGCCCGCGACTTTTATCGCTACTTTCACATTCCAGGATATGGGCACTGCGCTGGAGGGAACCATGCCGCGCCAATGACGGGATTTTCCCAGCTCCGCGCATGGGTTGAGCAGGGTAAGGCTCCAGAGACAGTGGAAATTCAGTTTAAAAACGCCCAAGGCAAGGAGTTTCATAGGCTGCTATGCCCGTATCCTCAGCAAGCACATTTCAATGGTGGAGACTCGACAAAGGCAAATAGTTTTGTTTGCCGGGAGTAGGATAGAAAAAGTCGCCTTTCCAGCATAAATATTGTTAGCTTTAGTCCTGAAACAGTTGCTTGAGATGGTTTTAGATTCTACACGCCTTACACGGAGAAGACCCAACAGATCGTGAGGCCCAACAAAAGGGGCTTCGCCGACATAGTGCCTGTTGTTTACACAGATCAAACATGTGCCCGAGCAAGAGCCCTAGGCATAAACGTTACCTCTATGTATATACAGTTGTCACTGTAAGTCCCGCTGCAGCAAAGTTCTCCTCCAAATATTTTATGCTTTTGGTGCCAGGGATGACGAAGATGTTCTCGCTTTGGCGGATTAACCAAGCCAGTATTAACTGAGATGGAGTGCACCCTTTCCGCGGGGCAACCCCAGAGAGCCTGTCAATAAGTCTCAGATTTTTGTGAAGACTTTGCTCTTGAAACCGCTGCAGAGTACGTCGACTATCGTCAAAGACGAGGTCACCCAAGGAGCGGTATCGACTACTCAACAAGCGACGACCGAGTCCACGGAGGTGCTACAGGAGGACTCGCAGAGCATCGTGAGGTCAGGTGTAGTCGTGTTCTGTAATGTACCAATAGAAAAGGCTTCGCTCAATGAGTCAAGGGGGCTTCGGGAGGTCAACTGATGCCATCCACAGCAGTTCAATCAAGTCGACAGACTGCACCTGTGTGGCAGCAACCAACAGTAGTGTGCTCTGGGATTGGCAGGTAGTTTCAACCAACATGCGTTTTCGAGCCGTGTTTGCATATCAGGCTTAGGCAGGTAGTCTTTGCAGCATGCAGTCAAACTTCGTCGCGTCAAGTACAATAGTACCAATGCTCACATGCCAGGGGATGGGGGTGAGATTTTCCTCAAGGGGCCATGTAACGCGGGCTGTTGACACCGCAAGTGGTTCAGCCATGTGTCAAAAAAAAACTAGTTACTTCCGTCTCTAGTACAATAAAAAGGGTAACTTTAATTCACGCGGACCAACTCTTTAAGAAATAAAGGCATAGGATGGCGCATAGAATGGGGCCGAGGATTCCCGTACCTTGGACCAAGACAAGGCAACATTGCTGTCGCATTTCTCAGTGTATGCGAAAGGGATTCTGGCGTCCTGGCATGTCATGATAACTCGGGGAATGAATTATAGAGAATATTTGGAGCATCTTTAGCCAATTCTCGCAATGACTCTCAGAGCACCTAAAATCATGACAAGTATCCATCACCATGAACTAATGTTGCGTCTTTTGGCATTTCCCACTTCGCCCACTTCGCCGTCAAATTATCCACCGCCTTCTCAAATGCCCAGTCCAGCAAAGCATCAAAGTCACGGCAGCTTTTGATCAAGTTGAAGTCTGCCAACGGCTCCGCGTAAGGCCTGTCGCGGTTGTCCATGTTCTCATAATGCACCCAGTTGTGCGTAATGATGTCCACGTCAGCGTGGCACATTATATTCTGCAACAGTATATGAATGCAGTGCTTTTTATGCGCAGCATGCTCAGGCGGTATCGATGTCTTGTCCCAATTCGCGCCATAGTAATAGTCGAAGTGAATCTCCTTGCGGAGTTCATTCAGACAGTGGATTTGATGGAACACGTCGATCTGTGCGAGATACTTGCCATCGCCGAAGCCCCAACTCAAAGGTGCTTTAACGCTCAGATGTGGCGACTTCCCTGATTTTATAACCGTCGTCTCATCCACGAGAATAACCTCGTATCCCTCGGTAGAGAGATGGTCCCATGCTTCATCAACTGCGGGAGATGGGTCGTGTCGGAAGATTGTAGTGTTGTCGTGTATCCTGCCATTGATCTTTTGGGAGTGTGTCGTAAGATTGACAAGGTCGAAAAAAGGTGCTATGGAGCCATGATTAGAGCCGTGCGATGTTTTCTCATGACGAAGGCTTACAAAATGAGGCCGCTCCTCTTGGGCCGCTATTCAGTGAAGCACCCCCATGGTCGTTGATGATTGAGGACGGGCAATCTTGACTGGAAACTCCAAGTAAGAGGAGAGACAAAAGGGAAAGCATCAGTACGTTTAAGACCAAAGACAAAACAAGAACAATACTCATATTTCGGCTCCTTGGACATCCATGGTCACTGATGGTAACGCTTTGACTCTCACTAATGCCACCTTTGTTCGTATCTGTGAGCAAATGTTCGCTGCTAGAGTGATCCATGGCAAGATGACCTGCGCGGGTGAAAGTTGAGAGCCTTGATAAGCTGTAGCCACTAAAGACCAAGATCTGATCGCTTGGGGAGCATAGGCCGGATCTCCTTACTGGCGGAGTCTATGAAAGACTTCTATCTGAATTAACCCCCATAAGAATGGGTAATATCTAGCTCTTTTGCCTGGCCACTCCTCTACATAGCGCTCTGATTGCTTATTATGGCGTCCAAGCGGCATATTCCCGGCTCTGCGAGTTACATGAGTCTCCACACAACTTTTGGAACGTAGTACTGCTACGCCTAGATTGTGGATATTTCGCAAATGTTACACAACGTAGTCAGGTGGCCAGCCGCCTAACTGTCAAGCCTAGCTTGGCCCCGGCCTGTATGTACTATTCTGCGTAAGCGATTGCAGACCTGACGGGTAGGATACCACTCTGTCTTTAATTTGCCGAAACAAAAGAGCTGCATGGGAGAGGCTCGGAGAGTTTAATAGACAAACGGCCCGCCAGATTGCGAGTTGGTTACGGGCAGTCGGCGACCTCCGATTCAGAAGCAAAGTCAACGAACACATCCGCGCCTGTCTGACTCTCGACCGCGGGGTAATGCTGAGAACTGTAAGGATAGGCTGTCATGTGGCAAATGAGAACAGATTTTCGAGAGCGTTATGAACGGTACGTGCATTTAGAAGCTCTAGAAGCTCCAAAAACGGGGCACATAGTACTCCATGAATCTGCCCTTCCTTGTACGACGAGATCTAACCTCTACTGCAAATTTTTACATTGAAAAACGTCTCAAACGTATCCACTTCGGCCCTGTCCGTTACCGCCTCTTTAGCAGCTACATCAGCATCCCCGCTTGTAAGCCACTTCTCACAGTGTTTGCACCCAAGACTACATTAGTCCAAGATCAACAATGATGTAGAGTTCAAGGTCTGCTTGTAAGTTATTTCGAATTGTCTCGTTTTAGCCCTCTTAGGTACAGATCATTCATTCATGAACAATCTTAGCCGAGCCAGGAAGATATATATCAATATTCTTGTTCAGATATCGAGTAGAGCCATAATATTACGAGGGTTCTATATTGCCAACACATGTAGCAATGAATCAACAACACTCGATCCCTCAAATATAACTCTACCTTGAACTTGTCGCGACGCCGTCAACGTCTTCCTAGCGCTTCTCATCGCGTGCTTTGATGTAACTCCAGCCACTTCGTGTAGCAACGCCGTCAACGTCTACCTGGCGCTTCTCATCGCGTGCTTTAATGTAACCCCAGCCACTTCTTGTAGCGACGCCGTCAACGTCTACCTGGCGCTTCTCATCGCGGTCTCTAATGTCCCAGCCGAGACGCTTAAGATCGGAATTTCTGATATATCCGCCCTCAATATGGACGGGTTTGCCGTCAATGGCGACGTCAACATCACGCTGGATAATTTCTCCATAGTCAGCGGCAAAAGAAGGCTTTCGAAGTGCCTATTTAGTTAATCTTGTAATAAGCCTTGACTTTCCATATCGAGAAAATCTTTCATACCTTGACTTCGTTCCCCTTCAACACAGGAGCCGCAATCGCAGACGCCGCTAGCAACGAGCAAACAATTGGGGATGAAATTCTCATCTTGATAGCGGAGATTAAGATCAGGAAAAGATTTGATTTAACAGATGGATTTGAAGTTTTAGTGCCTTTGGCCTGCGCTGCTAGACTGTGACAATAATTCGATGAACTATTGCTGGTTACTGCACAAGTTTATTGAAAGCCTAAGCAAGCATCCTTTTTATAGTTTATCCCACCAAGGAGGGGTCGAATACGAAAAAGAATGTGTAGAGGCTACGGAAAAATGTCTTGCAATAGGCAAATACGACTATGGGAAGATAGTACGTAGAAGAGGAAAGTTTAGACCAATGCAATTACAAACACTTTACCTAGAATTTCAATGCGTCGAACTAGCGATTCGTCTATATGACGTGACCATGCGTGTTGGTTTAACTTCATAAAAACCAAAAGGGCCTTGCAGGTTGGCTATTTCTAGCCATGCATGTTGGTTTGATTTCCTAAACACCAAAAGGACCTTGCACGTTGGCTATCTCTAGCAATGCGTGTTGGTTTGACTTCCTACAAACCAAAAGGGCCTCGCAGGTCGGCTCTGCTTTCAAAATGCCTCATTATTGCAGTAAGCTCCAGAATTTTATATGGCTCGGGGATATTTGCATGTCCAAGGCAAGCTTTAGTAGCTCATCTGTAATACGAGCTTCGTAAGCCGACATGCGGGTAGCCAGCGCGGAGGTGACATTGCACTACCCTGGCGCATTCCAAACCAACGTAATGTATGCCAACTTAGTAGTGTTATTGGACCTCGTGTCGTCGGTATCAATTAGCATACTGCTGCGTCAAGCCACCGCCGGGAACGAATGCGCAGCAGTGCCCCTAAAGAGGCCAAAGCGGAGAATTCAACTGCGCGAGGAATTATGATTTTCAAATAGATGGAGGACATGTATCTTAGTTCCTTTGAAACTACGAATTCAATAGAATCGGTGGCGATTGAGCTCATCAGTTTTGAATAAAACCTCCGCAGCCTGCTCCTTCGTAGTGATGGTTCAAAACTTCCTGGAATCAAATCCTGACCGAATAGAACTATGAAATGCTTTAGTTCCATTGTTCTCCTCAAATATAACATATTCCCACAATGCTAGTCCAGAAGATCGTCGTCATCGAAAGGTTTTGGTGGTGGACCTTCATGTATCATCTGACCAACAGTCCAAGAATCAAATCGGTTCCAATCAATACATTTATGATTTGTGGTTAAATCGAAAAATGGTACAGAAGAGTGTTTGGTCCAGTGAAATGTGTAAATGTTGAGGTCGGGGGCACACATCAAGTGTTGGCGGAGTACATCAATGCAGTGATCTGATAACGAGCCTCAGTAAATTTATTAAAAGGTCTGAAGGTAGGGACAACTTAACTTTGTGTTCGGTTCGTTCTTCGAGCGGCTCTTGGAGCATATCGAAGTCTATTTTGCTGTAGTAGTCCATGTATGTATACATCCTGATGTAGTTCTTGAGGACATTAATTCTAAATTCTCTGTAAACTTGCCGGGTTCATCAAGCTTAGCTGAGACTCACCAGACAGTGCAACTGGTGAAAAGCTTCTAAGCCAGCTTGATAGGTTTTAGTGCCAGGCCATCGTACGGCAGCCTTGGACTTGTTTGCACGAACGAGGGTTTCGTGGTTAACGGCAAAGTTGCGTACTGGATATTCTTGATCAGTCATGTGTCGGACGTATGTTAGGGGCTGTATATCGTACATTCCGCAAGATGGTACCACTTCTTATCTAATTCTGGGGTTGGTTGTCCCATATATGATGAAGGGGGAGTTACAAAATGCGGGTCAAATGTGTACGGAACGTATCTTATTTGACTCTTCAAGTCATCTATGAAGACAAAGTCATTTGATTAGAAACCTTATTGAAGTTTCGAAGAATGTAACAGCACAGAGATCTTACGCCATGCTGTATCAATATGCGCATGAGGTGGAGATGTTGGAGAGAATTTCCATCCTGAGTAGAACGCAAGCAAAGAGACTATAACCAGTAGTCCGTAATACCAAAGTCCACACAGTGGGACATGCCACAATCCGGCTTTCCGAGATAGACGAGGAGGTAGTGTTTCCTCGGTCTCGCCCTTGAGATTAATGTCCTCGATAGACAACGAATCCCTGTGCGGTTCTTTGCCTAACAGAGAATATTGTTGAGTCTTAATGAGGTCCATTTTGTGACTGAAGAATGCTCTAAGTATTGTGGATAATAAGTGGGTAAAATGGAGAGTTTTCCTTCCAGGAGAATCAACTTCCGGACAAAGCTATGTTGCAGGAGTTTCATTTGCAATTTGGACATTTTAGAGTGAGCATCGTTCTCATAGTTTACCCCACCAACGAGGAGTCTAATACGGATACAATGTACAGTGGTCGCGGCCCAAATCCTTGCAATAGGTAAATGCTACTATAGGAAGGTCGTAGAGGCGGAAAGTAGCCGGCGTCTGTGTTGCATAACGCCGTTGTTACATTTCAAGAGTTCTGTCAGCGACTTCCGTAAGCCGCCGTGAATTCCGAGCTTGCCGAGGCACCTAGCAAGATTGTTACGGTCTTCAGCAGAGCAAGGATCAGCGTGGCGCATAGGAAACCATTCTCCTTCCTCTTTAAGAGCTAACAATCTGTGCTCAACAAATTTAGCATCATGACAGCGGCAAGTCAATAATGCAAAGTCACAGAGGCGCTAGCTCCTGCTCTTTTTTTGAACCAAACTTTAGACGTTGCAATTCGATCGACACCTCAGACACTTCAACCTCTCGACAACGTTTGAAGTTCTATAACAGTTAATTATTTCTAGCAGAAATGATTCTAAAATTTGCAAATGCGCCAAAAACAAGCGCCGCGGATGAAGAACCCTTTCTTCCAGGGAATAAATTCACTCCAAGTCGACTGAGCCGACGTTGGATGTTTGTTATTTTCTTCCAATGGATCATCATCGCTACCCTCTGTGCTGCAACTGCTCACGAATTTATTCAACTACGCCGAAGGATTCCGCAGAATGGAAAGGAAATATACTGCAAGTATTTATTCTGCCGGACTGAAGATGACCTTTACCTAATTCTCTTTAGCCCCAGTGAATCATCTCCTCAGCTATAAGAATGTCGTATTCACAGGTGGATTTGGTACGGGAAGAACGAAATATCAAGGCCCCCCTACTCCAGAACGTAACGCCTTGTGGGACGATCTATATAATTGTATTGTCTTTTATGCCAGCCGGGTCTTTCGGTAAGTGTTTCAACTAACATGTAATACAGTCGGCGTTAGTCGTATTCCAAGATCATCAGCCTCGCAGCTGCTAAACAAGACCGTTCCTATTCCCAATGACGAGGGGTATTACGTCGTTAGTTTGAATGTATTCCACCAGTTACATTGCGTCGTAAGCATTGGGAGGTTCTGTTCGTACCGACTTTGACTAAATCATAATTGTAGAACATGATACGAAAACGCATCTGGTCGACTGAGACTTACAAACCTGATGATGAGCTGATGGGAATTGAGCATCTTGAGCATTGTATTGATGCTCTTCGACAGTCATTGATGTGTTCCGCTGATGTTACTCCTATTCCTTGGAAGTGGTGGGAAGAGGATCACGAGGCTAAGGCAGTGGCAGAAATCGCACACACATGTCGCAACTTCGAGGACATCAGAGTTTGGGCAAAGGAGAATCAAGTCAAAGATTTTGACAGGACTATTTATGTTGAAGATAGCGCCTAGAGATTGTTTAGTTGAGAGGGTACTTTGATCAATACATCATCCTTCAGCTTTAATGTCCCTAACCATAAATCCATGCCTCCCCAAAATCCTGCCGCGTCGATCGTTACATGATAACAACCTCATCAATGCCACATCCAACAAATTTCCTCCGAATAATGGTGTTCAGAGCACCCCTCGCCTCATTCTCCACCATCATCAACATATGACCACAGTGGCTCGTATGATTATAATTTCCGATGTAACCATCAATCATTCCGCCATTCTCTAAAGCTCTATGCATTTTTTGCCACATGAAAACACAATGAGCAATATGATATCTCCAAGACACATACACAAGCGCCACTTCTCCTTCCTGAATCGCCTCCAGAGGAACTGGCTGAGTGCCTAACGGGTCGGAAAACCATTCCCAGGATTCTAAGGCGAGAAAATTGGCAACCAGTAAATCATCGTAGCAGGCTGGTGGTAACCATGAGAATGATGTAACATCGAAGCGGCAGCCGTTAGAGCGTGCTTGAGTGGGCGTAACGCCGCATGATTCTATTTTGGGAAATTTGATCCGTGGTGATGGCGAGGCTGATATTGAGGCATAGATATAGGTGGTGATAGTGAGACCCATCAGCACGAGTGATATAGTGAAAACAGTGTACCTTTTGGGGCATTTCCGGGCGACAGTCATCTCTTCGTGATCCTTAGAGCTGCCTTCAGCAGCAACAGGTGAGTATTGTGGCATTGGGATCTTGAGCGGCTTTCCTCGTCACATGTAGATGAGGTTTGAATGTCGGATTCAGCTAGAGACATATATCAAGCAGCTAAGTTGACGAATTCGCATTATACGAAGACGGACGTGTGGCAGATTCCTTTTCCATTTTATGCTGCGCAATAATGCAAATTGAGAGCCACTTGTCAGATGGAAATGGTCTCTGAGGGAATAGACGCAAAGCCAACGAATGTCACGGCGGCCCGGAGTTTGACCCGCATGGATGTGTGATGAACTTGATGCGGAGTCGTGTGGCATTGCATATTTGGCGAATGGGAGTCAGCCCACAGGGGGCTTGCCAAATAAATTCTCATTTATGTTGTTGGTTGCGAATGCTGCTGCCTGCCTAAATATGTAAGCAAGGCCGAGGCCGACATGTCCTGCGAAGACAGGGTTTGCAGTCCTACCTTCTCCAATCGGCCGAAGGTTTTACAAGGGTCTGGTAGTTCTTTCATGCAGTATTTGTCATAACTCAAGCACATCAACAGAGATAAAACGCCCCTCGAGCTGAATAAGTCTATCAGATTTTCAGACAACCATTCTCTCCCTCTGCATTGGACACTCATACTACAGAAGAGCTGTCTAGGGATATCTCCTAGTCGCACTTTGCACACGATGAATCATGAACATTACCATTCGCGTATCGACTTTGTTAAATCAATTCTCCAGCTCAATCATCTAGAAGTACTGTCTTATCTCTTCTGTGCTGGAACGGCATATACTAACGACAATTCAGGCGACGAGCATTGAGCCAGTCGAATATGACATGGACGGCCCCCCGTTTCCCTACAACAATTTCATCTACCTTGTCACTCTTCCATCGCCGACAACCACAACGATCAAGATCAAATCTTCCCAGTTTGCTGAATTCCAACCAGGCACTGTGCCATTCCCAGCGAATGCTACGTCCCTGATTTTCAGACTCGCGAATTCCCATCCAGGAACTGGATTAAATAACACCAACCGTATTGAAAATGAAGTCGCCTTTATGACCCTCGTCCGACAGGCGCTTGCGAAGTCCAAATACAGTCATATTGTTCCAGACGTATACACTTGGGCTGGCACATCTAGTGGTCAGGGTTTTAGTATACAGCAATACATGCATGGGACCATGCCTGACAGAGGATTCGAGGATTTGACTCTGCAGGATAAATCAGTTGTGCTCGGACAAATGGCCGATATCCTAGCCCTACTCCAGCAGTTCAAGATTCCAACGACAGTGGATAGATTCGGAGGACTGAAGTTTGATGAAGATGGGAAGGTTGTCAGCGCGCAGATGACTTTATTCAAGGGCGAGCCTTGTACAACTTACAAGGACCTCTTAAGCGCTATATTCAAAGTCAAGTTTCAAGAAGCTGATGAGAACCCTGTGATCCGAGGTTGGAGAGAGAATGGTGTAAGAGCGAAACTTGAAAATTTTATCGTTTATAGACTTAAAGAGACCTTAAAGGATTATAAGGACGTCCGGAGAGTTCTCGTTCACTCTGATTTTAGTAAGTTACCATCTTCTATACAGCTTTAATTACTTCAGACGCCTCTAATATCGACGTTTCTAGCAACAAATAATCTCCTCTTCGATGCCACCACTCTTCAGGTGACTGCGCTACTGGATTTTGACTTCTCTTATATTGGGACAGTCGCAGATGAATTCATGGGATTCTCTTTTGGTAATATATCAGGTGGTAAACTTCCAGGACCATATGAAAGCCCATCTAATCTCAACCTTCGCAATGCAATGCTCAGGGGCTTTTCAAAATCTTGCCTAAATGCGGACTGCTCAGAGGTCCAATGGGATGTAGCAAAAGCTTGGGACGAGGAGCTCGCCCGGGCAGGTGCAGCAAGGCCTCACACTATCTCACACTTTGAGCAAATCGCAGATATTTACTGGCTCCAGGATAAAGTAAGTCCCTTCGAATTAGATAGCCCATTCATGAGGATGCGCAAGACTGCGGAGCAGCTCAAGGCGGCTCGGGATGAGACGGAGAGCCTGATTGTTAGGTTCTTGGAATGCACGAGCGCACCCTCTGATGGCGTACTGTGAAGGAACAATCAGGTGACTTTTATATTTTATGAGTAGCCTCATCGTCTGACTTTATAAATATCGTGCGAATAGGTTATGTCAGAGTTTGCCTTAAGAATCTATTCCTGACCCTAGTTGTCTGTCAAGATCAAGTTGCTCGCCAAGTGTCACACGGAAGTTATCCGTGTCCTGTCACGTTGTACGGCACGGGCCGCACAGAGGTCTAGGAAGACAGTTGGTACTAATCTATGTTGGCTCTGTATGATGTTGGTCACGATATTGGTTACACAACATGATCAGTGAAGCTTGCTGGGTCAAGGATGATATTGAAACCAAGGACCTTTGATACAATGGTTGAATTGAGAGATGAAAGAAAAGTGTCTGATTCTGATCCCAGAGTCCAAAGGAAGCCCCTGAAATACTTAAGAACGGCTCAGGACTTCCAGGTGAATGCAAATCTGCTCTCGTGTCCGCTCGTTCTGTCAACGTGATTCTGCCGTCCCAACTAGTTAAGCCCGTTGATTTGAAGCCGTCTCAAGACGTCTTTTTGATCATCAATCATGACGATGCCGGGCCACATTTTCCGGGCCTACTTCCGAACGTATTTCTCATCCAGGCAATGTCGCCGCAAATTCAGCCTCGGTGACCTGGCGCAGCTTTGGACGCCAGAGCGAAAAACGATACGATTTTGAACACGTCACAGCTCCCTTCCTTTCTGCTGCACATGGTGCAGCGCTGGCTAACCCTCGTGTTGGGCATGGTTGTTGCAGCGCTGGCAATTCTCATTGTGGTGCTTGCCACACAATTGCGTACGCAGTCGTGCTTCACTGGTGCTAGCATGGTCTCCATCATGACATTTGGCAAGTTCATAGCCGTCATCATCCAGAACTACACGCTACTAGAGACGTCAATAGGCGCTGTTACCTGGTTAAAGACATTCAGCGAGTCCACGCCTATCGAAGATCCCTCAGGTGAGCACACTGGGCCTCCCTCATCTTGGCCAGATAGGGGTGTCATGTAAGTACAAGATGTCTCCGCATCTTATGCGTAAGTACTCTCGATCAGACGGCCCGATAAGGGTTAGGGTTAGGGTTGCCGCTGACATTTCGCTTGAAGTGGTGACAAAAGAGGGCGACAGAAACCTCGCCCTCCGGGGTCTCACAATGAAGATTGAAGCCGGGCAAAAGATGACCTTGTGTGGGCGAACAGGAAGGCAAGTTCACCATCACTATCTTCTTTTTTCAAAACCTGTACAGAGACTAAGAGTAATTTTGTGCAGTGGGAAATCGTCCATCACTCTGCTTCTCCTGGGCCTGCTGGACTCGATCCAGTCCTATTTTGCAGGCTCAGTGCGCTGAAGCATCCGAGGCTGAGATTGACACCATCTCAGCAACACAGCCGACCGTGAAAAGGGCGGCGTGCTCATCCTGGATGACTTCAGCAGTAGCTTGGATGTTGATACCGACAAGTTGATGCAGGAGATTGTTCTGCACGAGTTTGGCGGGTATACGATAATAATGGTAAGCCATCGACTTGAGATGACCATGCGCTCAACCAAGTCGTTGTCCTGGACAAACGGTCTGTGATTGAGCAGGGAGTGCCGACTGTTTTGGCCCAGCAGCAAGGGAGCCGCTTCAGAGACCTATACATGGTATTGAGGGAAGAGGGAGTAAGTATTGGCATATTCCCTCCAGACATGGAGACTGCTAGACTTTGAGATGTCATTGTTACATGTACCTGCGTAAATATCGACAATGCTAGTCTACTTATGTTTGGCCATTTCCATTGAAGACGTCGACGATCGAGCCAAGGCCGCGCTGGCCACTAATGCTGTGGCAACTGGACGCGTTTTATTTTGTTGGACATCTGGAATCTTCCAGCGCTGTGCCTCATGTATTAATTTATTCAACCACTAATCAATTTTGTGTTTCGTTGACACTGCACATGTGTCGCCAACAGTATGAACACCTACACCCCCAACCCAGCTGTAGCATAGGGGTCAATACCAACGAAAATGTGTACATTATATTACGTAGCTTCGCAGATAAAATTATTCAAGCCTTCTCAATGGGGACGCTTTTGTAGAAGGAGCAGCTTTCCACTAGTGCCCTCAATGTTCATAAAAAGAAAGTGTAGGGTATGCGCATTCGCTCATCTAACGCATCACTGTACCGGCTCAAGGTCAGGCGAACTCAAATTGGCCCTTCATAACCAAGGCAGCTCCAAGTATCAGGGTCGATGTGATTGCAACACTGGCGAATGCCAGCTGAGGGTTGGACCACTTTCCTTGGGCGCGTCGCGTACCAACGACCAACATCTTGCCAGCTTGTTGCGACCCGATGGTGTCGGCATAGCTCTGAATCCGTAGAACCATTAGCAGTCTGTCAAGAAGCAGAGCAAACTGGGGGGAACAGTTAGGGTACAAGCCTTTTCACACGCCTTGTTAATCTCCGCGAAGTTGGGGTCCGCGGGGTCGTTCTTCTGTTGGATCCGTATACTGTAACGGCGGAAAATGGCACAAACAACAATAATGTCTCTGCTGGACTCGATCATTAACTGGAAAGCATCGCCCTTGGGGATTTTGATGTTGCGCTGGAACATGGCCGGATTGCGGAAGCATAGCTCAAAAGTAGCCATGGCCATGGATTGAGGAATGGCACAAAAGTTGAAGACGCTTTGGTCGTGCAGGCACTTAAGATAGGAGAAGCAGTAGCATGTATGCAGCAAAGCATTAAGGACCATCTCGGAACTGCAGTTTAGAGCAGCGTCAAGATATTCTGGCTTGAACAAGTCTTCAAACTTGTCGACATGCTTGGACCAAATCTCCTCAGGCCAGAAGCAGCGGTTATCGTCGAAATCCTCACGCACATCCCGGGTGATATTATTTTTCTGCAGCAGCAGACCCATTGATTTGTAGAGCTGCGCGTTCTCTGCCAGTCTTGCGTCGCCCATATTGGCCTCGACAAATGAGGCGGGTCAGACCCTCACCAACCACACCAGCAACATACCAGCAGTAGAGGTCGTACGCCTCGAGGGTCTTGATGCTTACGTCCCCTGAAGCAGCTTTTCGCACGAAATCGGCCGTGCCATTGCCCATTTGAGAGGTGATGTCCTTGATGATCGCTTGGTAGGCGGGCTTTATCTTCTTAAATTCAGTAATGACGTTGTGGAACTGCACCAGCAGTTCCCGATCCTTTTCTTCAGGCCTGTTGCCCGTAAAAGTCCAACCATCTTGATCGAGAAAGTTGTGGAAATCTCACAGGAGGGGCTCTTTTGTGTTGAGAGAGATGGACGTATCGTCTTCGATGGTGTCTAGGCCACGAAGTACCAGATAGAACAATCATATAGGTAATCGTAGCTCGGGGTGTAGTTCCTTGATGACAGGGCTAAAGCTACGACTGGTCTGGTCTAGGAACTTTTAGCAGATTTTGGCTGTTGTCAGTTCTTTGTCTTCGTCTGTCTTGTGCAGGGGATTATGCCAAAGTTTCCTACGTCCATGCAATTAATCACAGGTTAGCAGGCTCGGCATATGGATAGACAGCATCGATGATGGGACAGAACCTCGAGAATTCTGAGGGAGGGTTAAAGCCAACCACTGAATTATCATCCGCAGTTGGTGTGGATAAAAAGCAAAGTAAATGGCTTGTGGTACGAGACCCATGGTAACGGATGACTGGCGCGCAGGAACACTGATGGGGCAAGATATGACGCAAAGGACGATTTTAAGGCGGCTTATGTATACAGCACGGGCGATTGGGTTGTTGTGCGTGCGGCTACAAAATGAAAAGCTACTGCGATACAGGCTCCATGGATGGGGTAAAGTTCTGTTGTGAAAAGGAGACGGGGTTGTCAGGGTATCTAGATTGGGGCGAATGACTAAGTGGCCCGGCCCTGAATGATCATTGATCACTTCCTCTCGTCAGTGCTCTCTCGAGGACCTCATTTGCCGAGGGTTTACTGACATGAATTTGATCCCCCAAGCCCCTTTTTTAACTTCTGCTTAGGGCGGCGGCACAAATGTCCCCATAATGTTCTAGACACTTGTCTCGTTTTAAACAACGAAGCCCAACAAAGGAGCTTCACCGACAAAGCGACCTCAAGGTTGCACAGACTGAACACATAACCGGACAGAAGCCCGTGGCACAGACATTCCCTCAAAGTATATACAGCGGTCACTTGTCCGTCTCTCCATCTTGAGAAACCAAGGATCTTGACATCCTTCGTTATCACTTCAAGCCTTCCGAACCCTTGTCACATATATTTAGTCCCATTTGTGTAATCCGAGAGGCACACCGCGCCGGGCCTGCTCAAACCTACTAGGTCGTCAACGCATACAATAACCAAGTATGGCTAAGCATCAAGGCGTCTGGAAATTGACCATGGTAACTCCTATAAGAAATCACTTATTTTTACGAAGCTTAAGCCATCATCTAAATAAGATGAGTGTCAGATTGCTATTCAGTGAAATTCCACTTTCCTCCGTCTATAGCTACATATCGTTGTAAAGGCATCCTGAAACGGTCTTGAATTAGCCGTAATATTCCTCAAGCCACTTCCGGAAATCGCCAATCGTCGGGTAGTCCAAGAAAAGACTCCCGCCAACTTTGATGTCCAGCTCAATCCTGAACTTCTCCACAATCACAAGCGACATCAGGCTATCTATTCCCAGATTGTCGAAACTAGCATCATCCTCCAGGTCGGAAACTTCCAAGGCGGCTTCTCTGGCAATGACTTGCAGTGCCTTGGATGCGACGCTGTTAGACCCCGTGGCGGACTCCACGGCTGGTACCCCAGCACTGGTAGGTGGAAGCTTGTCTTTGCTCGGTTCATCAGCAACTTCAGCAGCAGGCTTGACTGGTGGCAGATTATTTTTGCCGTGATCCCTTTCAGGACCAGCAGACTTGAGGGCTGGCCGTGTCGTCTTTGGCTGCGGCGCAACAATACCTTGCTTGCCTTCCATAGCTGCCGCCTTGTCTGGAGGCGAGAAGAATCGGCCCAAGAGAATGCGTGGATAGCGACGGAACTGAATGCCGCCAACCATGCCTACAATCATGTCGTCTTGCATGATGTAGACATCACCAAAATATATCGTTGGGTCCTCGACTGTTGGTATCATTTTGACATAGGAGCGATACTGCGCCCCTGGAACCAGTGGCTTCGCAAACCTCATGGAATTCCAGCCAGGGGTGACACAGTAGTTGTTCTTCGTGTCGATGGCGTCAGAACAGTTCATAATGAAGCCCGCCAGGTGTGCCACGCTGTCGATAAAATATGGCGGGACTGTCCAGACTCCGCCCTCTTTGGTGGTGAGCTCTATGTTGGCGAAGCCTTCCAGTTGATGCATCACGACGGACTGCATGCCCCGGTACTTTTCTGCGTAGTCTACCAAGTTGCTTGCAAACAGCGTATACGCCATGTTGCCGGAGAATCTGCTAGCCCTGCCCTCTACGGCCAGGCGCTCAAGAGTTTCAATCCGGCTGTGTATGAGATGAGCAATGGGATTCCAACTGGAGATCCATTCATTTGCATCACCATAAATGATGTTGGCAGTAGCGAACGGCTCATGGACGTAGCCGTTGTTGTCCACATTCTGCCACGTCAAGTCAACAACACCTGAGTGGGCATCAACAGTCGAGGCTGTCACACGGATCAACTGAGGAGACTTTGTGTCGCTATTAGCCACGAGCCCTTTTGTGACGACCAGGTTGCTAATATTCATGTTTGCTTGTTTGGCTTTGGGAAGCAACTTGCGGTGCAGATAGCTACCGAGGGTGTAGGCAATGTCGGCGTGGATAGACTATAAAAATTGTGAGCACGTGGTAGCAAAGAGTCATGCGATTACAAGGCTTACAGAAGTCACAACGCCGCAATCATTCATACGGTGTCCGTAGGCGGCAGCAAGAAAATCAGGTTGCATGAGATCAGACTGCATAACCACTGAACCAGCTGAGCCATTAAAGCTCTCTTCGATAATCTGCTGCACTGTTGATGTCTGAAGCTCGCTTGGCGGGGGCGACTTCAGCGCTGCCTTGGCCTTAGTTGCGTCATTCCCAGTCTCATAGAAGTTGTTGCCTTTTGTCAAACACCAGTCGCCATTGTACTGCATCCAATAGGTCTTGTTATTCCAGGAGTAGGCCGGAAGATGAAGTAGACGAAGCCGGACCTCAAAGGGACGGTGAAACTCATTCCACCTGACGGGGATACCCGCGAGATGCAGAGCCGCCAGGCTCTCGGCCATGGTCTTCCAGTTGTCTTCACCACGCCGGATAGATGGAACGGCGAGCTGTGTGGCGGGGATTATAGACTTCACAAAGCCAGTGCATACAGGATGCGGACCAGCCTCGACCCAAACCGTCTCATCACTGATGGTGGAAACCCTCTGGGCGTTCTCCAAAGCAGACAGAAAGTCAACTGGTTCCCTAGTAGCGCGGCGGACATAGTTGGCGCCGAGTGTCTTGCCATCGAATATAACCTTGCCAAGCAACGGGGAGATGACAGGCAACTTGGGTTCCTGAAAAGTGACTCCAGACTTACATATGGCCTCAAAGTCATCCAAAATAGGATCCGTCTGCTCCGAGTGAAAGGCAAAGGCGACATCCAGCTTGATACACCGGAAACCGGCTTGCTCGAGGAGAATAGAAACCTCGTCTATTTGTTGCTTGGTGCCACTGAGCACCGTATCCGAGGGGCCGTTGATACACGCAATTGTGTACGGCTTGCCTTCTGACCTCGCCTTTATCTCTTCTAGAGAAGCCCGGACGGCCATCATACAGTGACTGCCGCTCTCACATTTTTCCTGCAGCATTTGTGCCCGTTTTCCGACCATGTATAAGGTGTCGCTGGCAGTAACCACCCCGGCTACGTGCATCGCCGCATACTCGCCAAGGCTATGGCCCATGACGACGTCGGGTTTCACTCCGAGAGAAGCCCAGTATTTAGCCAAGGCTATCTCGGTACTAACCAACGCAAGCTGCGTAACAACTGGGGAATGTTCGTGTTCCTTTGGATGTGATCCGTCAAGAGCAGGGATAAAAGAGGGGAAACCCTGAGACTGAGAGAGAGAGTCAAGATGGCGAATGTGATGTTGGAACGTAGGAACATCTCGATACAGCTCTAGACTCATCGACTTGTAAGACGCTCCTTGACCAGTGAAGGTGAAGGCAATTGGCGGCGGGCCAGATTTTGCGACGGGCTTGATAGAATCGATCTGATCCAGGCGCGAAGTCAACTGTTTCCTCAGCTGTGTAATGTTGGATGCGGCGATGGCAACGCGGTGGGTGTGCTGATAGCGTCGCGCTGTCGTCGTGTACGCAAGATTGCCCAAGTTGGTGTTTGGATTTTTATCCAGGAATCCGAGTAAGGACTCGATATTTCCAGCCAGCGATGATCTAGTCTTGGCCGATACAGAAATAACATGAGTCTGCCGCGGGTCCGTCTCATCCGCTGGGCGGACTGGTGCCTCTTCGAGGACCATGGTCGTGTTGCCACCGGCGGCTCCAAAGTTGTTCACTGCAGCAATTCGCTTTTTTCCGGGAACATGTGGCCATGGCGTCATCTCGAGCGGAATTTTGAGATGACGTTTGTCGATGTCGCGGCCAAACTTTGGGTTTATCTCCGTCTTAATACCAATATGCGGTGGAATGGCATTCTTCTGGAGCATGAGAAGCACCTTGATCAAAGCTGTCGTACCAGCAACGGATTCTCCGTGACCCAAATTTGCCTTGACAGCGCCTATATGTAGAGGTTTATCTTTGCTACGGCGCTTGGCTAGAGGAGCATAAACGTCCATGATCCCCTGCATCTCTTCGTAATCGCCGGCTTGAGTGCCGGTGCCATGTAGTTCGACATAGGACACGTCTAAAGGATTAACACAAGCCTGGCGAAGCACTTGACGAGAAAGATAAGCTTGGTGACCGGCATGAGGGTGTGTAATAGATACTGCTTCCGCGGAATGGTTGGTCCCGGCGCCGAGAATGACGCCGAGGATGTTATCGTTGTCCAGCTCGGCATCTTCAAGCCTCTTAATTACAAGAGATCCAACGCCATCTGCTCTGCAGTAACCATCCGCAGTGGCGTCCCAGGTCTTGCATGCGTTGTGGCCTTTGGTAAGGAAGTGACCGTTGCATAATCCAGCGAAACCATCGGGATTGGTGAGCACGTTCACGCCGCCAGCGACTGCCATGTCTACATCGCCAGCCCACAGAGCCTGACAAGCTACCTATCCACGTATATTAGCTTCGTTTGCTTAGGAAACCCCGTCAGATACTGCTGCGTCACTCACTTCAATCGCTGCCAGGCCGGAGGAGCAGGCGGTATCAATACTGTAACTGGGGCCAGCGAATTTGAAGAAGTAATTGATACGGCCCGGGCCAAACGCACGACAACCTCCGGGGATATAGTAAGTTCCAACCTCCTGGCCCTGATTCACCTCACGATAGTCGTCGGCAGCTTGGCCATAGTACGTCCCAATTCGTGGCAATGCTGTCGAGGCGGTGCGGTTTGCAACAAACCCGGCTTGTTCCAGTGCCTCATAAGCTGTGACTAGAGATAATCGCATCTGTGGATCAACTACCAGTGACTCACGGGGTGACATGTTGAAGAAGGGTGCGTCGAACAAGCCGGGCTCATCTATGAAACAACCGTATTGTGTCATGGTCTTGTTAAGCTCTTTGCCGGTTGGGTCGTAATGCGTGTTGATATCGAAGCGGTCAGCAGGTATCTGCCGCGAAACATCCAGGCCCTTTTCCAGGATATCCCAAAACTTTTCAGTACTTGTTGCGCCCCCTGGGAGTCTGCAAGACATGCCAACGATGGCGAGCTTGGACTGCGCGGCACCGCGGGGAGTGTTGCTTCTTGGCGCAGCAAGGGAGAGCCATGGAATGAAGTCTTTTATTAAAAGCTTGCAGTCCGGCAGCGTACTCGTCAAGGCAAGATTGAGGTCATTGAGTGGAATTGAATTCCCAAAGCAATTCAACACCACTCCGCGAGGTCCAGCACACTGAACCTGGTCCACCACGACACGAATAACTTCATCCCAGCAGATTGCTTTTGTCATCAGCTCTGATATGACACACTCAAACAGTTCTGCCGCATTATTTGCCGTGTATGGCAGTCCGGTCCTGGTTGAGTAAACCAACAAAGCTGGCCGAGCTTTCGACACAATGGTGTTCAAGGAGCTACCGTACACTACAGCGTGTATATCTTGTTGGTTGTAGATGTGTGGTGCGTGGCAGAGGCCTCCGTAGACTTGTAAAGGAATGCATCGTGACACGCGGAAGAACTCTGACTTGTTGAACAGACCCTTTAATCTTCCAGGTGGCCCGCTGACTGTGACAGAATTCTGACTGATAGCACTCACAAAGATTTTCGCCGTACTCGGTGTGTTTAATCGAGAATGAAATATGTCGAGCTCGTTCTGGGCTGCAACTGGGTCGACATTATGAACTACGTACGCCCATGAGTCCTCCTTTTGCGACACGTCCCTGGCCTCCAGGTTCTCCGAGACGCTCAGAACGTGGATTCCCAAACGGAAGGCCAACCGAACTGCATCTGCGCCTGCAAGCGGCAACTCCGATAGGGTCGATGACAACGAGATGGCTGTCGAGGCTAGCAACCCAATGCCCAAGCCAAGGAGGCCGGAATTTGAAACGTCGACGGACTCTTCAGGGTGACTTTCCGTATATCTACGCCGTGAACTGTTAACGAGCCTAGGTGACAGCATGGAGGAAAACGGCTACTCACCCAATATACGCCGCTAACTGAACGACGACGAGGAGAACTCCATCCACAGCGCCGCAGATGAGACCCTCGCGAAGGCCGCCATCTTCAGCCCAACTCAGAATGGTAGTAAATGACGGAATCAAATCTTTCAACTCGCTTGGTAGAGCGCGAACTTCGTCCTTGACGGCCCGCGTAGCTTCATCTATGAATTGGGCTAGAACTGGGTGATGTTTGTCCTTGCTGTGGCTATGCAGGAGACGTAGAAGATCTTGAAGATCGCCTTTCGGAAACTCATTGCTGAAGTATATGAAATTCATCTTGCATAGTTCTCCATCGCTGTCTGAAATTGTATTGGGGGTGTGTATAACCATTGTTGGGAGCGAGGATCGATGAAGCAGAGATGGCAACGGAATGCTTAGCACCGATAGGGGCTTTTTGCGGCTGGGGCCACCAGACTTAATTCAAGTTCAGAAGTGCGGAGAGCGAGCCCAGACTTCAACAAACTGATGGTACGGACGGGGCATGTATCCAACAAGATATGCTCATCGGTTGCTGACGGCGAGACATGAACTCGCCAGTTGGACTTGCTTCATACGAAGAAAATGTCTCCAGCTAGGTATATAAGTAAGAATTGTACAATTACAAATTTGGTTGTACCGTTATGCCCTGTGGGAGGGCGTTTCTCGTCTATAGTCCCCAATTTGCCACGTAAATGCAGCCGGATTTGCCCAGTCGTGGCATGCCGAGGTGAGCTTTGTGCTCCGAAACGATGGACACTCCGTAGCCTCCCACAACATCAAAGTCAACGTAAATCTCCTTCTGTCAGAATCTCACAGTGGATCATGGGCCTGTTCTTTCTGAACCACATGCTCCTTCGCCCCGAGTGGATTCATCCGAAGGCCGTTCGACTTGCACCGGAACTTCTTGCTTGATTCGGAACTCTTTGTCCGCTTGAGTCAGTTTAGGACTGTCAGAAAGTGGAGAATTTTGTCGATAGGAAAGCTGATACAAGACTACTGCATGGCGGCAACCTCCTCGGATAGACTCGTTCAAGTGTCGGAGTCCGAGCGTCAGGTTTCCTTCGGCATAAATCGAAATACCTAGCGAATTCATGGTGGCTCATTTTTCATCTGGATTTCGGCGACGCCGCTGCAGACCCTGTTTAGGCTTATTATTTTCGCCACTCGGCTTCCATCGAATTGGCACGCCGGCAAACAGGGTGTTGATGTCGCATTCTATACACTGAGCCTGGCTCTTGCCACGATGTTTTTTTCTGCAAAAAGCATCACCAAATCTTTCCTGGAGCCTCAACTATCTGTAAGCGAGTTTGAAACGAAAGAGTCATTACGACGGCTAAATTGAGTCTAGAGAAATCTTCCCGATACGCTTGATGAAATGGTTCAAGATATCAACACAGCGGTCATGCAAGCAGACAAAGGCGGATACAGGCAGATCAACAAGTCGTTGAATATATGTGCGTTTGAAGACTATCTACAGGGACAAACAACGAATCTGCCGAAACTACCGAATGTCGAGCAGCTCACGCCTCGAGTTCTACGTATACTGGGTCAGAATCCCGGAAAGGTGCGCTTTGGATGATTTTTGATCCCAGAATGTAAATACATGTCAGTGATTAACGCTTTCACATAGTTCACATATCAAGGTACCAACACCTATGTCATCGGCACTGGCACGCATCGACTTATCGTGGATACTTCTGGGGGGGAACCAGCGTGGGCTGAACTGGTCTCGTCCACACTCGAATCCATGGGTGTCAGCTTGTCTCATGTCTTGCTGACTCACTGGCACGGAGATCACACTGGCGGCGTCCCTGACCTTCTGAGATTGTATCCGCACTTGGAAGGGTCGATATACAAGAATGAGCCAGACAAGGGCCAGCAGAATATTACCGATGGCCAGGTTTTTAGAGTCGAGGGAGCGACTATCCGTGCTGTACATGTTCCCGGACACTCGGAAGACCACATGTGCTTCGTTCTGGAGGAGGAGCAGGCCATGTTTACCGGTGACAACATCCTCGGTCACGGAACAAGCGCCGTAGAGGACTTGGGCATCTTCATGGCCAGCCTACAGAAGATGTATATGCAGAATTGCCCCGTTGGCTTCTCTGCACATGGAGTCACCATCACTGATTTGCCGGCGAAGCTGAAAAAGGAATTGGATGGCAAGCTGAGACGCGAGAGACAAGTAATGCAGGCGCTTGGTCGCGCTCGTACCCGTGGTGAGAGGAGCATCACCGTACAGGGCCTTGTCACCGAAATCTACGGCGAGGCGTTGGAGGAGAGCACTCGAACTCTTGCATTAGAACCGTTCATTGACGAGGTTCTAAGAAAGTTGGCGGGTGACTGCCGTGTTGCTTTTGAGATCCGCGGGGGCAAGAAGAAGTGGTACTCTGTAGAGGCAATGCCGCAAAATGCGGGAGGGCTGATGCCGGGCCCGATGACTGCCTCGAGGGCCGATGCTCGTGTTCAAGTGATGTAGGGTGAAAATGAGTGGGTTATGGTGATGATTTAAATGCGTTTCTGCGTTTTATGCTAGCACTAGAGTCTTCAATTAAATATAAAGTTTTTTTTGAATTAGATAAATTAAAATACCAACTTTATCCTGGAACTAAGTAATAATAAGTTTAACCATATTTAATATCCTCAAGCATCTACGCTATTTTAATAAATTTAAAATATAGTACTTGATTAAGAGGTTTAAAAATTTTTAGACTTTAGGTCCCCTTAGATGTAGATGTCATGTGTCCACCACGAAATCCGTGCATCTGGCAATTACCATTTGGTATTTCAGTTGATGAATTTCAGCAAGGTAGCATATTTAAGAGAAACGTGCTGTCGAATAAAATTAATACCCCCAGGTTTGTAAGAGTAGTAATATAGGTTGACATTTTCCGGTAAATGTATTGCTACCTGGCTGCCGATGGCGTCGGAGTCCGTGGAGTGCCCAGTATTTAACCAGACAATTGGCCGTTATAATTGACCCTCCTTACAATCCCACTTATCCTGTTTTTAGAAGCAGGATATTTCCCAGACTAGCGCTAGCATGTCTGACCACCCAGAAATTCCAGCTCCCCCGTCGGGGGAACCCAACACTCACTTTCTTTGCTTGACAATCTGTGGCTACCGCCGACCAGGCATGAGCGAACAAGACTACAGGGAGCACATGACTCAAGTTTCTGCCCCAATGACGAGTGGATTGATGGTGAAATATGGCGTTAAAAGATGGACCATGGTAAGTTGATTTGAGGCATCATGCTTGGCCATGAGTGGCTCCTCAGCATTTCCACCTTTTGTCTTCGTGTTTTGACACCACAATTTCGTTTTTATTGTTTTGAGAATAAAAATTGACATCAGAAAGATTCACAACACGCTTGAGACGCGCGGCCTAATGGCTCGGCTCTTTGACCATCAGATGACAAACTTGGCTGACTTTGACTGTTTCAGCCAAGTTGTGTTTCAAAATGTGGATGACTACAAGAGAATGAAACAAGATCCTTGGTATAAAGAACACTTGGTTGGGGATCACGAGAAGTTTGCTGATACCAAAAGGAGCATGATGACGATTGGGTGGGTTACAGAGATAATTAGGGATGGAGTCGAGGTCAATAGTACAAAAGTCGATTAGACAGCATTCTATTTTGAGACATTTACGTACAGAATAAACATTGCAATGTACTCCCTGACATGCGTTCTTTGCTGAAACGGATTTCCCTTGACCGACGCTCGTGGTACCATGTCAACTTGTTGACTATGGACCCTCTGAGTAAGGGATGAGATCGATAGACCAATGGTATTGATATAATAGCCCAAGAATCAAAATATCCCCAGTGTGCCCAAGATGGCTCCCAATAATGGTAGCAGCGATCTCGTAAAGTGCAACCAGTTCCACGTCTCCAACAGCTCCGCGACTCCCGTAACTTCCACCGTCGGGGAGAGCATCTTGCTCGCTGCCTCCAACTGGAAAAGTCTATTATTCGTGCTTGCCATAATGAACCATGTAAACGGTATCATGATGACTGTTGCCGCGGCAGCAAGGGCGAAGATGCCGTATGGCCTTTTAGCAGCATGGTATTTGATGCACGTAACGGCATACAACGCAAATGTACCTATTGCCAAGACCGGCATAATCTGGTGCCCGTAATGATACATGCGTCTCCACTGGTTAACAAGAAGCACCTCGTCGACAGTCGTGTCAAAGAAGACTGGAACCGTGATAAAAGTGAGAGACATCATTGCTCCTGTGGAAATCATGTTAGTCACCCTGTACCTGATGGAATGCATTTCGTCTGAGATTGGTTTACCAACCGGAGAGGAATGACCCCGTAATTACGGCAGCAACTGGAGCAATAGTTCCCGACATGGCGTTATGATCGTACAATGTTCGCAATGTGAGATCTTGACGGCCAATATAGTAGGTTGTAATATGAGATGACAAGAACGCTCAGGGCAGCAGAGAGCGCTCGCAATGGGAGCAAGCCACTTTATCTCGTCGGCTATGCCACATGGTTGATCTCCGACTCGCATCCGAAAGCCAGAGGTAGGGGTGTCCGGACTTCCGACCTGCTGCGCACGGAAAATTGCCTCGGACGAAGCTTTATCGTCTATATACGGACGTTGATTTGGCACTCTATACGCCGGGTTCAATCGAACAAGGACAATAGCAAGGACTCTCTGTAAAATGTATAAAACAGCAGAAGGTCCAAAGATTGCGTGCCACGTAGCAAGATAACAGCAAATTTGGCTGGTTGTTGTCGCGACGGTTGTAATTATGATGTCCTTCCGCCTCCCGGAAAATACATTCCAGGTCAGGTCATATTTCACAACATCAGTAGTAGCTATAATCATATACAGATTGAGTGTATTTTATATGTCGTTATTCTTCAGAATAATCCCAAAAAAGAATTGTTACGCAGGTCCAGTCTTGGGCAAATAGTTGTGTGCAAAGGGGAAAAAATGCCGAAACAAGCCCATCAAAATACAAAAGGGGGTTCCCCTCGGAAACTTTGCCCCTACGCCACGCGTCTTATTTACCACGCTCACGTTCTTGCCATTGTATTTTCCTTCTTTATCATCTGCTGCCTCGATCATGGCTGCAGAGAGATCCAAGTAACTGATAAAACTCTCCTCTTCATCAAAGCTCAGCTGATGGCCACGTGAGACATCTGGCGATAGTCCTCCCGGCTTGATGAAAATGGTAGTAACCCAGTCTTGATGCGACCGCAAATACGCCTCGGCGAGACGCAGATCTCGATACACATGCGAAGCCGCAGTCAACATGATGGGGCGGAACCAACCCGGCATGTTGCGGGCGAGATGATCGTCAATAGTGGCAGAACTCAACAGGACGAGTTTTGGCAGCTCGATACCAGGGCGCGAATCAGCCTTGATTCTTTCCAGGGCTTGAATCACGCTTGTGGCGCTGTCCTGGCTGAGAGAACAGCCCGGAATGTTGTCGTTGGTCGTCACGACCATGAAGACGGCCTTGGTGCCTCGAATACAGCTCGTCATGAGGTCCACATCGTGTATGCTGCCTTGGAAAACTTGCACCCGTTTGTTGTCGACAATTTCAGGTAGCAGGTCATGAAGTTTCGGCTGGTTTCTGCAGTATACGTTGATTCTGGTGTCGGGAGTCTGGAGAAAGTTTTGGATAAGAGCAGCGCCGCAGTTCCCTGTGCCGCCGAGCACAGCATACGTCGCCATGGTGTTGAAAGAGGTTGGGAAATGGTACAGCAACTAGGGGTATAACCGAGGCGGGCCAGCAACAACGCTCTCCCAGAATGCGACACCGGCGCTTTCCCGATATAAAGTATAACCTGCCATGGCGGGCGGGGATTTCACGGTGCCTGCCTGGTTGCGGGATGATGCTGGCTAACGTAGTGAGTAGTTTCCAACATTGAAATGCTGGTCCAATGGAAACTGCGTGCCATGACCGAACACCTTTATTCCATCTTACCGTTGTTCCGAGACATTCGGAGAGCGAAGTGGGCCCTTGTGCCTCGTTCCCCTTTCATGGCAGGGTGGTGTGCGAAGGTCTGGGCTGTGCTGCATTTGAACTTCGGGGTTGGTTAGTTGGGTTAGTTGCCGACCTGTATGTATCCTGGTCACCAAGTCAGCCATGTCCGATGGCCCGAGTAGATTAATGCGTGTCCGTGATTTAGAGGAAAACTGACATTGTCTCTTTGTGCCAACAAACACCAGACATTCTTGTCACACAATGGGATTCCTCTACAGCCAGCTGTTCAAGCAACTTCCATACCCCACCGGCTCGTACAATGGCAAAACCATCGTCATCACCGGCAGCAATGTAGGGCTTGGTAAAGAAGCCGCCCGCCACTTTGCGCGCATGGGGGCCGGCAAGATCATTCTTGCTGTGCGCAACCTGGACAAAGGGAACAACGCCAAGGTCGACATCGAAACTACAACAGGCTGCGCAAACGACGTCATTCAAGTCTGGCAAGTGGACATGGCCAGCTACGCCAGCGTGGAAAGCTTTGCCGCCCGTGTCAACGCCGAGTTAGATCGCGTCGACATTTTCATCGCCAACGCCGGCATCGCCCCCGCGAAATACGCAATCGCCGAGGACAACGAAGCCAGCATCACGGTCAACTTTATTTCCACATTTCTACTTGCCGCCCTCGTGGTGCCCAAGCTAAAGAGCACGGCGCGGCTGTACAATACGAGACCCATGTTTTCTATTGTGTCGTCTGATGTGCACGCGCACACGACACTTCCGCAGAAATCAGCACCGAATGGCGAAATTTTGACGACTGTCAACGACAGGGTTTTTGCGGAGAAGCATTGGAATGAACAGTATCCGGTTTCCAAGCTGCTAGGGGTGTTTTGTGTGCGCGCTCTTGCAGAGAAATATCCTGCCTCGACGTTGCCCGTCACATTCAACTGCGTGAACCCCGGACTGTGCCACTCTGAGCTCGGCCGTGACTTTCCCACGTTGGCATTTTGGCTCATAAAACTTGTCTTGGCCCGGTCGACTGAAGTTGGGAGTAGAACATTGGTTCATGCAGCATCTCAGGACGCTGCGTCGCATGGCCAATACATGACGGACTGTGGCACGGGTGCACCATCTGCATTTGTTACCAGTGAGGAAGGAAAGGAGGTACAGGCAAGGGTGTGGGACGAGTTGGTTTTAAAGCTGGAATCCATAAAGCCGGATTGCATGAGTAATTTTTAAGCTTTTTTTTATCGTGATAATATACACTTTAGGTTGTTGACTTTGCAGACTACCCTGTGTCTTTGCTTGGCCCGACTACCAACTAAACCCTCCACCAACTAATGGTTTGAAGTGGTCAATTAAATAGGAAACCTCTTGGTAGGTGATATAGTGGAGAATGGGAAATATGTGGCAAGTAACTTGCAAGGTAAATTGGGCCAATACATGCAATGAATTCACTCAACCTGCAAGGACAAGGCCAAGTTTGCCTCTTATTAAGAAGTGATGTCCTCAAGTCCTGTCATACAATTTATTGTCGAGACACTAGCAGACTAATAAACATAGACAGCTGTTCCGAATTAAAGAACCCAAGACAGGTGTAATCGTGCTAAACAAGTCTGGTCGCTCATCTGGCATAGTCCTTTTCGCTGATGCTTCTTCATATTCTGGCAGGGACATTCGCCCAAGCTTGCTCGAATCCAGCGCCCCAAACCCATTTTGCCTCGTCTGCAAGTCCGACAGTGGAATCATATGCCATCCGTGCCAGATTCAGCCACGCGTCTCCCTGAAGAGGGAACATGGCCGGGTTTTGTTTCTCAAAGGGCCGAGAGACATCTTGGCCGCTCTTGAGCGCACGCACAAACTTGGCCACGTGGCCGTCATCGTGCATCTTGTTGATGGCGCGGTAGAGCTCGCTCCAGCCCATCGATGAACTCGCCTTGGCCTCGTATTCGACGATTTCCTCGATGCGAGGCGCAGCGCACCTGCTGGCCGCATACCACAGAAGATCAGTGCGGCCCTTCCATTCCACGATTCGAACCTTGTTCTCGTGGCTGATCCATGTCTGCCGGAGCAAAACTGTCACAAAGATGGAACTCGTTACCGCATGCATATGGAAGAAGTCAATCTTGGGTGCCTTGTCGGATCGCTGTGACGCCCCGGCGAGAAACGCACTGCAGTTGATGGATTCGGCAGCTCGCCTCTCCAAGTCCATCGGGTCAACGCGAAGTTGTGCCGCCAGGTTGGTGATGGCATCCTTTGATCTCCCAAGGACGCCGTCTCTCATTTTGAGCCCCATGTCCTCCCAGCGTGGGCCGTGGAGAATGACGTCGTTTGCTCGGGCCTGCTCGAAGAGCTCTACAAGAGAGGGACTGGGAACATGATGGCCTATTTGGCTGGCGAGCTCGTCACTTCGTAGGAGGCATTCGGGAATACCGGACCACGGGTGTGTCACGGCCTGCGCGAGAGCTTCCGCAATGATGCTAGGCTGTTCAAATTCGACTCCGAGACCCAGGTGGATGATGGGATGATACGCACCCTCGTACATGCGGGCCAGAATAGTATCTGCCAGTCTTGTCCGACTGAAACAGTACCTATGAAGGACCTCCTTCCAGTTGCTTTGGTCTATCTGCCGTTCGAAAAACGCAAGGACGTTGGTGTATTGGGGAATTTGGCCCAGTATCCCAAGCATCTTGTCGTCGTCGGCGAGGCCGTTTACTACATCATTGTCGAGCTCTGGCGCCGGCCGCTGGACCGAGATGCCGTCGTCGTATGCACGCTGCAGTTCGCGACCATCGCCGCCCATGGCAAACGTCGTCAGAAGAGAGTGTGCCATGTGATTGTGGCCATTGACATCTCGCCAAAAGATGTGCAACTCATCATGATTCTTCTGTAGCAAATCGTTGGCCTTCTGCACAGCGTCGGCTGGAATTTCATTGACTCGACCAAGGATCGAAGAGTTTACCGAGAGTTGAACCCTGTTGGCTGTCGTTGGGACGATACCAACAGGCTTGATGGGAGCATCAGGGGCCGCTTTCTTCGTAGCCAGGATCAACACGACGGGAAATGTCACCTTTCTCCTTTCGCCGCCCATGGCATCGCGCAGCTCTTCCAACAAGACCTCCACTTTAGAATATTGATGGCCAGCCTTTTGTCGGTAGTTGGGATAGACCGACTCCAAGTACGCTTGGACGTCCTCTATAGACCAGTCTGCGCCCCAGAAATTGCGGTCTATTGTTTGCTTGGTAATTTCGTTCTCATGTCTTCGATCCACGGGGTTGAAGTCAAAATCGAATCCAGCCTTGCTATTGAAGATGAGGGGGAAATCGCAGTTCCATTTATGGCGCTCAACGCTCTCCCATTCCGCTTGCGGTATGGCAATGTTATCCAGGTAGCTTATCAAAGTCTCAGCACCGCGCAGGTGGAAAGGAAACCCTGGCGTGCCCTTCATTGGCTGGTTGAAGCGGCATATACGCGTTGCGACCTTGTCATAGGCCTTGTTGCAGCTTTCCACATCTCCGTCGGCGAAGAGGCAGGGACCATAGAAGTAAATGCCCAAAGTGCCACCGGGACGAAGGAGTTGGTGAAACGACTCGAGTGCCTTGGGTGCATCTAGCAGAGGCATGCACTCGCTCACGGTAATCAGGTCCGTGTTGCCCTGGCCACCAGCCTGAACTGGTGTTTTCTCTGCCAGCGCCTCTGCTGGGGAGGTGATGAAGGTGACTCTGTCCCCAAGTTCCTGCGGCAACAGAGCCGGCGCGGCGGTTAATGCTTTGTCATTGACATCTGAGCCGACGACACGGTCAAAGTACGTTGCCAGTCTTGCCGCGATGTTACCTGGCCCCGTCCCGACGTCGTGAGCAAGGCCAGTGTTGCCGTTGCCATGCGTCTTGTGGTATTGGCTGATGAGACGGAAGAAGTCCTCAGTCGGGCTTGGACGGGCTTGTACATATGACCTCCAGAAATCCAGACTACTGCCGCTTTTTACGGCGCCGGATGTGAAGGGCGTTTCGATTGTTTCCACTTTGGTTGGAGACATGCTGTTGACTGACTATGTAGCGAGGTTCGCCAGAATGAAGATGGTGACTTGGTTGACAGTTGACCCCAAGGCGATTATGGGAGACGGGGCAAGATACTTTTGGATAAATACCATCTTTGTGAGCTAGGGTCCCTCGGGCTTGTAGCTGTGCCTATCGGAGGTCCTGGCGCAGCGGGAATGTCAAGTTCCGACTGGCATGGCTTTAATACCCCGAACCGACATTTCATGGCTACTGATTGGGCGTCGGAACAAGACACAAGGAAAAGGATTTCCATTGGTGATCAAGAGTCGAGACATAGCTACCAAGCTACGAAGCACACATGCTGGTGCTGCCGATGTCTGAGGTACTTGATTCAGACGTGGTGATAAATATATTACCATAAGCAAATTTGTACATCTATGGTATTTGTTACACGGGCATCATAACACCAGGGAACGAACGGTCCCCAAAGCTCGTGATAGTTAATGGAGGGCACAAGATCCAATTGAAGCATTGGGCGCTTGTGACATGGTCCCTACCTTGCTTTGCATAATGAAGGCTGTTTTGGTTGAAGGACGTTGGGAGAGACCGAGAACCATAAATGCCAAAGATATTTGTTAGAATGAATTGAACGTCTTTGCTCCAAGCCCATACAAGCCTCTGCCACAGTATTCAGCGGTCTCATGGTAAACAGTACGACGAATATCTAACTTCGGACAAATGTACTTTAATCAGACTGCGTAATGAATCACTCTACCTTGAAAGTATGCGGGTCTTTTACAAAGTACATTATCAGCGAAATACGCCCAACACATCTCTCGCCAAGGACGCCACTTGGTTGACTATGCAGGGATGGGAAAATATTAAAACTCCATTGCTGACACAGCTGTTCAATGAGTCCATGGTCCATGAAAATAAATTCTTCCCCCCCTAGTTCACAGTACCTGCAGTCATGTTTGAGTCCCTGTGAGATTGAAGATATTTTAGCAGTGCGGTTTTTATCTCCGATTTCATTATCTTATGTGTAGCATTCACCGGGAACGCGGCTAGTCCCAACTGTTCCAAAGTCAGCAAGCCATCCAGTACATACTGCTTGCCGAGCATTTTTTCAATGTGTCGATTAATATCTCCCGGAGAATTGGAAGCCAAAGAACGCAGGACAGCAAATAGTTGCTCGCCCTGGGATTTACTCGTTACGCTGACAGCGACAGCCTGCAAGAATTAGCCGACTTGGCTCACTATAGGGGTCAATAGAAGTCAATGGGAACACATTTGCACTCACCTGCTCTCCGGTAAGTATTTCTATGCAGTTCTGCAGTGGCGCTGGCATTATCATCACGCCGTCGCGATTAATCATGTCCTTCTCCCTGCCCAGGATATATACGAGTCCCTTGGGATCCATGACGGCGACATCACCGGTGCGAAACCAGCGGCCTTGCCCATCTTCGTAGAAAGAAGTCTCAGAGGCGCCAGACATGTAATTTGGTATTTGACTCCCGCTCCGTATGTGCAGAGCCCCGGACTCGCCGCGCTTGCACACACTCGCTTCTGCAGTATTCCATATGCGAACTACTGACCCCGGAGACACTAAGCCTACCGGACAAAGACCGCCGAAGTGTGGAAGTTGGCTCATGGGCGTATGTTCAAACGGCCAGCGAAATGATCCCCCTCCTTCTGTCATGCCATGAGCTACGACAACCTTTGCGCCTCGAAATGCAGTTGCACATTTGGCCAAGATGCCGGCGGTTACGGCATCACCGCCAACTTGCACTGTTTGAACCGAGTCTGTATTCAACGAAGCATTCGTAACCTCTTTGCTAATCTCGTGTACCATGGGCGGAGAGAGAACGACGAAAGTGATTGGGAGCCGTCGAATTGCTTCGACAATGTCGCTCACACAGAAGCCACGTCCCGTCAAGACGGCCGTGCCACCGGCTCTCCAGGTCAGGAGGATCTGCAGATGAGCAATGGCGCGAGACGGATGAGCTTGCTGTAGAGCCAGTGGGCAGGCCCTTTCATCAACAAGCCATGATTGCGAAAGCATGTAGTGAGTTTGCCCTCCCACCCGCATGGGACAACCTTTTGGACGGCCAGACGACCCTGACGTGAAGAGAACTGAATGAATGCGCTCTGGATCATCGCTACGAGCAGCCTCGATTATTTCGTCTCGATCTATCGCTGGCCCGTTGCCTTGCTCCATGATTTCTGACAGAGTTATCCAGCCTGACTTCTTGGCTAAACGATCCACGTGAATGCAGAGAGGCCTCACAGTCGGAAAGTCGTCAACAAGCCGGTCTATCTCGAGCACGGTTCGTGTGTCTTGTGCTACAATTATAGATGGTTCAAGGGTCCAAAGCAAATGTGGCAGCTCATCAGGCCCCGTGGCAGCAAGGACGTCCGGGTCCGCGCATGAAATCGTCAATCTTGCCATAACCGAAGTCCATAGAAGCAAGCCGAATTCTGCGCCATTCGGTATAAGCATCAAAATAGTGGATTTTGGTTGCACTCCGTTGGTAAGAAGCCCTGCCGCGAGACATTTTGCAATGGAGTGAATTTGGTGATAGGTGAGCGTCAAGTAGTTGTATCCATTTTCTCCGTCATAGATAGTACTCGTCTTTGTATGGGTATATGCATCCTCACGCTCCTGGTCGTCGTGACTCTTGGCTAGGGCGAGGAGATCTGACAGGTGGTTTGCAGGCTGGTGTGTTGATATTATTCCTGGTTTATTGTAGCTTTTCCCCAGGCCTTGTTCGAGATGCCCAAGCAAAGATGTCGTATTGATGAGGGGGCCGCCGTCAATCTCGGCCATGCTCTCTGACCTGCTTCGGTTGTATGAAGTTACTTTGTGTTGGATTTGCCGAAACTGTAACAAGACTATCAGAGCTAAGCTCAGAACACAAGAACATCTCCAAGGCCGTACTAATGAATACTGACATAATATTTTTGGGTTCTGACCGTTTTGCTTCCTCTGAAGAATCTTGCCGCCTTGTCTGCTTGTTTCGGGTCAAGGGCTGCTGATCGGAGTCCGATTCTCGGGCTATACGGCCACAGCCCCAGAACCGTCAAGCTGCATGCTGTTGGCTCGATGCGTAAATCACACTTGCTATATATGTGTCAAATGATTCCATTGTTAGGCGCGTGAATATTACATTGGAGAGAATACTTCTACAACCGGGTCCCTAAGCTGCTACTTTGCTACTTGTATGGCCCAAGGGGGACTTCACCCATTGCTCACTCTTCATCAAATCTACCAACCTATCCAGTGACATATTCATGATACCGAATCTCCAGAGCAGAGGCTCCACTGGTAGGCGAGCAGTACTTATTTTCCACGATTAGACGGCCGGTGTTATCCCCCATACTATTCAGAATGCCCATCATCTCAGCCATCTCCAACTCCCTTTGATTCGCGAGTTGAAACATTGTCAAGTCCCTTAGCCGAGCGAGGGCCTCTACGCTACGGCGTATTGTTCCAAGTTCGGGGAGTAACCCCGACGTAAGAACGATTCTCCCGGGCTTGTTATTTTTCAAGACTTCCACCAGTTGTTTCAGCTCGGCCTGAACACCCTCTGTAACACCTGTGCATGAAGTGAGATGAAGGATATACACTCTGGCATCACGAATGGTCTGTGTGGTACCCATAGGGCGACGCTGAGTAGTCACTCGTCCGTCTACTATACACCCCGGTTGGTCTAGCATAGACTCGTAGGATATGTTCTTCCCCCCGGAATTTTGCCATTGAGCTTCCAAATCGCCCATCTGCACTATAATCTTCAGGCAAGGATAATGACTTGCCAGAGCCATTGCTTGCGTCGTTGACTCGGCCCCAATCTGAGAAGGCGTATTCGACGTCAGCCAAGGGACAGATATGCTGTATGGCCCGATGAAAGGCGGACGCTCACCTCCACAACGGTACATGGTTTACCAACAAATTGGTTGGCACATTGCAGTGACTGAAGAATTTCCACCAGGTCATCGTCCACATCGCCGGTTCCGTAGCGCCGGAAAGCAGACCATTGTCGCCTCAGCTGCGGTCGTTGTTCGCACTCGGCGCTAAATGAGCTCGCGTGATTGCTAGCAAGGTTATACGCAGTCGCCTGCGGAGTGCTGGAGTAGTTGAGCCGCTGGGTATTGACAGCCATTTTCAACGCGGACGGAGTCGCTGTGCCAGCAAGAAACATGACGGCGTCGAGCAGAGAAGGATTGGTGACAAAGGCGGCAGACAAGGCATTATGCGATAGACGTCCTGGTTGCGGCTCGCATAAAAACCCAAAGGCCATTGTCATACGCGCTATTCGACAGAGTTGAGCTTCCGGCACGCCTGCCAAGTCGGAGATATCTTTGATCGGCACGCTGTGACGAAGGGGGATACAAGCCAAGACTTGAAAATCCCCCAGCCAGTGCAGGCAAGCCAATAATTGGGACTTGATGAGGCATTCTTTAGTTGACGTTCTCAACACCTGTGCAGTCTAATGGGGGAGAGCAGGAGTTTAGCATTGAGCGGCTGGGGCAAAGCATACCTGACAGGCGAGCTGTTGTAGCAGCTCCGACGGCTCCATGATGAGTTGTTGAAGATTTGTAACATTAGCCATCATGGACTTTTTGAGCCTTTGTAATTCGGCCGGCCCATCTTGAAGGATTGCATGGATCTTGATTGACTCGTCCGCCTCACTTGGGCACTGCACTCGACACATGGCGACAAGAGCTTCGACATCGGCTGTGGTGGCAGCGGCGCAGGAAACGAGGTTGGCGATACTGTCCATGGCAGCTAGGCAGCATGACGATACTGCTATTCAGTTGAAGCCTAAGCTAAAGCATGTGAGTCTCAGGAGTTGCCCGCAGCTTGACGGTGTCGAACTTTGAAAGTGAATATGGCTCAAGCTCGTTGGGATCGTGGCACTGAAACCCGCACCATCCTACAAGACACCGTCGTAAAGTTTTGCATCAAGGCAACAAAGCATCCCCTTGTTCGACGGCGTTAAGATTTGGGCCGTACTTACATAATTCTCGGAGTGTGGCTTTCTATCCTGGTATGGTATAACCTCACTACGCAGACACAAGGCATTCGCTCTTGATGCTCGTTGGTGGACTAATCCGCAGAGTCGGGCTATTACTCTCAGAGGCTTCCCTGACAGTCTTGCTCCAATGTTCCGTTGAACCGACCTTCAGCGCATGTGCTTCCAGAAACAGGGCAGGAGGAGATATCGAGGGTTGAGCAGGCTTCTAGATCCCGGCCACATCCCTGAGCGGCTGACAACGGCAAGCGCCATCCTGAAAGCCCCCCGTCATGGATCTTGTGCTCTCATATGCATTCCCATTTCATGTGAGGCTCAGTCAACCATCACGTACATATGGTTCCGCCGCAACTGCGAGCATCATCACATCTATCACCACCATCCAGAGCCAAAAAGGCTCGACAATGACGCAAGCCGTCAGATTCATTCCACCCAGGCCGACGGGGCTCGATCGATTTCCAAACCCTTGTTGCTTGACTCGACGGCGCTCACCACACTCGGTAGCAACCGGGCGGATCAGATGCCTTCACTTTGGTACGGCGCCCCACGCTTGTGTCGTATCCGTCGCTTGTGAGTGAGGTACATTCAATGATGTTGCCACATAGTTCTTTTCCAAAGGCAACGCGGGTGTGGCGCAGAGTCGACGAACCAACATTCAAGAGCCCGGTCTTGTTCCTATCGGGCTCGACGTGCGTAAGGGCCGGGGAAACGAGGCTGCGCTAGCAACACCAGGCGGACGCCACAATAGATTCAGGAACTGCAAGGTCAGCACGGATATGGATTGCGCCGTCCTGCGTTTCCGGGCGATAAGGTTGGGGTATCTGGACATGTCCTGGTCCGCCGTTGCGCCCCCGTTTCCCCGCTCTGCCATAATGTCTCGCCGGTTGGGACGAATGAGAACGGGAGAACGGGTGCATGCTGTCGCTCTTGATGACACGGAGGCGATGGGATATACCGATGGATTCGTATCCGGGCATGCAGGCTTCCAAGTCTGTGTGCGGCGCTGCAGGCGTGACAAGAATGGCCATGTCGTTGGGTCAGTTCGTGTCAGCCAAACAAGGTGCAATGCAAATATATCTACTATTATCAAGCGTGGAGGACTAAGCTCACGTCACACCGCGCGGTGCAGCTCTTCTACCTTCTTTAACTTTCTACTCCATCCTTGTCAAATCTGCATACTTCCCACATGGCGACGTTGCAGTCGTCCCGAGCAGGAGGATCGAGCAATATCGTTTCCTCCACCGCGGCAACGTCGACAATGACGACAACGACTATAGCAATGGCAGTCAAACTCAGAGATAGCTGTCACGCTTGTGCCTCATCGAAGCTCCGATGTTCCAAGGAGAAACCGACGTGTTCACGGTGCGCCAAGCGAGGCAAGGTATGCGAGTATTTTGCTACACGACGGGCCGGGAGAAAACATGCGAGAAAGTCGACAACTCGGCCAAGCACGGTGCCGTCTCTTCCCACGCCGTCGCCAACCTTGATGCAGCCGTCCAAAGGCACCACTCCGGCATCAGGCACAATTCAAGTATTCCTGGATCAGTATCATGGCAACTATGCTGATTCTATACCAAGTCCCATTGCCTCGGCCGAAACGCCACTCTTGAGCGCGCCAACCCCCGCCGCCACGGACATGAATTTCGACGACTGCTTTGCTTCGCCTATAGATATATGCGTCTCTGGAGGGCCGGACGCCTGCAGTCACCCAGAGGACTACCTCGGATCGTGGGACCTGAGTTACTCGCTCGATCCGACAACTCTCTGGACCGAGGTGCCCGACAAGTCGACTTCGCTTCTTGATGACGCATTACAAGTATCCCCCAACCACCTTGGGCCGCAGGCTTCGCTCTCTATGCCGCAGTCAGCGGCAAGTTGGCAGCAGCAACAAGGACAACAAGAGTTGAAGGCGACGCTTGAAGGGTCCTCGTGCAACTGCCTCAATCAAACGCTCGCGCTCTTGAGCCAACTTTTCCAGACTTCTACCACTGCGGCTTCTGGCTCCAGTTCTCCGACCGAAGGCCAAGCAGGAGCTTCCAGCAGCGGTCGACCCTCGCCATGCCCCCTCAACGGCTCCTTTGCGGACAGTGAGCATGCCATCGAGTCCATCGACACCATGCTGCAATGTTCCTGCGCCCAGGACGGCTATCTACTCGCCCTCATGTCGCTTATTGTGTTCAAGGCGCTGGCCTGGTACGAGAACGCGGCCCGACAACCACCCGGGAGAGCCGACCCGGCGGACAGCATCAGCAAGGCGGGCGGTCTCGATGACGGCAACCACCAGAGCAGGCTGGCGGCGCAGTCTGTTCTCGGCAAACTCTATCGAGTGCAGGGGCTCATCAACACCATATCGCAGCGGCTCAAGGCTCGGAATCACCACGGGGCACTGGACGTGGCATCCAACAATTCACTTCCGAGGGACAGGCGAGAGGCACCAGGTGGCGACGGTGCGACACTGCCCTTTTCTGCTGCTCTTCTTGATCAACTAGAGGTGGATCTTCGCAGACGAGTGCGGGCTGTATCATCTTGTGTTGTAGATATTTTACGGCATTCATAGTACCCACAATCATGTACATCTCAAATGACTGATTATTGACCATAATTGAAGTATAAGGTCAAGGCGAAAGACTAACGAGACAGGGGTTAAGAGCAACAGGCTAGCAAAGTAGTCTGGTAGACGATTCGGATACAATTAAACTCGACGCATCTAAAGATGAACCATCGCCCCGCGATTCATGTTTACAATAGCACTCATCATCCGTCGGCTACTTTACACCCTTCTAATAAGTTGATAACTCTAATCCGCATAACCGGGTTTAACATGTAGGAGGATCCCGGTAGGGGGCGAAAACATTTGGTAATCTCTCTGATATAATTGGGCACGGAAGTCGACTGGGCCGAACCGCGGATCAAGTCAAAAACATTGCCTGCGGTGCGTGTAAACTTTGTTGCCTTGGTGGAATCGCTGGAAAAATGCAGGGGTGCCTCCCTAGTGTCGCCCGAGATGGTTGCTGGGGTGCTCACGGCTGATGCATGATGATGGTTTCGCCATGGACGCATTTCGAGATTTGAAGATGCTCCAAGTACGGAAGCATGCACATGTAGCTATAGCAGCGGGCGCCCAATCTCGACTAGGAGTTAGTTGGTTTCAGGGATATACGCTAAAGTCCAACTTTATCTTGCTATTTTGTATCAATAGGTTTTGCCGACTTGATAGCCGATGGACTACTTATGTGCGTTTTCGCGATCCACAATTTGCTTACTCTTGGCATTTCACGATGTAACCCCCGCAGTTGTCCATGGCAATTTTGATGGGAATGTAGGCAAGGGCTGACTGCACGGACATGCCTGACTGAAGTTTACCTCCGCGGCTGAGTTGCAAGTTGAAGGGCTAGTTCTGAGCAGAGTTCATTCCACCAACGAGACGTCTTGCTCTCGTTGCAACTGGTTTGAATCGTTGCAACTTTGCGGCTCGTCCAATCTTGGGGTCGGATGGTGGGACTTGAGTCATTTTGCTCAAAGTATAACCTTGATACTTTGTACTGACTGTTCAAGCATGAGCACAGGGAATAACCCCTGCTCCAGGTAATAACTCGGAACGTCGCTGCAGAAGAAAGAAGAGAAAAAAACACCCAGTGTTCTGTTTCTGCAGGCACATGCAAGACTATGTGCTGCTAGTCGCAGCCGTCAGTCTCGGTTTATAATTTTATGCATGTGACACTCCGCGATATGCTTCCTACCGCCTCCTGTGTGTTGTACAACGGTGGCAGTGATTTAAACCGCTTCAGCGACAATCTTTACATGTTGGTCATACGCAGCGCCGGCTTTCTTGTTTCTGGGCCAGTATTGACAACAGACGACAATAGATAAGCATTGCCACTATATTGCGGCTGTGAAATACCCAGCTTGGACGCTAAGGAATATTATGCCGTGCTTATTCCACCCTCGTAGAGTCTTCAATCATTCCGCAAGTACCTGATTGGCTGGCTGTTTCTCTGGTCTTGCACTGCATCATGGTATTCGGAGTAAATCACTGCGTCGCGCTTGTTCGGTCCGACGGTGGAGGGGGATTAGATTGATTTGACTCTACTAAATCAAGGCAAAGGTATCGCTCTACCCTTGCCTTTCAGCTATAAAGTACAATGTCTGTGGCGGGAAGGGGCGTCTTTGGCGCCAAATTGCCTTTAGGAGAACAAGATACTATCGTTGAAAATCTCATGGGGGAGGAGGGGGGTCAATCTGGGTTCCCAGATGTTTCAAGGAATCAGTATTATCGAGATACGCTTATCTTGTTGTATGTACTGTCTGTGTATACTACGGCTGCACATGAGAATTGCTGGTAAGATGATGTACTTGTTGGCACACATATTTTTTCCACCGAGGTACCACGAGCATAAAATATGGACACTACCTCTTGCAATCGGCCTCAAGGATATCTTTCGCCGCCCTGCTTGCCAGTGCATACACCACCGCTTGGGGGTGGCAAGTCGTCGGATAGGGAAATGTGCTCGAGTCAACGACTCTGATACCTTTCAGGCCCTTGACTCTCCAGTTTCTATCCAGCACCTTTCCAATGGCAACAGTACCCACGGGATGGCGGAACGAGTATGTCTGATTCCCCATTGCCGCCCATATAGCTTCGTCTGTAGTCACACCCGGTCCTGGGTAATGCTCCGATTCAATGAGCGGACTTACTTCCGGGCGATGCAATATCTCGCGAAGCTTCTTGTATGTCCACAAGATGGCCGCTTTATCGGCGACGGAGCCGTAGTAGTTGGTGTATATCAGCGGGTCGTCCTGGTAGTTTCCCGACCTGAGGCTCACCCGGCCAGACGCCTCTGGCTGCACGAGGCTCGCCCAGGCCGTGATTGTGCTCGCATTTGGCGAAGGTATAAACGGCACAGTGCTGAACTCTATCATGACGTGTGGCCGATCCTGCGGCAAGGAGCGGAAATGCGAGCCGTCCATGCCATCCCAGACTGAGTCGGGAACACGAAATGTGGCAAAAACGAGTCCGTTGTTCCACCCCAATGGGCCCGAAGCGTTGGCAGCATACTGTTTTTTTGCTATATCTGCCTCGGTCTCGTTAAACGCCCATTGCCAGAGTGTGAGTACTTCTGGCGTGACGCGAAGTTCCACAATAGAAACCGGGTGGTCTCTGAGGTTCGCGCCCACCTCGGGGCTCTCGGCGACAACGGGAATGCCCCATTTTGAGAGCACATCTTTTGGTCCGACTCCAGAAAGCATAAGGAGTTTGGGAGTGTTGATGGCCCCGCCGCTGACTATAACCTCCCTGGCTTTAATCTTGACATCTTTTCCGTTGAAACGGTATGTTGCGCCAACCGCAGTTTGGCCCTTGAAGTCGACCTTGGACACCCAGGCGTCATGTATAATTCGCACATTTTGCCTTCTCTCAGCAATGAGCCCAAACGTGTTTCGAGGGTATGATCTAGTGCGGTTCTTGGCAAAGATGGTGGCAACCCCCATGTCAATGCCGATGCCAGTCCCATCCGTCAGGTCGGCCTCGTGAAGGCCGAGTTGGCCCTGGATGGCTTCTTTAAAGGGGAATTCGAAGCCGGTCAAACCGCTTGAACGACTCACTTCCAGCGGGCCATTCCCGTACCCCGAGATGTTCACATATTGTTCGTACTCGGCGTGGGGAGGGTCTTGGTAGTGGCTCACCTCTCTGAACTCCTGCAACATTGACTTCCAGGCCAGCCCCGGATTGCCAGAAAGCTGTGCCCATTCATCGAACACTGACGACGCTCCTCTGCAGTAGGCCATGCCGTTCACCGCGGAGCCACCTCCGAGTGTTCGACCTTGTGCAATACCAGGCGCATGTCCTCCCAAATTAGAGTCGGGTTCAGTTGTGAAGTTCCAATGCTGCTCCTTGATGAGGGGATAGTGAGCCGGTGCTAGAAGATTGACGGTTAGGGAGTGCGTGGGCGAACAGTGTCTGGTGGAAGTAGCAGCACCTACTATTGACCAATGAATCGTTTATGCTGTCTGGCCCAGCTTCGAGGAGGACAATGTGCTTTCGGGGGTTTCGAGAGAGTTTTTCTGCGAGTACCAGGCCTGCAGGACCGCCGCCTATAATCAGATAGTCGGCGCTGGTGCCGTCAATACCATCGTTCGAGGCCACGGCCAAACTCACAACCGCCGCGCCGAGCACGGCACGAAGCCAGGGGAAGTGGCCCATCAGGTGTAGCACTGAAACTCAATTTCTTTGCGTCAATAGCGTGATATTTGTTGATGATTTGGTACTCGTTGGTGGAGCAGATTCTCATATATTTGGTTTCAGTGTTGTTTGATTATATAGTCCATGGCCTTCTACGCCGAATCCGGTGACAGTCGACCTAATATTCTAGCTCAGCCACGAGTATAGTGTCTCGCAAAGGGGCAGAGTAATCGGGCGTTGGTACCCTAGCGCGTTCCTTTGCTAATTGTTTTGGCAATTTCGGAAGAAAGCTTTTCGGATCCCGACTAGTCCCGGTCATGGTTGTGGCCATGGCCCTGGCTGCTGGCCCCCAACGGAGCTGGTCTAGGGATATCGTGTGACTCGGAAATTCCATCCACGCTTTGCACTGTAATAATTTCAGAGAGACGATCAACTCGTACAGTTAGACTCTCGGAGCCTTAAACACTTGTAGTGCTGTATGCTCGCAATGCTATATTGCGCTGGCAAGTTGTCGCATACACGGTTAACATTACGAACTATGTGAAAATGGACAGATCTAAAGGACGAATCTTGGAATAAAAGCTTTCGCTTTCCATATTAAATTTGGGACTGAATTGAAATATGAATGGGGGCAGCATGACGGATACAAAGGCTTTACATGTCATCGCCAGCCAGATTTCTAACAGGACCGGTTTCGCTACTAAAATTAAACGATTATTGCCTAGACACAGCGTAGCAGCGGTGTGTGAGACCCCGATATGGCAATTCTGAAACGTTATTGAATAGAAAGATAGATGACCGCACGTTCATGCATCGAAACATGAGCTCTGTTGTTCTAGAATGTATGTCTGACGGTTCATGCCGATTGGCTTCCGTAATACTACTACCTGCCAGTGTCTTACATGACAGCCTCCTACCCCGAGTCATGATAGAACCGCTTCGCTAGCTAGAGTCTTGGCGAATTCTGATCCTCAATCTCAGCATAACTTGGCTTCTGATGCAAACATTCGAGGCAGACTGTTGCCGACGCCGAGCCATACCCGGAGCCCGGTGCCTCGGAACCCGGTGCCTGGGGTTGAGGGGATGGTCTCCGATACCCTGAAATGATGGCGGCCGAGTCCAACATGTGGTCCAAGTCTCATCTATTGATGGTTTATACACATAAATGGATTATACGTTCTAGCTAATACTTGCCACATATCTCCACGGCTATGCGTCTCATCCTATTGTGGATTGATTGACCACAAGGCGTTGCTCAACTTCCACAAAGCCTGCCATGGCTCTCTTGCGTCGTCTGACCCAATTGCTGGCCCTTTGCCACGGTGGGTTTGCATCGAAACCCAAGGCCAATTGTTCCTGCACCAACAGCCCCCAACACCGAGATTGTTGGCGCCAGGGCTTCAACATACATTCGGACCCTGACAAGGTCGTACCAAAAGGACGCTTGAGGGAGGTATGTGTTTCGGTCGTTTCCTTTTTTACAATGTAGCATTGATGCTTCATGTTGTTTTTTCCGTTCTATTTTCACATTTAAGATATTTTGTGATTCCGTCCTAAGGAGATACAGTACGAACTTACCGTCACCCAAGAGTTGATTGCCCCAGACGGATACTTGGTCAAGGGGACAGTGTTCAATGGTTCGTATTACAACATGACGTCGAGCCGAATCCAACCGACCAGATAAGGAAGGACACATATTAATACTTCTCTACAGGCCAATACCCTGGTCCACTGATCGAGGCCGACTGGGGCGATACCCTTCGTATGGCTCCCTGCTGATGGATTCGATTGAGTGCATCCAAAGTTGACCAAATAGGCATTACCGTGCACAATAACTTGACCAACTTTAATGGAACGGGGGTTCACTGGCACGGTATCCGACAATCCGAGACTGTCTGGCTGGATGGTGTGCCTGGTGTGACGCAATGCCCCTCAAAGGTAGGCCTCCTATTCCATTTGCAATTCTCTTCCTGGAGCTAATAGTCCCCAGCCCGGATCTTCGCAAACGTATGAGTTTCGGGCCATGCAATACGGTACCTCGTGGTATCACTCGCACTTTAGTTTGCAGTGTACGTTTACCTCGGGACCGCAAGGGGCAACATTGAGCTAACACCGACTCAGACAGCAACGGACTATATGGTTGAGGCGCCCCCCATTTTGAACATGGTTTGAGATGACGGGCAGCACATGGCTAACTACATGTTTCAGGGCCACTTGTAATCCACGGCCCGTCGAGCGCGAATTGGGATGTCGACCTTGGGCCCTGGCTGCTGTCTGACTGGTATCACGACGACGCCTTCAAGCTCTATTATTACGAGATCTTTACACCCCGGGCCGCGATCCCGAATTCCATGGTTCTAAATGGCAAAGGACTGTACGACTGTGACCCGAAGAACGACACCAGATGCACGGGCAAGAAGGATTTTTTCGAGGTGACGCTTGAACGCGGCACCAAGTACAAAATCGGCCTGACTCACACGGGTACTCTGCTCACAGAGACGTTCTGGATTGACGGGCACAACTTTACAGTCATCTCCAACGACTTTGTGGCCATTGAGCCATATGTGACTGACGTTATCAACATTGGTATAGGTATGGTTTCTCCCCCCCCAGGCTTTGCAAACAGCCCCGAGAGTATGTACGTGTCTCTCATGCCGCCATAGGCCAACGGTACGAAATCATTGTCGAGGCCAATGCGAGCCTCGAGAACGGTCCCAACTTCTGGATCCACGCACAGTACTGCAACGAGCCCGACATATTGGACCACCGCGTAGGCATCGTGCGGTACGACGCCAAGAACAAAAGCGATCCCTACACGCCCCCTCGAGCCCACCTCAAGTATGGATGTGCTGATCCAGGACCAAACGAGCTGGTACCAGTCGTGCCAATGCAGGTTGGTCGACGGGTGAACAACATGGAGCCCAGCGAATACCTCAAGATAGGGCTGCAGGGCTGGCCCAACGCCAGTGACCCGAACTCCCTGATTCACAAATGGGTTTTGCGCCACACGCCCATGTATCTCGACTGGCGGGAGCCGAGTCTGAAGAAGCTGGCTCTGAACACCGGCAACGCGTCGTTGTTCACACCCGAGACGGAGCCCATCTATCTCGACTATGAGACGGGCGAGTGGGTGTACTTTGTCATCACGAGCAACTATACCCTGGAGGGCGTCGACCCGCCACGGACGATTCCTCAGTCGGTGCATCCGATGCATCTACACGGACATGACTTATTGGTGCTCGCCCAGGGACAAGGTCCCTTCACCGAGGACGTTGTGCCCAAGCTCGACAACCCGCCTCGTCGGGACGTGGCCAATTGCCCGATAGACGGGTATCTGTGGATTGCGTTCCGCATCGACAACCCGGGCGCCTGGCTGATGCATTGCCATATTGCGTGGCATGCCAGCGATGGCTTGTCGATCCAGTTCCTCGAGCAGCCCGGCAAGATTAAGGGGCTGATGGAGAAGGCGGGCGTGATGCCCGAGTTTTCGCAGCGCTGCGAGGAATGGACCGAGTGGTACGAGAACAATAATATGGTGCATGAGGCAGAGCAGGATGATTCGGGAATTTAGCACCGTCACTCGGTGGATGGTAGTTGAGAGACTGCGAATATGCTCCTCCTGTCGGTTAGCAGACGAGTGGTCTTGATGGTGATGGCATCACTGGACCGCTTCGAAATGGGCCTGGGTCCTGGAACTTGGACAAGATGTATAGTAGCGCCAAGGATACAGTCATGTCCCAATATAGAGCATATCAACTACTCGCGACCACGTAATTTATTGGCTGAAAACAACAAACCCAGACTCCAATCCCTTGTAGCCGCGCGAGGAACAGGGACATGACATGATGCTTGTATATATAGGAATAGAGACTTGCCATGAATACAAGACTGGCGTTGATGCCAAATCCCGTTGGCGGCCCGGAGCCCACATATGTATGGTGTGGCTTGTTCTGTCCATGACTGCCAACAGGTTTTGCCAACATCTGCCCAAATGAGGTGTGTGTTTGTGCTTCACCACCTGGAGGATATTATATACCAAGTCATCGATCTTCGTCGATCCAAACCTGGACCGGGGACCGTCTATCCTAAACCACTTGGACTTGCGGTGCCCTATTATTCTTGTGGATAGGAATCTACATATTCAGGGTATTATTGACTGGGAATTTTCAGGCACTGTTCCGCGGCAGTTGTTCGCGCCACCATCAAGGATCGTCGCGCACGATTCGATCAAGACAAGGAAATGCACGTCGAGTTCCGCAAAGTCTTGGACGAGCAAAGCAACACAGCCGATACGACCAGCTGCGGCACATCAGCACACATGCCGGATAGTGCGGGGAATGCATCCCGACAGACCAATTCGACGCGAGTGCCATGATGAAAACCGGCCACGTCGTGATGCTAGTTTTTGTAGCGCGTACGGAGTATCGGTATGGCATTTCACCACCCACGTCATGTTGGCCCGTGCCCCTCGCATTTGCATCTCTTGTTCAGTCAAGAGAATCGAGATCTTGCTTACCCAGATCGGCCCCCATCAACACCGGCCACACCATTACATCTTCCCACCACCATAGCTACGCGGCCGTCAGCCGCCCGTGCATGTGGCTGTTCATGGTTCTTACATCACGTCTGGTACAAAGCAGGGCCAAATTTTGCATTTGTCATCGTCCCGCGCGGTAATCTCCATGACTAGTTCTAATTGGATCATCGGACTCCGAAAACCCGCAGCATGCAGACGCACTGCCCATGCGAGAATGATGCTGTAGCATTATGTGGTGTCAATAGGACCAGGTGGCATGTTAAAAAATTAAAACCAGCAAATAACATATATAACCGTAGCTCTAAAAGACAACCTACGGGCTCTTCCTCCATCACAGCCAGTAACAACATATACGCCATCTCATTTCGGACTTGGTAGCCAACTTGCCACATCTACATCTCACTCTCCCGCCTCCAGTTTCAACCCTGTCACAACCACCACACCAGAGTCCAGACGCCACCGCCATGTCCAGCATCAAGCCAATCAAAGTCTGGGGCAAGGGTGGCCCCAACCCGCCCAAGGTCGCCATCGTCCTCGAGGAGCTTGGCCTTCCCTACGAGGCCGTCGTCGTGCCCCTGGCCGATGTTAAGAAGCCCGAATACTTGGCCGTCAACCCCAACGGACGCCTGCCGGCCATCCACGACCCCAACACCAACATTACCCTGTGGGAGTCCGGGGCCATCGTCGAGTACCTCGTCGAAAAGTACGACGCCGGCCACAAAATCAGCTTCCCGGCCGGCAGCCCCGAGTCGTACGAGGCCAGGCAGTTCCTCTACTTCCAGGCGTCTGGCCAGGGCCCCTACTACGGCCAGGCCGCCTGGTTCAAGAAGTTCCACCACGAGAATCTGCCCAGCGCCCTCGACCGCTACGTCAAGGAAGTTCAGCGTGTCACGGGCGTCTTGGAAAAGGTCCTGTCGGAGAAGAAGGTGTCCCCGGGCCAGGATGGGCCGTGGCTCGTGGGTGGGAAGTGCTCGGTTGCCGATCTCGCCTTCATCTCGTGGCAAAACGTCATTGGCATCATCTTTGACAAGACAGACTACAACCTCGAGGGTTATCCGCACGTCAAGGCCTGGCAGGACCGCATGTTTGCGCGGCCGGCCGTTCAGGCTGGGCTGGGCAAATCAGAAAAGCTGCAGTAGTGTCGTTGCTGGCTTTAAAGGGACTTCTCTCCTCTGTGGAAAGTGGAAGCAATGGTACTTGGATGTCTTCCCTGGATAGCGAAATCGTGGTTTCTGTAGTATATTTTTCAATCCTGGGCCCAAGACGTCGTTCCCAGCCCACTTGAAGTATACCGTGCAGATCTATTCTCGCAGCTAAGTAACTAGTCTCGTAGTTTTGTTTTAATCCATTAAAGGCTTTAACAAGACAAGCGGTGCCAATATACACATGAGGCTATTAGTGAATTAAGCTGGCTTCTCATTTGATGCCTGGTCGCGCATATACTGCTGGAACTTGGGGAAGAAGTCCTTCATGAACGCTGTATCAACCATCTCCTCGATTTTTGTAATCTCTTGCCCGTTTTCGTTAAAGCTGAAAAACACGGCATATTCATTGTTCCAGTCTCCAAAGGGCGTTTTACCCGAGGACAGTGCATATACAACGGCCTTGCGCTGAGGCACATCGTGCACGACTTGGTGAATCACAAGCTATCTACTATTAGTATTTCCATGGCTCATATCTATATTTGTGGTACAAAATATAAGTGCGCGGCGAGAGCGTTTTACTTACTGTGTAGTCGGTGACGACTTGTTGGAGGAGCGGAAGAGTCGCCTCTACTTGGGCTCGAGACCGAGCTGGATGGCCCATGGAAAACGGTAGAGCCGCTTGCGTACAGTCGTCTGACCAGTTTGCAATCATATCGGCAGCCGACCAATTTCCCCAGGCGACGAGGAATTTATCAAGCGTGGCGTGCTGAGCTTCAGATTCGGTTCCCATAGTTACACGAGTTGGGCTTTACTTTGATTCGGCTTCGTTTGTAACTGTCAGCTCCAGAGTATTGGGAGAGATTGGAGACGAAGCAGCGTTAAAGAGCTATCGTTCCGACGGGGGGTACCGTCATTCTATTCTACTTTGAACATATGGGTATTAATGCCAATCATTCTCGTACTGCACTAGCGGTATTGGCTATTTCTTCCTGGTGGCTTTATTCCCGCGAGCCCCGCAATACGTGTGGTGGAAAACTACGCCGCTTCCAAGTAGACAGATAGTGTTGCTCGATAATGTACTTTCTGGTTGTGGAAACTTTCTATATTACCGAAGTTCTGTCTAATTTCGTCACACCAAGATACAATGCCACACAAAACGATTTCGCTGTCCGACATGTTCTATGACATGCAACTTGGGTATCGGAGTCCGATACATACCTAGGGTAGTCTGGCTACCGGACTGGCGTTATGATGCGACGCGCCTCGTCCATCTCGGCACGTACCTGGCGGCATCCAGGAAGCAACCGGCTGGCAAAAGGCCGAAGTATCTTTGGAAAGATGCGCAGAGACTCGGCGGCGAGGAAGGAGTGCACGCAATATTCCACAGTAATTCGCAACCAGTCTCGGTTCCGACATATTTCTTCACCCAAGAAAACTCTGGATGATAGACGAGCTACTGTCTTTATGAAGCTTGGTTTAAGTTCAATCTCATGCTACTCTCCTCGCTGGTGAGTATGAGTTTCTATAGATAATAAGAGTTCAGAGTATTTACCTCGTTTATCTGTCCAGTTTGCTGGAAAGGCCAATGATGTCTCTGTAAACAGTCGGAGGCATATCCTTCCTTTAACTTACTGGTTAGGGGTCTCTTTTGAAATATTCGTCTTTATTCCTGGGATGACTCCGGACAGACACATACCCAAAGATTGCGTTAGTTTCATCCTGACAGCATCTTGAAAGATTTGATTGTCAATACCAACCACGTTGAATGGTTTAAAACCTTTAAGATATGCATTACATTCCTAGATGATATAGCTGAATTATTGGCATATCATAATCTAATTTACTTTTATAAAAAAAAAATTATAAAAGAGAAACTGGCATACCTTGGCAATAGCTTTCCTAAAACTCAAGTCGTGATGGTCGCGCAGCTCCTTAGTATACCAAGAAGATAATATTATATTATAACTAATATCGCTAATAATACGAAATGCATTTCTTAACTTAACACAATCAAAACCCATCAGTTAAGGTTAATAATAACATTGATATAAGACGCGGTAATTACCGGCCTTGGCGAATCCAGCCCAGATCAAGTTCTGCGCATGAGCAACAAATCTACGTCTTGCATGCTGCGATCTGAATTCCCCCTTTTTAAGGTCATTAACCAGCGGCAGATCAGGTTTAGAAGATGACATGGAAATATACAAGATGGTGCCTAGAACGACTAATCCTAGGAACGAGAACACATCGACGTTGGCATGCCAATAAGGCCTATTAGTTTTGGTCGTATTAATACTACCAGTTCCTACCCTGATATGTCAATGTCACAAATATTAATATCACAAAAAAAAAGGTACTTTCAAAAATTTCATTCTCGTTTATTGTTGCAAGTTATTAATATGACTAGCCCTATAGCTTCCCTCAACGGCCGCTGAACACAAATAGTGTCAAATTGCCGCCTTTTTCGCTCGTCACAGATACTGTATATGCCTTCAACGCTTGCATATTTGGTGAATAACTGCTCCGCCGACAGCCGTTCACAATCATGTCGATTGCGTGGGCATACATGCAGAAGCCAGAAGTATGCTCATCCTTAACCCGTTTTACTCACTCGGAACGTGACGCTTACCTTAAGCACTGCACTATATCCTCGAGTCAGCACCGCGATCGTTGTCGCTTGCAACACCTGACTCTACGACGTCTGCTCATCTCGCGGCCCGCAGTTACCACGCCATGACCTTTGATGGCGACAAAACCCTCTATCTCCACGCGCGATGTCCTTCCCAGGGTGGCCTTTCTGACTTCTGGGCATTCAACATTGAGACTTTAGTATGGATAGAGATCCCGCCTGCTCCTGCTACTGCACGTCGAACCACATCCATTGCGTTTTGTCAAGCGGAGCTCTACCGCATGGGTGGCTTCCATAGAAAGACTGAACTAGGCGGAAATATTAACATTTACGAGCCCTCTGTCAAAGGATGGACCACTACATCGTTCAAAGTTGATGAGATGCACGGCCCAGTTTGATAGATAATTCGGAGACCATAGTATTATGCGGAGCTATAAAGGAGTCCTGTGTTGTTTTGAAGACGAGATTATCCCGACCCAAGTATGAGTCAGATTGTACGCCGCCTCCTGCAAAGGAAAGTACTTGGTATGGCTCGTGATAACATTGCATCCGTTCCTGGCCGCCCCAGGGGAGGACTCGGTATCGCCACGCGTTGTCGTTGCTGCCAGCGATGTTTCCGTTGAAGGATAACTTGAGAAGTGCTATCACTTTATACAATGATCGAAGGACGATAGATATTTCCCCCGGTTAGTAAAACTCGGACGACCACCCCCTAAAACAGAACAAAGCCAGGCTTACTTGCCAATGCTATTCTGCAGGTTATAGGAGTGCTCAGCAAATTCGCACACACCTTCTCTAACAGCCGGTTCGCCATGATCTCCCGGATCGGACGATAGAAAGTGCTCCACGAGTCACCCGATCGTCCCGAAGAGTCGATAACTGGAAAAATATACGAAGAACTTTTGAGCTGGAAGCAAGATGACCAGGGTATATATATACCCAGGCCAAAAACTAGGCTTTCAGTTTACGACTACTCAACGGGTTTGTTGTGTTGGCTATCCCATAAGAGTTTGGTTAGCTACCCAGCTGCCTACTTAACCAGACCTAAAGGATAGTTATAACAGCTTATCTCGGCTTTGTGCGGCAAAAGTTACGGTCTCATTGAGAATCATCACACACCTGACGTCAATCTTCCTCAATTATATCATTCTTGGACAAGCTGCAGGATCTCGTGCAGTGGTTGGCTACTCCTGCCTAACACCATCTTCAAGTAAACCAATAGCTGTTAAAACAGCCGTCGATCATATTCACAAAATGTGAGAACCTGGTGGGCGCTTGCAAAGTCGCCGGCCGTGAATATTCCGCACCCCATCCGCTCCCTTTATGGGTGTCTTGCCGCCCCCCTTACTCTCGTAATGCGTCGTTTTCATTTTCATGACTACCAGACTCTATGGCCATGTCTCATCAAACTGGCAGTTTCTCCAGACTCGTGTGTGTCAAGAGCCCCTGAGCTGCCGTTATAATCCATTCCATATCAGTAATCGGCCATCTCTATTCAACTTGTTGTCTTGGAGTAGGGTATTTAGGGACTTGCACGGGCTCCAGCTATATCTGGCAGTACCAAGGCCGTTAAGGACGATAATACAGGGCAGTCGCGTTCAAGTTTTAATAAAATGGCACTGGGATTCCGCATACAAGGACGACGAAGCGAACATCTAAAAGAGACACACACGAGCAAGAACTAGTCAATTATATAATAAATAACAAGACTAGCTATTAGGTTATACAGTTACTCCTGTCCTGGCTGTTCTGATAGCCCCAACACGATACAGTTCTTCAACCAGGTTAAGAATCATAACATCGCATCCCTTGGCCGCCATAATATCAACTGCAAGTGGTAAACTCTGATTCTTGAACGTTGATTCGGAGAAATTAACATCTCCTAGGTTAAAGCTTCCAAGAGTGAGGGCATAATCCGGCAAATCGGCAACAGATGCAAGACGTCGTGGAGACACTGGGTAGTGCCGCAGTGTAGCAGCCTCTTCAAGTGCCTTTTTTGAATGTTCGCGAGTCTCCTTGGAACCTAGAGTCGTGTTGCAGTTAATAGTTACGTTCTGCTGTAGGATATGTAATTCCTGCTTAGAGATACTACTGATTAACTCTGCAATATATGGATTTGACCAGCCTGGAATTTGTTAGCGCCATCTAATTGTAGTGGTGTCGTAGAACATACTCTCCTGATATATCTGGTTTATAGGACTTGTACGGCATGTTAAAGTAGACATAAATTGCGTTTGAGCATGTATCTTCATCTCGTGTGAGAAATTTCTTCGCAACCCATTCTGCAACTCCCGACTTGTCCTTTAGATCGCCTTTGTAATCGTCCTCTGTCAGTGAGGCATTGGCGAGCAGCCAGCCTACCCGAACATCAGGCACCATGTGAGGGAATTCCCCGTTATGAGTCTCCATGTACTCACTTACAATGGCCTTACCGAAATCGTTCCATTGCTCGTAGCGCGTGAGGTCGCTGTAAATGCGATCCACAGCATTCACAATGGGTGTAGTGTTGAATGCAACAGGCGTAGATTTATTCCACGCTTCGTCAATCGAGAAGGTAGAAACATTGGCGGCTAGGATCTTCGACAAGTGATTCAAGAAATTGTTCGCCGCAGCTGCAATTTTCGGATACTCTTGATCAGCTGCTGAGAGTTTCTTGGCGGAGGATGGATCAAGAAGTATTGACTTTGGAAACTTTGCAAACTCTTTAACAGAGCCCGCGTACAAGACCCTATTAATCTTGGACCAGAGCAAGGGATCTCGCGCAAGCATACCGACGGTGTCCATAGCAGGGCTCAAAGGAATGGCACCATAAAGGTCAACTGCACTATGAGTCGGTCGATTCCCATGCACACCATTCTGCTGCGCCGGTCCTCGAACAGAGCCACCTGTGTCACTGCCCACGCTCGCATCAAGCCAGTCATACGAGGCAACTGAGGCCCCAGAACCGCCAGAACTGTCGCTTGGAAGGTTGTATCCATCACCTCGAGGGTTGAATGGCAGTAAATAGTCAATGTGGCTGGTAAAGTATGACCCTCCAAATGCAAAGTCAGACAACTTTGTCTTGCCAACAACCACAGCACCGGCATCAATAAGCTTTTGGACAGCAATTGCAGTTTAGTTTTTGATGTTACTCCTTGCGTAGAATGCTCGATTTCCTCCGCTTGTTTTGAGACCCTTGAGATCAAAGAGATCTTTTACTGATATTCGCACACCGGCAAGTGGTTTGTCCTTTGTAGGAGCATAGTATAAGCGGGACGGGACTGCCACGGTGAGGCTTGCGTCTGAGGAGATTGCCGCGCGCAAGGGGTGATGCGTATCTTGTGGATCTTGATACGAGGACTACTGAGTTTTGTCAAAAGGGTTGAATAGCATTTGCTGGAGCGACAAACCTGAATAAATGCTTGGTTTGTGTCGGCAAAGAGTCGGTAAGCCTGGTATGCATTTCCTGTGCTCGTATGCAGGAAATAAGGCCCCGAGGGAACAATTCTGTCTGTGTTACCAAAAACGAGTTTAGATATAGTATACTGAGCGGACTTTTCCTTTTACAACAGAGTGCTTGCAGATCCGGTTGAAGACTTAATATAAAGAACTTGTACCGAAGTCAGTTGGAAGATTTGAAGCCAGAGGCAGTAGCTGGCTTACTCTGAGTAAATGACGATGTCCACACATCATCAGTTGCATTAAACTTGTCTAGCATAGCTCTAATATTGGCATCATTTTTAGTTCCATTCAGGTTCATAACCGTAATCGGCACAAACTCGTCCACGGTCGCATTTTGCAAGAAGTTGGAGTCCCACGACGGTACTTTCCAAGAGGAAGATGGAGGCATAAAGTACTCATGTTGACCTAATTGAATCTGCCTGGACACCACCTTCGCAGACACGATTGAGACAAAGAGAGCGGCTAATTGGGCCAGAAAGAGTATAAGCATTGCGAAACTGATAAAGGGTTATAGTTCTCGGCAAAATAGAGAAAAAATACGGGAGACATGGCCCTTTTATATCACCTAACGAACCAACAGTCGTCGTCGGTTGGTCTATATTAAGGTGTAAAATTAGGTACCCATGGGCGTCCATGGGTATCAATTGATCCGTTATAATTTTTAGGTATTCACGGGGGAACTATTTCAGGTAGTGGGTAAAGAAGGCAACCCGTGGATACCTAATTTTATAGATGGGTAAGAACAGGTACCTATTAAGAAACTAAAAGCCTACTATAGCCAATGATAGTAGGTAAAAAATAGCGCATAATTGAGGTCGTACAAGGGTCGAGTTATGCTTACTCTTTAGACTCGGTACCTGCCCGTCTGGGGTTCCAAGCAAGTCGGCTCCTTGTCGTTGTGCTGGCCTGTGAAGAGATTATATGCGCGAAATAAGAACCGTTACCATGTTCAATTTTACTGTAAACGAGAGAGTGAGGCTGCACCTGCGCCAGATAGGCTTCTAGAATACTATTCTGCCGATGTGACGAATCCGACTCCCGGCCGATAATGGAGACGTCCAGGTATTGCCGAGACACCGGGAATTGCAAAAGACGCCTTCCCACTTCTCAGAGGAGAAGAATAACAAGAATTCTGGTTCATATTTAATATGTGAAAGATACGGCGTAAAATTTTAACCTTTTTATTTATTTTTTTACTGGCGCTTAGAAGTGAAAAAGGATAGTTCAGGCAATAAATACACAAAAAGTCGTCGCCAGGTGAGTACTACATTAATCAGGAGAGGATACATTTATGCGGTCTAATACATGCAAGTAGAAGATTTCTTGCGAGTTTAGATAGTGGGCCCTAGTAATTCCGAAGTTTTCCAATTTACTACATGTATTTATCTTTTTAGTTGCGGAATAGCTTACGGAGACTTGCTTACTTAGGAAAATTGTATAGCAAAGAAGTCGTTATAAGCTATTTCGCAGCTAAAAAATAGAAAATCTTTCGGAATTATCGGCATAAACAATATAAACCCATGATTTGACCCGCTTATTCAGCGGGGTTAGCTGTACGAAGTCAATCGCGGATAATCGTACGATACTTTGTTTTACAAGGTGGTATTGGTAAAGCTGATTAGGCCCTATTTCTTGGCAGTGGCTTGGGGGCGTCGATCTTGAATGTACCTTTGAGCCTTTTTGATCGCTGGCCAGATATGGGGTAGAATTGCAAACTACGATACGCGTTACCGATATATGGAGTACGGAGTATCAGGACCAGGGCTGTTCAAAACTGCTGCTAGGAGTCTATTATTTCTCTAATATTTCTCTAAAACCAAGTCTGATTACACAAATACGCCCATCGCTTGAAACCACTACGTGACCATGGAAGTATCACGGCCAGAATCACACAATGAGGAAAGTTTCTCCTATCTACATCTGGTTGATCCAGAACTCTCAAGGTACCTAGTCTCACAAATATCTGGCAAGACCCAGTCTCATATTACTCAGAATTCACGATTAATCTATATGGTGGCAGAAGTCCGACGTTTACATTTAGCCAAAATAAAAAGATTAGGGTGGATGCATTCTCATCTGATAATTTTACGCTACTCGAGACATTCGAACTCAACGATGAGATTGTTAAATCGACAAATACAGACATCAATGATACACCTTTTCTTCAGTTTACATTGCCATCACTTGATGAGACGCCATCATCAGCAACACCAGAGATGAGCCTGCCACTGTGGTCTTCAAATGCGTTGGGTTCTGAGTTTGGACACACCCAAAACGTAGACCCCAAGTGCCAACAAACACCCTCTTCAGACCACTACCAGATGCAACTACTAGCGTCTCAGCAAGACGGTTCTACATCAAGGGTGAGAGACCGCACTAGTAACACGTCCAGCGCTCTAGCACATGAATCAAGCAGTGACACACAACGGTTTCGTGACAGAACCCCGGCCAAGTACAGGGAGAGAAACCGATTAGCGGCAGCCAGGTCGCGCCAAAAGCAAGCGGACCTCATTCAATTACTAGAGGAAGAGAAACGAGACGAAGATAGAAGGCGAAGGGTCATTGAGGCGGATCTTTCGAGCCTCAAGACAGAAGTGACTAAGCTTCGAGAGGAGATACGGCTTCATATTCGTTTGTCAAAATATCTAGCCGTCACCTCATTTAGTCAGGAGCTATAGTTAATAGGTTAGTCCTTTATTGTCGACTAAACAAGACATGGTCTGACCGGAAGCTTTCGCCAATTGCCCCAATATCCAAGGGAAGTTTAAATTCTTTACACGCAACTACTACAGAAGCAATAACTATCCCGACCTTTTTATGTCGTCCCTCCAATATATAGCATGACAGATTCCATCGCCGTTTTCTCGAACTGTACTCCGCAGGTGTCCACTGGTAGAAAGAATAGCTTGGTGGGATTTTCAACATCTGGGCATGTTGAAACATGCTATAATGCCGCGAGTTGCGACGTGGCCAAGGTTTGCGGTCCAACTTATGGTTCACCTTGACAGAGCTGGCCACAGCGTGACTCACCGCAACTTGAAGGCAATGGAGCCGACGATACAAGATGTAGCCATCGAAATCCTGGCATCACATATACTGATAGAGTCTTGGTGGCCAATGACGGCGAGAAAAGAGGTTGCATCGAAACTCTGCCCGCCCATGCATGCATACACTGCATATGTAGCCACCAAGGTGCGAGCATTATTATACGAGCAACAAGATGGAGCGTGACACGCGTAAGGTCCACAAGAAAAGCCCGAGCTTCTCTATCCGGTCGACCTGCATCTTGGTAAGGGTTTCAGTAATAACATTTTGGCATCTTGCTACCGACCAAGTGGCAGGGCAGCATGGCACTCATGCATGTTTATTTACTTGGCAGGGATAGACTGGTAACAAGCCCGGACACAAGCGGAGTTCTGTACGCTAGAAAGCCAATGAGATGGTGGTTCTTTTGAGGCCATCTCCCTGCATGACAATATTGACATGTATCGGCACCGGCGGCCCGCGGGCGTCAGGGTCTGCCGGATAAAAGTGGCTGTCGGGGCTAAGAACCAGGATTCCCTAGGCAATCGGTCCCATGGTGTTTTGCTGAAGTAACAATGTGTCAGCCATCACGACTAGAATATGGGGCAAGTCGTTGGTGTTGACAATACCATGGTGCGGCAATTTATCATTGGACTCCTAGTCTCGAGACTTTTGGATGTGGATGATTGTTCTCGCTTCACCAACGCAACGGAAAAGACGTTTTGTTTCCTCTCGGAACTTTCCGCTTAATGGACTTGGCGCTGTTGGTATAGTCATGCCCGGATCTTATGATCCCCCAATCGTCTGCCACAATGCTATCTGCCCCCAAGGGGAGTGGCTCTGATCGACTCGGCTCCATGCCATGTGCATGCGCTTAGTGCGAGTTTAATAGCCGTCGTGTCAGGTTAGATGGTTTGCCGAGCCAATCCCCTCGGCAGTTGAGCCCTTGTGCCGTCACGACAATCGCAAATATGGACTAAGACATCCGTCGTCTAGGGGTACGCATAATGTATTATAGCAAGCTTATCCAGTTAATTGAAGAAGCAGAAAAAGGACTGGATGATGCAAGATATGCAGTAACACCTCGTTTTGCCCGTACTTTTGTCAGGGAACCGTTACTAACCACGCAATAAACCACCAAATCATTGCTAGCCGAATTGGTGATTCATCCGCGAATAGCAGTCTCATCTTCAAATCCATCCATCTCCAAGAAACTTCCAGAATCATAGCTAGACTCGATAAAGACATCTCAAACAATGGGACGCTTAATTTTAACTCGAACTCCTTTACTAGTAAGCTTTGGCCGCGGAAGCATGACATCATGCTCCAGCTTAATGTCATCTTCAGTCGTTTCGAATAATTGCATTTCGAACTTTCGGAACATGGTGGACACGGTGAAGTACAGATTAGCCAAAGCCAAACTTCGGGCTGTTATTAGCATCTCTGTTCAACTACTCTCATCCACAACCGAGAGAGATGCTTACTGCCTTCCAATACACTGTCGAGACCCTTTGCTAAAGGCGACGAGGTACTTGCTCAATCTCCGCCGTTCTTCTGGGTCAGTCCATCTCTCTGGCATGAACTTGTGCGAGTCGGGGAAGCTTGTTTCGTTATGATGCATAATCACAGATGCCATGCCAATGGCCACCTATACGTCCCAATGGTTAGATATTTTGCTAGCTGCAGTTCATCGTGACTTGTCAACTTGCATTGGGTGGTATGATTGTGTCTCCAAACTGCAGCGCCTCGTCGGGCGAAACGCGCGGAGACCGGGTGGAGAGACCGTAACTGAGCCTGGCAGGGGTGTGAGTGTATTATTTTCATCTAGTAATAGGTGTCAAGGGCTCTGCCGAACCTTAGCCCCTCGTATATCACCCCGGTCTGAAACGCATAGCTGAGATTAGTAGCTGTAGCAACAATCTTTGGCACCTCCTCACCTACCAGGTATGGCAGCTGCTCCAACTCGGTCCAAGTCATTGCGTTTCCGTCCCCAAAGGCTTGATATAGTTCGTCACGCAGTTTTTGCTTTATTTTGATATTGTTTAGGACATGAAATGTAATGGCCGTCAGAGTGTTTGACGTGGTCTCGGTTCCCGCTGTTATGATGGATATAAACTCGTGCAACACCCTCTCCTCGGCATCGGGGGAACTCTCTAGCTTGAGGAGATCATGGAACAAGGTGGGCTCCTGGCAAAATTTGACCTCGGCCATCTCCTTGGAATCCGATGTATTGTGAAACATGTGCGCAACTTCCTTTATACAGTCAGCGCGAAAGTTCATGACAGTAATGAGCTTTGGGTAGATTTGCTTGACAAGACGCCTCGGTAAGCATGCCAAAATTCCGAAGACCCCTGGAAGATTCCGAGACATCATTGCGCACTCGGACAGGTCTTTCGTGGTGTCTGCCCAGATGGGCTGGAAGTCGGGAGAGTCGAGGTAGTTGAAGCATTTGTAGTTTGTATATTCCGAGACAATGTCAACAAGTAGGCAGCTAAACACTGGATCCAGTTTCAGTGGCTGTTGGCTGTGGACAAACTCTTCCAGTCGTCGAACCAGCTTGTCTACCTTGGCAAGGATCGTAGACCCAATGCGCTGAACACGAGCTTTGGAGAAGTATGGTGCCATCAATGACCTTCTCGATCTGTGCACGTCGTGGCTCAGAGTGCCGAAAGACGATTTAGGGACAGCAAAATTCGAGGTAAACCAAGGGTCCTTGTTTCGTTTCCCGCGCAGTGCGTACACGGTTTCATAGAAGTCGGGATTGTTAATGTGTACCTCCCGGGGGCCTACTCGGATAATAGGGCCTTGTTCACAGTGAGACGTTGGTTAGGGCGTAATGCATTGGCAGAAGGCCTTCTTACCGTACTGGCTGTGCATCTCCGCTATCTTGTGCGTATATTTACCCCGTAGCACCACATCGTAGTACAGTTCATAAAGACGAGTAAACGCTGCCAGTTTTGGTCCGGGAATATGGCTTAGTCTAGAAAAATGCAGCTCGTAAACTGCCTTGCAAAGAGTTGTAGCGAAAAACAATAGTGCAAGTTGCCAAAACATGTTTCCTGGTCAAGTGAAACAAACGTGTGCTCTTGGCAGCAAATTGAACAAGATTCAAAATCCAAGTTCCAAGGGTTACGGTATTATTCGTTGACTAAAGCAACACAAGACGGGCGTAGAGTGCAAGCTTCATGTAGTTGGATTATATCATGTGGTCTCAAGGCATGCATAGTCCATCTCGATGACGTGTTTGTGTTGTCCATGACGTGTAAAACATTTTGAAGGAGAGAGGGGCGTTCATCCACTTTTGTTGCATTAAAGATATGTTTGTGAAGCTATTAGTAATGATATTTGCTTTTTCTTAGGCTCAAACTATACAGGCTGAGCGTTGGCCAGGGATTGTTACACGGAAGAGGCCCAAAAAAGATCGTGAGATCAAGAAAGGGGCCTCACGGATCAGGGATTTGATATTTACACAACAGGAACACGTGCTCGGGCAGGAGCCCTAGGTACAGACTTTTTCTTCTTGTATATATAGTGGTCACTGATCCCTTTCTTCCTGTTAGAAAACCAAGGACCTTTGATACCAAAGACTGTTATCAGGTGAATTGAGCCCTTGTCACAGGGATGGAAAGGGTCTGGTCAGACTGACAGGGCATTCATGGAGATCTTTCATTAACATCACCACTATCATCAACATTGTAAAACTCATCATATTGAGCTTACCTTCCGCTGTGCACTTTGCTCATCGATATAGCTGCAAATCCAACATTTCCGCGTAAGCATGTAATTAGTAATCTGCATCCTTTATTCTCCTAAGCCTTAATTTAGAACATTGCAGTTTTCCTTGCTCACTTTTCCCTGTTGTGGTAGGCTGCAAGACATAGAATATTATTTGACGCTTGCTCTATCCACTGCTTTAGTCAATTTGTATGGAAGTAGATTAACTATGAGTAAGTAACCAAGTGAAACACCACTCTACAAGACAGGTAGCTTAATGGAGAGCTTTCACTTGGAAACTTCTTCTGTCCTTGAAGACAATAGTTTCGACCGTGTTCGTGCTCTCGTGTCATCAACCCACTAGCTCCATTGTCATTGCAATCTAAATTATTAATGCATACCCGGACAGCTTCGTGTCATATTTAGCATTTTGTCGATAGCCATGGCCAAATGCCGGTTTGTCGATTTTTCTCGCGTGAAGGCATGTACGAACTCTTCTCGAAGCGAGGTGTCGAATATAGTTGTAAGGCTCTTACTCCAAGCCATGTATGGGTCTGCTAGGCCATACACATGAACCGTGGGTATTTTCAGAGGCTCAAATCCAGGAAAGAATCTTGAAATGTCCCCTGGAGGACCAAATTGACTTGGAGGATCTGCAACAGACGCTTGCTCTTTCAAGTCCGTCAACGTGGGCACCAAGGATTCTTGCATCACAGAAGCATCCGAGACTGTTATAATTTCTGCTGGTAGGACGCCGCTTATGAAAATGAGTATTTTCAAGGAAAATAACGTCTCTCGCTCTATAGCCTTTTTGAGGAGAAAACTGGCGACCAGGCCGCAGGCTTGAGAGAACATCATGATTCCGTCAAACGGCCCATAGGCGGCAAACACGTTGAGAAGCCATGCATGCGATTTTTGCACAATCTCGGCGCCGTTGCTCTCCCAATAGCAATAAAATGGTCCGTTATAGAAAAGATCTAGGCCATGGGCTGCGGAACAAGGAAACGGGCCGTCTACAAAAACGAAGTGGACGTCCTGACTAGAGAGCGAGGCTCTTAAATTTTCTGCTTTGACGTTTCAGCCATGTCGTCAATTATTGATGTCGATGAATATTGAAATCAACTATACCTGACTGAGACCTGAAAATATTTGCATTTGATCCCCCGCCATGTAAGCACAGTATTTTCATGTTGCGCTGCTGCTCTGCGCGTAGCTTCTTGGTAGGGAAATATTCAATTACTGAGGGACAGCGCTCCCTTTACATACAAAGGCGGGGTTGATGATTAAAAAAGAGCAAAGATGGCTCCAAGTATGGCAGAAGACGCGCCTGTTCTCGAATCTCCCTATTTGTTTGTATGTCGGATGGGTTGCTATGACGTGTAACCATGCGGTGTATGGTAGCTATGACGTGTATGACGTGGAACAGAATCAACGCGGCGTTTGCTAATATTAGCAGAAGATTACTTGTTCATCATGGTCATGTTAATATCGGTGGTGCTGGAATGTATTTTGGTGAAAGATGGCATTATTTTATTATTCCCACGCGTTTCCATAGCGCCATCCCACTTTACAACACAAGAACATCAAGATGCATCACAAAGAACCGTGTCTGTTCCCTTCTTTGGCAGAAGAAGAAGGCCCGATAGACAAGACCGATTTTATCCGCGTAATCGAGGTAGAAACTAGTAATGTAACCCTCTCACCCGGGGTCACGGAAAGGAAGAATCTGGTGCAGCATCTCCAACTCGCGTGGGCTGTTTTACTGCAAGCATTTGTCGGAAGCGAGACTGTCACATTTGGCGTGACGGAGACGGATACTTGCAGCACTGATAGACCCGACGCCTTGGAGAATATCAATAAAAATCTTCGAATAATCAGTACTACTGCTGATAGTAGCACGTATCTGCACGAGATCGAATTCACATCAGTCCAAGAGACATCCGTCAAAGAAAAGTTAACAAATACTGGCTTGTGGGTTGTTCAAAATGAACAAAGGCAAGCTCCGTCGTTGGAATGGGTTTTTCATGGCAGTCCCCCGTTGGTAAGTACAGTCAACTGTTTGAGCATCTGGACTTGGTGGGCTAAGAATAGTCACAGGATATTGACCTTGTTTTAATTGTCGAACTGTTCCCGGATGCATATGTAATATCCCTGGCCTACCGATGTTCATTGTTGACACCTCCTCAAGCTGCAAACGTCTCAAGCACCTTTCAAAAAATATTCAATACTGTCCAATCTGATCCATCTCAAACCATTCGAGATATTGAAATGATAAGCAGCCGCAACTGGGATTCGTTCAACATGTTCAACTATGGGTTCCACCGTCAGAAGCTAAATGCCTTCATAGCCTAGTGGAGGCTCAAGCCCAGGAAAATGGCGACCGGATTTGTATCGAGTCCTGGGATGGGAGTCTGACTTACAGTGAGTTGAACCAGTATTCAGACTTACTTTGCTGGCGTCTGCGGTCAGAAGGCGTACAGTCTGGCGATTTCATTCCATTTTGCATGGAAAAGTCCATGTGTGCAATTGTTGGGATTCTGGGAATCTTGAAGGCTGGGGCGGCATGCTCTCCTTTGGACCCTTCGTACCCATCACACATGTTGGATGTTGCCGTCAAATCGTGTGCCTCCAACGTTGTGGTAGTATCAACGACTCAGGCCTCTCGATTTTCCTCTTCCAAAGCCATCATCGTTAGTATTGGCACCTTGGATGTTATTCAAAACCCTACAGAGGCTCAGAATATACATGTCCGATCTTCTGATGTTGCGTTTTTGATGTGGACGTCTGGAAGCACAGGAAATCCGAAAGGTGTTCTGCTCAACCACAGTGCCTTATCCCTCAGCACCAAGGCTTACGCAGCGGCAAATGGCTTCACCAGCACCACACGTACATTTCAATTCACTTCTTTTACCTTTACCGCGAGTTTATGTGATATCTTTGGGACATTCGCGAATGGGGCATGCCTTTGTTTGCCTTCAGAATCTCAAAGGCTGGACGAATTGGAGGCCTCCATCAAACTCTTTCGTGCTAATTTCGCCTGGCTCACGACAACCTCTCTTTCAGGAATATCTCCTGAAAATGTCCCGGACCTGAGCGCAGTTACAGTTGGTGGTGAGACTCTATCTACAGATAAGCTGGTTCAGTGGTCGCAATCGCGCAGATTGAACATCTCCTACGGCACCACAGAGACAACTGGCTGGTGCTTATTGAACCCCGGATTGAACTCCAGGAGCAATGTGCGCGTTCTGGGAAAGCCTATTCTCCCCTGTGCCTTCATCTGCGACAAGGACAACCATGACCGTCCAGTCCCTGTCGGCGTTGTTGGCGAGCTGGTGATAGGCGGGCCATTCCTTTCTCTTGGCTATTTTAAGGATGAAGAACACACGAAGGCGGCTTTCATTCCGTCGCCTACATGGCAAGAGAGTTTAAATTCGTCTTATACTGGAACTTGGTACAAAACGAATGATCTTGTACGCTACAACTCGGACGGAGCCATTTGTTTCGTTGGCAGAAAACAGGCACACGAAAAGATCCGTGGGCAACGCGTCGACCTCGAGTATATCGAACATCATACAAAGAAGGCGTTTCGCACATGTGACGACGTCATTGTCGAGGTTGTTCGGCCAAATAATGCACATCAGTCACCCATCCTCGTGGCCTTTGTCGTCTTGCCACATACGCCACGGTTGAATAATGGATTATCACAGAATATGATTGCCTCTGCAGATGATGCCTTTCGGGAACGGGTAGCCGACACTTTGCAAAAGCTCTCTGCTTCTATTCCAAGCTACATGGTGCCACGCGCGTTCCTTTGCCTCCATTTTGTGCCACTTACAAGAACAAACAAGACCAATCGGCGCCAGCTTCGAGAGCAGGCGGCTTCGATGCCGCGACATGAGCTGTTGGGAATTGACGCTCAATGTTCCAATTCAAACCCATCAGCACCAGAGGACATCTTAATCATGCAGCAGCTATGGTCCAACGTCTTGGGCCTACCCACAACTGTCATCGGATTAGACGACAATTTCTTCCATCTGAGTGGAGATTCGGCCAAGGCAATACAATTGGTCTCGCTGGCCCGACGTGAAGGCATCGTCGTACAAGTCCAGAACATCTTCCAATTTCCAAACTTGTCGGCTTTGGTCCAATATAGCGGTGGGAAGACAAATCGGATTGCCCAACCCGAATCTGACGGAGCAGACCTATCCGGAATAAGCCTCCTGGATGAATGCAAACTTGAAGCTGCTAGGCAATGCCATGTGTCACCAGGCGATGTTGAGGACGTGTATCCCTGCACCGCTCTGCAGCAGGGTCTGATGAGTCTGAGCCTCCGGCGGCCAGGCTCGTATGTGAGCGAGATGGTATACGATATATCGCCTGAAATCGACCTAGAGAGATTCAAGGATGCGTGGTCAAGGGTCACAGAGTCTATTCCCGTCCTGCGAACCCGGTTTGCATATCTTGGGGACCACGGAACATGTCAAATTGTATTGAAAGAGTCTATATCGTGGATCAGTTTTACCGGCCAGCCTGGAGAAATTTCTGGACGCCTTAGAAAGGAAATGTCTCTGGGTTCACGGCTGGTTCACTTTGTGGTTCTCTTGGGGGACCAACCAACACAACGACGATTACTTGTAATGATTCACCACTCATTGTTTGACCGCTGGTCTGCCGCATGCTTGCTTCGAGTGTTTGATGCATCGTGGCAGCTTAGGTCGCTCAGCAAGCAGGACTTCAAGCCATTTGTCAAGCACTGTCTCTCTCAGTCTGATGGAAAGGCCGATGTCTATTGGAGGAACTACATTGGCGACCAAGATTATCCTGTATTTCCCAGACTGCCAAGTGATAATTACTTCCCATATGCAAACTTGACAATACGCAAGCGCATTTTGTTGCCGGGAGAACTGGCGAGTCGACACACACTGGCAACCAAGATTCGCCTCGCCTTGGCTCTTGTGATTTACCGCTTGACGGGGAGTTCTAACGTTTTGTTTGGAACTGTGTCAAATGGCCGCAGTGCCCCCGTCGAGGACATCGACTGGTTAATTGGAGCAACCCTTGCAACGACACCCTTTCGGGTAACTATAGACCCCAACTCAAGTGTCGATGATGCCCTGGAGATGGTGCAAAATCAGGCCGTGGAAATGCTATCACATGAGCAGAGGGGTCTGCAAAACATCTCTCGATTATCACAGAGTTGTAACAAGGCGTGCGAGTTCCAGACCTTACTCGTTGTGCATTCCCCAAACATGGATCCCAGACTCAAGCCGTTCACCACCGAACAAGGACAACCGGATTTCTATTCCTATGGACTCAATCTCTCGTGCGAAATCATCAATAACAAACAGGTTGTGGTCGAATCGTACTTTGATAACAATATGATTGGGCAACAACAGGTGACCCTCATTTTGAGTCAGCTGGATCATACCTTGCAGGAGTTGCATCAAAAGGGATCGACTAAGCTAAATGAGTTGAATCGACTGAGTAAGCACGACTGCGAACTTCTGCAGCAGTGGACAAAAGATCCTGGAACTAACGCCAGCTGCATTCAAGGCGTAATCGAACAGAATTGTATCAAGAGTCCCGACAAGGAGGCAGTCCGCTCTTGGGACGGGGTAATGACATACTCGGAGCTGGACGCATATGCCAATCAGTTTGTTGGTCACTTGCTCAGGCATGGCATGGCACCTGGACAGTTCGTGCCCTTGCTCTTTGAGAAGTCAAAGTGGACGGTGGTTGCTATTCTTGCCGTCATAAAGTCCGGGGGTGCATTTGTCTTGATGGACCCGACTTATCCGCTCCAGAGACTACAAGACATATGCAAGCAAGTCAACGCGCAATTGGTTCTAGCCTCCTTCAAATATGTCGACAAAGCCAAAGAGCTTGCTCAGGTGGTCATCACAGTGGATGGCAATGTTGACGACATTTCCCAACACACGGTGAAAAGGGATCTCGCAGAAACCAAGGCAACGGATATTTTATATGCAGTCTTTACTTCAGGATCAACTGGGCAGCCCAAGGGAGTTTTGATTCATCATTCAGCTTACTACGCAAGCGCCATGGCACAAATAAAAGCGTGGTCAATGACTTCTGAGTCGAGGGTTCTGCAATTCTCGTCGTACGCTTTTGATGCTAGCATTGCTGAAATCCTGAGTACTCTCATAGCTGGTGCATGCATATGCATCATGTCTGATGATGAAAGGACCAATGATCTTGCCGAAGCCGTGGCTAGATTACAGGCAAATTTCGCAATACTGACCCCTTCTGTGGCTCGGTCCTTGCATCCTGCAGACTACCCCTCACTACAGAGAGTATTGCTTGTTGGAGAAAAGGTGAGCAAGTTTGAAATCGAGAAATGGGCGCCTCATGTCAAGTTGATGCAAGGCTATGGCCCAGCCGAGTGTGCTGTGAGCGCAACCGCCCAGCCTTTGCTAGGCATTGGCTCCGACCCCAGAGATATCGGCTTTCCGGCAGGCTCATACTGTTGGGTGGTTGACGTAGACGACCCCAACCGGCTATCGCCAGTCGGAGCCGTGGGAGAACTGCTCATCGGCGGTCCCATCGTCGGCATGGGATATAAGGCAGATGTCGCAAAAACGGAAAGTGCCTTTATTCAGGCACCGCCGTGGCTTACAGAGTTTGCGTTGCCACAGGAAGGGGATCAGGTGACGAGCATCCAGCGACTCTATAAGACAGGTGATTTGGTTCAGTACCACCCAAAACTTGACGGCTCATTGCTATTCATCTCCCGCAAGGACACGCAAGCAAAGTTAAGGGGCCAGCGACTAGAGTTGGGCGAGGTTGAGTATCACCTTAGAGATGCAGCGGCATCTAATGGATTACAAGACTATCAAGTTGTAGTTGACATAGTCAAAACCGGCAGAAACCACACCGAGATGTTGATCGTCGCCTTTGCTTTCGGGGAACCTAAGGCGGCCGCGTCTTCATACTCTCAACATCCATCACTCCCGGAATGCAAGCTTTTACCTCTCTCCGAAAGCCTCACAAGTCAATTCCTGCACCTGAAGGAAGTATTGGGAAAACAAGTTCCATCTTTCATGGTTCCAAGTCAATGGTTTCTTCTTGAAAATATTCCCATCACTGCCTCGGGCAAGATTGATCGGAACCAAATCCGGGAATTCCTCATAGCACAGCCTGCGGAGATGTTGAAAAGTTACATGCTGGACCAGGCTGCTCATCAGCAAGAATTTGGATGCAACCAAACACTTCAGAACTGCCAGTCTGAGCGTTTGACCAAGGACGAGCAAACACTGCGAGCCCTGGTACTAGATGCAATTTACCAGGGAAATAATGCATCAGAATCTCTACAGGCCCCAATACAAATGGAACAAGGGTTCATCACCAACGGGGGCGACTCAGTTGGCACGATTGCGCTTGTTACAGCGTCTAAGAAACACGGCTTCACTTTCACGGCCATTGACGTTTTCTCATGCACTCTAAACGAACTCGCCGGTTTTAAATAGTAGCCGTAATCAAGTCAAGAGTACAAAATACGTTGGCATTGAATCATATTCCAGTACAATGACGACATTTCTTGCCAGTCCCATTTACATGTCAGGCGGTTATGACAGCCGGGCATCACAACATGACAACATGACGGCACGGACCGGCCCTTGAATCCGATGATGGTTACACAAAGGCTCAAGGGTCTAGTTGGAAGCCTTGCGCGTTCGTAAGCTCAGGCCTCGAGGGCTCGCCGATGCTGTGCATAAATTAGGGGAACTTAGCCGGGGTGTTGCGAAAACCCGAGGACCTTTAAGACGAAAGAGAGATATTAGCCGAATTCGAACCTTCGATCCAAGCCCTTACTACTGTGCAGGCGATATTGAAGCTTTTTATCCCCATGTGTTTGAAAGTTTTGCCTGAATAAGTATTCTCTTAATACAGGGCAACCATCATACATTGACTATTTTCAGAGCTCCTGTCTGCAAAATCTTTTTATTCAATACAAGTTTAGGAACCACAACTGGGGCCATCGCTTCAGAGTATGACCATTGACATTGCTCAAGATGCTGTCCACGCCCAGGTTTAACATGACCCTCATATCGTAGACCGTCTGCCGAAAAGCTCTCCGTTAGCCGATACACGTCTCCCTCTGGATTCCGCGACTTTGTTTGATCCGACCACTTTCTTCAAACTCAAACATGTGGATATCGTCCATTGGACCCTTTCCGAACCTTCCTTGTACCTCTGAATATACCCACACGGTTGAACGCTCTGATATGCATGCTTTTATGGTCACCCGGAACTGAGGGCTTTTCTCTAATAGTGCCGGCCAAAACGCGAGGAACTCTCCTTTATTCATTGGTGGCATGTCATTATGGTAAAACAGAACATCGGGATGCAAGTCATCTGTGATGGCTACCACGTCGCGTTGGTTGCCTATGCTATCCAGGAACCTCGTCGCTATCTGTTTCAGATTCGCTCTATCCATAGTCTATACTAGCTTGGTGGGCACAGGATAATGGCAGAGGTGGTATTAGGCTGCGATAGGAAACCCTTGGCGAAAGTAAATGGCGATGTTGAGAGATGGAAGGCAATGAGAGGGTGGTAGTATTCTGTGAGCTGTGGAATTGTGACAAGGGCTCGATAGAGAGGGCTTCGAGTCAATAGCTCAATTCATCTAATGACAGTCTTTGCTATCAAAGGCCCTTGGCTTTCCTCAACCCCTCGTTGACCAAAGACCTCTATAAATACAAGAAGTCGGTGAGGGACTTTGCCATAGGTCTCGTGACCGTAGCCCTTGGGTTACAGGCCTTTTCCATGTGACAGGAATCAACTGCAATTTTCATTTCGTATTGAAACAAGGCACTGCCCTCATGTATAACTCAGTGGCTGAAATCTACTTGTTTTGCATTGCCATGGCTGCGAACCAAGGTCCGTCAGAGTTGAAGCGTTGAATTGACGTGTAGTTGCTTGCAATGACGTGTAGCAAGGTATACAGCGCAATAACACGTCATTGTGCCATCGAATTTATGGAGCATTTGAATTCGGCTCGGTATTCACACCGAGCTGCCCTATATGTAAGGACTAAGAGACGATACGTCAAGGGGAACTGGCGGCCAAATTAAAATTCTTTTCCTGCAAAACAACAGCAAGCTTCCTTACTTGCATCGCTCGCGTCACGGCCCAACAACGATTACTTGACATTTGCATTCTACTGGGATTCATCTCGAAACTCCTAGCCATGGGTTCGGCTAGCCGGAATGAAGACATGTACGAGCCAATTGCCATTATAGGTTTGGCATGTAGGTATGGAGGTGATGTGAAGAATAGCTCGGAACTTCTGCGACATGTTATGAAAGCCAGGTCGGTGTATGGAGCGGTACCTGAAGGTCGACTAGACGCAAGGCATTTATACCATCCAGCGACGGGACATATTGGATCCATCTATTCAAATGGTGGCTACTTTCTGAAGGACGATATTAATAATTTTGACTCGGCCTTCTTCCAGCTTCCCGAAAATGATGTGGTGGCTATGGATCCCCAACAAAAGATGCTCCTCGAGGGTGTGTACCATGCCTTGGAAAACGGTGAGACAAGCCTTTTGAACCGAAACATTGTCATAGTTGTAACATTTTACCCCTTTAGCCGGAATGTCTATGAAGGAGATTGCTTCCACAACAACCTCTGTATATGTCGGCTGTTCCAACAATGACTCCCTGGCCATTGCCAACTCGGATCTCTTATCGACCTTGCAATGTACATCCACCGGAACGAGCCCGTCTATTCTATCAAACCGTATTAGCTGGTTCTATGACCTCCGTGGAACCAGTCAAACCATCGATACTGCCTGCTCAAGCAGCCTGGTTGCCTTTCATCAAGCATGCCAGAGCATACAGCATGGACACTCCATGGTGAGCATCAACTACGGCTCCAAGGCCATATCCATTCCACATTGGCTAATTCTGCCGTGACATGCAGGCCATCGCGTGCGGTGTCAACATTATGGAACATCCAGGGGCGACACAAAACTTATGCAGTCTAGGGGTACTATCGCCTGACGGACAATGCTTCACATTTGACGAGCGTGCCAATGGATACGGACGGGGAGAGGGCGTCGGCACCGTCATCCTCAAGCCGCTACGAGCTGCTCTAAGGGATGGCAACCACGTTCGGGCTGTCGTTCGCAGTACTGGCTCAAACCAGGACGGAAGGACGGCGGGCATCACGCTTCCCAATGCCGTTGCCCAAGAGCAGTTGATCCGTTCAGTTTACGCCGCTGCAAATCTCAACATGGCCGACACGGGATACGTCGAAGCACACGGAACAGGTACATTTGTCGGAGACCCTCTTGAGCTTACTGCCATCTCTTCGGCATTTGCGCCCAACAGGGAAAGCGATCTGTTTGTCAGTTCGGTCAAGTCGGTGATAGGACACTTGGAAGGCGGCGCAGGCATAGCCGGGCTGATATCAGCAACCCTCGCCGTAGAATCCGGTTCGATACCACCCGTCACAAATCTACAGAAACTGAACCCCAATATACCGAATCAAAAGAGGATACGGTTTACCAAGGAAGCGATACCATGGCCAAGAAGTGATTTGCGTCGCGCGTCTGTCAACTCGTTTGGGTTTGGGGGAACGAATGCCCACGTTGTATTGGAAGACATTGGCGGATTTCTATCCCAAAATGAGGGTTTTGCAGCCGAAAGTCTCAATACAATGAAGCCTTTCACTAATGGACATGCACATACCAACGGGCTTAACCACCAAGACAGTGACATTGAAAGCAGCGTCAACGGGTTAACGCACAAACCAAATGGTGCTGTAATTTCCTCACCGGCTAAGAAAAGAATCCTCACACTGTCAGGATTTGATGAAGACGGAATACAGCGAAATAACGCTCGTCTCGTGGAATATCTGCAATCTGTGCCTGTTAAAGGGCAATTCCTGGAGAATTTTCTGCATACTGTTAACGAAAAGAGGTCATCTTTTGACTGGCGATGTTACTATATCCTAGACAGCCACGACAGTCTACTCAGCTCCTTACGCCAGGTTCCGCATCCTATTCGGGTGTCCAAGACTCCCAAGATTGTGCGATTTGTCTTCACCGGTCAGGGAGCAAATTGGCCTGGAATGGCTCAAGACCTACTGGTGTACCGGATTTTCGAGACGAGGATTTGCGAGGCGGCAAAGTACTTTATGGACCTTGGGGCTGACTGGGATCTTAGAGGTAAGTTGTAACGCCCCCTTCCTCCCGGGCCACTCAGTGTCTTGAATTATGCGGACAATTGCTCATAGAATCTTAGAAATTCTCGCACGCTCCGACTTGGACATGACGGAGCCCACTCTGGCGCAGTCGACCTGTATCGCGGTCCAAGTTGGGCTGGTTGACTTGTTGATGAGCTGGAATATTGTCCCGACAACGGTCGTAGGTCACTCTTCAGGTGAAATTGCTGCGGCCTATTGCGCTGGAAAAATATCTCGGCAGGCTGCTTGGAAAGTTGCTTTCTGCAGGGGCGTGGTTTGTTCAAAGTCCATGGGAAATGGCACCATGATGGCCGCGGCCGTTGGCGAAAAGCAAGCCGAAGAGTTGCTCTCACGGCTTGGTGGCATCGAACAACCACTGCAAGTACAAATTGGTTGTTTTAACAGCCCCAAGAATTTGACTTTTACAGGTAAAAGGGAAAGCCTGGATACACTAAAGCAAGAGTTGGAACAATCGGGCATTTTCTGCAAATTGCTCGGCGTCAAGGTTGCATACCACTCAGCAGAGTTAAAAGCCGTTGCAGGAGAGTATTTGACAAGCCTAGGGGACCTGAACTTTGGAGACAGAGTTAACCAGAATACCGGTATTCGCATGCATTCATCCCTCACAGGCGAATGCATTGGACCTCATGAAGATATTGGGCCGGAATATTGGGTCAAGAACCTCGTTTCTCCTGTACGGTTTACTTCCGCCCTCCTGCATTCAATTGGAGCCGACAGCGATTTGAAGCGGCTGGACAAGGTCACAGACACAATCATCGAGATTGGTCCTCATTCAGCTCTGAGAAGCGCCATTCAAGATACGTTTGCGGATTCTCAAATCCTGCAGTCCATCGGATATGCAAGCATATTGAAGCGAGGTGAAACAAGTGGCGAGACCGTACTGCAAACCATGGGTCTTCTCTACACCTTGGGCTATCCAGTGGATATTACTGCTGTCAACGAAAGGGAAATGGCTAATGGATTTAGTACCAAACATGTCCTCAATGATCTCCCTCCATATGCCTTTCGCCACACAAGCAAGAGAGCAACGACAAGGCAGATTGAAGCTTTAAAGTTTCCAGCTTTTGGAAGACACGAATTGCTAGGTGTTCCCCTTCTGGACTCAAATCCATTCGAACAGCGCTGGAGGAACTTCATTGGGCCGCAGCAAGTCCCATGGCTGTCGTCAAACAGGGTTCGCACTCCATCCACCTCCCGTTACTCGTTCCAGATGCTGACCTATCATAGTTGAATGATAAGATCCTCTTTCCAG